AACAGTTTCTCTGTGAATAAGCAGATCCGGTAACTTATGAAACCATCACTCAAATTTAAAGATGAGTTCGTTGGTTGCCTGTCCATCCATCCATCCATCCGAAAAGTTTTCTCCTCACTTTTGACATGGAGACTAGAACATAATCATGCAAGGATTCGTTCAACTTTTCATTGTTCACTCACTCACTACGTATATGCGATGACTTACTCATATTTCATGAAATCGATCCGCCCACCACGAAATAATAGGTTTACATTACCTATATTTTCATATTTATGTCGCACAGAGACGCAGAGGAGTGGGTGATTTTTAACCAGATTTTCTAAACGGGATGGCATTATAATGGGTGGGAAGCGTATAATGAGAATTAACGGAGTTCTCTCTCTGTAAATTCTCTGTAAATTCGATGCACCAGAGTGAAGTGAACAGGAAGATGAAGCCAAATAATTTTACGGCACGGCTAAAATTCAATCAGCTCCATTGTCCCAAGCAAAATTCCCACAGGCCACTCAGAATTTTCTCTCCTCTCTGCATTATTCCTGCCGATCTGATGACGCAAATTTCCAATTTGTGGGAAAATCACACACTTCTATTTTCCACAACTCTTTTCAACAAAGTTTTACTCACCCGTAACCAAGATCGAAAAAGGGCAATGTGTGTGGACGTGTGTGTATGGCGATTGATTCGATTCATTCCATTTCAATTCTGATAACGCGGAAATCTTTCCACGAAAAAAACTACTTTTCACTCTTTCTTAACCCACAATCTGGCACTTCTTTTCCACTGAGAGTTCATTCCTCATGTCGGCTTTTATTATACTGTATAAAGGAGGAGAAAGTAATAAAAAAGTGAAGTAAAACAGAAGATAAGTACGTCGCAGAATAATAACAAGGCACAAACCCCACGTGTAAATTTCAAACTTTTTTTTCAATTCGAAGAATCCAAATCGCGTAGGATAATTTTTTTCGCTAATCCAAACAAACTTTTCTCATTCACGTTTTAAATGAAAAGTAGTTGGAATTGGAAGAGATTCAGAGTGCAAATCCTGGTGAGCGAACACATGGGGAAATTTACAGGATTCTCAAAAGAAATTATTACGCACAGGGACAGAGATGCTTGAGATTAGAAGAGAGGAGAGACGACTATCGCACGTCCTCGGCGAAAATTTCCAACAAGTTCTACTTTTTAATCCAGATTTAATCCCTCACTCCGCTGCCATCCAGAAAATCCAGCTTATCTGCTCCTAGCACGACACCGCCACACAGCTTCAAATGTCTTCTAAATCGAGTCCAGATTGCAAATAATAATGGTTACTTCTCCCAGTAACACTTGAAGTATCCCTTCAGTTGGAACTAGATACATAGGTGTCAACTCTGACCTTTCATTTCAACGTGATCCAACAACTGGCAAAGTTGTTCCAAATGATTTCAACTCGAGTTCGAAACGAAATACAAGGTTGACAAGTAAATAGTCACGGCAAATATGCAGTTAAGTAGTTCCCTGTCCACTAAACACGACGATGAGTGATTAATAATCCGTAGTAGTCGTAGTAAAACCAACTATTTTACACTCGACGCCACCTCATATTGCAGTACAAGACCTGATGCAAAACTGAGGAGGTAAGAGAAGAAGTGTCACGAAATAACCACGTAATAATAACACGACACCATGAATGCATGCATGCATATGCATCATCTATGCACATAGATAGAAGGGAGGCAATGCTTATTTACAACCAGGCTAGTTCAGCCGTGCATATAAAAAAACAAGACTAAACTAAACTAAACTACGTACATCGAATATTTTCAACGCGAAGCTAACCATCATCCGAGAGATCTTTCCCATTATTTTTAGTTCAATCTCCTCATCATCAGTTACCTACGGATGCGAACCTCGAACTCCTCGGTTCCCGTACCACCAAGTTCCTTATTTATGTAGTTGTAGTTAAACAAGACTTCGCCATGGCTGGGATTCTTCTTTCTGCACGAGAGAAGTGAAGTGAGAGAAGGAACACGCTGATGAATGTAGCCCAATGTTTTGGAAAGAGTTCGAGTTTGGCATCATGAGTCACAAATTTGAAATGGAACGTGAGAATTATGGTATGAAACGGCTGGGTGCCACACACCACACCACACTTGTTCCAAAGGCTTTATTACTGTCAAGTGAGGATAAACGATGATATAATAACACCCAGCCAGGCAACAAACAACTGCTGCCATTCACACTTGCGACTTTAGCTTCTCAGCGGTCATAAAAAGCGTGAAATCTCTCTCGTCTCAAGCATGGCCACTTTAATTTCGAGTAAAAATAATAACTTGGTATACCTAGCCGTTTATAATAATAGGAACGAGAATAGGATTCGTCAGTCAGTGCGGTTTTATTCAATGATGCAAAAAAGTTATTGCAAAACTAATCCTAAATATGTACGTGTGTAAAAAGCCCACACACTTTCTTCACCTTGCAAAGAACTGCTGCTCCTCCTCCGTTTATACTAATCTGTTGACTGTCATGGAAAATTCGATGCTAAGCTCATTACACAAACATGAAGGAGTCGCAAGCAATAAGGAATGATGAGCAAAGGTGAGGACTGCTCGAGCAGAATTAGATTACAACTAAATACGTAGGACATGGCTCAACAGTGTTGTTATTTGTTAGTTGGATGGAGATAATACGATTAAATGTGACTGCCGCTTCACGGTTAATTAATGAAATGGGTGATACCTGACTTGAGGTGAAAGTGAGTGCCTCCTTCTCTTTCCGTAACAATGTGATCATTTATGTTTAATTTTAAACGAGAATAAATAATCCAGTTACAACTGCCTAAATATCTAACAAAGATCGTGCCGTAAAGCGTCTATTAGTTAAGGAAAATCGTCAATAATTCAATTTGGGTCTTTTAGCAGCAGTGTTATGAATTTAGGCAGGGCAGTAGGAGGACAAGTTCAGTCTGCCGTGGGTGGATAGACAGGCTCTATTTGTGTACGTGAGGCTTGACTATCTTGACTGAAAAAAATGATGTGCAAGTCGTTAAAAAAAGTCACAACTCACCTTTCGTCTCCTCTTCAAATAAAAGTTCAAACTTCAAAGAGATTCTTTCCACCGCGTTGTTCTGTCCACTGCTACTAATGCCACAATTTTAGTAGGGATACAGATGACAGCCAAGCTTTCATCTCGCTGAAAACCACTTCACACCACTTTTACCTTCAACCAGACGAAACTCTAATCCGACCGTCTACTAGAAAGAAAGAGGGACTGCGTAAGATTTGCCATACCTGCCCTAGCACTCAAGTATGATTTGAGTGAAAGCAGATGAAACCATAAATCTGTCACAGGGTAACAAGCTAATGGATGTTTCTTGTTATGTTGAGCAAACGAATTCAGAAATCAAATCAGATTAGTTGAAAGGAAAGGTCACTCTGAACTTGTAGGATTTCAAACCAATGCTAGATTTATTTGACAGTGGAATGTGAAATTGTAATAACAATCAACACTCCGCCATCTGGTCCAGATTAAATATCAGTTTGCTCTTTTGCGACGAATTTTTGGCCAGCAACAAAGATAGTAAATATTTACATGATTTAAATACCTTAAAATTTCTATTATTAACTAATTCAACTAAATCTCACTTGACATTGGCCGATTGACCTACATTCGAGGTTTTACTATGCCAGGTTGAAACTAGTTGGTGCACTATTTTATGTCATTACGACGCATATTATCGTCCGAGTCCGAAGCGGAAACAGAATTAATGTCCGAAAAAGCGAAATCGGCACGTACATCAAACAAATGGAGACAACAAGCAGCCAGCCAGCCAACGTAAGGGAAAGGAAATTATAGGCAGGAGAAAGTAAAAGAGAAAGGAAATTGGGCATGAAATTGCAAGGCCGCTGTTGTTTTCAGCAATCGGATACTACAGTCCAAAATTCGCACCATGTTGGTGTCCCTGATTCTTTATCGTGAGAAATGTGACATCAAATCACATCTACTCGCTCGTGTCCACGAATGAAATGGGAAAGCGTCAAAGTTTTTGATAAGTCCACTTCACCTCTCTCTCTAGTTTCTATCTTCTCTGAAAGTTCGAATGACCATTAAATGGTTTCGATTTACAAGGGCGAGATAGATACATACGTATGATTCGCTGTATAAAATACGTGACAGATTGCAATTTCGGACACGATCAAGCCATTCCCTCCTGTCTGGTCAACATCAAACGGATCACTTCAATTTCACATACCAACCTTTGTACACCGTACATATAGACAGCAAGGCTAGACCCACGCCACGCAATAAGTAATAAGTGCTAAACTACACTATATAGACTCAATTAAGCCGATTTCATAGTAAGCTCGCCTCCTTTCTTTGAATGTGAAAGTCACACAAACACCCACAAAGGAGGTGTGGTTATGGTGATTGGGTAACCCTGTGGGTGAGAAGACCTTGGCGCGTGGTGGGACAAGTTGGTGACAGAATGAGGTAAGTGACAGGTGAAAGAGATGATGATGACGGTGGTTACAAAATACATCCGACACACCGAAACCCAGATAGGCACAAGGTTCCCACAAATGAAACGATAAATAAACCATAAACTATCTCCATTTGGAATTTAGGTGGATGGAGGTGGTGGTACCGTGGAAGACGCAAGACAGCACGGAACATAAACCACACTGATGAGACTACATATATACTTTTCCTAATAATCCGTGTACCAAGCATGTAAGTCTTTGGTCTAGGTTTTCTAGCTGGTCTAGCTTCTATCTAAATCTCTAGTTGAACTGAACTTTTATACGGTCGGAGATTTAGGATTTAGGATTGTGAAAGAGATCCAATTTAGATTTTGACTAAAGCAGTGGAGTAAAAATTCTTAAGAGGAGCTCCGCATCTCAGCCTTCTTTAAATTGCCACATTACTTGTTAATTGATGATTTCATCAATAAACCTTGTATAATGATGGCTTAACATTATGATGACATGTGTTCAAGTAGCAATAAATTATGTACTCACTTGGAAAATGACGACGTTCCGCCCATAACACAGGAGCAGTGGCTGACTTCCTTAATGTGGGTGAGGGTAAAGCGTTATCTTGATGCCCGGCCAGCTTATACAATTTTCCTGAAACAGAAAATTATGGAAATTAAGCTTTAAGATTTGTGAGGTATTTTAGATTTGTAAAAATGTACCCGAATTGGGATTCAAAGCAATAGACACTTAGGACACGGATTTAACTCAATTTTTCAATAATGCTGTCACTCCAGCAAATTACAGTTTGCAAATTATTTAAGATTTATTATTTATGCAAAATACTTGACTGTTTGCAATTAATTCAACTGGATGTCCCATCTGATCCGAGTGTACATGGTCAATCATATCAATGCCATTATGTCATGATAATGATATGTATGTAGGAGAACGGATTGCATTCGCAGCTTAATTCGATTAGGTCAAAATAAATAAACCATAACTCATAACAAATTATAATCAGTTATCATTAGGATAGTGCAGGCAGGTTTAATAAATGTCTGGGCTGTAATATATCATCCCATTACAAACATTAGTACACTACGAGCTATCAAGTAACCAGCAACTTTTATTTATTTAACTCGACTGACCTTATAACAGGAGATCAGTCAAAGTCATGCATGTATGTAATATGTATCAAATTTCGCAGTTTAATTCGCAACACAATTACAAGCAAAACGAGCTGAATTGACGACTTGGTTTGGCTTGACTGACGACTTTTCTCAACGGCATGCAGAAATTAATTCGTAAAATATGTACATAGTTAGTTACTAAAAAAGTTTAAGGTCTGACTGGCTACAGATTTCATGAACATAATTCGCATTCACACTATTCACATGAAACAGGATCAATTTTATAGCTGTTATAGAACAGGGCACACTTTTATATTTAATTAATGTCTCTACGCCTCTACCAAGTGTTAAGGACATGCAGCTAGGTATGTATTAATGATGATAGTTTTCTAGATGTCCAATCAGTTCCAACTTTAGTTTGGCGTTAATGTTCATATGCAACTGTTTCCTATTACTTTTTTGCACTCGTTTTCGCTGCTCACCAAGTATTATCACTTCACTGTATCTCGCTCGACTGGGAGGATTCCGATTCTGTTTGACCCTCTGATTACAAAGAATCGATCAAGAACAATAATAATATTGAACGCTAATCACAAAGCATGCAATATTTTATCGTTTGTATACTACTCTTTTATCCTCCTCCCTCCTCCTCGTCGTCGTCGTCATACATATCTGAATAATCTCAATATCAACATGCGTCAATAAAGTTAATACTCTCTGTTCGTAGTATTGACTGACTCTGCAGTTTTCAATGTATATAACATATTTACGAACGATAACTAATACTGCGTAACACCAACCAACTATGAAATAATAAACCAACTCACACCAGACCCCACACACCGCGTGTGTGACACGGACTTTTGGGTGAGAGGAGGAGATCGACACGACGACAGACCTTCTCTCGAGATACTTATCACTTACATTCGACTTATCTCAAGCACACGACTGGAATGTGATGTTCTTATATATTACTTTTGTTTGATTGTAGTAGTAACGGAATTTACGTGGCTTGCGTAGTAAATATTAATTAATAAGTGTCAGACAGGTTAATGCGACGAGTTCATAGTGTGAACTTCACACTTAATTGTTACATGCATACACCATTGAAAGCGTCAGGGTTGACAATAGATGATTGTGTGGTAATGGGAAGATTCATTACTTAAAAAAGTCTTATCATTATAAAACTCAGTTCAACAATTAGTAAAGTAGGTTGTACTTTGATGGAAATTAAATAAACTGGATGGGTTTTGAAATATGTACTCGAATGATGTGATGTTTATGTAAAATTTTCAGATGCATGGAACATTTGGCTCGTAAATTTTCTGGTCGAAAAAGCTGTAAATTTTAAAAATCTGGTTAATTCCGGTAAAAATAACCGACTTTTTCATAACGAATAAAAATTAATGTCCTTATGAATGCGCTATTATTTTTTTATGGAGATTTTTGTTATGACTAAATGGTCCGGATTAAAATGACGACTGACTGTTGGTGGTAGTGAGTGATATGGATGATGAAAATGCCTCTAAGAGTTGTGCCTGTTAGCCAAATTAATTATCATTAAAATTGTACATACTCCCACTTGTTGATTATTATTGTCTCCAACGTTGATGACGCGATGTGTGAGGTTGATGACGACTCAGGAGCTTAGAATCTTGTCATGCAGACTAATCCGACCAAGTTATGTCATACAAATTAATGTCTCTATCCAGAAAAAAATATATGAAGTACAGACAACTTGTAATTTATGAAACAGCTGACATTTGCACACCATTTTTTACTTACAAGTTTCTCCAATTTTCAGCTTTAAACCTTGGTCGATTTTTCGAATTAAAATTAAAATCTGCTCGTCTCGTTTTAATCGCTTTTCATCCAAGTTCAATGCTAGTTAACAATACTAACTTAAATAAGACAACAATTACACAGCGATAATATTATTATGTCTGTCACGAAAGTAAATAAATAACGAAAAGTCTAAAGTTATTTGTCAAAATGGTCAATTTAGCCTTTAAAATAATGACACCATCCAAATTAGCAAACTTAACACAACTGTCAAACTCAACAATATACTAGAACAAAGTTAAAACTAAAATTTAATGAGAGATGAATGAACAACAATAATTCTTTGTATTTTTTTGCACCACCAGACCAGACAGAAGGATGAAAATCTCAATCCCATGATCTCAATTTTACCACATTACACACTCGCCAGAATTTAGCTCCTGCCGTTTTATGGAACTTGTGCTATTCTTTTTTTAGCAGAATTGCATGCAAAATTGTATGCAAATTTATTGGCTTGCTAAGTGCAAGAATATGAATAAATTTAGCTATATGACGTTGTCAGGGGGTTAGGAAATCAGAACTTTTTTTAGATGTGCAAAAAAAATGATGCGTTGCAAAACTTTTTATGAAAAAACCATTTCCCTTTCATTTCGAAACTTTTACCAATCTTGACAAGTATTTTCTCTGAAAATGGCTGATGTAGCTATCATCGACGGTTCTGGAGGGGATTATCTCGTCCCCCCGAATAAAATCGAGGAGGTGGATCAAGTAACAATTCGACCAGACAAACAACTCCCCAATGAGACAAAGGTGTCCCCAGAAATCGTGCACCAAACCTACCAAATTTGCAATAAGTTAGCAACAACGCCAACGTTAACAACTCTTGCTCATCCGGAAAGGTCGAAACACATTTTGTATGCAAATGATCGAGTCGCCAAGTTCAGTGACGAAGGGCAACTTTTGTTCGGTTTCGTGAGCATCAATCGCGTCACGAAGGACACCCGGATCGATTGGGACAATGGGAAGGAAGAAAAACTGAGTTATACGGGGGGCAAGGGTATCGCTTTAAAGGCCAAGGTTATTTTTCGCAATTCCTAAAAAAATCGAATATTCACTTACTTTTTAATGAAAAAGAGAAATTATGAATTTTTTTTAGGTTGGTGTTATGGATCGGAGATGTGTCGGATTTGGGAGTAAGGTCACGAATGACGAAAAGACTGGTCAAGTCAGAGAGAAGCGTTTCTTGATCACGGTCGCCCTCGAGAATAACTTGAACGTGGTGATTAAAGATGTGGATTGTGAAGATTTGATTCGCATTGGGGTGAAAATATTTAAACACATAATTTTTTTTCAAGACTAAAATTATGATAAGTATCTACTAAAAATAATTAATAGTATTCCAAGAAGGACGATAAAATCGTTTACAACAACGAATGGGTCGGTCTTGTAGCGGACACTCGAGCCGGAGTTTATTTCAAGATGGATAAGGATGGAAAATTGGGATTCGTTCCAGACGACAGTGAGAATTAATTGTTAAAATTGAAAATCTAGGTTGAGCGTGACGTGTATTTACTTGTTTTATAATTAATTAATTAAGGTTACGGATTTGTCTTTCCACGTCCGGGGGATAGGATCGAGAGCATGTTGATTTACCATTTGTGGGATACTAGGTACATAAAGCACTAAAACAATCTATATGATCAGCATAATATTAATATTACGTAAATGCAGGTGGATCACTTCTGGACAAATTTGGTGGTGGAATTTTTTCCGATATATGGGAAATTCGGCGACCATCTTGGAGACCAAGGTGTTTGTTAGCATAAATAAGTCTTGTGTGGTCCAAAATGCAAAAAATATGTTACATAATTAACTAATTTGTGTTCAGATTGACTGCATCACGCTCGCCTGGATGAGAAACATAAATATGGGGAAGGTGTTCGAGATTGGGGGTAAATCTCTTCCACCAAATACACTTCGACGAGAGGAGGAAGTGAAAGAAGTTAAACATTTGTATGGTCGAAATTGGAAATATATCCGAGAGCTTGACACTTGGAATTACAAGTTGAAGGAGGAGGACAAACTGATGAATTTTCATGACTGGGTTCTGGAGCTGTCGGAGGAGACGTTTTTTGGTCCACCAGAAGACTGTAATTAGAAATAAAATTTTGATGCAAACATTGAAACGGGTCGGTATAAGGCGATTAATTTGCATAATGCAGACGTACTTATTGGAAATGAGGAGAAAGATAACCTTCCACAAATGTGTCTGGATCTTATGGAATCTGAGAAACCGATAGGCGTCAAAATCGCAGCGATTCGAAGTGTCGTGGATATTGAATGGGACGTGAGTATGCGTTTCTATCTATCAATTTAAATAACCATAAATTCAATAGTTAAATTTTCATTTATTTTTAGGACGGTTCTATTGAAACGCTACCTTCATACAAGGTGAAACCTCATCAGTACGACGGGACGGACACTCCCCCCGCTTTCTTTGCAGGAGATATCGTATCCGATTTGAATATCGAAAAGTCGTCTACCTATGGTTATGTTGTCCGAGTGTATCGTGACACTGCTCTCGTCACGTGGATCGATCCCAGTGGTCATCATCTCCCCAAAATATCGCAACCTACAAGAGTGCCAATTTCGGAAATTGGTCTTCACATAGACTATCTCTACCTGAAATCTCTAAATCATATTCCCGTTGTTGTTTCGAACGTGAAAAATATTCAAGGTATGAGGATCCCTGTGGACGATGTGCTGTACGGGGTCGCAGTTGGGATCAACGTAGCAGAAGCTAAGGTATACACATATCCGTGTGTATTAGTAATTAACTATTTAATTGTGTAATTAATTATATTCTGTTGCGAACAGATCATAGTAAAAGGTCCCGATGAAGTGGAACGACTCGTCTGGGCTCATGATTTTGAACATTTTGAGGGAGACGTGGCCTACGACACTTCGAAAACCAAGTGGATCCCGTGGTACAAATTTGACACTTTAAAAAATCCCATCCGCGATTTCTGTCTGGCAGATCAATACCTACGAGATCGGAAACTTCCATTGGCCGTAACGTCCACGACAATTCATGAAGATAACGGAGATGTAGCTGTGAAACCAAAGATTATGCGGTACCTGGATAATTGGTTTTCCTCGGAACGTTAATTAGTGTATTCTAATATGTATCACACAAACATCATTTTAGCATTTAAAATTTAAATCGTCAATCCAAATTTTAGCCTGAATTTTATGAAACTCAAAAAATCTTTCCCAGTGAAACGAGAAATGTTTGGTTAGTAATTGCCGTCTTACCGGTATGTACATATCCATGAAATGCAAAGTAAAGTATATGTAAATTAATGTAAATAAAGTCATCGCTAGTTAAATAAAATGAAAAAATAGCAGACAATTCCTAATGAACAATTCTTAGTAATATTGATGAAAGTGTTTCCGAAATTTGTTTATGTAACAAGAAATACACGAGCTTTGTTTATATCAAAACAGTGCTTTGTTTATGAAATACTACAACTTTGTATGTGTTCATTTCATACGTAATAAAATATATTTCTCTCTCGACAAAAAAGGAGTGAAAATGTGTTTCTCTGTAATTTTTGAAATGCAGAACGCTATTACATTTTTTTGTTTTTTGTTATTTACACAAAGTAAAATTAAATATAAAAATTTCAATTACATAAGTCTTTGCATACGGTTTTACGTGCCTAATTTTGTTTACAAATCTTGCTTCAGATGGTGAATCAATCCCAAGTCCACTCATTTCCAATTCAGGGCTAGAAAAAATTTCGAAAATCGGTACTACCACTACAACTACTACCACGACACAAAAACCGGAAACTGTCCCGGAATGGATTTCAATACCTATAAGAAATAATTCCACCCTTCAGACGCAGGTCGTACCCAATGACAAACAAAGCATTTCACCCATGCAAAACTTATCCAAAAATGTGACCATGAACAATGTCAGCAGCGTGGAACAAACTCAAGTTGTCCAAGAAATCCAACCTGCTGGTTGGATGATTTTAAGAACAGAGAACCCTCAACAAGTGCAAGATGACAAATCAAAACCTGATACTAAATCAGTTGAACAACTTGTAACGACAACGACCTCGAGACCGGATGTCTTACAGCGTCCACAGAAAATGGGAAATCCTCCTCCTCACCAAATCGCTCCACCCTTGGAGAATAATAATCCTACCAAAGAAGTGGATTGGATTGGTATCCCGATTCGACGCAATGATAGAAGTTCTCCGAAACGGAACGCTACAACGACTACGACTACCATGTTACCAGAGATTGAAGACGTATCGCCAACTCCAATGACGGAAAAATCTGCTGATGACGACGACGAAATAACCACGACGATCAGCTCAAGTAGTGATGATCAAGATGCGGTCACCGAAGTCTCCACGGAGGAGAAAGCAGTAGATGAGTCGGGACCAATAAATTCTGGCGATAACAATGATGTCAGCGAGGATAAACCTGTTGATGTTGATGGTTTAGAATCTGATCCTTCAGCTACTGGTAGTTCTACTTCAACCGTGATTGAGATAAGGTCTGCACTTAATTTTGTTTGAGGTTTGCAAAAGTCAAAGAGTGTAGTTATATTCACTTTTAAATTTTATTTACAGCCATTTAATTGCACGAAAACTTTGTATACATCTCAAAGAGAAATACAAATTAAAACTGGGCAGGACAGGGAGGTCTTACTTATGGGCACCGATATATCAATATGCACCAATGTTGGATAGAGGCTTTCCACTTGTTGCTCCAGAATTTACGCCAGATTGCATGAAATGGAAACTTAAAAGTTGTAGTAAGTGAACTACTCGTGGCGATCCTATCGTTAATAAATAATACAAAATAAAATGCTGTTTCAGATGGAACCGACAGATTTCCATTAATGACCCCCTGCACATTTTGGAACCCAATGCCTCTACAATCCTTGGACTGTTTCTCATCCGAAGAAGTTGATGATACACCAATCGGCGTATCTTCCACAATATTTGTAAATTATCGCCCACCAAAATACAATGATAAATTTTGCCCTTGTCGATGGCCGTGTACACCGCATTTTGACAAAATCCAAAACTGCAGGGTTAATCGATCCCAAGGATTTTTGAAGACGTCTTCCGACAGTAAAGGTGAAGCTCTTTACTCTGAAGGAAATCCACTCCGTCCGGTGCACATGCCGCATTATCAGGCGATGCAGTTGTGTCGAGGGATGTACGAATTTCTAGATAGTTCCGCCCCCATCAAAGTCGACTCGATTCCGATTAGGATTGTCGCACTGGGAAAGGAACGTGATCCCATCAAGGATTGTGTCACTTGGAAGTATTCCCCATGCAACAGGGGAAAGAATAGTGGTCAACGTGGTGGTATCAACAAGGTCGAACCACAGATCACGACCCAAATCGTAGAAAATGTGACACTTGGCGTTAACAATGCCGTGCTAACCACTACGCCCGCACCAGTGGAGTCAAAAAGAAGGAGAAAGAAACGTGACGACGATTCTACGAATGACGAAGTCACAAATGGTACAGATGACAATTTATTTAAACGCGTTGGTAATTGTATTAATTAATTAATACAAATTATATTTTGCACGTGTCCTGCAGAATTGGCAACGTCCACTCCAGATTGTGGTGTATGGGAACAAGTCGAAGCAGAAGATAGAGACTGTATACCAGAAACTCTAGCGGAAAAGGTCTCAAAAAAGAAAAAATCATCGAAATCGTCAATTTCGACTGATAATATCCTCCAAAATATTCCACCTTGTACAAAATGGCCTTGTTTCTTGACCCAGCATGAAATGCAACTCCACAAGAAAAATGCTACCGACACAAAGACGACTGAAGGAAAGAAACGTGGTTCATCTCCTAATTATGAAAAAGGACCCGGCTGCAACTGCGACTGGCCCTGCCTCCCATTTTTCGACCACATCAACAAATGTTACAATGATCGGGGTAAACTATTAGTTGATGCGAATGGAAAACCAATAATCCTTCCGAGAAGGTTTAGTCGAACCCAGAAACAACTCGTGTTATGTCTCTCCTACCTGGAAAAGGATGAGATTGACTGTTTTGTCAAAAAATAAAATTCCATTTCATCCCAGTAACAAGAAATCTATGAATAGAACTTATTTTCCTGGAACAATTATCTATCCCCACTTTTACTAAGCATACGAAAAAAATCTCAAATTTCAACAGTATAATTACACTTGCATGACAATTCCGTCTCGATTCTGGCTAAAAAGTTATTTTAATCAAAATTTGACAGAAAAATTAAATCAATCAGTATATCAGTAGACAGGAAAGTGGATAAAGTGATGATAAAAGTTATCATTTCATGATTTATTTGGTATAGAATTTGGCTGGCTGGCTTGCTCCGTGGTTGAAAGAAAATTGAGATTCACTCAAGTAAACTTGACTCAATCACATATTTATCGCATTTGAAGAATATTTATTATATGGATGGATGGAATTCGGGAAATGATTTACATTTCTTGGTTGAATAATAATCAACTCGATATATATATTGTTCTGAAACATGAAATGAAATGAGAAGCTAAATCAAAGGTGGACGTGGACGTGTGCATGCATGCATGCGGCGTATAGGACAGATAATACCTGCCCAGATATCAATGCTTTTCATGCTGCAAGACATTTTGTAATTAGAATATCTTTTGGTTGTTCCATGTAAACTGCACAATTGATGCCGGTTACATATGCTCCACAACAAGTGAATGTATTTCTTAATCTTTTCACTGTATGAGACAGCTAAAAGCATATAAAGGTCTTCGACTCTCGACATTTTGGAGACAGTTTGTTCTTCACTCACCTTTGGTAAATGGGAAGGACAGATTAAATCCTCTCCATTACTGAAAAATTTTGTAACTACTAAAATTAAGTAGTTTTACTTTACTAAGGTAGCATTCAGATAGGGACGAGTGGCGACAAACCACGGAAAGCTATATTAAAATGACAACATAACAAATTTCCGATAGGGCTCAACCCCTATGAAAACCTTTTCTCTTCTTCCACACTTCTTGCTGCAAAAGGACTTTAATTAGTTGAAATTGAACCCTTGGCTCGAGAACAAATGACGACCCGGCATATCCCTTGAGAATTTTTAAACCAGATTTTTTTTACAAATTTAACACATTTGTACTGTACCTTCAGGATTTTGAGAATTTTACTTTAATACCGAAATAAAGTAGGCATGCAAAAGTGAGGTGACGACGACGACGACGCTATTTATTTTCAATTCAAAATTTGAAAGTAGTCTGACACGGGAGAGGAAGACAGATTTAGTTTAATTGAGAATTAGTTAGTTAAACTATTATGGACGAAGAGTTGAAGGTTTCTCCAGGTATAAGTAGTAGTAAGGGAAATTGTATACTTTCCCCACTAAAAATTTCGAGAGAAGTCCAATTCCCAAGTTTTCGGAGTCCGAGAAGTCCTCCGTTGAGGTCAATAACCGAAGTGGAATCTGTGAAATGTGTGATCGTGGGGGATGCCGAGATTGGAAAAACATCTCTCGTGACCTCCTTCCTATTTGAGGAGTTTAGCAAAAGTTATATGTCCACTGTGCGGGATGATTACACTTTTTGTACGACGATGGCAGTTCCAGGTCGTGGGGGGAGGGTGGATGTAGACCTGGACATTTGTGACACTGGTGGACAGGTAAGGACATATTTGCTTGAAGAAGAAATTATTAATTTTGTATGAATGATCTGACAAAATGTTAATTTGTTTCGTCCCTTTAAAGTCTTATCTTGACCGACTTCGACCCCTCTGTTACGGGGACGGATTAACCTCACCGACCGGCGTGACCATAATTTGTTTCAGCGTGGTAGTCCCATCATCATTCGTTAGTGTTGTCAAACGTTGGGTTCCGGAATTGAAGCGGCATTGTCCCAACTTCAATAAGAACATGAAAATCATTTTGGTAAATGTTTGAAATATTTATCTAATTTATGTAATTTTAATTTTGTGTCAACTTTAACCTCAAACTTAACCAATTTTCAGGTTGGGACACAGTCAGATCTCCGATCTAATGTGAACATATTGCTTTCCTTGATGGAAGATGGACTTTCTCCCGTCTCAGAGGCACGGGCGATGCGACTCGCAAAGAAAATCGGGGCCGTAAAATACATCGAGTGCTCAAGCTTGAACGGTTTCAATGTCAAGGTTTGTCTACACATTTCGCATATGCAAAAAATTGCGATATTTGCATTGTTACTTTTTTAATTCGCCAACTTTCCACAGAGAGTCTTTGAAACCGCAATTTACTCCAATATCATCACCACCACCAGCACCACTCCTCCTTCATCACCGCCCACACTTCGAACCAATAACATTGATGGAACGGATGTCAATGTCATGATGACGCCAAAATCAGACTTAGAGATAACAAGCAAACGGACCCAGCCTGCATTGGAAACTGGAAGAGTGGAACAAGCCATTATTCGATCCACAAATAAGCTGAATAGTACAAATGGTGATCCCAGACTGTTCTGGAGACGGTGGCGTCTACGACAAAAATCTAATAAGATTAAACGACTCATGTTATCATGTCTGCATTAGGTGAACTCAGAATATGTAAGAAGACTAAAAATGGCCTTGGTTTGGTTTATGAATATGATATGAATTTAGTAGGGCCAGCCCATGCACAAAAGGATAATCGATTATCCATTACTTGAAAGTCACACATTGTCAGTTTAACTAGTAACTGTTCAGATTATTTATTACTATTATTATATCTCATTTATTTTAGGTTTTGTAGTTTGTATACTGCTCCGGTTGATAGTGATAAAGTCGGTATAATAGCTAGAGCATGAATCTATGAATCTATGCTGTATGTATGTATGATGGGCAAAAGCGAATGGAATGACGAATCTGTCTCATTCAGTGTAACTTTAAGGATACAAAATTGCAAAATTCTCAAAAAATATTTATAAAATTGCTAAAAAAAACATGAAAAATATGCAGTGTCTAAAAACTGATAAGTGATTGACAATTGTTGTGGATAATAATTTATGTAATTGTGATGACGATACGGTGCAGCTTTGATATGCAGAAACTTAACTTTGTTCTCGCAATATTGAAAAAGAAATTGGTAGAAATTATGATTATATAATTATCTTAAATAATGAGGCGTCTAATTAAGGTTATCTTAACTCTGTCCTCTCCGTTAGGAGAAAACCCAATATAAAGTTCTCGTCATTATGACTTGACTTGAGCCAGGAAGAAATTTCTCAAAAAAATGCATTTTAAAATTTTAATGCAAAAACTGACGAAATAATTGTAGTACCTATAATTTTGAAAAATTGCGAAACTAGAATAAAATCTTCTTTAATCTGGTTTAGCAATAATCCTGGTACATGTTTCGCACACGTTTTTTTTCATTTCATGGTAAATGATGATGACATTAAAACCCCATTGTTTTTCCAGTGAAGAGGAGAAAGTCCAACAACAAATTCAATAACGACACGGACAATGCGACCAATTGATTCCATGTTGCACTAATGATGTCCCTTGTGATGTCCTGTGGCGATAGATAGTCTCCAAAAGTAGGTTAACAGCATTTTAGCCTACTATTCCCTTGCACTACGTCAATCTCGTATTCCCTTTCATGTCGCGATGACGTTAACAAGCTAGTCCTCTTCTCCTAACGAAACTGATAGACGTAGATACACGAAAAAATACATGTCCTGCGAGAAAAAAGAAAACATCTCCCCAAAAATCCACGACCTAACCTTGCTGTTCAAAACCAACCATAATCTTATTCCAGGAACAGAAAACACCAATGTCACAAGAAAACATGGCGCAACGCATGCACCCAATTTTCTGTATAAGCATAAACAACACGTAATGAAATGAAATCATATATCCGCATGTATCTCTCTCCTCGACGACCCAGCCATGTACAAATCTTGGTGGTTTGGTCAGGTCTTAAAATGTCACGAGTTGAGGATCACTAAGCCTTTTGCATGAAGTGAAAGCAGCTTTTGTGAACGAGTTTAGCCTCGAGGAAGTCTGAGCCGGGTATGGTTCGTGTATAGCGAAAAACCGAAAACCATAATCCTGGATGGATATGGATCCGGGGCAGTTCGGGTGAAAGCGTCATCATCTTTCACTTCATATTTGTTCCACTATGTTCAACCCTTTTCTTGTCCATTTTCTCCTCGAGAGGAGAGACAAGAACAGAAGATATGTACATATTTAGTGCGCTATTAGCCTCCTTGTTCTTTCGAGTAGTTAAGTAAATGTCATGTTCTTGTTCCAAGTTTTGGGAGAAAACTGTCTCTTATTGTTCAAAGAGGGGTAAATAATGTGAAGGATTGATACAAAATCTCACTGGAGTTGATCGCAATACTTTTTCTTAAAAAAGACACATCAGCTTAAAAAAAGACTACCTACACATATTGCCTACCTACCTGTTGATTCTTCCATTTTTCAATTTTTTTCTTGATAGTATTTCAACTTGTGGGATTATATTGTTAGAAAAATATATATAAATGGAAGTAAAGATTGTGTTAAGTCGAGAGAAAAAATACTGGAGGTATGGACCTGGAGATCGAGTGGAAGGAAAATTAATCGTTTATAATCCGCATCCTGTGTACTGCTCAGGTTATTTTTGTTAAAATGATATTTGTTTTACTATTTCTTGAAGGAGTTGGGGTTATCGGTATAAATTTATTTATTAGGCATTCGAGTCTCGCTGGAGGCAATTGTTCGTGTAAATTTTCGGGATTCTAGCGGACGTCTCATAACCAAGACGGAGGATGCCATTGTTCCCAACATTTATACATATGTGTGGCCCGTGAACTGGTCATGGGCGCAGATTAGCGGAAAATGTAGGGTGAAATAAGTTTATTAACCAAATTTTGATTAATTTTGATTGTCCATTTACATAAATACTTTTGTATTTTATAGTTTATGAAGAACGCCAATCCCGTCTTCCCGCATCCAAGCACATCTTTCCCTTCAGCTTTTCCTACCCGACGACCCCCATTCCTCCAGGCACATTTTGTAGTGAGTTCGGCTCTGTGAAACACTGCGTCACCGTGTACCTCATGACCCCCAGTAAGAATCACACCTTAGCCACTCACATCCTCAACTTTGGCGACTACCTCAACCTCCTCCAAGACCCTGTCGCCCTGAAGCCGTTAAAACTCGAGAAGAGGAAAAAATCCCTCATGTTTTCCCTCGTTCATCCCTCCTCATCCTCAAGTCCGTTACATTTCACGTTAAAAATGCCACAACGGGGTTTCCTCCCAGGTGAATATGCTACCTTTAAATTTTCACTGATCAATCTCACCGGAAAAAGTTTGGCCCGTGTGGTAATATCCTTCATACAAAAGATAAGTTATCATGCGGACAAAGTTAGGAAAACGCTGGGGTCGGTGTTGGACGAGGCGGAAACTTTGGAGGTGGACGCTGCAGTGGAGACGATTTGGGAGAGCGGTTTCTTCATTCCAAGAGATATCAAGCCCACATTTTACAAATGCAATATAGAACATCAATACTTTCTAAAGGTTTGACATTCAGGATTTTAGCAATTTTTCAAAAATTACTGAAAGATTAAATTTCTTTGGGCCAAAAGGTGCAAATATTTTCCAAAGGATCTTCCACCCGACCCGCACTGAAAGGACACGTTCCCTTGATTGTTGGCACGGTCCGAGACAATTGTCAAAGGACGTGTAATCAGTGTCGCGGGATTGCGCCTGGTGGGAGCAGCACTTCTTTTTCGGCTGGATTAAGTAGGCGTCGAACATCACTCGATGTCCTGCACACGTCATCCTTGGGTCGATTGGCAAAAGTGGAGTCGCCCTCGATGAGTGACATCTTTTCGCCACCACCCTCGTATTCTCAGTTGTCGTCGAGAGCGGCTTCGATTGATAATTGTGAGTTGATATGATACCCTTATTTTCTGGATTAAAAATTATTAAAAATTTGACGGCGAATTTTATGAGAATGACCACTTATTTTCAGTTCTTCCATTGTACGAAGACGCCATGTACGAGCGTAATCATAATCGGAGGAAGAAGTCTGTCGAGACTAAATAATAAAATGTAACGCTTATTCCAGACATCTTTATCACTCATTTGAAAACTACCTATGCATCTCATGTGTAATAATTATCCCTTTTAAATGACTCAAAATAATTAATACTTGTAAGAATGACACTTAAAAATACTCTGCGACATATGTAACCAAATTGAATTCGACCCGTTGGAGGTGAAGCGAATTGTTAAATAGCAAGGTTTGAAAAAGACATCCTGCACTGTTTGTGACACTATGCAAATTTATGTCAACCATGAAATTATGCTGATGTAAATGAAAGTGACGATACGATATCTATGCACATATGTGCCCAGCCTATTAATATGACCTCATTCTTTACCTATAACATTGTCAAACTCTGTAATAAATAATGTGATCAAGACCGGAAGCGGTTACCTAATAAAACATAATACGTTTATCCCATCTTCACATGAATAATAATACTTTGGTGATTGATGGGCATTGTTTATTTATTTGATTGTTTAGTGTACTCTTGGGATTTACCAGTAAAAAGCGAGACAAATTATGAAATGAACTGTTTGACACGAGCTTGGATATGACTCTTTTGATAAAATGGCTAGTTGCTCATATGAATGAATTTAGTGTGGTCAGGGTGGTGGTCAAGCGATGTTTAAGATCCTAGGTTGCATTTTGTCCTGATCTTCTGATTTTAGATTAATAGAAAATGATGGGGATTCAGAGTACAAAACTTATCGTGCTATTTCTACTGCTTGGGGTCCTTAGTTTTGCTGAATGTTACAAGATCAGGTTCCCGAGAGACGACTTATTGACCAACCAACCTCACCACCACGATTATGTGGACAATCCTGGTCCATTTCCGATACAAAAATTAGACGAAAGTGAACAAGGAGTAACACATCATCGTCGACAAAGGCGGTCCTTTGATTTTGGAGGACTTTTGGATTACGCCATGGGCACAATCTACTCTTTAATGACCCATCCGTACCCGTATCCATCCCTAGTAAGACACGTTGTCATTTCAATTCAGTTGAAACCACTGCATGTAAATAAAATTATGTAATGCAATTATGTTTATTTGTAGTACGGACACGGCTATGGCCACAGACTAATAAATCCATTACTGTCAAAGCTTGGAGGAGGTGGATTTGGGGGAGTCGGGTTTGGAAATCGGTACAACAGATATTCCTACTCACCAGGGTCATACAGTACGTTTTATGCAACACGGGGTTATGGATTTCATTAAACTTTGTTACATTATTTTGTAGTAGAAATATCTACGATGAATAAATCCATTGATTTAACAGAGTTACAAATTGAGGAATAATGTTCATATTTTATTTTTAATTTTTTGGCAACTACATAATAATAATGTACGAGTGTGCATATTTGGCAAATTATTCAAATTATTATTGTCATCATCAATTTGTGGGTGATTAATTTGTGCACCACAATTGGTTAGATCCTGAGGAGACATTGATGTAATACGCCGAAGCATATCCTGCACCAACCTATAAATAAATTAATTCAAAAACAGTTTGAAAGAAATGATTTGACCTAATTTCATATGTACATTTTAGTTTGTTAATCTTACCTGGAACCAGTATGAGTTTCCACTCACGGGTGTCCCAGTGGCACGACCTGCACAAGTTGTAAATCCAAAAATATTGATTTAGTAACAAATCTCACATTTAAAATTAGGTCACAACTTACCCATCAACTGAACATAAGATCCCTCCGCAAGTGCCCCAACAATTGGACTACTGGCATCTGGAAGTTGACGCACGTTGAGACCACCAGACGCAGTGACGGTTCCATAACACTTGCTCGCTGTGCAAGAATTTATGAATTAATTTTAAACTCCGAAAATTATGAAAATTAAGTAAAATTGTAGTTTGCATTTAGCTCTTACGATCTCCACCACCAATTCCATTCAGATAATCAGCCCAAGTTCCAAGGAGTCGACTGGGACAGTTCTTCCCTGACCAGGATTGATGAGTGACTACGCGTGACAACTGGTCACACAATTAAAAACCATTTAGCTCAAAGCTTTAATTAATTATCAATTAAATTTTTGTTTTTACCGGAACGTTCAAATCTCCCATTAACTTGGCTACGAGCTCTTGTGAATTTCGAACAGCAGTATTAAAATTTCCATCAGAATTTTCACAGATCTCGATCCCCACTGATTGAGCATTTCCGGCAGAGGTGCCCGCATGCCCTGAACAATTTAAAATTCAGAATTGGGCTAAAAATTTCCAAATTCTAGAAGATAATAAATTGTTTCCAACTTACAACCAACTTCGTTGGTGGGAAGATGCTGATAAATTTCGTGGTCATCGACGGTGAAATGCCATGAGACGTCGGTGGTAGGATTTTTCACGTAATTAGCATGTGCTCGTGCATTTGCGCCTGGGGACGTGTTCGCCGTGTTGTGGACGGTGATGTAGCGCGTCCCCGATAGCGCGGTCCCAGGCCGATTTGCGTTCGACATGGGGATGAGGTCCACGTAAATGGGGACCAGACCCAGGGAACCGTGCAAGGCTCCGAGCAATGCCAGAATTGTGAAGGACTTGAACATTTTGCTTTGTGTAATTGAATGAAGTCTTGGTTAACAGATTTCACTCGACGACTGCAAATTTTTGGTGTAAAATAAAAGAGTATTTATTGCAAATTTCAAGTGTTTAACTTATTATTGAGTAATGTTACATTTTTTTCATTATCTGATCTCTGATTGAGTGAGGGATGCGAGATTGTTCAAAGTTATTATTGGAATTCAGTCAATTATGCAATTGTCATGCGAGGCAGAAGTAAAGCTCAGAAACTATGTAATTGAGATATCTGTTGTCGGTAATGATGGGGTCGATTTATTCCAAGGGTGGGCAAGATATGATCACTGTAGTGTAGTGGCTTGACACGTGAATGAACTGAGGATGAGAGCTTTTGTGATGTGTAGTAAAAATCTCAGCATGTAAGACTTGCAGGCATTGGGGGTTTTAAATCAATTCGTCTGATATGATCTAAAATATAACATTATTTGTATTTTTCTAAGTTTGAATGTTTTTAGGATACCATTGTGATTGTTTATCACTGGATGCGTAACAAGTTGTAGATAATCATTATCTACAACAGCTACACAAATTAACATAACAATTAATAACTGATTAGTAAATAAATCGGGTTTCCCCAAACCAACAAAGTGCCGTTTATATTTTATAGCAGGTGTTTATAATTTTCCATTAAAAAATTGATAAAAGGCATAAACTTTCCTTGTATGTCTTGAGTTCGTATCGTTAATAAACTTTGCTGCAAAATTATATATCTTTCATACAATAAATTACAAGTGGTTTAATTTTTTATCGTATCTTGAACCATGATTTTGAGTATCTCAAAGTATTTTGAAGATGTATTGCCCTCGTCTTGCCCACCCATGTTGTTTCATAATAATTACATATTAGTAATTGTAATCACACATAATCATTCATCATTATCGGACATTTATTGGATATCGGACACACATTTAATGAAAGGGTGATAGATATTTAACATAGCTGTTTATAATTAACTTTAAATTTTGATTTGCAGGACAAACACGCCTGCATACGATGGGGCTACATTCTGTCATGCCTTCCTTTGTTGGAATATGCAATCGCCACAATAACAGCCGCTGTCATTCCTAAAAATGCAAGGGTGCAGAGGATAAGGAGGAACGTGATCAAATACTGTTTCTGCTGTTGTTGCTTCCTGTAATATTCAATGTGTCGACGTGACGTGGAATGTCCCCCGAATTGCATGGCTATAGGAATTCATAAGTGCATTATCCATACAAGAAGTTATCAAAATAAAATCTTCCTACCGAGCTCAATCGTTGTCGCCATGTCTTCTATTTCCCACGCTTTGTCAGACTCTGCAGACTGATCACTGCTGTCTATTGGCCAGTCTCCATCCGTAAATTCACGATCTGGACAATTACAGCAAATGAGTCGCAATTTTTTATCTTGACACGCGATGGCCAACTCTTGAAGCCTGGTTTTGTTAATGCTCATCCGGCAATAGTGGAACTCTAACAAATTTTCGAGCGGAATTAGATCCAAGTTGACATTGAGAAGGATTTCTTCTTGGTCATTTTCTTGCCCAAGAGTTACCCACTCTCCCCAACGTTCCTTGTACCCTCCGCCAGTAATCTGATTCAAGATACGGCATCATTACACAAATTACTGGAAATATTGACTAATTTATGATGTTATGCACACCTTTAGATAATTGAGCTGCTCGCATTTCTCAAAAATTCCGAAATCTAGCGGAACATGCCTTTGATTTCGAACATCATAACTGATCAGTCGTCTGAGCACAACTTTTTCCAGCGTCTTTTCATTCTTTGGTATCACATTTTTGTAAAAGGTCCACAATACTGAGCCAAAAGAACAAATGAGCGTCACTAATCGAGTCTGGAGTTCCAAGAAGCGTTTCCAGTCATTCAGATAGAACGCGGAAAGTCCGGGTAACTCGACGTGGATAAATGTGAGCTTGTTTGGAATGGTTTTAGTGGCCCAGAATGTGGCAAAATTGCTACGAATCACAGGAAAATCGCTATTCTCAAGAATCTCCCCAGAATCAAAGGGCCTACTTGACGTGGACGTAGTTAAATCTTCATCAAAACACTTATATTGTAAGGGATCATCATCGATGTAAATTTCAAGAATAAATTTCAGCGTTTCCAGATTTTCTTTGGTTTTAAGGTAGCGGAAAAATTCGCGATTGTAATCGTCCGTGCATGGCGGTATGAAAGTGGGCGAATAATTTTTTACGACGACACGACGGCCATGCTTTCTTCTGAGTCCGACATGTAGAGCAATGTCCTTTTCGTCGTAATGACTAAAATTGAGTAGAAACGGGGCCGCTGGCATGATTCTGTCTAAATCGAGGGTGTCACTCGCGACTTCTTGGGTGTCCACGTCATTCGACCCCCACTGGTAGAGGATGTCGTCCCTGCTCGTCATCAAGAAAAAATCTGAAGGGTCAAAAAAAGCCGAATCCCCTTTGGTTTGGGAAACATTGTCAGATTCGGATTTCGATCTTGGCTTTGAAGATCTTTTTATCGGTGGGCGTTGGGTTGGGACTGTTTTTGTGATTTGTTGTGGAGCTGGTAATCCTGCTGTTGGGTTTGTGGAGTAAATTGCGACCGAAGTGTGACCTTCTTTTCCTCCGTTGGCACCGTCAAAAACGTCCACGACCAAGACTTCATTGGATCCCTTTGGACTGTCGAGATGAACTGCGATATCCGGTCGGGCACGTAGTTTGGGAGGTGAAGTCCTCTCGTGATCGAGGTGGCGTGGGCGAGAATGTGCGTGGGGATGATGTCGTCGAAATTTTGGGCGATATGAATTGAGGGGAGAATGTTTGCGATCTGCCATTATAGATCAATTACTACTGTTATTCGGGTTGCGAAATTTCGTCCCATTTCGGTTGAGAATTCTTATTTGGTTGGACATACTGGGTGAAATAAGCCAAAAATAGTGTCTGATTGCAGGATTCTTCAATCACTAACGGCTACGCCGGTGTTTCTGGGTTCGGCCGTAACTCGGAAAAAATGGAAAATTTCATTTTTTGAAAAGCTGGATATTATAATATCCAGCCTTGTGTATCCATGTGTCTGTCTGTCCGTCTGTTCATAAATTGCACAGATTCTTACGTAAACTGCTTGTGCGTTACAATTTTACTACCGTAGTTCTACGTTAGTACTACGTAATTTCTAAATTAAATAATAAATTAAAATACACAATAAAAACAGTGCAGGCAGACTCCATATAGCCAAGTCAGGGACAGGGTCCTTCGAGTTAGAGCTCTAAATTTTTCTCTGAATTGACCGACATAATATTACCGAACTCCTTGTTTTGGATAATTAAATGTTTGTTAGATTTTCTATTACTTGGCATAAAAACCTTTTGAACTTCCAAAGCTGGGTGTGCTATGGAGAAGTTGTTTTTATCCCCCATACCAAATTTCAGATGGAAACAACTTTTCAAAACGATATGGGTCAGCCTCCAGGGTCACTCTGGTTGCACTTCGCTCACCTTTAACTTCATATTCATTCATTTAATTATCACCATGCCGGATTTCATGTTTTTAAAGCAATTTCTAAAAATCTGGATGGTTCACCCGTCACCCCATAGAGTCGCTCCAGATAAAATTTTTACCAATTTCATTCCATATTCTTCCATTAAGACACGTAAGCAACATTTCAGCTCGATATGACGATTTTGAAAAATCAGTATTCCAATGCTAAATATTCAATCTACATTGGGCATGATTGGTCAAGTGGTTGGTCGGTGGGGGTCATTTAACAATAACATTTAACGATAACGCCAGCGGTCTCGCTCCGATTTTGACGAAACCACTAAAATTATGTAGCATTAGATAAATCATTAAACACGTGTCAAGGATTTTTCATAATGCTCAGTTTAAACGAAATTATGACGGGATCCGTGAGCGAGAATTTTCATTTTTACTAGTACCGTGAAATTTTTCTCGCGAGGAAGGAAAGTACAGATTCTCAGATTCCATCATAATTTTGTTTAAGCTTAAAATTCGTGGGCGTGACGTAGTTTTTTCCCTCGCACATATTTTTAAATTATGATAAATTTTTAAAATTTTTAAAAATGTAACAAACCAGAAATTTTTGAAAAATTAAAAGTTTCTGAAAAGTTGAGCTTTATTTTTGCACAATGTAATTGTGTGCAAAAAGGTTCTTTCACTTTTGAAGTCGGGTCAAAATTGTAAAAATTTGCAGCATTAAAAAAAATCTTGACTTTGGCTGATTTTGGTACAACTGAAGACTTCCGCTAATTTCCTTGTATGAACAATTTAAAATTGGTCCGGTCAAAATCGGAAAAAACCACTTCATGCCCACGCATTTTAAGTTTAAGCGAAATTCTGATGGAATCCGTAAGCGAGAATCTGTATTTATCTCCCTCGCGAGAAAAATGTCACGAAAAAATGGAAATTCTCGCTCACGGCCTGAAACTGAAGCCCATACAAATTTTGGTAAAAATGTTAACACGTTGTATGGCACGCCTCGAAACTCGAAAGAATAAATTATTCTGAATAATAAATATAAATGTGTACGTAAAAATATTTTTATGCAAAATAGAGTAATTAGTCATCAATTAAAAATAGGACAATAATTTAATAAAATTTTCGTCGAGAGTAAATGGTCCAATTCATCCTCAGAATAATCAGAATACAATAAAATATGTAGTGCATTTGGTATCGAATTTATCGTTAACTACTACTCCCCTGACTCGGGCTTCATGGTCAGTGATTGGCAAAATCCACCAAATTAGCAAATAATTAAAAATTTATTCGTTGACTGAGTTACGGCCGCACCCTAAGAGGAAACGAATTGATTCATCCTGGTCTGATTGTAAATTGTGAATTTTATTCGTTCGAAAATTGATCGAAATCCAGGGGAACAAAAATTAGAATTACAGACTCGACAAGTTTGGATTATAATTTTCAAAAGCATAAATTAGAACTTTGAGTCACGGTGAGTTATCTGACGAGATGACAGAAATATGGAAATACGTATTGTATTACTATGTATGCTAATTTATGTCAGTAGTGTCAGCTTTTAATTTTATAAACTAGCGAATATTATGCAGAGCAGAAGAGTTTTATAATAAAATTAAAATCAGCCAGAACTAGAAACACTGCTCATTTGTGTATTTATTGACAATTAATAACAAAATAACATATTCTCTGTATAACCTAATCCATTCACACAATACAACTCGAGATTATTATTGAATACGAAATACTCACAGGATTACACTTTAACAGTTATCAAATAAAACCAGAACATAGCTTGTGACTAGTTAATAATTTGCAGAGAAAGACTGGTTTCATATATCTGTCTGTAAAATTTTGCAACATGAAATTGATATAGAAAATTCATCTTTATAAAATATTGCCTAAGGGAGCCTCACTGGGTTTAAAACCTAACATTTATAATAAAGATAATAAGAAAATCACTGACTTGTGCATATTAAGTCTGCATTGTGGGTTTTATAAATGCACGCAGCTTGCATTATTTTAACTCGAAAGAAATCAATTTACGTAACTTATGGTTTTGATTTAGGCTCCAGTACTGTAGGTTTTTGCACAGACTTGTGTATGGTCTTCAAAAAATGACTGAAATCCGTCTTCTTCAACGCATTTCCAAGAGCGGTGGGCTATAATTATTTAAATCCTAAAATTAGGATATAATTTCATTTTAAACCTTGTTCACAAAAATGTACATACCAAAACAAGTGGCTTATTTTTGTTTTTTGGTTGGTCAGGACAAGTCGAAAGTTTCATAGCGGATTCAGATGAGACGCTATTATTAGTGCTTCGGGTTGGTAGTTGCCCATCATTCAAATTTGAGGGAATGGACGATAAAAGTAACCTCTTCTCATCCGACGCTACTAAACACTTCCTTGTATCATTGACACTGAAGTTAATGACTTTCTTTAGACGAGTGCGAGATGAATGGTCTGCTCCAAACTCTCTTGGTGTATTTTCGTTATTATTCCCAGCTTCACCTCTGGTGGAGTTGGTCGTAGGTGTCACTTCTGGTACTACTATCGGACTAACTGGTACTACTTCAGGTTGAGGGGTGTGCACTACCACTTGTGGAAGTGGTGAACCATCCTTTGACAAATCTTCTACGAATCCTTTACTCCGTATCGGTTTCGGGACAGGAGCAGCGACCGGTGATATTTTCCGTGGAACATTTTTTGGAATTTGAAATTGGACGGGAGCATCTCTGCGGGTAAAATTCAACGGAATCGGAGCAGCAGAGGCGATCGGTTTGCATGACAAAGTTCCCATAGTCCTATTTAAACCATTTCATTTTCAGAAAAATGCAATTTCTGATATTAATTATGTAAGTACTCACGGATTGCCAACGATGACCATAGGACTCCTCCTGTTAATTGAAACATGGGAAGGAACTTGAGCCACTTCCTTTGGCTTGATTACTGTCGTCGTCGACATAGAAAGAAGCACTTTGGCAGCCATTCGGTGAGGAGGAATGGGCGGCGACAAGTCCAACGTCGCCTCAACAGCACCTCGGCCTGTTGGTTTTAAAACATCACCGCTACCACCAGAAGAATCTTGGTTCAATGTCGTCGTCGTGGTTATCGCTCTGAGCATTATGGCCCCCTGACTTCGTTCGTCAAAGAAGATAGATTTTCCTGGAGTTGGTGGGGGCCCTAGTTTGAAGGGCGTATTAAGCCCGCTGTTGCTCCCATCATCCCCACACCGAAACAAGGTATTATGATGATCACTCGTTGATCGGAAAATCCCAAAGTTGGAGTTTGAATTCGAATTCGTTTCTATGTCATGGGGTATATAACGTGGTGTTGGGGGAAGGCCAAGAAAGGGCGAAGTGATCTGCGCCTGGCCAACAGTCTTCAACGGAGTGATCAACGCGGAAAATTGAGATCGAGAATCCAAGTCTGTGGGATCCAGACTATTTTTTACCGGCGTCGGGTCTGGAAACCCGATTGGGGCTGGCATTATTTGAAACGGATGCAGTGATGGATCCTTCACGGGAGTTGCCTGAACTATGTTCATCGTATGGATGGTCATCACATCGGATGTCAATCTCATTCCGCCATCTAAACCTTGATTGGCAATTTTTGAGGGACTGTTACTACTGCTTGCGGTGGGGAGCGACATGTCCACAGGTTCAAGATTGGAATTGGTTAAGGTGGTTTCCTTTGCTGTAGCTATTGTAGAAGGAGGAAGGGTAGGGGGAGATTTGATTCTTTCAGTTTGGGATGCGCACGAACTGTGCGATTTCCTGGGTAGATCTTTTTTCTTCTTCGGACTGAGACTAGGTCTACCCAAGGGTACGGCTGAGTCGGCCACCGTTTTGGCAGCTATGACATCTACAGCACGCGACTTACGGGTACAAGCAACAGGATTGGAGGGCGACTTTGATTTACGAGTTGGTTTCAATGCAACGAGAGCTTTTGGGGTTACTTCTTGGGACTTGCGACTCTTCATGGGAGAAGGTTTAACAGTCGTTTGTTGTTTCTCCTTTTGAGACACTCGTGGCGAACGTCGACACACAGGTGAGAGTACTTTGGACCGAGTTGGACTACCAATATTCCCAGCGATTGATTTTTTTCTAGCAACAGAACCCTGCTTCCTCTTTACATTACGTCTGACTTCTTCTTCTGGGGAAGAAGAGGAAGATTGTTCGGATCCAAACAGTTGAGAAACTAGTTCCCGATTGTAGTTGCTACTATTGTTCATTTTTTTCTTACCCTGGACCTTCGCCTTCTTGTTCTTACTTTGTTTCTGTTTATCGTCCTTCTTGTCTAATATTGAGCTCGTCGACTGTTTAGCCACCTTCTTGGACTTGGAGATTTTTAACGGTGAGGTCAATGTTTCCAATAATGTCGCAGGTTCCTTTGTTGTGCTAACTTCCACCTCCACTGCAGGTGTGGGTGGATTTTCAAGAATTTGAAATTCCTGAGGTGGGGATGATACTGGGACAGGTGGTGTAATCAAAGCGGTAGTGCCTGCTTGTGATGGAATTGCGGTTACTTGGCATTCATCATCGTCGTCATTACACTCTCCTTCCTCCAAGCTCCTTTCAGAATCTAACATGGTCATATCATTTCCTGAGATTGAGTGCACCTTAAGGCCGGATTCTGGAGGTTCTGGGGGTGGGTTATCTTCAACTTCGTTACTTAATATTTCTCGTGAAGACTCAAAGCTGGATTCTGAGCGTTCTTCTGATATATCGAACAGGCTTGGATCTACACCACGTGAGACACTTTGTTTGGACACGTTCAGATGTTCAGGGCTTACAATTTTCTTGGCCGACTCCATCATGTTTTTGCTAAGTTGCATCGAGCCAAAGTTTCTGTCAGGAAAAGCTGAACTTTTGTACAAATCCTCTTCATTCCACTGAAGGCGCTTTTTGAATGACTGTCCATGGGGAGATGTGCCCGTGGATTTTCGTTTAAGCGGAAGCGAATGAGAAACACCATGCACATTATTTTGAGTCCTGTTCACCGAGGTTGAGTCGGGAGTGGCAACGTTGTGGGGTATCGGTAAGGGATTTGCATGCAACGTTTGGTGGTCATCTTTAGTACTGGGTGGCGGAGTGTTGAAAAAGAGACTTCTCACGTGTTTTTTTCTGGGAGTGCTGAAACTTTTCCTGTACAAACTTGAGTGGGTAGTTGTTGCTAAGATTTTCTGAGCAGATGAAACCAGACCGAGGAATCGTGGACTACGTTTCTTACTGGTTGTATCAGACGTTGATGAAGGGGCCGCTGGCGTGGTGGTACACAAATCGGCTAAAATCGGAGTGACTTCTGCTCCACTGTTGTTCACTGTTATCTGTGCGTTGTTATCCCCTCTCTCATCATTGGAACTAGCGGTACTAGGTTTGTCAATCGGGGTCTGATAAGCAGATTTACTAGGTGATTTAGCCGGCGAGATAGGTTCTGTGATCAATGCGGGTGGTGGCGGAGGAAGTGTTTCTACTCTTGGTATAATTGATCGTCTTCCCAACCTCTCCCAATCAGATACTTTTGGAAAATTGCAAACCACGGTGTATGGACGTCCAGTTATTGGATGAACAACCTTCTCGGCAATTGGCGACTCTCCAAGCTGAAAGACGGGATTTGGCCTTGGGGTTCCAAGCGGTGCTGGTTTTGGCACAATTCGCTTCATAGGCACAGGAGTAGCAGAATGATTGCTGTTGGTGGTGGATTTTGTTATCGAATTTAGATTTGGAGGCTGAGTTCGCCGTGGAGTCACCAGAGTGGTGGATGGCGTCGTCGATGATTCCTTATTTAAGTTCTGCACAAAGTTTACAAACTGATAAATAAAGACCAATATTTATATTATATTAAGCAAAGAGCTTTAGTACACACCTTTGTCGTAGAGAGTGAATTACTATTCATAGGCTCCTGAGTATTATTTGTAGCACAGTTTTTGGGCGGACTTGGGGCAACATCATCATTTAATAAATTAGAGAGGCCTAAATCGTCATTTCTCTGTAACATTGTCGATAAAGAGCAGGAATCATCATCTCGTAATAAGTCAAACATGAACTTATCAATTTCAGATTCTCCAACTTTTTGCAGAGCGTCATCTTCTGCGACACAAAAAATATTATTAATTACAATAGATAATATATTGCAATTAGTTTCACTCTGCAGTGTCCGTATAGACAAGTGCTAAAACTTACTTGATGAGACTGAATCAGTCAAATGTTCATTAATGACACTCGCCAATTTCTGCGGATCGGACATGAGAGAATTGTAAAACATTAGCGGCACTTCCGCTACTACAGGATCCTGCTCTTCTTCCTCTATAAATTCTTCGTCCTCAGTTTGCGTCGCAACAACTCTCGAACCCTTCCTCTCAGTGTTGACTCCAAAATCAATTTTTACAACCTGCGGAGCCGGCCCTTGGGCAACTGGTCTACTAATTATATCTCCCAACTGTTTGAGTTGCGTCACTAATGCGTCTTGTTGTCGCAACGGACTCCCTCCTGGATTTTGTCGTTGAATCATTTGGGGCACTGCAAATGTCATCAAAAACATTAATTTAAAATATATACGAGATTTGGAAATTGAGGTACTTACCGATTATCTTGGATTTGCCATAGTCGTTGAGTAAGTCGCTTAACGTTGGTATGGGCGTAGGACGTGCTATGAGCTTGAGATATGCGGCAGTGGATACGTTGGGAGGACGTTTAGGAACATTATATTTCATGGAGGGTATCTCCCTTATCATTGACATTACAGTTTCTTCCCATCCATGAGCAGCAAGGAACCCTGTAGAACATTATTAATAGAACATTATTATCCAAAAGTTTTGGACCAAAACCCTTCAGTCAAAATACAAATATGGCAAATAATAGAAAAACTCACGAACGACCAGGTTGGCCACATCCTGTGGTTGAAACGGGTCCATTTTTACTGTCGGACCGGAAATTCGAGGATTTCGAATGTTTGACCAGTTATCCAGCAGGAAACAGAAAATAAACAAAAAATCTAAAGGAAACCTAGCAGCGAGGGCTGGAAACCCCGCTTTCACTTTCCTCGTCTTTTTAAGAAACCTCTTTGTTCGTCATTTAGCCCCAACACATGCTAAGGATCAGTTACGCAATATTATGTAAATACACGATTTACTGATTGTCTGTATTTTATGCTCTGTCGGCTTCTAACTTTGTCAAGAATTTGGATGGTATGAATTGGGTGAAGAACGTTTGCGATCTGTCATCATAAATCAATTGATGTTATTTGACTTTGGCAAATTTTAATTTCTAAAAGATGCTACACCTTTAGAAGAAAATGCTTATTTGGATATGCATAAACCGTATAAAAAATGACAAAATAGTACCCGATAATAAATTATGAATTTTATTCGTTTGAAAATTGATCAAAATCCAGACTTGTTATTAATACAAGTCTAGATTGTATGTAGCATTTATTGTGCATGCAAATTATTTAAAAGAATAGAACTCCATTGTATGAGTTATTATTTCCTATGCATATTTTTTTGTTAATCTGTCATACATACTTTGAAGGCATTATAATTGTCGTAAGCATAAATATGAATGAGAACTTTGACATATCACATAAAACATTTTTTTACTCAACCACGTCAAAATGTAGAACATCCATCCGGTAAGTTAGAATACATACATTATTTTGCACTTTAGTCATTACTTTCTCATGTACTCGACTCGTATCCGTATTGTTCTCAATATTATCAAAATTTCATTTGAAAACATTATTTTCCCCATATTTACAGACGTGTCAGCGTCAGTAACGTTATTTCAATATTTCGTGTAGTTTTAGTTGGTGCAATTTGAACAGTTTGATTTCAAGGATTCAACTTAATATTTACATGCGGTAAACTGTTAAAAAGCACCTTCGTTTTTGCGTTATCTGTTCTGAGCAAATAATCGACATTAAATTAAATCTGAATGGGGTGAACTAAATATTGTGGATGTAACACCGAAATGAGAAACTAAACCAGAGCTTTGTGCATGCAGTTACTACAATAAAACAATTCAAGCAAGGGCCATAATAGAAATTTATAGTTGTAATACCGACAGCAAATTGCATAATAATTAAATTGAACGTATTAATAACTTCAAAACAAATAAAACCGAGTGCAACTTGATAAGAATTTCTATGCGAATTACGAATTACGAACTTTATCCAGAGTGTAGTTGGGAAGTTTGAGTGAAAATTTGCAACAAAATATTTTTATAAATTGATCAAGAGTCGATTGTCTCAAGTTTCTCATGAGTTTCTCATAATCTCATAGTCTCAAATTCCCCATCGTGTTTTCAGATGAGAGAAAAAATACCGAAGTGAGTGATAAAATAATAATTTTGAGACTGGACTTTAAAATATGAGAAAATGATCGTTATCGTTTTCTTGGCTGGATCAGTAGCAGTTTTTATGTTCATGAACTACGCTGTGGGCCAGCTTATCGATGAGGGTGTCATATCCTTAACAAACCAACAAGAAACGTCGAATAACAGTAGTGACGTGATTTGTGATAACTCTTTACGAGACGATACAATTATTCGAGTGCACAAGTTCCAGCGTGAGGAAATTATTTGATAATACATTTTTGGATAAGGTACATAAAGCAGGTTAGGATAAGTACATAAGAGTGCAAATATAATTTGCAAAAGGAGAAATTCGCCAACTTCACACTCCCATTACACGACTCAAGCGCCATCTCCGCCAAGTCCTATTCCCGTCACGAGCCAACTTCTAAATTCGGCTGAATTTTTCTCTTTCCAATTTCGGTAAGTATTTTGTTAATTTGTAACTTTTTTTGAAAAATATAAACAAGTATTTTCAAATTATTGAATTATCAGATATCTGAAATCTGCTGTTGTGAGTGTGACGAGGTAAATGAGATTTTTAATTTTTAATTTTCATAAACGCAGGCCGACATCGGGTGTGGTGGCTGAAGTAACTGGACAATTGTTCAAAATTTGGAGTAAAAATGTTGTCAAGACTTGTTCGACCGAGTGCCAGTATCATGGGTAAGTAGGTTATCATGATATTCGCTTTATCCTATGCTAGATTGATTTATTACAAAGCGATTGTCCAATTATCTGGGGTCTCATCTCAAGGACTTTTACAAACTTATGTTTTGATTTTCAAGTTGTATTTTGAAATTACATTTTTTCACATAATATTTTTAGGGCAATTGAGCTCCTTGAATGGCGTGGCGCAACAAACTCCACAAATTAACACAGCCCTCCTTGCGAGATGCGTCTTCACGTCAAAGTCCTTGGAGATGCCGTACAAGGAAGGGCCTGAGCGTGACCTTGTCAACTTCCCCCGTCCCAAGCGTGCCATGTATGCAGGAAAGGTCCGATTCGGATTTGTTCCTGACGAATGGTTCACCGCTTTCTATAACAAGGTAAGTCTCGTACTGCTGTTCATGATAATATGCTTTTGACGACCTGTGAATAATGAATTAATGTAATTACAGACGGGAGTCACCGGACCGTACGCTTTCGGAGTAGGATTACTCACATACGTGCTCAGGTATATTAATTTAACTACTTCTTCGGCATTTGGACAATGGATTAATTTCATGTTTGTTTCGATTTGTTTCTTATCTTTTAATATTTTCAGCAAGGAAATTTGGGTCCTCGAGCACGAGTTTTGGGGTGGTGTATCATTTTTCATTATGATTATCTACGGAGTCAAAAAATTTGGACCGCAAGTGTCTGCTTACCTAGACAAAGAGCAGCAGGTACATAAAAAAGTGTCTTTAAAATGCATGTATTCTTAAATCATAACTAATTGAATATTGTTAATAGGCCCATATGGACGAAATGAACTCTGGCAGGGACAACGAGATCAAGGCCTTGAAGCAGGGGATCGAGGAAGAAAAGAAATCACAAGCCGCGGCAGAAGCGTCCAAAGTTTTATTTGACGTTAAGCGTGAGAACATCTCCCTTCAACTTGAGGCCGCGTATAGAGAGCGGATGATGAATGTCTTTAGTGAAGTCAAGAAACGCCTCGATTACCAAGTGGAGAAGCAAAATGTATGCATAAGCAAATCTTAGTCAATAGATAATTCTTATCGGCATTGTTGCTATTATTATTATTATTTATTATTCCAGGTCGAGAGGGGAATTCAACAAAAGCATATGGTCAATTGGATCATCGATAATGTAAAGAAGGCCGTTTCTGCAGAGTCGGAGCAGGAAAATCTTAAAAAATGTATCGCTGATTTGAAAGGTCTTGCTGCCAAGTAGTACGCCCGTCTATTCAAAGTTTCGTGACACCTATAATCTAGTAGAAAGATTAATTATTTAATAATGTTAATGTAAAAACACAACGTAATAATAATTCGGAAAACGTAGTTGATATCCAATCTCGAATAAATTTGAAATGATAGGCAGTACTTGAATTGAAATCACATTTATATTTATTTTTCATAATAATCACCCATCAATTGATAATGATTTTAATATTTTAACTCACTCAAGCGTGAAAAATAGCAATTAAGAATAATTAGTAAAGAGTTATTGGGAACCTAAGAAATTTAGACAAAAATTATTTATATTATGTTGGGTGCAATCCTAATTTTCTTTCCTTGATAGGAATAGTATACAAAAATTTAATACCTAATTAACATCTTAACCCTTAACTTGATAAGAATAATAATCATAATTCCCTCAACGAAGGAATGATTAGAGTACCTTGGTTAATTTGACCTCCTGTAAAAGTACAAGTATCCCAAATCTTTTGGTAAATTCTCGGATGCAGCTACACGATTGTCGTTGAATAAGACCCAGCAATTATCCTTCCAAATGTGAGCCACGTAGTGACCCACCATGGACGAGGGACCCATGTGTGAGACGAATCCAATCAATTTGTATTCTGCAAGAAAAAAATGAATCCATTCAACGTGAATCAAGTTAATAGTTTAATTGAAATATAATGTCATATGTCATCGACATACTTGGAGGTCCGTCTGTGAACTCGGTACTTTTATTGTCCTCCACTACTCCCTCCATTGCTGCCGCACAGTTGGAATTATCCCCCTGTTCTGGAATATTGTTAATCTCCTCCATATGAGAAAATATCCAATCCACGGCTCGTTCTACATTATTGTCCGTATTTTGTAAGGCTAATTTTGCTTGTGGGGCAGTGAATCCCATCCCTTGAATGGCAAGAACTGCTTCTTCATTCGCCACAAACTTTTTCGTATCCGTTCTCCCTTTAATCTTGACTGGAGAATTTAAATCTGGATCATCCATCTAAATAAATAATTTATCAAATTGATAAGCAAAGCAGAGCTCCACGCCGATGTCAATACCGTAGTACAACTAATAATAAATAATAAATCATACGTGCTGCATGATCCAGTTCATTGCGCTCTCAGCCCCAGTATTTCCAGATGAGATGACGGCTCGGACGCATGCATTTGCATGGAATCCCATATCGATAAGTTGGCCAACTACGGCTTCGTCTATAGCTACCACGGGTGGCTGGTGATCGGGTTCAGTATCAGGAGGAAATTCAGCCTCGTCGGGTTGTAATCCTTTAGCCTTGAGAGCAGAAAGGTCCAACTCGAGGGGCATATCAACAGAAACATCGAGTTTCTTTGGTGTCCAATCCTGACCCATGCAAAATTTCTTCAATTGGATAACCAAGTAATCGGGGAAAGTGGCAAGTCGAGTGGACCTAAATGAAATTAATTTTTAGTGTGAATGGGATGCATTATTCATTTATTATTTTGCTTTAAGCCCCAGTCTTACTTGCTTGCGGTTCCAACTCGCTTGCTTGCACAACTATAAAATGAATCCAAAGTTTCAAGATTAACAAATGCTTCCAAACAAGCGTCTACTGGAATCGTCAATCGCACTGTTTCTTCGGGAGACCTATATTAATTGCAAAAAAAGTGAATCGGAGCTAATTTTATGCATATATATTTCGCATTGATTACAAAGAAGACTTCTCCTTACAATGTCGTCTTTTGTGCCAAAGCTTCAGCCTTCTTCTTTTCATACTGGGCAAATTCCTCCTTATTAGTTGCGCAGTCAATCGGGATGGATAGCGGCAGGCAGTACTCGGCACGATGAGAATACCGAACACATTTGGTCTCGTTGCATTGAACTTTATCCTCAACTTGAAATTTGAAACAGTTTGAAGGATTTGGCTCGCTACGACTGCATTTCTCCAGAGTGTTGATTATATGAAGGAAGAATTCTTGAACATCTTGCTGCTTCTTGGTCGAAAACTCTGGATGTCCTTTTCCAACCAGTGCTTTAAAGGTGTAGGGTGAAATTCCTAATTGAGCATCAGAGTTATCGTCGTCATCAACCTTCTTAGAATATTTTCCAGACAATAGACCAAGGCATAATTTGGACCTGGTAAAAGACAGTTCACTATTGTTAAAAGAATATCTGTTTGAAACTCAAAATAATTACTGTTAAACTTACATTTGAACATTAAAGTCGTTGATGGGATCATTAGTTGACTCAAAGTACTTTTCTGCATTCTTGGAAAACCTCTCTTGAAACTCAGGAATATTAAATAGAGCCTGTAGAAGAGAATTCATATAGCACGAATTTCCCAAATTGGTTATTCCAGTAATTCCAGGCCCTCTCATTGGTTTCAACGCTTTTCCTGATTCTGTGAGTGCATTTATTTCACCGATATGTTTCATATTCAAATCAATCTCCATCTCTGCCATAGATTTTTCAGTCTAACAAGAATAATTATAATTAATTTTAATATCCATCCAAAAATTCATTCTGTGTCCTCGTTAAAATTTTACCTTTTCCATCACGGCAACATTAATTCCAAAATGTGCAAGATGTTGGACCAATTTAGTGTCGATTACCATATCATCTTCATCATAAGAGTATACGTCAGCATTACCGTCTGGAGTTATGGTGCCCAGCTTGACAGCAAGAGGATATTCTATACAACATAACACTCAAATTAAGTTATATAGTTTCATTCAGGAAATTAGCTCAGACATAATCTCCGCACAATCTCGCGCCTTCCCGCAATAAATAACTACACTTACTAACTGATGCATAATGTTCGAGTGCATGATTATTTCCTCCACTTCCGTCAAACATTTTACGCCCACAAAGAATAGAACCGTCGGTAAGATTCAACCACAGATTTTCCACTTTATCGCAGCCCTCGTGTTCGCATTTCCATCCTTTGGGGGGAACTTTTTTCTCATTGTTAAGTTGTTGCAGGTCATTAGAATGTCTGTCAATAGTTCAGAATTGTATTTAATGTTTTCAAATAATACTAAATATTTCAAAATTGTATTCCTTTATATTGCATACTTTGACGTGGCTCTAACTTCGCCATCCCAAGTATTGGACATAGCTTCCAGTTCAGCAGATCGCCTAGCAGACTCTGCCGAAATGATGCCAGCAACAACTCCCAAAATCTTAAATCAAATAAAATATTGTTAACATTCGTTAAAAAAATGAAAGGTTGTAGCAACAATGTACCTTTTCGTGAAGATTACTATTAGGCAAGGGGATAACATGATGGCCAGGAAAGACGACGACCGAATTAATTTCTTCGATCTCATACTCCACGCCATTGGCAGTTGGGTCGAAACCACCCTCAATCCCAATTGCCAATCTGGTAACCACTTTTGCCGTCTCTGTAGTAGCATCTGGTGCACCGACAGGTTTCTCCTTCTACGCAATTGCACATAATATTATGACTTAATTTAAATTTAATACACACACCAAACCATCTACAAAAAAAATCCTTTACAAGAATTTAGTTTTTAAAAAATAATCTCAGTCACCTTATGTTTGATACGCCGAACATGAAGAAACACACTGTTTCCCGTTTTCGCCACATATTTGTCTACATAATCCTTCCCCAGACCCCAGAACGTTTTGAGACAAACATAAAGGCCGGTTTCTGTTTCCTATGAATTAATTAAAGACACGTTATATTATTATATTTCGATTGTATTATAATCTTTCTCCATTCGCATATCTTACCGGTGTGTCGAAACAATACATACACTCATCCTTGTAAACCCGGGTAGTGGGCTGCGGTGGATTCAGATGAGGTACTGCTGCGAGGAGCACTTTTTCAATTTCTGGATTTAGGGTCATTTCAACTTCCTTCATACGCTTCGGGCGTGGTTCTGTCGTCTCCTCCTCCAGTTTATGATTTTATTTGATCCGTGTGGGTTGTAATGTTGTTCAGAAGGTCTGTCTGGCCTTGTATCTATTTTTAAAAAAATAATAATTAGGGTAATGATCCTAATAAGTTCACTCTGTTAGATGACAGGACAGGACGCATTTTACAGGGTTGCTGGGATAAAACAAAATGTTGGAAATTTCTAAATGCCTAAAAACTTTAACCTAACCACACAACTATAAATAAATATGCCCGTCACGTCCCTAACTTAATATCTAACTTCACATACCTTACCTTGATTATTCCCTTGTATCTTAAAGTCAGCAACAGATAAGCAGCACAGTAATACCACCAACGTAAAAAAACAGTCGGCTTTTTCTTATCAACACGCTACCTTCTTGTTTGATACGATGAACTCTGTCGTCTAGGACAATTTACTTTACTCTCAAGCTAAATCCAACCTATTATTCAAATAGAATTGCTTATCATACATTACCTTATCTTTCAAACAATTAAAATTATATTAAATTACCTGAGATTAGCCGTAAAACCAACCGACATATGAAATCAATGATGACTCTGGATAAATGAAGCAGCAAATTCGTTTGCCACCATCAACATCAACTACGAATCATCACATGCACGGATTTCATATCCTCGGCGGGACTGGAGCCGAAAATCAGTCGAAAAAAATTATCCGTTTGTTTAGAGTCACGTTTTACTTACTTACGTACATTTTTTAACGATTCGAATTATTATTGTGTTTATTTTAACTAATTTAACAAATTTCTGTACGTATGAAACTCTCGATAAAGTTTGTAAAAGACTTTGACTAATTGTGTGCCTAATTTATTTATTTGTTGATGCAGGAAGGCACTTGTTGACTGACACTAATTATGCAACTACATTGACAAATATCCTACATAAATAACAAATTATCATGAATACACGAAGTAAAAAGAGAAAACAATCCTTCTCTGGACCAGACGCTGGAATTCCAATAGAAGCGAACAAACAAAAGGGAAATGCAGCTGTAAAGAACACAAGCGTTGAGTCTGTTGAACCCCCAAGATCGAAGAAAAGGCATGCCGTTAATAATAGCTTTGTTCCCCCTGCGGCGGAAAATGCTATCGGTGCACCAAAAGCGCCTAGTTCGGCTGGACGTAAAAAACCAAAGACACGAGCAGTTCGGAACAAAAATGCGAAGGAGAATGCAGATAAGAGCAAGAAGAAGAAAAAGGCAAAGTTTAAGGTTGCTTTTACAAATCGTAAAGATGCCAAGAGGTTATCAAGTAGTGGGAATAATGAATTATGTCTCGCGAAAGAAGAGCTATCTTGTATGTCGGAAGAGGAAAAGTTGTTATTGACGTCGTGGGGACTTCCTCCGTCTGTCGTGCATGTGAGTTACATGCATTCCACATATTAGTAATCTTGGCCCTCATTTGAATGAAATCTAATTTTTGTTTTGTTTTTGTTCTTGATAGAAATATGGTTCCAAAGGTGTGACTTCCCTTTTCCCATGGCAGTTGGAATGTCTCGCAAACGCGGAGGTTTTAGGGGGCAAAAATTTACTGTATTCGGCACCGACATCGGCAGGAAAAACTCTAGTTGCAGAAATTTTAATGATCAAGAGGGTTTTGGAATTGGGGAAAAAGGCAATAATGATTTTACCATTTGTTTCCGTCTGTCGTGAGAAAATGTATGGTTTGCAAGAGATTTTTGGCGATGCTGGGATCCGCGTGGAAGGCTTTATGGGAAGTTATGCACCACCAGGTGGGTTAAATATATATTATTTTAGTAGATTAATTAGTATATTAATATAGTTGAATATTAATATATTCATATTAATATATATATATACAGGAGGATTTAAAGCCGTTGACATTGCAATATGTACGATTGAAAAAGCAAATAGTTTGATAAATCGGTACGTGCAAAACAATTATGGCATCTATTGAGGAAAGTATAATAATTAGGTCATCTTTTCATATGTATTACATCTTTTCTTACTTTGCTTTCTGGCAGACTCTTGGAGGAAAATTCTCTACACCAGTTGGGAACTATTGTTGTGGATGAATTGCACCTAATCGGAGATCCTCATCGAGGATACTTATTAGAACTTCTACTTACTAAAATTCAGTACATGACAAAATATCGGAAACAATCGACAGATGACTCAATCGTTAGTGCAGACGGAGAAGGAAACGAGGATGCGAAAAAACTCAATATTCAAGTTGGTCAACTCAATATCCTTTAACTTGTCCTATTCATTCATAAAAAACTAATCTTCAAATAATTAGATTATTGGAATGTCTGCTACATTACCTAATCTTGAGTTGCTGTCATCTTGGATTGATGCTGAATTGGTGGTCTCAAATTATCGTCCTGTTCCTCTCGAGGAAAGGATTTGTTTCAACGGAAAAATATTTGATCAACTTCAAAACCTTGTGCGTGACGTGAAACTGCCTACTCTCCCCATCGAATTTCAAGTAATTAATAAATCAGTTTGCATATAATACAACTTATTAAAAATACAATGGTGATAAATTTACTACCTATGTACGTGTAGGCGGATAGCGATAACCTCGTCTATCTTAGTTTAGAAACCGTACTGAATGGACACTCAGTCCTTATCTTTTGCCCAACCAAGGCCAAATGCGAACATGTTGCGGAACAAATTGCTAGAGAATTTTATAAAATTGGAAACATGAGCGAATCCAATCCTCTACATCTTCTGCAAATTAGACAGCAACTTAGGGACCAGCTAAATTCGAATAAGATACGAGAAGTTCTCACGCAACTTGAAAATTGCCCTGGTGGTCTTGAAGCAGTTTTAAAGAAAACTGTGTCGTTCGGGGTTGCATTTCATCACGCAGGTAAGATATTGGTACTTATTAGTAAGTGCCTTGGTTTTTTAATTTCTAATCATTCAGGACTGACGTACGATGAGCGTGACATTATAGAAGCATCTTTCAAACGATCCGTGATTCGTGTCATTGTTGCAACGTCAACGTTATCTGCGGGTGTCAATCTTCCAGCTCGTCGTGTCATCGTTAGTTCACCTATGACATACAGGACTCCTTTGGACGTGATGACATATCGCCAAATGTGTGGTCGTGCTGGGAGAAAGGGTGTCGATACGGAAGGTAGTATTTCTTCACAAGTTCGAAAAACATTAATAAGGCAGCGAAAATTAAGTTCTATTCGTCATTTAGTACAAGAACTGCTCATTGCAGTAAGACTACATATTTTGTACCATTTAGTGACAGAAAAATATTATATAAACTTCCAGGCGAGAGTATTCTAATTTGCACCGATGCAACGAAAGATGCCGGTCTTAAACTTGTCCAGTCTTCCCTTCCATTCGTCAAAAGTGCATTGTTGGGAGACGAAGGAGCTCTGACATCCTCAATGAAAAGAGCACTGCTTGAAGTCATTGCGAGTGGAATTGCAACGCGACCTGAAGATGTTGACAAATACTCAAAATGCAGCTTGTTATCAAAGTCAATCGAGACTGGACTATATGAGGATAGCGGTAAGGGATTAATAGCTTAAATATTAATTGCTGCTGTGTATAAAATAGTAAATATTAACTTGGTCATAGATACTCTTCCAACTTCTCAAGAAGACAAAAATAAAACGATTAAAGAATGTCTCAAATTTCTTCAAGACAACGATTTTGTTAAATTACTCACCTACGAAGATGCAAAACCCGATGAATACATGACCACACAGCTTGGATCGGCTTGTCTTGCTTCGTCCTTGTCTCCAGATGATGGGATCGCAGTGTACAAAGAACTTGAAAAGGCCAGGAAATGTTTCGTTTTAGAAAGTGAACTTCATATCGTATATCAGGTATGTATAATCAATTGTTTTTTATAGTTTAATTTAATCGTTAAATTATATATATACATATTTCAACTCAGGTCACCCCCCTCTATGTGTCTGACCAATTTCGCAACCTTCCATGGCTAGATTATCTAAACATATACAACGGCTTAAGCCCAGGTGATAAAAAGGTGGCCGACCTCGTCGGAATTGAAGAGGCTTTCATTATGCGAGCAATGATTGGCACCGTGTCGGCACAAAATCTAAAACAGGCAAGTTTTTTGTTTGTTTAATCTCGGAAGAGGAAGAAGCAGCATTTAACATAAGTTATTTGTCTGACTGCAGAAGGACAAGTTCATGATACATCAGCGATTTTTTGCAGCCCTAGCTCTGAATGATTTGGTGAATGAAACGCCAATATCTACGGTTGCAGAGACATATACCTTGAACAAAGGGGTTATTCAAAATTTGCAACAGGCCGCATCCACATTTGCAGGTATGTGATTTAAAATTATGACTACATTCGGCAAAAACTAAAATAGGTAATTGTTTTTCTTTAGGAATGGTTACAGCTTTTTGCGACCGCCTCGAATGGAAAAATATAGAGCTTCTATTAAGTCAATTTCAAGACCGTTTGCAGTTTGGAGTTCAACGTGAATTATGCGATTTGGTTCGTCTTTCTACCATGAATGCACAAAGAGCTAGAATTTTGTATAATAATGGTATTAAAACTGTCGCCGACCTTGCTGCATCCGACCCTGCTATCGTGGAAAACATTTTGCATCATGCAATTCCTTTTCAAAGGTATTGTATTATTATTGAAATAATAACCAATTCAATTGATCAATTTAATTGTATTGGATTCATTAACTCAACAGTGCTGTTCACGGCGCGAGCGAGGGAACTCCACAACGCCACATTTGGATACTTGGTAAAAATGATGGGCTCAGCGAGAGTGAAGCCTCCCAGAAAATCGTGGAAGAAGCCCGTGTGTTCCTTCAGGTTAGGTTGCTTGCAGCTCATACTGATCAAGCACGAGTGGCAAAACTGTCCATGTCGGGTCCATCGCCATTTAATTTTCCGACCTTCGATCGCGATATTTCTTTCGTAGCTGATAATAGAATTCGGTTGTAAAACAATAATGATCTCATTCAGTCCCAGATTACCTACTTTTCTACTAACTTAAAACGATATGAATTTGTCGTTTGTCCCAGATTTATGATTTTTTCCTGGTGCTATATTGTTATACATTTGTATTCACATTGTTAAGTTAACTAATTATTGTTGACTTTTCTTTTCTTCTGCAATAAAATCTTGACAATCTAAACGTTTGGTTGGGTGGTTATAACATGAAGGTCTCATTTTAGTTAAATGCTACAAATTCTTGTTAACAGTTTTTTTTGTAAGTTGAAATGCAAAAATATACTACTGAACACAAGGTACGTGAAACTATAAATTGAGATTTACTAAATGTTATAACCAACCAAGCCTCAAGCCTGTCAATTACAAATTTTTGTTTTGCTTGCTATTTAAATTAAATCTTTCTCCTGTATCAGTGGGCTTGGTTGGTTACTTTAATGCTAAATACTGCTGTTTTATTCATGTCTCAATTATATTAACATGTTACTGATAACCCGTGTTTATTCATTCTTTACAGATCGAATTGGGCCTTCCAACTTTCGAGTATGATCATGCAAAACCAAATGAAAAAGACGACTCAAAGCAAGATCTCCTCGATCAAAGTGAGTCATCTTCTGCAGAAGACTCTATCGTGGACGACAGAGAAGTGTTTCATCAAAAGATGATGGAGGCATCGAGATTATCTAGCCATCGAGGTCAAATGTCAAAAAGCACATCTTTAAGCAAAGAAAATAGTGGAAGAGAAAGTAGAGTCGCCATACCCAATAAAGTAGATAAGCACGTTTCCTTCAAGGAGGCTGATGCAGCAGTTGTCGATGACGATGTTTTTGATGATTCCTTCCCCAAATTGAGCTCGGAGGATTTATTTGATGGAATAGAGAATAAATACTTGGGCAAGAAAAACATCAACAACGACATCCAAGACAGACTCGGTCAATTCGTTGAGACATCAACGCATGTTGTAAAGTATAAGGAAAACCCAAACGTGACTCCCAAGTCGAATAATAAATTGAGACTAACTGATCCTGACAGACTGAGTATAGGTGACTCAAATAATCCCTTATTTCACTCAACACCAGGAAGAAACGGATTTGCGAACGTCTTTACAAAAAATCCTATTTCTTCAGCAGTCGCTTTAGATGCCGCAATCCGACAAGTTTCGCCAATTCTAAGACGGAACAAAATGTCTACATCAACTCCAAAAAATCAAACTACGGACATGATAGATGAACAAAATAACCATGATAATGATATTAATACAGGAATTCTAGCAGAATTCCGTCGCGATTTTGATTCTGTTGCTGAAAAGATGGAAATATCCCTTAATATTTCGGATATTGAGAATAAGGATAAAATTCACAAGTTGAATGATTCTGATCATGCTGCTATGCTGGCTATTGCGAACGATTCCAAGTTCTACTCTGAAGACATGTTTGCTGACGTAGAGGGACACAAATTGAGTGATGGAAATATCGAACAAAAGGAAATTTCTCTTAAACCAAACGTGGATGATGATGACGACGCAAATCAAATTGATGTCTACACAAAAGACATTCTTAATGAACTGGTCAATAAATCCATGGACTTTTCAGAGGCAGAAGAAGGTGTCAGAAATAAAGAAAACTTCACTCCAAATTCTAGTAAATGCAAAGGAGGAGGAGTAGAATCCGAACAAAATCAGATCTTACATTCTACTCCGACTAGAAAACTGACAAAATATTCAAACATTTTTGCAAAAAATCGACTTTCTTCCATTGCTTTTGAATCAAAACCTAGAACAAGAGATGATGTCAATGAGGTGGACAGCGATATCATAAAATCAAGATCTTCAGATCTGCAGATAAATTTGCAAGACGAAATCAACACGGATGTCATGGCCGAGTTTAACAAAGAGTTTGATTCCTTTGCAGAACAACGGATAGAAACATCGTTTATGGCACATGAATTGATTTTGCCTTTGCCCACACCTATAAAGCTAAGTGAGTCTGATACCGCTGCAATGCTGGCAATAGCAAATGATTCAAATTTTGATTCTCATTCTCAAGACATGTTCGCCGATCTTGAAGGCAACCCAGCAGAAAATCTTGTAAAAGTTGCAAATAGTAATCATGATGGAAAAAGACGATCCAACTCAATTCCTGAGAAATCTAGCTCCAGACAAAGCTCTACTACTAATATTACTACTGGAACTACTACTGGAATAGAAACATCAACAGAATGTGAAACTAGCAACAGTATTCTTGAAAATTCATCCGAATTCACGGAAAACTCTTCATGCATGACTTCAAAAAATGGATCATTAAGCGCACGAAATGCAGACCAAACTCCAACCCCAGTATGCAATGCGTCCGTTGGCGAACATGTATTAAAAGTGATCAAGATATTAACTCCTGAATTTATCCCTGACGAATGGTTTCAAACAGCTGAAGGGGGCGTGATAAGTGTCGGAATTAGGATCGAATTTCCCAAACGGGCCACTTCCATTGCGCAATGCGGAATTGGATCAAGAATTCTTGGTGGACAAAAAGGAGGCCTCAACAAGAATAATGAACTGGAACATTCAATCGTGCTTTACAATGGGGGACACACAATGTGGCTGTATAACTGGAGGACGACGATCACCTATAACCAACCCGAGAACGACGACGTGTCTCTCCACTCGTCCAACTACAAGAAAAGGAAGCTGGCAAAATTATTTCGACGGATGGAAGCTTTCTCTTGCTCCATAGTTTTATTTGATGCTAAGGATAAATTGAGACGACTTTTGCAACAAATCGGAAGAGACCTGTTGGCAGACATCCCCAAGAAAATACTTGACCCAAAAATTGCTCAGTGGATGCTACAATTTGACGATAGTGGATATGAAAACTTGGGCGTGGACAAGATGGCTGAGCTACATCTTAATCATGCAGACAAGCACATATTTAAATTGGGTTGGGCGAAGGAGCTTGAGGAAACCTTTGTTGCGTGGCAAATTATACAGAAGATGACCTTTCTACTGCAGGAACGTCAACTCTGGACACCTTTCATTGGTTCGTTAACTAGTCAAAATTAAAATTATTTAGTAAAATTTATATTTTGCCAATTAATCCTTGTTTATAATTTTTGCAGAGGTCGAAATGCCTTCAATAATTCCACTGCTTCTAATGGAGTGCAACGGATTTGGTCTGGATTCCCTAGAGTTGAACCGTATGAAGAGAGGTCTGGAGTATAAATGTGCCATATTGGAGATTAAAGCTTATCAATTGGCTGACAGACAGTTTAACTTGTCATCGCCACAAGACATTAAGAAGGTTAGTGCATTTAAATAGCTCCTGTTGAATGCATGGACATATTTCAATTCAATGACTTAATTTTTTGGTAAAGGTTTTGTTTCGAGAAATGGGCCTGAAACAACCTTCTGGTAGCAAAGGGACAGGGAAGGATGTCCTCTCCAAATTGGACCATGAGCTACCAAAGCTAATCTTGGAATGGAGAAAGATTACAAGTGCTCTGCAAAAAGTTGTGCTTCCCTTTCTTCAAGAAAAATCGTTAGAAACGAATCGAGTTCACGGATATTATTCCCATTTCACTGTCACGGGCCGTGTCGTAATGTCAGATCCTAGTTTGCAATGCATCCCTAAAGATTTTGACCTCGATCTAGACTTTTCTCCAGAAGAGATTGAAGATATTAAGGAAAATGGGAAAATCAAGTTTGGTTCCAAGTTAGCTTCACTTTTAAATCAGATGGAAAGTGCAAAAAATCTGGCTAGTCAATCCCAATATTTGCGATCTAGTCTTATCTCGATGCGAAATGTTTTCGTCCCATGTTCGAATGAATTTGTCTTAGTCTCTGCGGACTATTCTCAATTGGAATTGAGGATCTTGGCTCATTTAAGTCAAGACAAGGGATTATTGGAGACATTGAACAATTTGGAAGGTGACGTTTTCAAGTCGATTGCGTCAACGTGGAAAAAATTGCCACCCGATCAGGTACTTTATTCGAAAAGCTCTTGATTAATTAATGTCAATTAAATTCGTAAGTTAGGATTACATCAGTTGTTGTGCTTATCTCCAGATAACCAGTTCAATTCGTCAAGAAGCGAAAGGAATCGTTTACGGTGTGATTTATGGAATGGGAGTCAAAACATTGTCTGAACAACTGGAAGTGGATATAAGCGACGCATCTCGTTTTATTTCAGACTTTATGCGAACTTATCCCCAAATTCGTTCATTTTTAGACAACACGATTAAATCTTGTCGTGAAAACGGATTTATAGAAACTATTTCAGGAAGGCGACGATATTTACCGAATATTAACAGCAATAATCCAACTCTGCGAGGTGATTAATTAATTGATATTAATTTTATATTAATAATGGTTGTTTGGTGGATTGTTAAGTCATTACATTGATTACTGTTTATTTATCAGCTCAAGCAGAACGCCAAGCCGTAAACTCGCAGATTCAAGGGTCTGCGTCCGACCTTGTTAAAACAGCCATGTGCAAAATACACACCCGACTTGGCGAATTATTCCCGAAAAATTCAGTCCCTGTAAATTGGGTGCAACATAGGTCAAAATCCAGTAGCCAAAACATGCTTGTTCCTATGCTCCGCCTGCCATCATCAATTACCTACCTCCCCGTTCTGAATTTACATGGTGAGGGGTTCAGATCATACTTATTCCCATCATCTATCTATTTAGTAAATGTTTTAATGTGCGTTTTGAATGAATTTCAGACGAGCTAATTTTCGAAGTGAGACGCAGTCGTTTGCACGAAATTTCGACAGAGATTAGAAATCAGATGGAATCATGCATAAAACTTAATGTCCGTATTCCTGTCGTCGTTAAAGTGGGAGAGTCTTGGGGAACTTTAGCTACCCTAGAGTGACATCGATAACCTGTGATACATTTATTATTCCTATGAATTTATATATTATGAATTTTCACGTGACTTGAGTTAATCTGCTATTACATTATTATGTGCGTTAACATTATTTAACTCTCGAGTAAGTTTGATTTTCAATAAAATTCTGGATCTCAAATCATCAATTCATTATTAGCAGTAGTGATAAATCAATCAATTTATTCAGTTTTGAATAAGTTTAAGCAACAGAAGAGAATTAAGCTAACTAAATAGCTGAGAGTCTTGATGCTTTAAAATAACGTCATAATAATATCATATAGTCAGAGGTAACGTTATGAGACGATCAGGACAAGATGGATGGACACGTAATAATCGTCAATATTATTTGGTATTACACAACCAACTCTAAAGAATAAAGCTTAACGAAAATATTTCATAGCGTAGTAGTAGTAGTAGCAGCAGCAATAATGCATAGTGGTAATATTTATAGCGTCGACTTGACCCCAAGGTCAAGAGAGATATGAGTACGAAAGCACATAATGTAAGCTTGATAAGAGAATATCCACGGCACGTGTAGAGATATTTAAGGCATTAACTAATATTCAATCTACATACAGTTGCTTTGTAAGTAATTCTCCAGTCGTTTCTTGAAATATTTTTTAAACATTAATTTTTGGTAACACGCTGAGTCGCTGACTATTTGTCTTTCCGTGTAGCCTACACGTGTATATATATTTACTATTTGGACGAAAATGACTAACATATAATAAAATATTTCTAATAGGCAAAATAACCATTATTACAACAATGAATGACAACAACATCAGTGGTAGTAAGACTAGAGATTCACATCATTATTTAGTAGTGAGGTTACATAACAAATGTAAAAATTTTCAGTTTCTATTATCTACACATTGAATCAGCCTATTATATTCATAATATCATCATTAGTTGCTATTTAATTACGAAATTAGTGTTGTAAGGACTAATGAAAGCGCGATGTTTTATTCATACATAGTACAATACATATAACAACAATATACAAGTATGTATGTGGTGCATGCATAGTATTTATGCAAGTTAATTAAACTCAGCACTGCTTCCAAGTTCCATCCAACAAACAATGGCGTATAGTAAACCTATTACACTAAATTATTAGTGTTATATTCTTATTATCTGCCTGGATGATTCTAAACATTTAAAGCATTTTTTGCAGTAAAGAAAAGAGTTGTTATGAAATTCATTATACATGAGTAGTAGCAAATTTTACAGAGAATAATTAGTAGCAGTCTATACATGTATGAGGAAGTCGTTTCAAATTTGCCAATTCCAGTGGCTGTTCATTTACATTGTGTAAGATACATACATTAGCTTGCTTCCTGCCCTAGCCTAAAGATCTATTTGAGCAATCATGAAAGATGATTGCGTGTTTTATACAATCTAAAATTGAGGTTGTATTAATGTGACACAAAACGTTTTAATTGATAAGGAGGGATATATACCACACATTGAACAATTAAATATTCTAAGATAACCAAATTTAATTACCAGTAAAATAATCTGACTGAACCTTGACTGAGTCCAACAAATAAGAATTATAAAGGAACTGTGTCGTATTTAATTCTTATGATTAATTAATTCATGCAATGTTTAACTCTTTCTATTGACTCGGCTCGAGTAAGGTGATTGTTTCACTTTTCACTTCACATTTTCAGTTAGGTAGGTTACATGGGTTGTTAGGTAATGCAGCATCATAGCTTAGTAGCAGCAGCTTTTTGTAGCATAAAAGTAGTACGTAGCAGTATGGTAGTAGTAGTAGCAATAAGTGTATATCTGAACGAGATGTCGTTTTATCACCATCTACGTCAGCTTTTGTTCACGACGCTGGAACCAAGACCTTTTTCCCATCCTTAATTGGCCGTTCTTTCTCTGCAAATACCACAACGTTGAAACATGTCGCTAAATGATCTTAATAACACGACTCACCTTGAATTTCTGGCAACGGAGTCTCTGGGACTTCTGGGAGAGACAAAGCTTCAGATTCAGCTGGAGATAACGGCACATCTTTGGGCATCTGAATGTTCTCTTCCTCCATAATTTTCTCCAGTTCAGTTTCCACTTCCTCCAAGTCCTCCGGGCTTAAAGAACCACTCAACAGGGCGTCAATTTCATTCTGCTTGTCCACCCCTTCTCTCGTCTCTTCCAGGATCTTTTCAATATCGTCAATCGACATCATGTCGTGAACCTTTTTGAGAGCTTCGTTTCCAGACTTTAGTCCATCCAGTACCTGGAAGGACGATACAACGAACAATGTCATGAACTCTGCATCAAACGATTAAACTGCATTATTATATCTTTTCTCATCACTATACCTTTATCTCTATCTGGGCAAATTCTAGAGAGTGACACATCTCGTCAATATTGTCCAACTGTTTTTCAGACTTTTCTAGAATAGATTCTTGAAAGCGTTTCTTTTTTAGAAGGAGTTTGGCACGGCTACAATACAATTAATCACGATCATTATGCTGCAGTAATTAATTAAAATCAAACATCAAGTAATCCTCACTCTTTCTTCCCCTCCAACAATAATTTTCTCGCCAATTCTCGTTCTTTCTCCAAATTAGTAAGAATATTCTTCTGGTACTGCTTAAGCTGGTCTCGTTGCTTTTTCAGCTCCTATATTTCATTACAAAAATAATTATAGTACCAATTGGTAATTAAAACCAATCCTTAAATAGGTACTTATCAATGGATAAAAAAAACTGGCTCACCAAAACTGCTTTATCTTGCTCTGTGACCCGAGACTCGGAGGATTTCTTTTTTGAAAAAAGACCCCCCATAATTCTGTTCCTAAAATGAAATTGGGCACTTGATTAATAATTGAGTAATAATTATTGTTTGGGGGAATAAATTAAAAATTCCAAAAAAACACAGGGGTTTGGCGATGCACACTCCCAAAGATTGAATGACGAATTGAAATTCCGGAGTAAATATCAACAGTGGGAAATGTGAGATTCGGGCCGAACCGCTACAGAAAAAAATTCACACTGAAATAAATAAACAAAAATAAAATCACAAATTTTGATTCAAAACTAAAAACGATCACGTGTAGTTATTTTTTTTAATTTTTAAAATAAAGATTGAACAATGTGAACTGCGTTAGTGTTCAATTAGTAAACAGAAAGGAAAATGTGAAGGAAATGTAGAAGCGTGAAACACGATTGACGATTGTTGATTTGTAATTGTTTCCACAATTCGAATTTCAAGATGGGACAACATGGCACGTTAATTTGGATCGGTAATTTGACCGTGTGGTATTTCTTGGTCACGTTGTTGGTCAAGGTGAGGACAATTCATGCCCTTAACTATGCCACCACTGCGACAAAGGATGAAATCTTGCAAAGGAACTGCGCCTATGCGAAAGGACTTCATCCAAACTTGATTCGATTTGTGACCAAAGAAGGTTATCATAGGGAGATTGAGGATGTGGTTGAGGTATTATTATAGGGAGTAAACCTTTATTAATGTAAATTTGATAAATTAATTTAAAATAAATTTGTATGCACTTGATTAGGTTACATTTACAAACTCACCTTTATCCCCGTCCGACTTTAAGACTGGAGAATGTAAACTGGCTTTATTAGCCAAATTTACCAGAGACATGTACGTGGATCCGTATGAGATTCAGAATATCCCCGGTCTTGCAGAAGATACTCGAATTCTTAATAATTGGACTGACTTGGAAGGACCGTCGTGGAGTGCAATGTCAAATTCAACAGTTTTTATACATTTGCATTCGATTCCAACGGGTATAAATCGGATAATAATATTTGTTAATTGCCCATAATACAATTTATAATATAATTCCAGGGAATCTGATTACCACGGAACAGCTTAAATTTCCGATACACTTTCGATACCAGAAGCCTCTAAGTCATTCCAGATTTAAGGACAGAGTTCAACAAGGTCAAATTTCGAATGCTGGAGCTCTAGTCAATCCCGCTGGATACATGAAGGTTATCGTCCCCCTGCCGAGATTATTATTGAGATGCGAAGCCTGGAATCATCATCCTCTAATTGAAGCAAAATGCCACGTTATCAAGACATTGTGTAATAGCAAGTCAGCCAAAGACGAATTGTGCGAATGGATCTCACTCCCTTTTAAATCTGTACGCACATCATAAATTCAGAAGTATTGGCAAATTGTGAATAACTTTATCTTTAAAATATTTGCAGAACTCTAAACAAGGAAGCCCAGTCTTTATCCCGAGCGGAGACGTGGACCAAGTTCTTATGGTGTCAGCAATAACACTTTTGGTTGTTTTAGGAGGAACAGCTTTTCTCGTGCATACGTTGATACGAACAAACGAGAAGCTTGCTGGTTCGGCAGTGATCACGGATGACGATGATGGAGACAGCAATAAAGTTCATAAGGACTAAAATAATTTCAGTATTAATGCTTGTTTGTTATGTGCATACATTCCAGTCTTGTCAGAATTCAGCGTGCCAATTTTATACTAATCATACTATTATGATGCCAAGAAAATTGCAAAATATGTGGAGTAATAATAAATGTATACATAATTGTTCAGAATATTTGTCATTGCTTTTACATTCTTCAAATTTATTCAATCATTCACTAATCCTTAATAATAAAACATCAAGCGTTGAAATTAAGTTTTATTTCTAAATTCTTGAACAGTCAATAATATAATAATGCAAAGAAATATCATTGCATTGTATTAACATAAACAAAATACCCTTAACCCAATTTTACTTCTATGTCGAAACATTTTAAATTGAAACACCAAATTAATTGAACATATTAATTGACAAAATTAGACCATTTATTCATAAAAGCTTAAAACTACCCAACTTTTAATAGTAATTAATTTTCCTTTAAATCTATAATTTCTTATGCGTGTGGGTGGACAGTAGTACTTACTAAAAACGGATTTACTTTTTGCTGTTGACATTGATGATTTCGAAGAAGAAAATGATACCGACAATTAAGTTTTACTTTTCTTATGTTGATGTTAAGAATGGATTAATTTGCTCTTTAATTCTTTCATAACGATTTTACTGAGCCGAGACTGTTTGAAATTTACTAGTGTTTGTTAAGAAGAGCTACCACCAAATTGAATTGAAGTACTGTTTTTTTTTGTTTCAATATGTACAATACTTGCTTTCAATATGTGTGTGTGTATGTAAAGCTATAGCTGGTTTTAAATCTGTACCACTAAAAACATGTCCTTCAGTCTTTTGGTTGCTTATTAATGACGACTCCTTTACATATATTTCTGGCTGTTACAGTACAGGTTGTTTTTAAGAATAGTAAAAGGTGTTGCTGGTTTTAGAAATAGGAAACAATCGTTGTACAACAACTCGATATAATCGTCATATATTTACATACATTTCTCTCCTTCCCTAATAACTAAAAAATATCTTTCCTACCTAGCAATTGATGATGTTTCCTTTCTTGTTTCTTTTATATGAGATGTCTCATGTGGCGGTGGGGCTGTCAAACCTTTTCTTTAACAAACTATTACAATATAATATGTACCGACAGTGTAATTAATAATCATAGAAGGACACAAACCATGCAGCCATTGACAATCGTCAGGTACATAATCAAATCAAGCAGTGACGATTACTGGAAAAATCACTGGATTATTATTTTGAAGAAATTGCCAACCGCTGATAGTGCATTCTTCTTTTAGAGGCCGAATGTATATACTCTCTCCTACTTCCTCCTTTCGATATCATAATACGGACAACAATCTTTTGAATTGGATTGGAATGAGTTCAATTCACTAGAGATTTTTTGTTTTCATAGGCACGGAATTACATGAGTTGACTTTCGCCAAGTTGTATCTTGTTAGTATCATCATCATGTGGCGTCAAGTATTATAATATACAAATTATGGGCAGAAATGAGCACACAAATTGAAATTTTGTAATGCCTCATTTTGTAGCTATCTAAAACTGGCACCTTTTTTAACATTCGTCGTTAATTGATGATTTACTGAGTGGTCATAAAAGCTAGTACTTTAGTAGTTATACATATTACAACATTTGACATTGTTGTGTCAGAAACTCCTGAAAAGTGGTGCGTCTGGTTGATACACACTAGATTGGATTGATGACATGTACATATTTTTTAGTAAAGAGATGGTATCACAGCTTGCTTTCTCTTTTGACATTCGGTTACAACATTTATAGTACTTTGCAGTATCCTTCTTCTCAGTTCGCTAGTACATATTTATATTTATAATATGCTTTAATTTACTGGTGGTATGGTTGGTTGGTTGGTTTTTAATTAAATCCGTTGATTATGATTGAGTGAGTGAGATTAATTGCAATAAGCTATCAAATTCTTAACTACTACTAATTATGTCTAAACTTACATTTCGTAGATAATATAGATAAGACAAGAACTTACTAAGGCTGAATTATCATTTAGTAACATTTTTACGCAAACGCTGAAACTTTCATGACAATACATATGTACGTAAATGTAATTTTGAAATGCGACCTAACAGCTACAAACTTCATATTTTTTTATACACACAACTCTTTGAAATCTTGGATGGAATGACCAAATTTTTCTAGTACATACATCATCGTTTAAGAAACCTCCTAAATGCCATTCCATACAATATGAAGCTATACATTATTCTTATTTAACTTACAAAAAAGATACGAGTTATGCAATAGCAAAACTTTCTCCAGGAGCAGAAATCTAATTATTATTAAAAGAGGTACTCATTGCATCTCTCTGTAGTTAGTTATTAATTTTTGCTTTTGGCAACTGGCTGGTTTTTGTCTTGACGAGGAGGAATCGTCACACACACCATAATAATATTCCTGACTTTTTTACGCGTGGACAAAACGTTCCTTATTTTAGCACTTTATTCGACATTCTCTGGGTAGTTGGTTGGATTAATTTTATTACGTGTGTGTAAGGAACGATTATCCGAAATTCTAGACTATTTATTTTACTCTCAGTTGTGTTAAAGAGAAGAATGAGAGATCATCACAGTTGTTTACCACGGCTCTTTGTTGCATCTTTTAAAAATCTGCTTCCCTAATGCAACACAATACAAGTTCCTTTTAGCTACCTCATTTTTCGACACTGGTATTAAAATGTACATAGGCGATCAGTGTCTTCCAGTCCTTTAGTAAAATATGAGCATTCTTAACTTAATAAAGACTAAACGGCTAAACATAAATCTCTCGAAACGAATCTAACAACTTACGATATCTACTACATACAGAATTATTATTACGAGACGGTTGTCAGTTGTGGACATTTCATACAACAACGCACAGCGGTGTTTTGCAGGTTAAACCTTACTTTTATATACGTCAGTCAGATAAGCTCTTCTTAAACTATGACGAATCGGTGTTCATCTTGTCTTAACTAGACTCGCTTGGGAAAATGATCTGTTGTATGACTTTCTCTAAACCGGTGTGATCTTGCTTAACAATATGATGCGATGGTGACGATATAATACATTTAACGATTGCAGTTCTTTCTTTCTGCGATATAATATTCTTATACCAACCAGAGATTACCCTTCATTATCAGTATTGTTTCATTTGTGAGTATCTTGACTAACTGATTGACTGACTTTCTCCTTTGCGATTTTCCTCCTTCGCATATACTATTTACAAAAGATGAATATTGTTTGTTTGGAATATTATAAAGTAACTGCGAATGCGAATCCCGGGTATAAATTGCATGGGATTTTTGCATCGCAATCATATTTAGCATATTATTTTATCTCAGTCTGTTATTAAAAGTTACTTTTCTCTCTCGTTTTTACAGAGGTAATAATTTTATGGTGGTAAAGTGATGGTAAGGATTGTATTATTGGTTGATATTAAAGTGTTGTTAATTCACCTAATGAAGTATATTATGCAATTCTATTAAATTCAGATGACTGGACTGACATGATGTCATCATTGTTTTGTAACTCTAGGTTAGATTCATTCATTCCCTTGCTAGCCTTCTTCTTGGTCTTTGCGTCTCTCTTTACTAAAATCTACAAATTACTTAAATGCAAAGCGATCTCAAATGTGTAAAACTATATAATACAAATAAATTCCACATGGAATCTCTGTTTGAAATGGAGCTCCTACGGTCCTGTTTTTTTTTCTTCTTCTTGAGTAACTATATATTTGATAAGATTGTATAATTGGTCAGACTTGGTATGCAATTCCTACTTTCAGTTTGTTCCTGCTTTCCTCACGTTGGATGAGAAACTACTAAACGACGATATCTGCGTTGCGCGTGGTGCTGACGACGTAGTATTTCATAAATTCTATTTTGCGATATTTGTAATTGTTGAAGGAATGCATTGTTAACGACGAACGATTAAATACATAGACGCGTGTGAATCACCTCCATTGGAGAAGAACAAACCATGTTAATTACAGCGATGCGATAAACTGCATAAAAATCTGGATTAATAACCTGAGTCGTGTGGGTAGTTAATTTCAACCTTTTGGTGACATTGACACCTACCTATCATAAAATGCACAGTAAGAGTATGGAATATATTGCTACACAATCTTCTTTTTTTACAAAATTCGTTATTCAGGTCGTATTCTTCTGTTCTAAACGTATGGCAAAACGGTGGTAGGTAGATAGGTAGGTAATCTGCCGAGGTGGATTAATTGATCGGATCCACAAATATATATTTATATAATTCTTGCTCTTGCGATGGTTTCGACGACTGACTGACTGATTCTTATACGTTTCATACTGGATATTTTAAAATTTGACCAACAAAAATAAAATATTATGTTTCATCGTCATCAAGCCTGATAGTCTTTTGCTCTCTTTAGGTTGGTTGGTATATAGTTACTTATTTGTTTGAGGAGGATAGTCATGTGTGACTTTCTTGTTTGTAAAGTCATTCACGAAACAGAGATTGGTGACGTACTTCATCACCCAAAAAACATAGCTCTCGTCTAATTTATAAAATATATATGTACATGTATGTAACAACCTATAAGATTAATAACCTATAATTAAAATTACTTAACTCTTCAATATATGGTGTCTCATCTCGTCTTATTTTTAAGATTGAATGTTGGAAGTTGTACTGAATAAAATTATTCTCGTCTTACCGTGTGTATCACGTTGGTTGGTAGTACATTTTAATACTTATCACTGTTTTTTCTCTTTTTGGTCATGGCCTTCCAGACTGATTTGTCATTCTTTCATTTTGCGATGCGGTAAAGTTGCGATATTTCATTTATTATTTTAATTTCCCCTCTGTGTGGCAGTTTAATAGTAGTTTGAATGTTGTACTTGTGTAATGACTCCGGGGGTGATGGTGATTGATTGTATTGTGTGGGTAAGATGATGACAAGACGAGAAACATTCATTGTTGTTCGAAAGTAAATTTTGTGAGATTGTTGTATAAGATGGAAGTGATTGTAAAACTGCTGCTGCTCAAAGCTCATCCTCCATTGTGGCACGAACCACCATACACCTGGCTCCACGTTCGAACGTCTTCTTGGGAGGTTTTGCGAGACGACGTTTTCTGAAGTATTGGGGCCTCCATGGTCGGCCAAGTGCACTGCTAATCTCCTAAATTGGTGGGTCCAAACAAACATGTATTAGCGAATTAGTCCTCGTTTAGTATTCAGTCGCACTAACTCTTTAATAAAGAGTCTTTATCATACCTTCATAAGTTTACGCAAGTTCAAACTGCCAAAGATGACAAGTGATTTCGGTATTTCCAAATTAAGCAAACTTGGCCCTCTAGATTCAATATATCAGATAACATTAGCTCCCTCATAAAAAAGATTTAAAGTAATATATTTGGATCTCACAATAGTCTTGCAATTCCAACCAGGGTGTCTCCACAGTAGTTCACTCCCAGTTTCAAAGTGTGTAAATTCTTACATCTCCATGCTGCGAACTGTAAAAAAAGTTCATAGACGAAATGATAAAGACTTGTGTGGGACCATTGTAACGTTATTTATTATAATAAAACTTACTACAATTGGGTCCAAGAATTGATATTCCTCTGGATCCGACTGCATGATTATGTCAGTCCAATTACAGTTATCATCCACCAATTCCAAGTGCTCCAAAGTTTCCAGATTCCATCCGATAATCGAGTTTAGAAAGTTAATCCGTACATCTTTGGAATAATATGAACGAAAGTGACTGAGTGGAGTGCTAGGATATATCAGATTGGAAGGATGTGCAACCAATCCAGATCCCCCATAGATTGTAAGCCGGACTTTGCATTCAGGACTATAAATAAACCAGAAATGGTTTTGGTTTTGCTACGTAATCTCATGGTAATTGATACAATAAAATATTTTACTTGTTTTTAACAAATATGAACCATCCACGGTTGGACACGTAAGGATTTCGTTGTACGGCCACGACATTCAAACGTCGCAATCCACCAACATTACTGTCAAGTCCAATAGTTGCAAGGAATTCATCATTCAAATTATCATGGCCAAGACTCAGCATCTGAAAAAAGTTTACACATTTTAGATAATTGCTTAATTGCAACTAACAAGATTACAGTAGTTATTTGTTAATGTACCTGCAACTGATGAAAACGTCGAATTGGCGCAAGTTCGGCAGTTCCTGGGGCATAAATTGCAATATTCTCCTCCTCAGATTCTTTATTAGATTCGACGAATTTGAAAGTGGGGAGAAAGAGGTTGGTGATTGACAATCGACTGCGACTTAAAAACACAGCTGGAAAAAGAGTGTTCCAAGTCATCCTGGAGAGATTTTGAATCAAGGGAAAGCTAAAAGTTTCTAGCTGAGCTTTCCCTTTCAGCACCATCATTACTGGATATAGCACCCTCCTAAAAACAGGGTTAATTAATTAACGATCATAGTGGCTAATTAATGTTGTAACAAGCCAACAAAAAAAATGCAATAAAAACTATACTAACTGAATAAAAATGTGTTCCTCTGTCTTTCCAAAATGCTGCAAATAGGCCAGGCAGTGATCGGAACAGAGCAATTTGAGCGATAGGAGCTGGTGGTTATTTTGCAGTAGAGTCAATACGTTTTCCACAGTATCCATACAAGCCTCGGTTGACACATCGAATGTAAACGTAACATGTTTCACTTTGCAGATGCTGAGACACATTGATTATCATAAATTTAATTAAAATTCCAATGTTGTCCTTCGTTTTTGATTAAACATATTTATTTGACTTTCTTACAATTGCTGACTTAGAAAGGTCACTTTCTCTATATCTTTCTCTCCCTTGGTCATGTAAAGGTTGAGAGAATCACTCAAGGGCACTTGGAATGCTGAACAAAATGATAATAAAATTCATGTTAAATGAATTTTTACTGTTTATGAGATTGTTTATAAAAAATTGTTTACCAGAAGCTCGCCAGTTCTTGCAGACCTACGCATGAAGTAAATAGCCATTAATTAATTATATATTTAATCATATAATTTAACAAATCAACTTACGCTGGAAGCGTTCAGTTTATCTTTTCTTGAAGAAAGGTTCTTGTAAATCTCCACCATCACAACACTTGGTAGTCCTTCCCAATCTTCCATTTTTTCCAGTTCTTCATCTTCTTCAACAATCGCATCGTTCAGAAACATGGCAAAAGCACGTCAACAACTACTTTACAACCTACAAAACAAGTGCACGTCGTTAAATTGACAATGTAAAATATAACCTTCATTCATTACATAACATATTAAATGAATAACATAAATAGCATTATATCCTTAAAAAAAATTACTACTTACCCAAAAGGACGTCCTCTCTTCCTCTTATCCTACGATACTAACTAATATATTTCTCAGGCAGGTATCTTCTACTCTGTCAATAATCAAAACAAGTCGTCCAGCTTGTTGAACCCCATTCTGATACAAATTTTGATATCTCGTTCGATACAATCAGTCAAAATCACCTTCAGCTTTCTTTTTTATGGCAAAAGAGGAGGCAGACAGGCAGGCAAGGAAGCTTATCAAATATCGTTCGTCTTCCCACAACAGCAATAATAGTTCAGTTATCAATCTGTCTACGTTCTTATCTATTACGTCGTTCTCTTATCGATTCAAAGGCAGCAGACGAAAATTATACAGAAAAAAAATCTCTCTACAAATAATATATATTTTTCTATGCGTTCGAGGGGTGTGGTGGGTTGGTTGGTGGGGGGAAGTTATAGTGTTTGAAGTACCAGTAATTTTACGTAGAGAGAGAAGACAATTCTCAAAATTAGAAATTATTAGTCGAGTAATTAATTACAAATTAGAAAGGAGGAGACGAGAATAAAATTTCTTCCTCCTCTCGCAACCAACCACCCAGCAGCAGTGGAGTGAGTTTGACTGCACTGCGTTGCTTTGATCTGCGTTTCTTTCTTCGCATAGCATAGCCAGCAAGCAACTCATCTGTAAACAAAAAACACTACTTTGTGTGACTACTCGAAAAGAATTGAATATCAAATTCACAGAGTTCGTCGTCATTTTATTGATGATTAGCATGACCAAAATATGTAAATTTCATTTGTTTTTGGCATCGATGAACCGTAAAATTCTAACGTCGAACTTATATAGCACATTACATTTTTTGATCCTATCCTATACACTGTAAATGCTTATATAATACGTCATTTTATTAAACCACCCTGAATTGATAAGGGTATTAAATAAGTGATGATAAGAAACTTATCGTTTGTTACGATAGCCTGATTTATATTTGAGAATAATACAAATTCCTCTTCACAAATGGTGGAGTGGTTGCGTTACGACATTATGTAAAGTTTAGTTTCATGGCCTTTTTGTACATACATAAAGCAGATTGCATTGTTTCATTATTATGCTAACTAAACTAAATGGCGAGTTACATTCACATAAGAATTTCTTTTATCGCTGTCTGGCTGCGATTTCATGCTTGATGTAAATGTGGATTATGTTATGTGATCACTTAACCTTAGTAAAGTAAAACTACTGCTATTATTACCTACGTTTACTGAGAAACGGCCATAAGGGTCCCTTCAACAAGGTAAATGCTGCGTGTAAAGAATTCCGCCACGATAGGATTTGTTTACCGTTCAAACTAGCTCTCTGTGTCTTCTTCTCTCCATTTCCTTCCATTAGTCACATTACACACATTTTGTGTGAGAGTGGCTTCGTTTTTTGTTGACCGACCGACTGACAGGAAAAGGTGGGTAGGTAGGTTTAGTAGGTAGTGGAATAAAGTAAGTTCTTGGAAGACTGGAAGAAATTTAATTGACGGGATGCAATAAAGGCAAAGCAATTTTTTAACATGGATTTTTAAAAATTGGAAATAGGATTTGACGATAAGATAAATGATGTATATTTTTTCTGTGTAGATTAAGATTTTGTCACGAGATCAAAGACTGAGTAGGAGGAGGGAGGGGTGGGACGGACGGAGGACGGAAGGAAGTGTCGTTGCTGGAAGTAGCTTATCATCAGGATTTACCAAGATGTCGGGCAACGCCAGCAGTAGCGGTCGTCCCATCCGAAATTCGACGGGGGGTATGAGCACATCCACCAGCAAGAATGGGTCATCAGCATTATCCTTGTCTAAAGCAACGACGCGAAGGTCCAGTCTGTCCTCTTCGACGAAGCTGCTCGAACTTGGTAAAACTGTGCTCAACGGGTCTATCAAAAAATCTGTGAAACCAAGTCTTATCTCGAAAAATACACGTCATTCTGAAGAAAGTGCCAAAAAAACTGCCAAGGGGGGGAAAGCTGTCAATGGGCATAATAATAGCAATAAGAATGGGAGTAATACTGCTACGTCTAAGAATGGGAAGAATGATGGGGATAAGACGAATGGGGCGAAAAATAATAGTGCGATAGGTCCCACTCCTGGGTGTTCCAAGATTGCCGTCGTCGCCTTAGGACCGCTTTCTCCATCATCCATCACCATAGTCGAATCGCTCAAAAAACACGTTCGCTCGGAATACATGAGGCAAGTATCTTTTATTTTACAAATTAGATGGCAAACTCAAGTATGCAAATTAGTTCTCATCCGACTTTAAAAGTAAAGTAATATTCAATTGTGTTACATTCCATAGGCTCCTTAACCAAAAAAGACAACGGAAAAGTTGTGAGGCAAAGTATGCTTGGAATGATAACCTGTCAAAAATGAAGGGTGAGCTATTACTAATTACATCCTATAAATTTATGCGTAGAAATTAATATTTACATAAAAATTGTAGGAATGTTGCTTGAAGGAACTCGATACATGAAAGAATCCCGTCGTCCCGTCGTTTGGGAATGCAAACCTAAAGAATCTGATGAAGTCAAAAGTGAGGTTTCAAAGTCGACACGGTTTATGAAACGAGCAACCATCACATCTTCCGACATGCCTACACAGCACTGCCCGATAATTACGATTAATCAAATAAGCGCAATTCCAAACATGTTTACTTGGGCTTCAGTAAGAAGTGCGTATAAAAAAATCTGGGCAAATTTTTATGATTTATCATTGATCAAATTTCATAAATTTCATATTTTGTCCTACTTTATAGCAAACTTGATGGTTGAAGACGAAACCGTCCTGCATAACATTCCATACATGGGGGACGAAGTTTTGGATCATGATGGGAAATTCATTGAAGAACTTATAAAAAATTATGACGGGAAAGTTCATGGAGACAAGGAAAATAGTTTTGTGGACAATGAAGTATTTGTTGATTTGGTGAAAGCCTTGCAAGTTACGGAGACTACTTTGAGAGCTTCAATGAAGTCCAGCTGGAACAAGATGGTAGGAATGAGTAGTACTAGTAAGGATAAGGATGCAGCAGCCTCAGACCAAGTCAAGATAGAAGGAGGAATTGGAAAAATTTCAGATGCACGAATTTTAGCCTTGTCAGAGAAATTGGCTAAACGCAAAACAAAACTGCCCTCGCCTAGTGTATTCAAAGCTATTTCTGACATATATCCCGAACGTGGCACGCCACAGGAGTTGAGAGAACGGTAATTAATTTAAATAATCCTACTCTAATAATGGAAATAGTAATGGTATAGTAGAAAAAAGTTTCAAATATTTAACTTTACTGTATTTTATTTGTTTTCAGTTTCGTTGAACTTTTAGAGAAAATGGAGCCTGGCGTAGTTGTCTCGGAATGTACATCAAAATTCAAAATATTATTTTTGCATACTGTCAAATATTTCTAGGTTTTCATACTATCGCATATTTCTAGGTACACCAAATATTGATGGTCCCACTGCCGAGTCCGTACCTCCGGAACAAACTATGCATTCTTATCACAGCCTATTTTGCAGACGCTGTTTTAAATATGATTGCTTTTTGCATCGTAAGTGGTTGAATCTTATTCTGAAATATTCATATATTGACGAAAAATCGGCTAATTATGGTTTGCATTATTTAGGATTAAAGACTGATCACCCAGGTCCGAAGACCGTATTAAAGAAGAAGCCTCTCGAAGCCAAACCTACAGTTCCTTGCAGCTCGCAATGTTTCCTGCTCTTGGACGAAGTCAAACAACGACTCGCTATCCAAGCTGCTCTTCAAGCCAAGGCCGAAAAGGAGTTGGAAGCATCAATGGCGGAAGTGTCCCGACCAAAGAAAATACGCAAACAAAATTCTCTAGAATCTGGCGATGAGGACAGCAATGATAGCACTAAAGTGGTTGGAAATGGTGGGAGGAAAGAAAGGAAGAATGGAAACTCTTCTCACTCAAATACGAATGGAAATGGGAAGCTTAATAACGATAAATCCAACAATAACGGGGACAAGAGGCGAGAATCCAAGGAATCATTGGATTCAAATAAATCCAACAATGAAAAATGCAACAATGGGAACGGGTCTAATGTTATTATTAATGAGTCTGAGTCGTCTTCGGGGGTAATGCTAGGTCCCAGTTTTTTGGATGTCTTTCAATCTAAATTGCCAGAATGGACAAGTGAGTGCCTTTATCTTGATTCTGATTTTATTCATGATAATATTAATAACATATATTTTTTCAAGGTGCTGAATGCAGTCTTTTTCGGTCAATTCACAAAGTTTATGGTTCAAATTATTGCTGCATTTCACGAACAATGCTAAGCCGTAGTTGTCAGGAGGTACACAACTTGATTAACTGCTTTCTATTGCCTTGGATGAATCTGAACCTTTAAATATTGGTAACTCATCTATCTCTTATAGGTATACCACTTTGCTCAGAAAGAAGCTCAGGATGTGCTCACCGAAGAATCATCCAAGGAACTAACTCCTCCTAGAAAGAAGGCAAAAAAGAAGAATCGGTTGTGGTCTCTACATTGCAGAAAAATCCAATTGAAGAAAGACGACTCATCAAGCCATGTGTACAGCTATACTCCATGTGACCATCCTGGCACTCCTTGCGACAAAAGTTGTCCATGTAAGATTTTGGAATTTTTTTTACATTCATATTGTTATTTATCAACATCAATTTAGAATGGATTTTATGATTTTATAGGCGTTGCAATGTCAAACTTTTGCGAAAAGGTGAGTTGAAATACATAAGTAGTGATATTTTCAGCGAGAAATTGACTTCAAATTTTCAAGGTGATAATTTTTTTTTGTTTGTTTGCGAAAAGTTTTGTCTGTGCAGTTTAGAATGCCAGAATAGGTTTCCAGGTTGTCGATGTAAAGCGCAGTGTAACACCAAACAGGTAATTTATTGTTGGATTAATTTTGTATTAATGTTTGGGCAATATAAATAGCACTGCAATTTTTTTTATTGTTTGCAGTGTCCTTGTTACTTGGCTGTACGAGGTATGAACCCTTTAACTTTTTAATATCCAGCGTATGCACCTTACTAATTTATTTAGCGAATAGTCATACTTTTGATATCATGCACTTACTATATATTGATGCTTATGATGTGAATACGGTGGTTATGATGGTGATTGCAGTGGACATTCGATATTTGAAGAGTTCAGACTAATCTTTAATCGTATAATTTAGATTTTGCACAAAATTTTGTACCTAATTTTACAATTAGAATATTGTAACATATTTTAATTAGTTCAACTATTGTTAGCTAGTTTGGCGTTCTTTTCCACTTGTCTGTTAATAAATCTAAATTATACGAGCATTAGTGTAGACGCCCGTCAATCGAAGGGCGAAAAAGGCCCCTAGATCGGCCCGTCAAATGAAAAACATTAGTGGAGTGAATTTTATAGCCTCCTATTTCTATCTCTCTGCTCTGGAGCGAGAGAAGAAGGAGGCTAACTTCTCAACTGTTACCGACCCAACAGCGACACGCTCGCCTGATTTAAGTTAAGTAGATAGATAAGTCTGAACTCTTCAACATCAACTACAATGACCATCATAACCACGAACCGTATTCTCAATTACCGTTTACACCATCTGAAGCATAAGTATGACCGTAAGAGTATGATATCATGAGTATGACTTGTAAGTAGTTAAACCTATTTTGTTTAACCTATTTTAAACCTATTTTAACCTTTAAATACGATCCGTTAGAGTGCGACCCTGACCTTTGCTCGATTTGTGGAGCGGACCAACACGATGTGACAAAGATAAACTGCAAAAACGTTAGTTGTCAGCGTGGATTGCGTGAGTGCATTATTTATTTGTATGAAAATGAAAGTTGAGGATTTTAATGAATTATAATGACTGAATTACAGATAAGCATTTACTCATGGCCCCTTCCGGTATGAATTAAATCTAATTATATAAACATTATTATCATATTAGTATTGTACTTATATCATGATTGATTAAAGATATTGCCGGATGGGGAATATTCCTTAAGGAGTCAGCCCTAAAGAACGAGTTCATAAGTGAATATTGTGGCGAGGTTATTACTCAAGATGAGGCTGATCGACGAGGAAAAGTTTACGACAGGGTAAGATTTCTTTTATATGAGACCAGGACAAATCATCAATATTAAACTATATTATAATTTCCTTACAGCATATGTGCAGCTTCCTGTTCAATCTCAACAATGGTGAGTAATTTATTGTATTTTATCTTGTTTTAACAAAGCTGGATGAAATTTTACATTTTTATTCTCCTGAATAGATTTTGTGGTGGATGCAACTCGCAAAGGAAACAAAATTCGATTCGCTAATCATTCCGTGCATCCAAATTGCTACGCTGTCATCAAGATGGTTAACGGTGAGGAATAGTTTAAAGTCAGTTTTAGTTACCAATATGAAAATCTAATTATTAATCTTATTAATTAGGTGACCATCGTATTGGCATTTTCGCCAAACGCGCAATACAACCAGGCGAGGAATTGTTTTTTGATTATCGGTATGCTGCATATTATATTTATTTACATGCGTACATGAAAACTATAATTAATTGTGCCACTACTTAACCAATGCGTATTATTATGTATTCGTAGATACGGTCCAACTGAACAGTTAAAGTTTGTCGGAATCGAACGCGAAGTGGACATTGTGTAAAGAAAGAAAAACGCCTTTTCAACAAAATTCAAGACTTACAATTGATTCAAACTGCCTACGAAATAGTCTGTGTTCTCACTTTCTCCGAAGTACAAAGTATGAAGGATTTCCCCATACTCAACAATTTCTCTATCATGAAGAACCCTTATATACATACATATACTAAATCGAATTGCTCCTGATTGTACAAAAATACCTACTTTAATTTCAAACAGCTCATTTATACTGCAGTAGTAGACACCTCAAATGGTGTCTCACTTTTTTTTCAGAACTTTAGATCTCGTTTATCGAACTTAATTTATACAATTGTAGTAATAATTTCAGTTCCTGTTTTAAGCACTATTCAATTTGTAATATTTTACCGGCTAGTATACATAGTATCTTTTACACATACATAACTTATTATTTTATACTGGAGAAAATATTTACAAATATTTACTGCCATCATCGGACCACACTCGTCTAATGTTCTCACTTGAATGTGTTCAATTTGTATGTATTTTTTCTACACAACTTTTGTACTGATATACCTTTCACCAAACTTATTGAACGTGTTAGGATAAAAATTAGAAATAAACCAACTAGTAGTGGACTACAATGTCCTGTTGTGTCCCTGCAGTTTTATACATAGTTCTGTAGATGGATAAAATGTGTGCCTTCTGAAAAGAACTTGAAAATAAACATGGTAATAAATTTCGTTACGAATTCAAATCATGTGAATGCAATCTTATTTTGTTTTGTTAAATTGTGGTCATGAGTTTAATACCACACCACTCTCCTTGCCCAATTACAATTACATAAGTCCCTCTGATCCCCGATCTCTGTACAATTAACGAATCCGATATTTTACAGCTTATATGATGATACTTTTTTTATAAATACTTTAATCTTCCACTCTCTACTTCTATACCGGTCAGACACAAAAATTATGTTTTTTATTGCCTATAATCATTTTTGTTATTCGTGGTGGAGTGGAAAGTTTTGCGTGTTTCCAGTCCTTTAAACCTCATGATTTCATGATCATCATGCTTCGGCTAATTAGATTATGCAAAGTCTAATCCCCCCAAATTGCTCAATTGGTGATTTATTATGATGAGATAGACTGTGATCTGACGCAGTTGGCAGTGTGCAATTTCGTCCGTGTGATATGTACGATAAATAAATAATTAGATTCGCTTATCAATTTATCGTACACAATGTGCAACCCAATCGAAAAAATGTTGGATCGATGAATGATAAGTGTTTTCTTTGTAGTATAATAGTCGATAAGTCCACAACTGCTACATACACTTGCTACTACCGGGTCACGTAGACTTTCATGTCACTTTGTTCACATGCGTTCCCAAACTACAATATACATACTAACCTAATTCCGCGTGTTTTTGCATTGTCAATTGTGCAATTAAATGATTGGTGACAAAAGAAATTAGTCATTGAACGTGACACGTTGTGTGACTGACAAACGTTTTATACTTTCATGATTTTTGAAACTACTTGAAATTTTATACTTTGAAATGGATTTCTCTGAAAAAGCATCCGTGATAAATCCCGTTAAGAAGGCGAACCCAATCTCGAGACACTTTTTCATGTGGGTAAGTATAGGTATTTAATGTAAAAACCCTACAAAATCATAAAAATGTACTGGTAATGTGCTTGTAATATAAAAATATTATAAATAGGTATTTCCCCTGTTTCGAAAAGGATATCAATCAGATTTAACGGCAGGTTAATTTTTAGTAATTTAATTTACCTACAAGTTCTCATTTAACCCGGCAAGATCTGGAATTGTTTTCAGACGATTTATACGACCCACGCCAAAGTGATGTCTCGTCCACCTTAGGAGATAAATTAGAAGAGTAAGATAAGCCATTAAGAGTAAGGTCGAATTAGAGTGTAAATATTGAAATTGCCTATTGCACAGAGCATGGTTCAAAGAATTGGAGAAAGCGAGTCACAAATCTGGAACGAAACCAAGACTTCGGAACGCTTTGTGGGCATGTTTTGGAAAATATTATGCAGCCATTTTTATCCTCTACTTTATAACTGAATGCATTCTCAGGTGCATTATTTATACAAAAAAATGAGCAGTATTAATTAGATATCTACATGCTTTTTTATTGTAAAGCGTATTGTAAATATATTTATATGCATTTACACAGGGTGGCACAACCCCTTTTTATCAGGGAGTTGGTAAGATCATTTTCCGAACATTCAGACGTGAGTGAAGGGGGTCAGTATGGTTTGGCGTGCGGCGTCATTGTGTCCACATTTATGATCACAATGTTTTTTCATCCCAGTTTTCACGGAGGTTCTATGATCATTCAATACACATATATATTGTATTTTTAATGGAAAATTAATTGTGCTACATATTTTTATTTTATTTAGGTTTTATCACAGCGATGCGGTGAGACACATTACAAGTTCTTTTCTAGAGGTATTACATAAATTATTTTCGTTGATAATAATTTGCAATTTTTACAGATGCCGAATTTCGTGCTCATCCATCATTTATCGAAAGGTAGATATGTAAATGTATCAACTTTAATTTATAAAACTAATATTCCGTGTCACGTGGTGCAGGCCTTAAGACTGAGCAAAGCAAGCCAAGGGAGCACAACGGTTGGACAGATTACAAATATTCTGTCAAACGACGTCAATCGGCAAGTTATCAGTAGCACAACTTTAGAATGACGTAAATTAATGACATTTTTCATTATAATTTGCACTACGTAGATTCGATCTGAACCTCCTTTTTCTCCCGTATTTTATCATGGGGCCGATCCAGTTCCTAATCTTTGTGTATTTTCTGTGGGATGAATTTGGTACTTCTAGTTTAGCAGGGTTTGGAGTGGTCATTCTCATGTCAGTCGTGCAATGTATGAACAATATCCATTCAGCTATTTAAGGAAATTTCGATATTTTAACAATCAAACTCTCTTGTCAGATTGGAATGGAACCCTATCGACGGAATTTCGTAGAAAAATCGCGGTAAAAACGGACGAACGTTCGAGGACAATGAATGAAATTATAGTTGCCATTCGTGTCATTAAGATGTAAGATTTTCGATAAAGCTTGCTGAATGAATCTTTATAATTTGTTGTTTATTAAAAGGTACGCCTGGGAAAAGCCGTTCACAAATTTGATCAACAAACTTCGAAAGTATATAAAAAATCAAAACAGATATTTCGAAATCGCTGGTGAAAATAATAATAATTTAACCCTAACTTTGACCAGGTTGGAAATGAGCGTAATCCGGAAGCGGTCCTATCTTCGTGGAATTTATCTCTCCGTATACTCTTCAGCCCTAAAATTCCTCCCGTTCCTCACCTTCCTCGTATTCACTTTAGCGACGGACGAAGACTTAACTCCTGACAAGGTGTTTTTTACAGTCGCCGTTTATAACGTCATCATTCAGAATACGATGTATTTTATACCGTCAGCAGCGTCGGGAATTGGAGAGATAATGGTCTCATTAAAACGTTTAGAGGTACATAAGCACGTGCTAATTATACTATGTATGTGAATTAAGATTGACTATTATTAATGAGAGTATTATTTGCAGACTTTTCTACTCTTGGAAGAAAAGGGAGAAAGCATGAGCAAAAATTATGTCAGAATTGACACTGTAGGAAGCCCATTTCCGATTGATCTTGGTCCTGGAGAAAGTCCAAGAGTTTGTCTCAATTCGGCTACAGCGAGGTAAAAAGTGTTGCAGACCTCTCTTTACTGTACAATATGTAAATCACTTGTATTTTTCAACATAGTTGGACCGGGGATAAAAATCATCTCCAAGATATCCAAATGGATGTCTCCGGTGACAAAGTCGTTGTTATTGTGGGACCGGTAGGCTCTGGGAAGGTGAGTACAACTCACTATTAGCTAAAAATCTCAATTTGCCTCGCTTAAAACAATCTTTGAGTGAAGTCTCAATTTGCCTCAATTTAAAAATCTTTGACTGAAGTCTCAATTTGCCTCAATTTAAAATTCTTTGAGTGAAAGTCTCAATTTACCTCTCTACTCAACTTAAACAATCTTTGAGTGAAAGTCTCAACCTGCCTCTTTTGTAATAACGATCTTTCTCCTGATTACTACAGACAACACTACTGCACGCTCTTCTCGGTGAACTTCCAATTCAGAGTGGACGTAAGTCATTAAATTAAGCTTCAATATTTGCGTACTTACATATATTACTTAATTCTTGATAATGCTTTTTAATTTGTAATTTAATTGAAATCCTAAATCATTTTAGGTTGTGCAATTCATGGACGAATAGCTTATGCGAGTCAAGAACCTTGGATATTTGCAGGTATTTTATGTCTTGTATTCTCTTTCTACAGAAATTCATGGTGAAAGTAAATAATACAAGAAATACTGGTAATATTCGGCAACATTACGTATTATGACAAATTAAAATATTGAAGAAGATGAATACTAAACAATTGAATCTGATCTTGTAAATATTTGCGTGACTTGGTACTCTTGATCCTCGCTATCTACACATTTTTGTAATATTTTTTTGTTCCTTAACTTTTATTGCAGCGACGGTACGCCAAAATATTTTATTCGGTCGTCCATTTCATCAAGAAAAGTATGCCGAAGTCACAGCAGCTGCTGCACTGCTGGACGATTTTAAACAGTTGTCTCACGGCGATATGACCGTAGTTGGAGATCGTGGTGCATCTCTGAGCGGGGGTCAAAAAGCCCGAATTAATTTGGCGTATGTTCCCCAACATCTTCAACCAATTGATACATTTTTAATTGGAAGTTATCAAATTACAGTCGAGCACTATACCAGGAGGCTGAAATTTACATTATGGACGACCCACTTTCAGCAGTTGACGCGAGGGTCAGTCGACACCTGTTTGAAAAATGTATGAAGACATTTTTAAAAGGAAAGTTGAGAATACTCGTCACTCATCAGCTCCAGTATTTGTCTCAGGCGGATCACATCCTTGTTTTCAGTGATGTAAACTATATTTCTGTACAACGAATACATAAGCTTTAATCTAATCTGACATGACATGAATAATGTGAACGGTAGGGTAAAATTCATTCTCAAGGGACATTTGACCAGTTGGTGGAGCAAGGGGTCGATTTTGTGAGTCTCTTAGCGTCAGATAGTCTTGATGATGCCAAGAATAGAAAAGTTAGCGTCGTCGCAAAAGAAGAGGTACAGACATGCTTAATAACCAACACTATTTTCATTTAAAAACTTTCACCTGAATTGTATGTTCAGGAGCACGTCGAAAAACCAAAGGAGAATTTGAAGAAGCAGGATCTCGGCGAGAAGATGGCCACGGGCGCATTAAACTCTCAAGTTTACTGGGAATATTTTAAAATCGGGAATTCTCCGATTGGTTTATTTCTTTTGATAAGCATCTGTGCATCTGCTCAAGTGGCCATTTCAGCGACGGAATTTTGGATGTCGTTTTGGTATAGAAATTTATTTAGAATGGAAAATAACCCCATGGAGTTACTCAATCTGAAAATAATTGCAGGTCCAATGCCGAGGCGAAAGAGAGAGATGAAGCAGAAACTGGGGGTTATGACAATTATCTTGGACAAACCACATATCTGTCCATTTACGGGGGTCTGGTGGCGTTAGTGTTGGTCTTAAACTTTCTTCGAGCGGTTGGGTGGTTTACCTACAGTGCTAGAATCAGTGTCAACATGCACGACAAAATGTTTTCGTCCATTGTCCGGTCTCCAACAAAGTTTTTTGATGATAATCCTCCAGGTGAGATTAAAGATTAACTCCATAAATGGAGTCGATTTAAAGCACATTTTATGAACTATAGGCCGCGTAATGAATCGCTTTACAAAGGATCTCGGCCATATGGATGAACTGCTTCCCCCAGTATTTTTTGAAACGACGATAATTTTGCTCCAAATGGCTGGAGTATTGGCGATTGTAATCGTGGCGAATTGGGTTATTGCCATACCCGCCGTGGTGGTCATCGTCGTGCTAATTCTTCTGAGGCAATTTTATATCAGAACTGCAAGAGCCGTTAAGAGAATTGAAGGAATGTGTAAGTAGACAATTTTGGAAATTTGACAAAATGATTTTAAAATTCTAGGACGTAATAAATAGTGTTTGGCTTTGGATAGCAAAAAGTCCCGTCTTCACGCATGCTGCTGCTACATTTCAAGGGCTTACGACCATCAGATCGGCAAATATTGAAAAAATATTGATACAGCAATTTGACGGGTTTCAGGTAAATTTAGAAGACTGATTATACGAATTAAAGAGTGATCATTTAATCTGCATTTAATTTGCAGTTTTTCTGCAAATTTTTGAAAGCTTGCCAAATTTTTTGTTCTGTCGTTTGCCATTTTTACATGGTTTTCATTTAAATTGGTTCAATTATCAAAAATTTCGTAATTTTAAAACTTGAAATGCTAGGACGCACATACATCTGCGTGGTATCTATTTCTCGTCACCATTCGTTGTTTCGGTGTGTGGGTTGAAATGGTGGCCGTCCTTTTCTTGGGAGTTATCGCATTCAGTTTTCTCATCTTACAAAATTGTGAGTTACATTTTTGTATGATTTTGTTGAATTTAGGTGTTACTTAAAAATTACTTCTGTTTATAGCTTCACAACAGAGCGGAAATGTAGGCCTGGCTATTACTTCTGCCATGAATCTAACCACTTGGGTACAATTTGCGTTGCGACAATCTGCCGAAGTCGCGAATTTGATGACTTCAGTTGAGCGAACTTTAGAATATGTCGGTCTTCCTTCAGAAGCGAAATTAGAGTCAAAACCAGGTTAGCTTTCTTTAACTTTCTCCATCCACCATAAAAACATCATAAAACAAATTGTAATGTATTTATGCGTTCCAGATAAAAAACCACCATCGGATTGGCCGAAAAATGGAGAAATTCTCTTCAAAGATGTCCACCTAGCTTATAGCGGCACTCCTGTTTTGCGAAATCTAAACTTTACCATCGGAGCAAAGGCAAAAATTGGCATCGTGGGGCGTAAGTTTCCAAATCTAATTCATCTCGAATAGTGTATTTTGTATAATACTTCCATATTGCTCACATTCATTTCTTGTATGCAGGGACTGGCGCAGGCAAGAGTTCAATAATTCAAGGTAATCCGTCGCTAAATATACATATGTATGAAAAATTATAAGAATTATCAATTAATTACGGTTAACTTATTTTTATTGAAGCCCTGTTCCGAATGGTTGAACCAACCGGAGACATTTTTATTGACGGGGTGAAAGTCAATGATATCGGATTGCACGATCTGAGAAGCCGAATTTCCATCATTCCACAAGATCCAGTATTATTTTGTGGAACGATGCGTTACAATTTGGACCCATTCTCCATGTTTGAGGATGGAGATTTATGGAGAGTTTTGGAAGAGGTGAGAAATCAAGATGATACAGATTCCATATTCGCATTGTGATGGGTGGTTCTAATCATTTTGCATCTGAAAATTTCAGGTGCATTTGAAAGATGCGATTCCTGATTTGAGCTTCAAAGTGTCTGACGGGGGTGATAACTTCAGTGTTGGGCAGAAACAATTGGTATTGTCAATTATTAATACAATTAATAATTTAATTACTAAATTATTATTATTAGGTATGCTTGGCGAGAGCGATATTAAGGGAAAATCGCATCATATTAATGGTAATCGTACACCAAAAATAATTAAAGAGGTTCTTTTTACATTGTTCTTTCTTTTGGTACAAAGGATGAGGCTACTGCCAATTGTGATCCGCTGTAAGTAATAAGTACTTTAAGTAGTATTTAGTAGTAATTTTGATTGGAATATTTTTCTTTTTATAGAACTGACAATTTCATCCAAGGTAGGTCAATCTGGCAACATACACTGGACTATTTGTCCATTAATCTTTGTATTGTGCATGTCAGCAATTTAATTATTACTCAATTTTTATCCAAGAAACGATTCGAACCAGATTTGCGGAATGTACGATAATCACAATTGCTCATAGGTATAGAACCGGAACTACACATATTTTTAGCATTTAGGCATTCAAAATGTTGCATATTATTCATTTTGCATGTCTTCAGATTGAACAGTGTAATGGATTGCGATCGCATTCTTGTTTTGGACCGAGGAGTTATAATGGTACGAAATGTACTTTATTGTCGCAATTTGGTATATGCTCAACCTTGACTTATGCTCAAATTTGGTTTTGAAGGAATACGACCATCCTTGGAAACTTTTGCAAAATGAGAACGGAATTTTGTCTTCGCTGGTGAAAACAACGGGGAAAGCTAGTAGTGCTTTACTAAGGGATGCAGCGGAATTGGTAATTTGCCATTTGACTTATGTACATCGGAAATTGTGACGGAAATTGTCTCACGTTAAAAATCTTGTCATTACAGAGTTACAACAAAAGAAATTCAAAACAAACATAGATAGTTAATTTTAATTTTTCATTTGATGAATAAACTCATGTATTTCGCTGTATCGTTTGTTATGTACATTTCTTTCAAAGTTGACTAAAAATCCCATATGCATTCCATATGCAAAATCCCATACAATAAAATAAGACCAATAAATGTGTCATCAAATCAAGCCGGTGAAAGTTTTCATGCATTTTTAACAGAGTGAAAGTGTCAAAAAATCAAATCATGAAATGGGGATGATGTCATCATGGTGATTGAAGATAAACCATAAACCACTGCCAGTAGGAAAAAGATGCAGATAATAAGGGATGGGAGAAGTTGGTAAATTTTTGTGACGCTTTTTTGTACCACCAGCATTATGTCGACTTATCCTCCACCACACCCACGCCCCAGACCCGCAAGGAGTGGCGACCCTGCCGTTATCTATGCAGCTCAACCACAATACAGGGTCGTTGGTGAGAACGAATAGAATGACATCACCGATGATGCTTAATGATAAAATGACTGCACAATTTTAGAGATGATGCCTCCAGGACCAATGATGATTTGCCCATTCTGCGGCTACACGGTCTCTCCCGTTATTACACACGAGCCAAGTTTGTTTGCCTGGATGATGTGCATCCTAGTGTCAATTTTGTAACGAAAAGTGCTAATCAAATATTTAATCCTAATGTATGTATCCGAAATGTCAATTTGTAATGCAGGTTCATGCCATTCTTCTTCATCGGCTTTCTCATTGGATATTTCATCCTGGTCGCAGATAGTTTGCAAGAGCCAAAGTACGTCTGCCCCCTCTGCGGAAACTTTCTTCCAGTCAATACCATCCTGATTTAAGAAATACCATAATCAAAACAACCATGTAAAAATTATTACTAATCAATTTTGTGATGCAATAGTGAGAGTGACGAATAAGTATTAAACATGAATTAGTGCGTATGTACATACACATTTCAAGATGCTATTGAAATCTATTTATTATTCACTAGTTTAATCACTGCTATACGTTGATTATGATCTAATATCTACCTTGATACATAAAATGATTGAACGATAAAGGGAGATTTTTTTGGTTTGGATATATAACGAAACAAGTCTTCATCAACACAATTATTGTAATCATCGATATTTAGTTTGTACCCTCATTAATAAGAGGAGAAGGGTATAATAATATAGTAGCATCATCATATAACAGCATCTGTATGCAATCTAACATTTATCTATCATTCTAAATTTTTTCTCATTCTCTCAACTTATTCTTCCAGTTGTCTGAAAGCTGCTTGCATATTTTCATACAATTCATCAAACTCTGTTTTCAATTTGACTTCTCCTTCGGCAGGGTCTTTGAATTTCATGGAACTGAAAAATAAATAAAATAATACGTAAAATTGACCGTCCATTACAAATAAATCTAACGAGAGTTTACCTGAGTTGATATAAAATTGGCCCCATTGCTTCCCTGATTGTGTTCCAGGTTACTTTATTGTCGGACTGAGAGGTTGATTCAACCGCGTGTCGGGCCATTTCATAAAATCCGATCATATTCTTTATCAAGTAATAATCAAATTAGATATGTCCGTTTTATTGTTAAATTTAACCTTGAAAATTAAATATTTCACATACCTTTAACATTGCCACCGACTTGTAAAATGGGCAAAATCTGTCGTATGGTGTGTATCTGTACAAATACAAAATATCGACACAATTATTATATCAGTCAGTCTTTGTGACAAAGGAATGTGTCGTCTCCTTTTAAATCGCCAATGCACTGACCCATTCTGCTGCAAGAAATCTTCCTTCAGCAACCTCGCAACTTCCAACGTGATTTTATCCGTCTCTGCCAAAGAAGCTTTACCGACCTAGAGATAAACAGAGAGATTACATATTTGTTAATTACTCTTATTTAGTATAGTTGAAAAAAGAATAAGATTCTTACCAGCTGCACAATTTCAGCAAGATCCTCCTCCTCTTGCAGAATCTCCTTAACTCGGGTTCTTAGCGGAACAAACTCTGGGAAATGCTTGTCATAATGGTCGTCTAATGCCCTCATGTATTTACTGCAATCATACAAAAACGAACAGTAAATTCATATTTAAACAGACAGCAATAATGTTTTGTTATGGCTAATCACCTATACGAAATTAACCAGTTGATTGAGGGAAAGTGTTTCCTCTGAGCTAATTTTTTGTCCAAACCCCAAAACACTTGCACAATACCTGAGCGTATAAATAATATTGAGTAAAGGGTTCAATAATTATGCTTATACATATAATATTATTAATTGAAATTAATTGTATAATTATAGCTTATTTACCAAGAGTAGCAGAGGTGACCGGATCTGAAAAGTCACCACCTGTGGAAGAATGTAAAGGACACAATAAAGGATGGGACAATACACACAGTATATTTTTTTGCATGTTATACCATACCAGGAGGCGAAACGGCACCAACGATGGATACAGATCCTGAGTATCAAAACCAGATAATTGTTAATTTAATCAAACAAGGGTGTCACGTAGTAGTAATACAATACTGACCTTCTCGTTCAGGATTTCCAAGACATCGCACTCGTCCAGCTCTTTCATAGAAAGAGGCCAATCGTGCTCCCAAGTAGGCGGGGTAACCACTAGTTAATGACATACATTTATCAGAAATTGGATAACAGGTATAATCATAGATAATGTAATTTAATGCGTTACCTGTCAGCAGGCATCTCAGCCAAACGACCAGAGATTTCTCGAAGAGCTGTATCAATGAAAAGTGTTAGCATAGATATCACTTGACGAGCTAGGAGTAAAAATATTTTTTAAATTTATGTTGGCAGTTTTTCCCTGCTTACCTTCGGCCCATCGGGACGTAGAGTCAGCCATCATGGATACGTTGTAACCCATATCACGGAAATATTCTGATAAGGTGATTCCAGTATAAATTGATGCCTCTCGGGCAGCGACAGGCATGTTGGAGGTGTTGGCGACAAGCGCAGTACGACTCATGATGGATTCTGTTATCCCGTCAATCTCAATCTTCAACTCTGGAAAATCTCGGAGTACCTCAGACCTAAATAACGTATAAACACAATAGTGAAATTGCGTCCTGAAGTAATTATTGTACATGTTTCAAAATAATCTAATTAAAGTACATTTCATTTCCTCGTTCACCACATCCGACGTAAATAATGACATCAGAATTAGAGAATTTTGAGAGTGATTGAGAAATGACAGTTTTGCCGCATCCGAAAGCTGGAAAACAAAGTTTCATATGAATGAGTTTTTTTATTAATAAAGTTTGAATAAACGGGCGTCTTACCTCCCGGAATGGCAGTGGTACCACCTTGGACGCAACTGCAGACCAATTAACGAGCCCCCAATTATCAACACGCAATTTTTAAATCGGTAGTAAAATTGGAATATTAGACTCACGGGAACAAAGAATCCAGTACACGCTGCCCTGTTAAAAGTGGGTGGTTAGCTGGCAGTTTTTCCGTGCAAGGCCTCGGTTGTCGTACAGGCTAAAAACGGTTGCATAATTGCATTGAGTTCTATTGTTTAACTTATTGAACTAATTAGATGAACTAATTTGTACGAGACCTTACCCACACTTGCAACATTGAAAACTTTGATTTTTCCCCATCAAATTCAGTTTCCAAAATTATATCCGTCACGACAAAAGATCCAGCTTCCGCGATGTAGGTCACAGTACCGCGGGCACGAGGCGGAACCATAAGCTTGTGCTTCACCATGCGGTTTTCAACAACTGTGCCGTATAAATCTCCTCCGGTAACATGACTTCCGACCTGACCAACGTAGCAAAAGTGAATTACATTGTTACACAATTCTTTCACGTACATAAATATGTAGCTAATATAATACACACCCTAATGTTTCGGTCAGGGACAAAATCCCACTTTTTAGTCCGAGAAAGTGCAGGGACGTTGACACCCTGTATAGGAGAGGATATAAAGTATAAATATCATAAGATGCATAAAAACTGAACATGATGATTATTTACCTTTGGAATGTAAATTGACTGCGACATATCACAAATATCCTGCAGTGGTCGCTGAATTCCGTCGAAAATTGAACTCTAGAAACAACGGTAAAGTTAAGGTATGTGTAACGTGGATAAGCGTCTTTTTTTGAACAACATAATATTCTTCTAACCATGATACCCGGCCCAAGTTCGACCGAGAGTGGTTTTCCAGTTCTCAATACCGGGTCTCCAACTGTCACACCCGAAGTTTCTTCGTAGACCTGGTGAAACAGATAAAATAACCAACTAATTTTAACCACGCAACAAACTGCGCCATAAAATTTTATATTTATAATAAATTACCTGTATCGTGGCCATGTCCCCCTCAAGACGAATAATTTCTCCGACTAACTCGCCATATCCGACACGGACCAACTCGTACATAGCCGATCCTAAATAAACAAAATAAGTGTCATGTTTTTCTCATCATTGTCACGGCAAGCATTTCTATGATTTAGTGATTACTCCCACTGAACCCACCCCATCTACTTTTAAAATCACTGACTCAATGGAAAAGTATCATTCTTTAACAGCACCCGTGGTAAAATTTCAACTGTTACTTCACTTACCGGACATGTGCGACGCGACGACGACTAAACAGAATATGAAAATTGTATTACATAAATTTCCTTTATTTTTTCACCAATTTTAAAATCTTACCAGGTCCGGAAACGGCATGCACGTATCCAAAAGTTGACTCCTTCTCTTCATCCTTTATCTTTGGGAGAGACATATTTCGATTATTGCAGCTCACCGCCCAATTCCAAAATTATTAAGTACCCACGCCTCTACTTCTTGACTCTGGAAATAAAACATTCGAAGAAGAACAATTATTAGCAAACAAAAAAAAATATGAAAATCGTCTTTATAAATAAATGTCCACCTCGTACCAAGAAAAAAGACGTTTTTTATCTATTATGGACCAATACATACAAATAAACAGCTCTGTAGTCTGGGGCGTTGTCGAGAGATTATAATTTCAAATTCCCATGCATTCATACACCACATATCGTATTAGTTAGTTAGTTAGTACACCTCACATGCTTCTATATCATCTCTGCTCTATAATATAATATGGATGTAACTTCCATGAGGACGACAGAACAATTATCTATCTATCTCAATGCTGCAACTCTGTCAATATATTTAAGTAAGTCGACACGCAGCAGACCAAGCATTAATATCACTGCACAGAAGTGGTAGTTCTCTGGTGTGTCAGTCATGTCATAAGAATAATGGATATGAAAAGTATTACATTGTATTATACTCAAACCTTACTTGAAGCAAGCTAAATGCGTTAAATGACTAAAACCATTCTTATGCTAATGAGCTTATCTGCTGCTCCATGCTAACTACACTAATAAAACTACCTGGTTTAGCATCACGTTTTGTGTAAGGCAGCAGATTTACAACTTTCTTCACCTTCGTCACATCTTCTCCAACAATGCTGACGTAAATAAGTTGTAAAGATGCTCACCAAATTTGATACAGCTGTTAAATTTAAATGCAAGCAAACCTTTTACAGCAACTATAAAATGTGTCTGAATTATCTTTGTAAAGATATAAGTTAATGTTGAAGTGGAAAATCGAAAAATGCTTGCTGTTAGTTAATATACTTTCATACAAAATGTTCCAAAAAATGTCATCCAACATGCAAATGAATGAACCGGAAATGCACAATCACTGTTATTAAGCGGTGTTGGTAGGGTAGGGGCGTTACATAAAAAAATTATTTCACAAAATTTTATGACTCATATAAAATCCCAAAATTAATCCAATGCAAAGTATTTCTTACCGTTTCAAAAAATTCACAGCCAATCCCTTTGAGTATATAGTCCCAACTTTGTGACACGCACACCCAAGATATTTATTTGTACAGTTAAAACGAAGTTGTTATTAACTTTAAATTAATATAATATCAATGATTAAATAAATGGAATATGGAATGGAATGGAATATCAATTAATCACGTAGTCTGGTGAGTGCTTGAGCAGTCTGCCCCTGCTGACTAATTAATTGACGCAAATTACTAATGGAGAATAATTAACTCCCCAAATAAACATTAAATTATTTTATCACCAATCCAATTCCTTGACCAAATCAAACCAACTCTTATACATACATACATGCCAAACAGCAGCTTGCTCACTGTCAGATTTTTGCTGCTTTTAACGCCGATATACAAAACCCAGCCCAATATTCCTATACTACAACCACCACCTCTAACATGCGCTCCTTGGTCAGCTCCTCTGCAAAATATATTCGCGAATTCAAAAATGTTATACAAAAATTCATCCCGTAAAAATCCATAATTGCATTTCACCAAATTTTTTTGTGCATAATACTCGTCTCCATATTTAAATAAACACATCATATAACAAAATCTTTTTTATTTTAATTTTGACCGCGTTTTAAGGTCAGAAAGGTCATAACCCCTTGCTGAATTATATTTTACTTGGGTCGTTGTGTTTTAGACAAATTTTTTTATTTGTGTCAAAATTGGTGATATAATGTATGAATGGCCCCCAAAAACCTTTTTTTGCTCAAATCCGTAGGGGTCCTGTTCGTCAACCAAGATAGGTATTGCGTATCCTGAGACACGCAATATTACTGCGAAGGGATGGCGTGCTCGTTTTTAAGTAGTGGAGTAATTTCTTCAAGTTGGAAATCTAGAATTTAAAAATTTCCTTTTATTGAAATTTTGCAATTTGCACATTAAGTGGTGCGTCTTAATTTAATTTAAACCTTATTCTTGTTGAGACTTAATGTATGCAATTTCGGAAAAACGACACTAATTTCCAAGCCGTCGAGGTCGAGTTGATTGTTGTCTAGAATGGAAATAAATAAATAAATAAATAAAATAAAAAATAAAATGGATATAAAACTTGGATATAAAACTCATCTCTTCTGCGCTGTTATAGCCCAATTTACATGATTCGTACACTTTATTTATTTAGCCCCCACAACAGTGTTGTGGGCCAAAACCAGCCGTGTCATGGTCAGGAACTCGAGATGCCACGGTTAAGGGGACAATGTGTGTCCAAAGAAGTCGCAAGGAACAAAAGACCATTTAAGGGTGCATAATACATAGGATTTACCAAACAGATTCAACTAACCATTCCAAGTCAAAAGCAAAGAAGAGGCAAAAACCTGGATGTAGTTTCCGGTATGTGACATACTCAAAATCTCACTCTGAATATAGAAAAGTATTCCAAGCTACATACACTTGTGTTATAGGTACAAAATCCCACCCAATTGTGACTTTGACCCCACGGAATCATTCTTTCTACCTTTATATGAGTTAATGTTTTCTCCATTTAAAGTCATTCACTCTACGCCGGTATGATGCAGCTTGTGTGATGAATCCACCAGAATCAAGAGTATACCTTACTGACTTTACTAGACGACTATCGCAAGATCTTCGTTTTTACAAAATTCTGACGATGATGAACAGGAAGAAAATTCAGAAAAAAAATCATGGGAGAATTCAGATGAAGAATCAGGTGGGAGTAAATAGGGTGATAAGATATTATTATTGGATACTATTACTTACATTTGTCAGACACGTAATCAGTATTTTCGCTAACTGTAGTTTATGTGACTTGCTTTTATTCTCTTATACTTGATAATATTTGATATTATATTTGACTGTTAGGAAACAAGGTTATGAGTGGTATGAATTGAGGCTGTTTGTCAAAGATTACTTTCACCATAAATTAGCAATACAATAAAATTACAGTCAATCTACCATTACAAAATAAACAAATAAATTCGACAAAGTATACGAGTTAGAAATTACGAGTGACAATCGATCACTAATATGAATCGAAGAAGTGCTTTGTAGAATTTTAATTATAATTGTATGCAATCTTCAGGAAATGCTCGTGATTTTTTTTCAAAAATGACTGAAATAAAACAGCATTGGTTTATTATGTAAACATAATACGACTGATATTGACATGCATACCAGCCCCACAATTATAGTTTCGCCAGTGAATTGTGTACATAAGTACTAATAAATGAAATGGACTCTACGTTGGTTTGTAGTCAGTTTACATATTTATTGCTGGTCAGCGGTTACATAATTAAAAAGTAAAATGAAATTACGCGAGACTAGTTAATTAAAGACAGAAGAAAGAACGTCTTAAGTCTAACTAATATGTTTAGTATAGGTAAGTATAATAAAAAAATGTAACAAAGTCAATATTAGTAATAAATTGTCATTTCTCTATCGTTTGTTAACACACATGCCCATCTGAAGTACTGTGGTGAAGAGGATTCCCACCGGAAAAGTAACCGGTGAGGGTACCACCACCACTGACGACTTTGCAGTTGGGAAAGTAAGTTTATTATGTGTTTTAGGCCTAATCTGCCTCTTCATCGAAGTCGGCATTTGTCCCTTCATCGGAATCATGACCTGTATCTTCATCGGAATCATGACCTGTATCTTCATCGGAATCATGACCTGTATCTTCATCGGATTCCCCATCAATCTCGTCATCCGATTCGCCATCAATCTCGTCATCCGATTCGCCATCAATCTCGTCATCCCAATCTTGCTGGGCCTCGTCGACTTGATCTTGATCGTGATCTTGCTCCTCATCTTGCTCCACATCTAAAACGCGTATTGTGCGTGCTAGTAATACTCGACTCACATCCGTATCCAAATTTTGTAAAAACGAGTCAAGACTTTGCGATAGTCGTCTTGTAAAGTCAGCAAGGTATATTCTTGATTCTGGTGGATTCATCACACAAGCTGCATCATACCGGCGTCGAGCTAATGATTTTAAATGGAAGTTTGCGAAGTAATCCAGCCCGTGTAGAGGTAGAAAGAATGCTTCGGTTGGGTCAAAGTCACAATTTGGTGGGATTTTGTACCTATAATGTAAAGATATTTAAATGTAGTTCTAAATTTGTTCAACTACATGTAACTTTGAGCAAAAGTTAATACCGAAGGCTGCAGCCAAGGTTTTGTCTCCTTTTCGATACTGCCGTAAAACTTACTTGTCTTACGGATGTTACAGCCTTTACAAGCCTTTGTTTAGTGAATCCAATTATACAACCTTCAATAGTCAATTTCTCCTTGTCTCTGTAAGGGCAGACCCATGTCTGACTTAAATCTGGAGAAAATTAAAGTATTCGTTATTATTTATTGTTACAGATAAACATTTCAAATTGATTTGATAATAATAAACTCTATACGAAATTTCTTACCTTTGAAATCGGTTGCATCGAGATCTACGTTTATAATCTCCCCATCCAAGGTAGTTGTGTACGCATGGGACGGTGGGTTATCGCTGGGCTTCACGTTGTATTTTCTCACTGCACAATCGTAGCATAGGGCTTCGTCAGAAAAGTTGGTTCCTAAAGTAGATGCCTCTGTGTTTGAGTAACAGTTGTAGCATGGCCCTTCTAACTTATGTAAAGCGGACCATCTCAACCTTAACTGGTTTTTGTAACGTTTTGTGCCTGGCTTGTAGGAAGGGGGGAGGCGTCCTTTGTCAGAAGGGATTCTTGGGCGTGGTCTTTTGACCCTATGTTGATAGAAATAGCATGTGTTACACAAAATCCCTTGACCTTTTGGGGTTGCCCATCTACTTGATTTTTCTGTCCCGCAGTTGGAACAAGGTCCGCTGTTTTCGAGAACGGACTGTAACGAGCCATTATCAGAGGGGATTCTTGGGCGTGGGGATTTGTGCTTAAGTTCGAATTGGTAGCATGTGTTACACAAAATCCGTGCTTGACCTTTTGGGATAGTCCATCTACATGATTTTTCTGTCCCGCAGTTGGCACAAGGTCCGCTGTTTTTGAGAACGGACTGTAACGAGCCATTATCGGAGGGGATACTTGGGCGTGGTCTTTTGTGATTACGTTCGAATACGTAGCATGTGTTACACAAAATCCCTGCTTGACCTTTTGGGGTAATCCATCTACATGATTTTTCTGTCCCGCAGTTGGCACAAGGTCCGCTGTTTTTGAGAACGGACTGTAACGAGCCATTATCGGAGGGGATACTTGGGCGTGGTCTTTTGTGATTACGTTCGAATACGTAGCATGTGTTACACAAAATCCCTGCTTGACCTTTTGGGGTAATCCATCTACATGATTTTTCTGTCCCGCAGTTGGAACAAGGTCCGCTGTTTTCGAGAACGGACTGTAACGAGCCATTATCGGAGGGGATTCTTGGGCGTGGGGATTTGTGCTTAAGTTCGAATTGGTAGCATGCGTTACACAAAATCCCTGCTTGACCTTTTGGGATAGTCCACCTACCCGATTTTGTTGTCCCGCAGTTGGAACAAGGTCCGCCGTTTTTGAGAACGGGGAGGCGTCCTTTTCCAGAAGATATTGTTGGACGTGGGGATTTGTGTTTAAGTTCATAGTCATAGCATGTTTTACACAAAGTCCCCACTTCCCCATGGGGGGTTGTCCACCTTTTTGATTTTGTTGTGCAACAGTTGGAACAAGGTCCGCCGTTTTTGAGAACGGACTGTAACGAGCCATTATCGGAGGAGATTCTTGGGCGTGGGGATTTGTGCTTACGTTGGAATTGGTAACATGTGTTACAGAAGATCTCTGCTTGACCTTTTGGGATAATCCACCTTTTTGATTTTGTTGTCCCACAGTTGGAACAAGGTCCGCTGTTTTTGACAACGGGGAGGCGTCCTTTTCCAGAAGATTTTCTTGGGCGTGGGGATTTGTGTTTAAGTTCATAGTCATAGCATGTTTTACACAAAGTCCCCTCTTCCCCACCACCTACTTTGGTTGACCACCTACTTGATTTTGTTGCCGTGCAGTTTGAACATGGTCCATAATCGACACGTTTGAATTGAATATTTTTTCTTTCCAAAAGGATTCTCTTTGCGCATTCTTGACAAACTCTTTCCCCATCAGCTTTTCTGTGCCATTTCATAGTAGTAGAGGAGTTGCACACGGCGCATGTCCTGGGGTTCTTGTTATAGTCGTTGATGATAGAGATGTCTTGTTCGTCTAAATGTCCCTACCAAAACAATCGACTTTTGTGAATTAGCAAGTTTATACGAAGACATAATGCTGGTATGAGAAACTTACTTGTTGCAAATTTGTATCCACGTCACTCTTATTTGAAGCAAATGGATCGACCAACTTGAAATATGATATTTCTGGAGCTCTGGTCTTATCGAGGATGTTTGATTCGACTTCGGATGTGAGTTGGGATGTTACTTCAGTCGGCACTTCCGCCACAGGGCAAGCTAAGATGCCGGAATCCTCCGAATCAAAGTGGATTTCGATATAATCTTGGGATAATTCATCAAAATTTTCAATGTAAATAACATCCGAGATAGTTTCTACTTGATGATCCATTGGGATATTATCTTGGACTGGGTTGTCGTGAAGTCCGCTTGATACTGGCTTTTCCTGCATCTCTGACGACTCGCTTTCTTTGTAGAATAGTATGTAGGCCTGACGGCTTAGTACATTTGCGAGACATGTTTTTGACACTTTTTCGTCGTTGCAAATGAACCAGTAATCTTCATCGATAGGTCTTCTTCTGTAGGCAACGTAGTGTCCTTGGTCGTCAAAGTTGCCCAAGTGCTCCACTAATCCGAACAAGTCGTACTTAATTGTCTTGGACTCTATTGATTCTGATAAGAAGGTCGACATGTCCAAAACTGCTGGGAAGATGACGGGCGAATCTCTTTTAACGATCCCATTTGGCTAAAAAATTTAAGAAACAAAATGAAAGTCCGAAAAAAAATACAAACCAACTTGATATTTCGATATACCGTGACAAGGAATCTCTTCAAATGCAGCACTAGATTGGCAGGTGGTGTAGAAATCCTAGAACTTTTCTCAGCGGGGGATGAGATTGATGGGAAGTCTAAAGGGGTTTTGTTGTACTTGGCAGCAATTATTCTTCGGCATTTGTCACATTCAACCGAATTTTCGCCGACTAGGAATTCAACGTCCATGTGAGCAGATAAGCATTCCTCTAAGGACACTACGAGACACAAAATATAAAAGGGAATAAAGTATTTATATATATTGGAAATGTGTCAAAAATCAAAAATATTAGATACCATTATTATTTGCACTGCCTTGACCAGAGACCTAGGGAAAGGAATTTTAATAGTACATATATATAAACTACGAGTTTTATGCTACTAACCACAATTGGAAGACTAATGTCCAAGAAATGCTCTGAGTTAATCCTTTGATTACTGCAGTGCACACATTTAATTGTAGTTTTAATTTCTCCGCCAAAGATTCCTTCGAGCATGTCGGAAATCTGTGAAATCGTACATTGGCATATTATTTTAATTCAATTCATTAAGTGTCATATTAGTAGGATCTTCTTCTTTGAGCAATTGGATAATGAACCTAAGCAGTTCGTGGGCGTCGTGTTGCTGGCGCAAAGGAAATCTTTCTTTCACTGCGTCGAGGATTGCAACAGGCGAAAACTGTTCATCACTTTCTCCATTGATGGACCCAAAACAAAGTAACAATTCTTTCAACAATGTGGACCGTGGCAAGTTGAAATTAGATGTGGTCCTAGAGTGATGCAAATTATTATGGTGCTGGTTATTACGTATGTATCAGAATTTTTATAAAAATTTACTACCTGATATCAAACACAGAAGCGAGGCATTGGAGAATGGAGTTGAGGTAACAAGTCTCACCCAAATTTTCTAGGCCCTATAAAAGAGTTACAATGGTGTTCAATCTCGGTAATCATCATGCCTTTAAAAAATTAATTACATTATGTTGGCCATTCTCTCTTGCTTGTAAAGTTCTCTCTCCAAATCTGGTGGAGGACATCGTTGAAGAAGAAGGACCCTGAGACACTCTGTTGATCGGGATGTGGCTCAGACGGCGAGACGGACGCAAAGCAGATTTTGTCGATGGTGGTTACAAATAAGAAATTAAATAAATTTAATAAATTTAAGGGAAAATAGATAGATTATACGCACACGTACAACTTTTGTTGTTGGTCGGCTTTGTCGGCCCTGCTTTTTGTCAGTCGCGATTCCATAGCCGTCGTCGTCGGGAGTTTCTTGTGAACCAGTAGCTGGTGTCGACGACGAAAAATTTTGAGTAAAGAAATCAGGATCACGAGAAGAACGAGTGTCAATTTTCCTTGTTCGTTTTTTCCTTTTTTCCATCTTTGCCTTCTGCAAAGTTACAAGTGTTGTAATATTAAATGATTATTTAAAATGCTTCACAAATATTAAATACTAATTTGGATACCTTAGAGGATTTGGATTCGAAATCACTGCTATCTGAATGATCAACCTCGTCACTTTCGGTGATAGGAGATTTAACACAATTTCTCCTAGGACGGGAATCCTGTTTGAGATTTTTAAGTTTAAGACTAATCCTAAGTTTTCTTAAAGCAGGACTACTTCCGCAAATGAGTTTCTTAAATTAAATTGAAACTTGCTTACCTTAGTTGTTCCTTCCTCCATCTTTGTCTCACAAACTAGATTTTAACTTTGCCCGAGAATAAATTTTAACAACTGCTCGTTGATTATATAATTAAAAAAAGTTCAAAAAAAAACTTTGAAGACATTAATTTTTGGAGGAGTAACCGGCAGCAAACAAAATGGAGGAGCTGTTACTAGTCACACAGCAGCAGATAATTTGATGCAGGACTTGTCGTGTCTTGGAGAAAATATGGCGCACTTTTATTTCTGAACGTTGCTGCCTTCTTGCTAATTTTTTGTAGGTTTATTTTTATTCAGGGTAGATTTGTTTGAATTAATTGGTGGATAAACTTTTAATTAATTTTTTAATGTCACAAATATTCACAAATGTTGATTTCTTTTAATAGAATAAAAAGACCAGGTCAGGTCATTTACTTTTGTCATCCTGAATGAGTGCAAGTGATGGAGTATGGAGCGGCTATGCACAAGTCTATGTATGCTGACAGCCAGCAAGCAAGCAAGCAGTGAAGCTACTTTTGAGCAGACGCCGCTTTTTCGCTTTTGTTATTTTTTGACCGACGCTTTGAAGTAAAAGATGGAAGAAGAAGAAGCTGGATATAAAAATGATATATGCCTATTTGTATCTGTGGTTTTTATTTATGAAGCCTTATTTATTGGAAGTCTAGATTTTTATATATCTAATACATAAATGGTAAAAAGTAGTTAGTCAGATGATAGTGTGTTAAAGGAAAATCTCGTTTATGTGTTTATGTGTTTATGTGTTTATGTGTTTATGTGTTTATGTGTTTATGTGTTTATGTGTTTATGTGTTTATGTGTTCTCGCATGTGCAAATAGTGATAAAATACGGGTGCGATAAAATTTGTTCGGATTTTATTTTAAGAAGGGCCGGTTTTTGCTGACTCCACTTGAGTGTGCAAGTAAATAAGAAGCATTATTATTATATATGAATGAACACACATTAATTCTCTACTCATCATTCAAGCTTCCTGCGCAGTTCTACATATGTATACTTTAAACGTTGCGTAATTTCTAGTATTAACAAAAGACGACCTGTTGACGTATTTATCTTTTAGTCGTGACGTCGTCTTAGGCGAGATAGTCAGTTCCCTCCCTCTCTTTATATTTTAAACCCCTAACGTTACATAAATATAAAACTGTCCATCTGGAAACACAATGAACTTGGAATCTGAATGTTTTCTGTCGTTTGGGATGACATCATCTCCTCCCCTCATCAAAGTTGAACGTGATCCTGGTCCTCCCGTTGAAATCGCACATGAATTCCTCAGTGTTGGCACAGAACAAGCCAACTTAATTTCAAAAAACTATAAACCAGTGTATGACAGTCGGCTATCCATAACTAGAGTAATTTTAGTCAGAAAGGTAATTCTTTCCGGTGGACAAAATGTTATTGACGCAAAGAAAAATACATCTTTTCGGAATTCGATAAATGTGGCTCAAAAATTGTTGGAATGGGGTCATTTATGCCCTACCGCTCCAGATACATTGGCTCTGCATCCGACAAGTCATGAAGAAGCTCTCGTAATAGACCGACTGCCAAATATCTTTATTGTTGGTGGACAAAAACGTTTTAAAATTCGCGAATGGAAGGGAACTTTTATCGTTACACTCCCTAAATTTAGTGATACGGGTATTGCGGTCGTTTTGGATAAATGTATGAACTTTGTCCCACTCAACATTAGAGTCCTAAATAAATAAGTAATTAAGGCATGTATTGTTGGCTGTCTAAGCTTATGAAACATGCTTTTTGTAGATCCTTAATAATCAATTACTGTGTTTTTTTATTATTCTATAAAAGAGTGGACATTTTTATGTATTGACATATAGCATGTATCGGAATTGGAATATTTTCTAAATAAATAACACCCTTTTTAATTTGAGAATGTTTTGTGTACTATTATGAATGAATCATTTAACGAAATGAGCCTTTCATTAAATTAATTGATAATCTGTAATAAAGAGTCATGTGTAAATTTTCCCGAATTACATTCATCTCAACTCATCTTTGATGTTAGATAGTTACGTACGTACTTGTTGGTAATTTAAAGTAATATGCAATTATTCTATTTGAAATGTAACTCGATTTGTCCTTGAAGAATACTGGTCAATTTCAAACTTGATTATACATCAACTTTCATAAGAGATTTCGCAGCTTAAGCCTGGGATGCCATGTAATGTATGGGTAGCTTGTAGGAATTTTCAATGGCCGATTTGATAAACTCGTTAGTGATAGCAGTTATATTTTAAGTGTGTGGATAATCTGGTGTACAAAAAATGTTCAGTTTGATGGTAGATGTCCAAATTCATAAGAGATTTCGCAGCTCAAGCCTGGGATGCCATGTAATGTATGGGTAGCTTTCATGAATTGTCAGCCTCGATTTGATAAACTCGCCTGTGATAGGTAGCGTATGATAATTACCAAGGAGTATGAATAAATTAATTAGGAATTGGAGGAATGTTTTCAATGAAAAATTACCACAGCATCACGAATTCCCCGATTGATGCAACATTGGCTTAAGGCTATCCTTGTGGATGGAGATGAGTTTGGTTACTAGGTTTTTGTGGCACGAATAAATAAGCATGGGAATAACAGTAAATTCAAGACTGTATATCTTCATTAACATTCTGTGAGTAAAACATTCAAACAACTTATGAAGGACTTGTCAGAGCACGTAGTGAAAGAACGTTTCTCCTAAATAAAGTTTATGGTGAAATACACCTTAGAAATTAGTGCATTCTAATGCATCCTGGCAAATGCAAGGGAAAATTTACATGAGATGTATCTGAAAGGTGATTTTTTATCAATACATTTTTATAAGTTTTGGCTTGACTTTGAGACAAATTATAAATCCGACCGCAAAGAAATTACAAAATGGCAAATGGTGTCATACCAGTGACGAATGGGTACGTGGTGTCGTCATCGTCGGGTTTCAATAATGGGGTAATAATGTTGTATTTGATCCACCAAACCATCATCCACATACTTTGTAAACTTCATTTTTTGGTAATAGTTCAGGAAATTTTGCCTCTTTAAAACTCTTTAAACTAATCTGTACGGCCTTCTCTCTGATTGGCACTGAATTTAGTGTCATTCTCATGTAAATTTTTTCTCGCAGGCGTCAAAAGGTATAAGAGGAGAGCCATACCAACTGTTCCACAAACCCTGTTTCCATTTTTAGCAAAAAGCAGAGTGAGAGTTGGACTCTGGTGGGTATCACCACCACCGGCGACTGTCGATGCGACAGTGCCGTATGGTGGTCTGTCTCACTTCTCACTCTCTGCAAATTGTTTACCGGGATTATGAACCAACTCGTGTTGAGATGCTTTTTATCTCTCACACGAGTTGGTTCATCTTTGGAATTCTCCAGTTTTTTAAAATAAAACTAAAAAAGTGGGAGTTATTTTTATAAAATATTAAAAAAGTGAATCATGGAGGCTCACTCCTCCCTCCCAAGAGAGCAGCCACCTTCACCACCACCCCCAATATCACCCCTGCCACCACCGCCACCCCCAATTTCGACATCACTTCCACCACCACCACCGGATACTACCACACCCACCGAAATAAGCCAAGGTAGGTACCTTTTAAGGTTGAATCTCTGAGAGCAACGGTCAAACGTGTCGAATTTTTTGTCTTGACCGTTTTAGATTGGTCGTGGATTTCAAAAATCGACTTTGTTTTGACTTGTCACGACCGTGTGACCGTGTCGCTTTACCTTTTTGCTACATTTCGATCGTTGTTTGCAACGGATTATTGAAAATGGTATGCTTTAAAAATCAGAGATGGGATAAATATTAAAATTGTTATATTATGTTATATTTTTAAAATTGTCAAAAACTCAGAGATGGGATAGTTTAAGTTGGGGTATATTTTAAAAATTTTCTAAAAAGCCGAGATAGCTTAATTATTTAAATTTTGCAATATTTTTAAAATTTTTAAACAAATAGAGATAGGATAATTATTTAAATTGGACAAGATTCCTGAAATTAAAAAAATCAGAGATGGGATAATTATTTAAATTGGGGAAGATTTTTAAAATTTTCAAAAGATCAGGGATGGGATAATTACTTAAATTTTGCAATATTTTTAAAATTTTCAAAAAATCAGCGATGGGATAATTATTTAACTTGGGCAGGATTTTTTAAATTTTCATAAAATCAGACATAGGGTAATTATTTAAATTTTGCAAGATAATTATTTAAATTAGGGAAGATTTTTAAAATTTTCAAAAAACAGATTGGGTTATTATTAACAGTTGGAAATTTTTACAAAAGTTTTGAATATTCAGAGACAGGTTAATTTTTAAAATTAGAACATGCTAATAAAATTCTATTGGAAGATTCCAATTAGTAAAAACGTTTCAAAGTATGTCAAAAATTCAAGTAGTGGTAATTGTTTTCTTTATAGTACGTCGCTGCGACATTGGACTCTTGATTGCCCACCACCGATGGACTTGTTCTGAAGACGAATCTCGACCTCTAGACAAGATTGTGCAAAGCAGAACTATGCAGTCTGTCAGGCAGTCATTTCCAGGTTTCAATTTCAAACTTATTTTCAGTGATAATTTTTTCTGTGCAAAATGCATTGAGTTTTTTGGACGGCGCCGTGTTCGCACATGTTGTCATCCAAAGCATAACAATAAATACAAAGGCAAAAATGTGAAATACATCACTGCGGAAGATTACTTTACCCAATACAAAGCCCTGGGATTATTACCAAATCAAGCGATATGCAAGGACGCAAAATTCTGCTATGATGATACCCAAGAAATTCAAGATCAAGATTCGGAAGATCCTACCTTTGAAGAACCAGCCTCAAAGAAGAGATTGGTCGAGACGTTAACAAGTATCAAGCAAACAATTTCCCCTTCGGCCCCTGCAATAGCATTGAACAGAAGAAATCTCAAGCAACAAAGTAATCTAGTCACAAGAGAACTTGAGCAAGTAACGAAGACAATCACCACAGGATTCCAAGATGTCGGACTACCAATTCCAGACAAAGAACAACACAATCAAGAACAACTTCTCCAGGATTCTACAGATCTCAACTGGATCATGAAGCACTTGAAGCTAAGATTGCAAGGATGTTCTCAAGCCGAAAAAAAACAACTGCTTACCTTAGTTCCACCGTCTTGGAGTATTAAGAAGACTCAAGATTTCTTCAATATTGGGAAACGCTTGGTCCAGGGAAGCCGCAAACGTCGTAAAGAAACCGACACAATCCTTCCTCCAATAAAACCAAAATCTGGATACAAAATTACCCAAGAAACCAAATCCAATATTCAAGATTTCTATTATCAAGATGATGTGTCAAGAGCCTGCCCAGGACAAAAGGATTTTCTGTCCATCAAGAACAAGGAAACAGGAAGACGAGAACACAAGCAGAAACGATATCTTCTAAGCAATCTCAGGGAGCTCTACCAAAATTTCAAGATTCAGTACCCGGATTCGAAAGTTGGGAAATCGTCATTCATGATGCTGCGGCCACGAGAATGCATCTCGCTAACCAGCAAGGGATACCACAACGTTTGCGTGTGCATTTACCATGAAAATGTGAAGCTGCTGTTCCATGCCATCAAGATTTCATCCATCAAGCCTTCAATTTCACAATTAGTCTGTGAAAGTGGAGGCAAGGATTGCTACTACAGACGATGTACAAAGTGTAAAGGATCTACAACAAACTTCAAAATAGCTTTAAGAGAAAACGAAGTCATCAGGAACAACACGTCAATTTCATACCGAAGATGGCTGACGACAGACGGAACTCAATACGTGACTGAGGAAAAAGAAACCGAAGACTTCTTGGACTTTGCAACTTCGGAACTGGAGAAGCTGTTGAAACATCACTACATCAGCAAAGCTCAGCATGAATTTCTTGTGGATCTTCGAAAGAATCTCAAGCCTGGTGAGCTCTTCATTTGGGGAGACTTTTCCGAAAACTACTCACCTGTAATCCAGAATGCTGTCCAGTCCGAATACTTCTCCCACAAACAGATCACTATTCACCCCTTCACAATCTACTGGGCCGTGAACGAAGTTGTATACAACATGAGCATATCTATTATCAGTGATTGCACCACTCATGACACAAATTCCTTCTACGCATCCCAGACTAAGCTCATACCAAGACTTGTTCGAGAGTTTGCTGCTGCCCAAATCAGAATTACCAAAATTCACTACGTTTCAGATGGATCTGCAGCTCAATACAAGAATCGCAAGAATTTCTGCAACTTATACCACCATCAGAACGACTTTGGAATTATAGCCGTATGGCACTATGGAGCAACTGCTCATATGAAGGGACCTCAAGATGCTCAAGGAGGAATTGCCAAACGTCGAGCAAGAATTGCATCTCTTCAAGGTATCAAAATTACAACCGCAGAAGAATTCTTCCTCTGGTGCAGTTCAAATATTGAGGGAATTGAATATATATTCGTCTCGGATTCCGAAGTTCAGAAGATTATTGAAGAAAAAGATTTGACAACCCGGTACGAGACCATCACAACCATTCCTGGAACTCAACAAGCTCACCGTGTTGAAATTGGATCGGGAAAAATTCACCTTTATGAAGTTTCTCGGGACACCACGGTGATGGCAACTAAAATAATGGAATCCGAAGTTGCTCAACCTCTGGTCATCATCGATGAATGTGCCGTCAGCGATTGGATTGCATGTGTCTACGAAAACCAGTGGTACGTGGCCATCATCGATGAAGTGGACCTTGCTGACCAAGAAGTAAAGGTGACTTTCTGGAAACAAAACACCTCAAAATTAAAACTTGGAACCTCTTATATTTCTGAAAACGCGTCCTGTTACATCAAAATTGGACAAATTCTCAAGAAGATCTTCCCATCAAGAGCATCAAGACGTGGAAGGACAATCAACATCTCACTGGAGCAGCAGGAAGAAGTAGACAGACTCTTTAGACAATTTCAGCGATGAATAAGGAAGTGGTGGCGAAGATGGACTTCGAATGGTGGTGTTGGTGACTGTTTCCCAAAGATATTTTTTAATAAAGTTATTTATTAAATCATATCATTAAATAGTTTTATAAACCTGTTGTAAAATAGGTTTATAAACCTATTTAATTCATTCAATTTTACGAAAATAAAATCTCTTGGTAATTTAGTCATGATCGCATATCGCAAATTAATTCATCAACTTGGCTTTCAATGACTTGTTTTTAATTGGTAAGAATGTTAGTTTAATTATCGCGCGATAATTAAATTAACATCACCTAAGGCGCAAAGGACCAGGGTCCGAGATTGCTGCTATCTCGCTGATGACTGGATTTTCCAGCAGGAATTATTTATAATCAAATAATTCTTGGACTAAGCATAGTCGAAACCCAAAATTACTGCATATTGTCTACTAAACATTATAATACGAATTTTTTGTAATCGCCGAAATTCATGATTTTTGGCATTTAGAAATTCAGATAAGTTTTTAATTTGGAGCGATTTGGATAAACAAAACTTGCTAATCTGAAAAATTGATAAGTGCCGTCATAAGCTCTATAGCGTCAATTTTCGAGTGGATATCACCATTATAAAATCAAAAAAGCTTAAGTTTTAAATTTGGGGCGATTTGGATAAACCAAACTTGCTTATCTGAAAAATTGATAAGTGCCGTGATAAGCCCTGTAGCGTCAATTTTCGAGTGGATATCACCATTATAAAATCGAAAAAGCTTAAGTTTTAAATTTGGGTCGATTTGGATAAACCAAACTTGCTTATCTGACAAATTGATAAGTGCCGTGATAAGCCCTGTAGCGTCAATTTTCGAGTGGATATCACCATTATAAAATCAAAAAAGCTTAAGTTTTAAATTTGGGGCGATTTGGATAAACCAAACTTGCTTATCTGACAAATTGATAAGTGCCGTGATAAGCTCTGTAGCGTCAATTTTCGAGTGGATATCACCATTATAAAATCAAAAAAGCTTAAGTTTTAAATTTGGGGCGATTTGGATAAACCAAACTTGCTTATCTGAAAAATTGATAAGTCCAGTGATAAGCCCTGTAGCGTCAATTTCCGAGTGGATATCACCATTATAAATTCGAAAAAGCTCAAGTTTTAAATTTGGGGTGATTAGGTAATTAAAATATCACAAACTTAATTAAGTTGGGTGGTTGAAATCCATATCTCATTAGTGGCCAGAGTTTGTTACGGCTCTTGCAAAATAAGTCCCTCCCTCAGAAACTTTGACCCCAAATTTCTCGTGGTACCATCGATTCCCTTCGGGCAACAAAAGCTGAAAATGTAGCTCTTCCCAAGGAGAAAAATCTGGCATCGGGTTGTCCGAAGTAAATGGGTGGTACCATGCGTTTTTTAAGGATTTCTGTGTACGTAAAAAAACCGCCAATTTTCGAATTTTGAAACTCTTGATGCATTAAAATGTTCGTATTTCAAGGGGAAGTCAAATTGCAAATGCAAGTATAGGTCTAACTCTTATTCTACACGATGTACATTGACTTTCTCATTTTTCCGAACTTTGTTCCTTTATTTTTATAGGGGGTGTGGTTGCACAGAATTCAAAAAATGTTGTGGTACATTTGTCCTTGTACCCACAATTGCATTTACAATTAATTTTATTTGATTCAATGAAATCGATGCGAAAAGCTATGGAACGTATCCGTCATTTTATCTCATAAGTATTACAGAAAATTCAAAATTATATGTCGCCATTAACTTTATTCAACAATACCGTTCTTTAACATGGATAACGAGTTATCGAGCTAAAGGATGATAGAATGTTTTAACTAAATAAACTTAACAATGACATAGTTTTGAATTTGCTGCCAATCTCATGTTGCCCTTTTCTCGCATGTCTCAAAATGCATGGGAATTACAGAAAATTCAAAACTATATGTCGCCACTAACTTTATTCAACAAAACCGTTCTATTATGCTGTACCTCGATAACTCGTTATCCAGTTTAAAGAACGGTTTTGTTGAATAAAGTTAGTGGCGACATATAGTTTTGAATTTAATGTCAGTCTCATGCATTTTTACGCCTGCGAGAAAAGGCTCGGCTGAGATTATCAGTAAATTCAAAGCTACATTTCATTATTAAGTTTATTCAACAAATACAATCTATCATCCTGTTGCTCGATAACTCGTTATCCAGTTTAAAGAACGGTTTTGTTGAATAAAGTTAGTGGCGACACATAGTTTTGAATTTAATGTCAGTCTCATGCATTTTTACGCCTGCGAGAAAAGGCTCGGCTGAGATTATCAGTAAATTCAAAGCTATATGTCATTATTAAGTTTATTCAACAAATACATTCTATCATCCTGTAGCTCGATAACTCGTTATCCAGTTTAAAGAATGTTTTTGTTGAATACAGTTAGTGACGACATGTAGCTTTGAATTTTCTGTAATACCCAAGCATTTTTAAAAAGCTGGCACGAGAATAACTTTCGTATTTCGTATTCAAATATTCATTTCTCTCACAAGTACTAAATTAAATAGTGACAAGGTTTTATCTTCATATTCAACCCAATGCATATATCAATCAAATTTCAGCTTTTCTCGATCAATTTAAAAAATCAGTATGGACGACCCAATACGGTAACCCCTTAGTGAAAACTTTTAAAATTAGTTTTCAGATTCCTTCAGTAAAACTGATCAGCGACCTGCGTTACAAATTACAGATTTGTTCCACCAATTTTAGAAACCAGCCTCCAGTCTGAAAACCACTATCCTAACGTGAAATTCAGTTCTAATGCAGTCTCAACCATAGATTATCATCATAAATCATAATCTCAAGAGGGATTTAAGATTCCAATGAACTCTAAACCAGAAACTTCAATCAAAAATAATAATCTGAAGATGCTTGAAAGGTTCTAATGCAGTCTCAACCATAGATTATCATCATAGATCATAATCTCAAGAGGGATTTAACATTCCAGTGAACTCTAAAGCATAGATTATCATCATAAATCATAATCTCAAGAGGGATTTAAGGTTCTAATGCAGTGTCAACCATAGATTATCATCATAAATCATAATCTCAAGAGGGATCAAAGGTTCCAATGAACTGTAAACCAGAAATTGGGTAGCATGTTTTTGCTGATTTTTATAAAAATTAATTTTTAATTTACCCCGGGTATCCCCACCCATTATAAAATTGCTGTTGTCAACCCCGAGTTTATAACATCTGCCCTGACAATATATTCTAAAATTCTAAACCTCCTCAACATTACACGTTTGAGTTTCAAATTTCACAGGAAATTTCATCTTCAAATTTATATTTTTTCAACTATAAATCACTCAAAGCATAGATTATGATCCAACAAAGAATTCTAGCCCTTAAAATACAACCTCAATTTAATCCTTCGAAAAAAATATGGCCTTCGGCGTGGTCTCGTACTGCATTGACCGATTCAATTCGCATGAAATCTCGTCGAAAAATCAATGTTTTTTCAACTCCAAAACACTCAAAGCATAGATTTGGATCCAACAAAGAATTATAGCCCTTAAAATACCACCTCAATTTAATCCTTAAAAAAAACATGGCCTTCGGCGTGGTCTCGTGGTGCTTGGCCGATTTAATTCGCATGAAATCTCGTTGAAAAATCAACGACGACGATCAATACGACAGCCATTGAGATTTCAATAAAGATGCCCTTTGCTCACCCAACCACCATAATCGTCGATGATGAGGAATCTGGTCCATCATCTAAACTAGCGCAAGTGCGAAGAAGCCCCATTCTTACCGTCGAAATGATTTCAAACATGACCACCACTCCATAGAAATCCAAGAGCAAACGAAAAAGAATCGAGACCCCACAAAGTGCAAGCAGTACAGAGAGGACAAAAAAGCTGGAAAGTTGTCATCCTTAAAGAAACGGCTGTCCTTTACGCCCGGTTCACGTTTGTCCTTAATTTAAAACCAAAGCGTCGCGTCATCAGTAGGTCTACATTCTCGACACGGAATATCCCCAATTGTTTCTAGATCAAGATATCTGGAAAAGTTTGAGAACCTGCCGCTCAAAAAACTCAAAAAACGGAGGGAACGTTTTTGGCCAGAGTTTGTAAAGTCTGTTTATAATGTGACCGCTGTTGCAATCGACAAGAACACTTTGCAAGTGTTCTTGTCATTCAATTGTTTTATGAATTATAGAACAAAATTCCTACTCATTGCAAGTATAGCGGAAATACAAACCTACAAAGGCTCATTTACATACCTCGGACCCGACATGTGGGCGTACCCGACCAAAATCGACCGCCTATCGCTACTATTATTTGAGAAATACAGAGTTGACAATGTCGCCTTTGCCAGGGAGACTTTGTTTTCTAAAGTTGCAAGCTGTAGATATGCGATAGGACTAGAAAATGATGATGAATTAGACTGGAAAGAATGTGTCAAACTAGCCAACGACCTCTATTCGGAGATTAAAAAATTGCATTCTAAAAGAAGACAAATATGTGAGCTTATTCTACAGCAAGTTTTTCCGACAGTTCACAAATCCAACGGAATCTTGATTTTTGGTACGGGGAAGTTAACACACATCATGATGTGCATAGCGAAATTCTACATTAAGAACAACGCCAAAAAAATATGAAAAAATATGACCCCAAAAACATGGCAGAATTACGCTTGGTGGATTCTGGCGTAAAGGCACAAGAGGCCGTAGGCATTACCAAAGACATTATAAAAATCCTCTACTCAAGATCGCCCAATGAAGACAAGCCGTGGTCAGATAACTACCCTCCGACCCTTGATTTTGAGAAAAAAATCCACTATGTAATGGCATCAACTTTAACGGCTGGTGGCACGCTCAGACCAAATGGTTACATTAGGCAAACTGGGGTGTCTGACTGTACAATAATTTTTTGGATGAGGTTCGCTGCAATTCTGCATCATCTTTACTCGCTAAAAGGAACACATGAAGAGGTGTCAAGCCATCCACGTTGCGAACGTGACCTTGCAGGAGTCAAAATGGATAATCTGCGGACACTGCTTAGGACCGGAAATCTGAATGATCTCGAATTCATGCAGAAAACGGGACGAATCGTTCTGTTTCACTTTGCAGATACTTTTGATATTAATCCACCACAATTCCTCGATTTCCAAAATTTGGAAAACAATCAAAAAACCACAAAGTATTGGAACATGGTCGAGTTGGACGTCCAAGAAAACATTGAGACAATTATCTCCGAACCTGAACCTCCGAGAAAACCTGGGTACAACTATTAACTTTGCCCAATTTATGTTTTGATTTATTTTTTTAATTTTTTAAACTTCTCTGTACAGTCCCATGCCAGTTCCAATCTTTAAACAACTAGTGGCAGCATGTTTTTCAATCGTCATCAGAACGGAGCAGAATTTGGAATCATTTCAACAACTTGTCCATGGCGATGGTATTAGATGTTATAACCTAAAACTTGCCTTTTCTTCTTTTTGTGGTGGGAGAATGGATGACCAAGTCTTGCTAGACTTTACAACACTAGTAACTGCTACTTACGGTCATACTCTGCAATTCCACTTAAATAAACATCACCACTGTATGAAAACAGTGTACGTTTATCAAACAAGGCAGTGGTCAAGTCTTCAAGAATTTACACATCATACAAACAACATCAAATCTCTCGAGCAAAACCCGGAAACAAAATATAGTGTGATAATCAAGACCAACATGATTGCCAACACCGAGATAATCATCTCAATGTTGTATTACACATGGGATTATGCGTTGGCTGAAGAAGAACACAAAGCAAAATCTAAAGCAAAGGCAAAATCCAAACCACCTGTAAAGAACTTTCTAACAATAACAAGTTCAAATATTACAATCCATCAACACTTCATTTTAAAACTCTTTGGAGACGAACCTGGTCCTAACATCCGATATCTTGAGAAAAAAGTGCAAGCTGACAAGTCACAAAGTAATATTTGGAACATCCTCTACGCATTCTCCTGTCTTCCATGGGGTACAACGAAAAACCTCGAAGCCACACACTCCCAGATTGACATAATCTGCGATCGAATCAATACGCTTTGCCCAACCAACTCACGTCAACCAGGATACTCGGAAGCTGGCCTCGTTGCACTTTTATTGGTCAAAGTGGGGCAATATTCCCAAAATGGGGGCCCTGAGTTGGACTGCTTCGATTGGGCCGATTCAGAAGACGCTGCATCTTCTGATGATGATGATGATGAACAACAACAACAACATAAAAAGGGATCTCTATTTGTTCAACAACAAAAAAGTAAAATGGCCAATCAAAATCCAACTCCCCAGAAATGTACCCCAAAACATGGAAAATCATCTTCATCGGACAGGACATCCGAAAAGAAAAAGTCAAACCAGAACGCAACTCCAAAGAAATCTAAAAAGAAACCAAATCCACAAAAGTTGTTCAAGTAATTTGGAACCAGATCTGATTATTGGGTAACGGTCAAAAACTCTAGTCATCAACTTTCTTCTCAGAAATTCTTCCTTTCTTCTCATTTTAACACATTTCTAAATCATCTCGATACAATTAAATTCAAAATCAGTCTATATATAACCAAACCCAACTCAATGCTAGATGGGGTCACCTATGACCGATCCAGGTTTTCCCAATGTATGGCTGGGTTTTCCCTTGATCCGTTAAGTTGGGTCAAACTTTCCTTTCATCCAAAGATTTATCGAATAAACAAACTTTTCTTGGAAGCTGTATCCAAATAATAAAATCCTATATATTTTCTACTCGTATTCTTTGTCTTATTTGTTCATTTATTTGTTCATTTTTTAATGGTTGATTAACTATAAATTTATTGATAATCACGGAATAACATTTTGCAGAAACTCTGTGAGGATTTTCAATTTCTGCATTTCATGTATGTACTTTAGAAATAATATTGTTGAATGTTTTAATCAAGTGATAAAAAAGTATAATTTGAGTCTGCTTTGTTTTCTACATTATTCCTATTATCTATTTAAAATGTTGAAAAGTTAAGTAAAATCTTTATCAGTACTTAAAGCTAACTTTGTAAATTGGTCTTTATGGCTCCCAAGTTTCTGCACAATATTTCCGTGCAAAAAATGTGTGGGGGGATGTGGAAATGAAAAGTAAAATGAAATTGTGATGGTTGGTTTTCTTAGAAAATTAAATTTCCAGACAGTTTTGTGTGTGTAGTTTTCTGGTTGCATAGGTTTGGTAGCATGTAAACTTTTCATATTTCCAACGTACGAAATTTGCGAATTTGGATGCTTCTCAAAATTCGCAAAAGTTGTATTGTGAATTGCGATGCGAACATGCAAACTCGTAATGAATATCCTCTATATATCATATCACATAAGAAGTTATCATTTATTTTAGGAATGATGGCATGAATTTTTTTAAATCACAGATATGTACATGCACTGCACTGGTAACATTTCATTTATGTATAGTCGATTCGATTTGTGTAAAAAAATTAAATTAAAAACGAGCTTTCACTGCTCAACTTTCACTTGCATACATACGTATTTATGTACGTGATAAGCATCGAATAAATATTTAAGTAAAGATCGAAAAGATTTTTAGAGTTATAAAACTTGATTGAAATGTTCAAAAACCACGTCTCTCTTTCACTCTACAAATCATTATCACGTATGAACCGATTTCCTTCTGAATTTTTTCCCAAATATTTAAATTTTCTTTTCCCCTGTCGACTTCTCGCGTGTCCTTGACCTTGTGGTGGTTGTGGACCACCTGCTTTATTTTTTGACGTTTTATTAAGGAGGTCCGATCCGGAATCAGGAAGTGGTGTACTTTTAGGGTGATAGAGCTGTAAATTACCATAAAGTGGTTTGAGGGCTTCCATCATTTCCACAAAGGAGACGGGGCGATGGTCTAAAAATTTCAGTGTTCTTAGGTGATAGAGGACATGATAGCGATAAATTTGGTAGTCCGAGTCATCCACAAAATCGTCCGTTAGTTGATCGGGACAGGTGGGGTTTCCTAATAAGCTCAAATACCGAAGCGATGGAGTGCTCGTTTTTAAGTAGTGGAGTAATTTCTTCAAGTTGGAAATCTAGAATTTGATATTTTCCCTTTAATATGTTAATTTTGTAATTTGTAAAGTTTTTGTGCGTCTTAATTTTAATTTACCTTATTTTTGTTGAGGCTTAGTGTATGCAATTTCGGAAAAACGCAAATGAGTTCCAAACCGTCAAGCTGATTGTTGTCTAGAATAAGTTCCTCCAAATTATCGGCACAGCACTCAAATCCTCCAAGTCTTGTAATTGTGTTAAATGACACATCAACTCGTCTCACATCCGGTCCAAATCGTCGAACATTGAATTCGGTCAAGTCTCCACCGACGAAGCATATCTATTTATAAATTAGTGGTGTGGCGTCATATGAAATTATTACCGTCTACTAATTATTCCGTCATCAGTTAATACCTCTGAAAAATCTGGGTCGTCGGAAGCTTCTTGCATTATATGGCAGAAATCTTGTATATCTAAGTAATTGCTGTCAGTAATTTAATTTTTTCACAATTTATGTTTAAGAAATGAAGGTTTAATAAATAGTTGGTTGTGGAAATTGGACCATCTGCTTTCTAGTTTAGTTATCCATCCGTGCTGCTAAGAACGAATACACCTATAGTTTGTGTGGAGGAGATAATCATTATTTCGGTAATGCACAGGTGAGACTGTGATGATGATGAGTGATGTACACATGTACATATGACATTTTTGAGATCTATGCCAATAGCATATCTTACATGATAAAAAGAATTATCTTACATTCCAGCGATTGTAAATTTTTCGTATAATTCCCAGTCTATTATTTTCATAAAATCTCAAAAGTACATGTGTATCGTAAGATTCGTAATAATCTCAAAACGAGCGAAACTCATTCAAGATTCGAGTATATTATTCAGAGTCCAACACCTATAAAACTAATAGTAAAACCATAATTCATGGAATTTAAACAAATAATACTTCCGGTTTAAAAAATGCTAAAATCGTTACGATATGTGGCTCGTTTACATGCTTATATTAAAAATAACAGATCATTGTTTGGTAAAACGAGATATGAATACTGAACAATTTTGAAACAGTTGCATTATATATGTATTGCATTGAGACGTTGCTTAAATTGTTAGTAGTCCTCAGAAGATTCAGAGCTGTCGTCAAACTCCTCTACTTTGTTGCTAAAGTGTTTATTCGCTAGTTTGTACATAAATACGGATTCTGGTTGAGATCCTGCTGCTGGTACTTTCTTGGGGCTTGGACTAAAAGGTTTTTTGAAAACACCGTCCCATTCAATGCTTGCGTCTGGGGGTTTATAATTCTTGGTGGGTTTGGATGATTCACTTTTCCCATTTCTGAATTTAAATTCCTGTTGTGCTTTTGGTAACTTATTGCCGGTGAGATCTTGAGTCGGTGGAGATATAAAAGTGGTATGATTATTGCCTACATATGACCGCAGTATATCCTCCTCAATCTGCGCTTTTATTGAATCCGATTGATCATTATTTCGGCTTTTCGATTCCAATTCATTCATCTCTTCCGTGAACCCATTCTCTGCAGACGAAGGTTGATGATTGGTTGTGAATCTGATCATCCAGAGCTTTACTCTCTCCACGAATTCGTCAGCAGCCTTAACTTTGTCCTTGACATGTATGGTATTACGATAGTACATGACCTATATATACGAGGGATCAATTTATCATATTTGTTAGAATAGTTCAATAAAATTTGCTATTATTTCGTTGTACAGTGTGTCCCAGTTGTTCAGCCATTTCCACCAATTCCTGAAAATGTGGTTCGTCATGAACAAACGAGTCCGCGTCAATAATAATGATTCTAGACTTCACAGAAGCAAGGGACACGGCCATTCCAATTCTTAGTAGTTGAAGGATGACGCTTTTTGCAAATTCAACTGGATGAGCACCATACACTAGACGTTGTTCGGTTGTTAATCGTTTCCGGACTTGTTGTACTAATCTGACAAGAACGTCTTCATCCATGTCATGGCAGGGGAGGACTGTAGATGAAATCATCAAACTGCATAATCATTATTAATTAAATATCGAATGAAACGCACCAATTTCAGGTTCAATATCCAATCGCAACAGTTCTGTAATTAGTATCTGGCAAAATGGCAAATTTCGATCATCATTATCTTCACTCTCCTGCGGCTCGTCATCCACCCAAACAATCAACTTATCTCCACTAACGGAAGCCTCTTTGTACTCGATGTATTGCAATTGATTCAGTATTTCTGGAAGAGGAATTCTGCATACAATGTAATGCATATGTTATGTATTAGCGTAACTAACATCAATCAATGTCAATCTCAAATTATGACTAACTTCAGCGGTTCAGCAGCGAGCACAATTTCCGATACTAGTCCTAAGAACTCTAACCTATAAAACACAGACAGATGTAGCTCGCTTCAACTAATTAAACAACCACAATTAATTGTTATCATTATCTATTATTAGGTAGTCTCTTACCCATACGAGCTCATAATTTGTTGCGTAATGTCGCTCAGTCCAGTCCTACTTGTACCCAATTTTTTCTTCAGGGGCTCCCCATTCAGACGATACAGCTCACTTTTGGTCCTAGTATTTTCAATAGCCGTGTCCATATCTTCAATAATTTCATCCCATTCCAGCAAACTGTAAATTTTCGGCTGTCCTACTGGAGAACCGTTAGTATGGCTTATCGTTTCTTGTTGTTGCTGTTCACCTACAGCTGATGATCTTGACGACGAAGGCGAAAGCGAGGATGATGATTTTGGCGAAATTGTAGGCGTGGTTCCCGTCGTCGTTTTGGAAGACGAATGAACATTGTCATCTTTCACATTCTTCTTACCTGTTCCTTCCGCTTTGGTCGCCACATTTTCAGGATGTACTTTTGTTAAACTTTTCCCACGTGAACGGAGGAACATTATTGTTCCAAATTGGAAGACGATAAGTTTTGGAAGATGTTAAAGGAAGTGTGTCAAAAAGTTAAAAATCTATCAGTACAGAGTAGGGAATTTAGCCTTGTTCTCATATTTTCACCGAATACAAGAAAATCTAGTCGGATCAATAATCTTTTTTTTCGTGTTTGCTAGATTTCCTTTCTCAGGAATCGAAAGTAAACAAACACGTACACAAAAACTCTTCAAAAGATTCCCTTCTCCACCACCGTCAACGTCACAAAGTAAGAAATAAAGAAGCATGTTTGAAAAGGTTTGAGAATGTGAAATGAATGGATTTTGCTTGCAAGACGATGATTTTTACACAAAAATCCTAAAGAATGTGTGTGCTTTACGATGGGGTGTAATGATAATGGTGAGACGATCAAGAAAGTCCAGATAAGATTACAGCCTCGACTCCTCCGATAATGTGCAATATTCTTTAGGTTTATTCAAATGCAGAGTTAGTTAGAAAACTTTTTGCGCAACGAGCGATGATGATGATGCCGATTGTTTGTATCGTATTTACCAGGCTTATTTAGATATTTACATAATATACACAAAGAATTTGAAAAAGAGTAGTGACGAATAAAATCAAGCCATGTTTACGAAAATTGCCCATAATTTTATGACGGTTTTTTAAGGTTCTTGGTGGTGGTGAGGTTTTTTGAAATAGAGAAACCCTCCATCTAATCATTTCTTCTTATGGGTCAAGAATCCCATGAGCTTGTCCTTCTTGGAAGCAGATTTCACCCCTGGAGCCAGTTTGTCCCCCACTTCATCAGAAGACGCGGATGGCGACGCCACTGGGGGCGAACCGCTCGTTGGGGAGGCGGCGTTGGGTGGAGGAGGAGCAGGAGTGGCATCGTACCCGTTCATGGCGAGGATGTCGTTGGACTGGTTGGCGGCCTGGTAGTCGTAGTCGTTACGGGTCGTTGGTGGGGGCACGTTGTCCGGGACGACGAAGACCTCTTGACGATTTACCTTTCCATCCGCCCCGTCACTGCCGACCATGTCGTCCTGTTGTTGTTTCTGCTTCTTGTGCTTCTTTTTCTTCTTCTTTTTGATTTCGGATCCTGGGAGATGTTTAAATTGGCGAATTAGTTGTAAAAAATTATATTTGATATGCGTACCAGTGACACCGGGGGAAGAGCTGTCAATGTCGATATCCGAGCCGGATGATGCAGCAGAGGCGAGATCCTTGCCACTTTCGCCAGGGAATTGCCTGTCGCCGTAGAAAGGACCTTGGGAGGCGCTGTCGGGTAAGGTTCCTTGACTTGCGGTGTAACCCGAGGCCAAACTGCCAGATGCGGTGCCTATCAAAATTGCATATTTTGCAAAGATATTCCTTATTATTAAGCATCATGATACGATTTCATACCATTCACGTCATACAATTCCCCAGCATCCGCACTGTAGGGCGTTCCACCTTCCACATCATTCTTCTCAGCTTGTTTCTTGAATCCAAAAAATCCCAAGAATCTGTTTCCAGGTCCTCCACTAGCGACAATTGGAGGAATACCATCCCCTCCGGCAGAATCATCGACATCATCGGCATAATTTGAATACTTTGCTCCTGGTCGCACACAGAATTGGATGATGTAGGCGATCTGAGTCAGGCCAAAGAGAATGGCAAGAATAATCATGTAGATGAAACAGTCGTGGATGTTCTTTCGCATGTGAGCATTGATATCCTCGATGCAGCCCGTGTCAGTCTTGATGAACATGGAGGGAACGCCGGGGAATGGAATGGTGATCAGATTGGTCAAACATTTTTCCGCATTGTTGGGCTCTTTGCAACAGGATTTTGGAATTTCGAATTGGTGAGTGGGCCAAAATTCTTCCCAGTCTCGAAATGTCTGGATCCCACAGCATTCTTTGCTCTAAATAATTAATCAATGTTTGTTATTATTTATAAATCACACACACGTATTGAATACTGTCAGTTATAATTTACCTTATTCTGAATACTGTCCAACCAAGTGGGGATATACTTTCCAGTGTTTCCTTGACCCAAATGGTCCTGAATTTCCTTCTTGACCTCACGGAACAATTCATCCGCTTTTAATTTTGGCCGATCGTATTGCAATTGGAACGCGACCGTGCCGTAGACACAAAGTCCGAAGCAGACAAAATTGAAGCACATAGCCTGCTAAAAAATCAATTTTATTTACTACACATACATACTAAAAGTTGGGAAAATTTTTTAAAAAATTACTCCATAAAGGAACCATCTTTTCGTCTTGGAGATGATGACCCAGGCAGCACCGATACATGTCAAGGCAAAGAGGACCGTCGCACCAAGGAAAGCTTCGACATGGTGCATCCAAATGTCAGTCGTGTCGGAGGGAATGTTCTTTTTCGAGTCGAAAACATAGAATGAGCTGAGGGCGAGAAAGCCTAACGATGCGACCTGAAATAATATTTTTATTCGTCGTCACTAATATATGTCTGCCTGTCTGCCTCGTTAGCTCGTGATAAGCTAGGCTGTGATGATAAGCTGAGACCCATACGATACTTACCAAAGTACTTCCGCAACACGCCAGAGAGGTGGTGACGTACCACTGCATGTTAGATTTCGTAGGTTTGGTCACCTTTTAAGAACCCAAACCAGCCGGGATTGAAACGGGGGAGAAAAATTTGCAAACTGGAGTATACAGATTTTTTTGAAATAGACATAAATCTTGCAATCATCGGGAGAGTCAAGCGTTGACAAGGTAACTATAGATTTTTTTTAGACTGTCTCAATCTTCACGTTCAGATTTTGATGATTCATGGTGTGGATAGATTCGAATATGATTTACATATATAATTGTCTCAAATTAATTTTTTATTACAAAAATTATTTATACTTAACAAGATGGACCACGATGATATTGATGATATAATGTCACAATGTTTTGTCTAATATTAGTATTTGAACAAGAAAATCAGAAAAGTCAGTCTTTCCATTAAAATTTGTAACCTTTTTACATACGAGGAAGGCCGAGTGTACTGTACAACCCCTTTTCGCCTCGATGTCACCGAATTTCGCATAAAAAATTGGAACCTTATATTTTGGTGAAAGGATCAATATAACGTAGCTATTATTAATTTATATGCAACCACACCCCCTTCAAAAATTGCGGAAGAAAATTGGGAAAAGTGAGAAAATAAATGTACACTCGGTACAAAAAGATTTAGACCCCAAGTTGCATTTGACATTTGACTTCCCCCTTGAATACGAACATTTTGATGCATCAAGAGTTTCAAAATTCGAAAATTGGCGGTTTTTTCACATACACATAAATCGTTAAAAAAATCATGGTAGCGGCCATTTTTAGTCTGACAACCTGATGCCAGATTTTTCTTCATGAGAAGAGCTACATTTTCAGCCTTGGTTGTCCGACTAAAAATGGCCGCTACCATGAGTTTTTTGGGGTCAAAGTTTCTGGGGGAGGCGCTTCATAAGGCAAGAGCCGTAGCAAGGCAGCTTATGCAATAATGACATGTATATAATAAATAGCCAAAAAATTTAAAACTTAAGCTTTTCTGAATATATAATGATAATGTGCACTCAAATTTTTACGCTACAGTGCTTATCAGTGCACTTATCAATTTCTAAGATAAGCAAATTTAGTCTGTCCAAACCGCCCCAAATTTAAAACTTAAGCGTTTCTGAATTTATAATGATACTATGCACTCGAGAATTAACGCTACAGTGCTTATCAGTGTACTTATCAATTTTTAAGATAAGCAAATTTAGTCTGTCCAAACCGCCCCAAATTTAAAACTTACGCGTTTCGGAATTTATAATGATACTATGCGCTCGAAAATTAACGCTACAGTGCTTATCAGTGTACTTATCAATTTTTCAGATAAGCACATTAAGCACATTAAGCACATGAATGCATTACATATTACATTAAATGAGATGCTCGTTGGTAAGAAAATGTTCACCATAAAATGTTTGTCAGAGAGAGACAAAGACTGGTGAGTTTCATACGCCCCTTCTGCGAGCGGGTAGTGACACCTGCGAGAATCAGCCTGAATCTCTGTCTCTCTCTGAAAAATGGAATCAGGGAAAGTTGTACACATCCAGTGGAATGCCTCATACAGTCATTTTGTTAAAGACATTTAATTTGATTGTGCTAAGTTTGACGAGGTTTGATAATTGGCTTAACTTTCTCCTGTAAATTGTATGGTGGTTTCATATTCGTATTTGTGCTTGAAAATCTAGTCGACGATGGGATAGATCTTCTCCACAGTCGGTGTAGTAAAATTTGGTCATAAATGAGTTGGTAGATGAGCATCTTGTTGTCGCTGGACGTTGACCTTCCATCCCCCACGAGGAGCTGGATTAGAATGTAGCTAAGGACGTAAACCCCATTCACCATGTAAAACATAATTATGCCGACGCATCCCACGGCGAGGAACGCTAGGAAAATTGACCCTCCTTCTAACACCGCATCTTGAATTGGGGACAGCATCTAGATTTGAGAAAATATTATAGAAATTTCGAAACTTTGAAATTATTTTTAATCTCAAAATTTCTAATTACATCCACACTGGAGAAACTTCCTGTCGAATCGTCGTCCAAAAAGGGCTCACTGATAATATCGGTTAAAGGTTTTTCTGGCTGAATATGGCTGCAATATTGCAACTGTTGACTTCCTCCAATAAATCTTTGCACAATTACGTTCGCCATTATTACAAAAATCTTTTCTTCCGAATTGATTGCACCTTTTTGTACTAAAAGTGCAATTTCATCGATTTATTACACCATAAAAGAATTCCACTCCCAATCTAATCCTCAACTCGACTAACAGGCAGACAGGATGTAATTGTATGTATGTTGAACTTATCGGCGAATCACATACAAAGATAACCTGCACTTTTCACGAGATAGAAGATACACTCCGACTACACCAGTGCACTTTGTTCTGCGAAACTTTTTGGCAAGTTAATTCGCAATGTGACATCCCAAATTGCAACCTCGCCGAGACCATGCATGCCAAAAGACCAAGTCAGAGCAAGTGATTGATGAACCTCAAGACTTGGACTGAACTGCATAAATGACAGTTATTTCGTGATAAGAATATTATATGGATTCCATTCCATTCCAGCGAGATCAGCGTTTCAAGAAGAAGATGAGAGGACAAGTGAGACAATTTTTCAATATGCTGGCCTCACTCATGTAAACGGCATGGCAGTAGTGCTGCAGTGCTAATAATTTTCTGCGGCGTGCAGTTCCCTCCTTTAACCAATTCGCACAATTTAATGTAAGCGAAATCTTTTATGCATGGAAATTTATACATACGATTCTCCACGACGGGTTAATGTGCTTTGTATTGAAGAGTTAAACTGGTTGGCCAACTTTGGCCATCAGAACTAAAAAAAGATTGTGATTACAGATATGCATTCACATATTTATCCTTTCTGTATTGTCCAGTAGGACATGAGGGACGATACTTTGCTAGGATTTTCTTGTTATGAGAATAAATTAAATTGATGGTTAGAGAGTTAGCGAGGTACGAATTAAAGATATTTGGTGGTGATTGGTGATGCGTCGTTCCGAAATATTAAGGTTATTAAATATTAAAGTCAGGGTAAAGGTCATTTTGATGACTAAGAAGCGATAATACTTATTATTACGACTTTATTACTGAGTTTTCTTTAGTACTGGATGCTACTGGATAATTAGGGTATGGCTTTTGCCTTGTGGTCACTGTTTGGTCTTGACTTATTAAATTATTAAGTAAGCAATATATAGCATAATGATTTATCGAAAATCGAATAGGGTCATGTCACGTGGAATGTTTGCAACATTGTACTACTACACACGCAATAACACAAATCTTGGATAAACATGACATCACTATTTGTTGTTTGATTGTCGATTCAATTCATTCACAATCTGCATTCTACGATTTATGATGTATCATTTCCACTGTTTTAGTGCAGTTAAATTTTGGCATACTTCAATGTAACACTTTTGTAATTGTAGCATTCAAATTTGGTTCAATGCATCTTGAAATGGCATAATATGTTTTTATGACACTCTATTCTTTCAAATGCTATATGAGTGTTTACAGCGATGTACATTTATTTATAGACCAATGCCCGGGTTTTCTAATGGAATTACGGAATTAAGATAGTTTTTTTGCATTCATTTTACTGCATGCATACGAATCAACATACCTACAAACAAACATTCATACGTAATATATACCTGTACACACAACTTTTTCGTAATGCCAGCATAAAAAACTATATGTACTGCACGCACGGTACAAGAGTCAAGAACGCCATTCAAGGTTATGCTTCCGAATTCACTATCTGATGAGTAGAAAACAACCCTGGATATGATATAAATGTTGATCTGTGAATACGTACATGATACAGGAAGAAACAGCTTGAGCTTAGTAATAACAACAATCCAGCAACATTTCATCATCCTTTTTAGAAGAATTAAAATTATTATTAATTCGGGTAAGGAAATTTGATTAAAATAGTGGGAATTTACGCACTATTCTCGCAGTTCTTCTTATACTTTGACTATACACGTTTTAATCCTAACTTCATTTGCGTATTGTACTACATTTATTGCAGGTAATCTTCCAAAATGAAGATGGTACTAGATGAGAAAGCAATTTTAACTCTGTCCACGGGCATTTTTGCCGGTGTTGGGACAACCATTTCCCTCGCGGCAGTCCCCGCAATTCTGGCGTCATCCGACCCTTTGCCCGTCTGGAGGAATATGTACGATAACGGCAAGGCCATGGCAATGATCAGCATTTTTGTGACCAACGTTGCTGGAGTTCGGTATGTAACTATATTGTATGTTTTTTTGAAAACTTTCGTATTTTATGAATTTACTTTTTGAATTTTAGGCTATATATTATCGAGAAAGATACAAACTATCTCATCGTTTCTGGCATTTCATTGTCAATCTTTTTCTGGACACTGGCGACTATGCACTACCCCATAAACAGTGTCCTTTGTGCTATCGAGGACAAGAACAAGGTAGCTGAAGATGCCAAAATTAGAAAGCTGATCAGTAAATGGGCGCAGAAACAATGGGTCCGAACCACGCTTGGAGTTGCTGCGTTTGTCGTGGCTGTGATGGCTTGCAAGAAATAAGCTGTATCATTGTGGGGCATGACATATGAGAGGAGATCAGTATTTTAAAACGAAAATTTCAAGTAAAAATCTACTTTTCGTTGACATAATTTCCCAGTGTTGAATAAATAGATTTATAGGACAATCTTTAAATCTGGCCGGAATTAAAAACACCTTCTTTTTCAATTGTTTTATCAATTTTGTCTAATTTAGCATTTAAGTCCTGTTTAAGCATACAAAGATAAAAACACACATCTGCATGATAATGGTATAGCTTTTGTCAAGCAAGCTTTCCTATAACCCATTCAAATCCGGCAGACGCAATGTCCGTAGTTTTTCTGACAGTGGTCATCGTGAACGCGACCGGTTTTGCAAGCATCGCTCCAGTCGCTGCCCCTATTTTCTGCAAGGTCCCAGCATTCGGATCTTCGACAACATTCTCCAAGTCGTAAACAATGTGCTCATAGATACGTTCCAGGGTCCCCACACTATTCCCCACGAGGCCATTTCCAACCTATTCATAGCAAAATTCTGCAAATTGAGTGCATGGATTCAAAGTTATTGAATAATTAGCCAAAGCGATCGTTTCACTTTTAGAACGCTGATTGGCAGCGGTCACGATTAAGGAAAATTCCCGAATTCTGCATGGACTTTGACCAGCAATGATTGTAAGAAGTTGGGCATATTTCCTGCCTTTTTTGCCCCCAGCAGGAGCTTCGACATGGACACAAATCCCGTTCCCGATGTACAATGCGTAATGGGAGTAGTACACCCGATTGAATTCGACAATGTCACACTCGGTCAATTCAGAGAGGAGTTTCTCGGCGGAAGTGAACTTGGAAATATCTCCCATTTTTCTAAAAAGTCTTTGTACATTGAAAACAAAGTGCGTAGTAGAAAAGCTGACGATTGTGTATTAACTTTGTGACATTTTCCTCGGGACTTTTCGCTGACTGAATCATGAGATTGAGATTTTGCAGATGTTTAGGGTAAGCGAAGAGAAGGTGGTGTTAGTTGATACACAATAATATTGCATGCATAGTGATCTCATGAGTGTTTCATGAATATTCTCAGATTCGCACGTGGAAGTGCATCTTCAATCCTTTCCTTACTCAAGTTGTGCAATATTATACGTACATACGTATTACACCCGCTGTTTAGTTATACGAGAAGGAGTGAAGGAGAAGCTTACACTAGTTTCTTAACATTTGATGTCACATGGAATCGTAGAACTTTATTGAGTTGAATTAAATGTCACTTTAAGGACCTTGTAGTCTACAACTTTACATTTAAATTGCTCCAACTAGTTGGTTTTTATAACATCTCAAAATTCCGTCAAAACAAAGTGAAATTCGTGACAAATTCCGGTGAAAAGAGAGTCTTTGCTAAAGGTATTCAAAAATTGTACAAAATTCAACAGCAAAGAACTGTTTAAATTCCCTGATATCCAGTATGTGGGTGTTACCAACATACACATGCAAATTACAAATATTTTGTGTCTAATTATTTACAGTTCGGAAAATGGATAGAATTTTACAACTGGATCCAAGTAAGGTAGAAAGATTTTTGAAACTGATGGAGAACAAAGCCCTCCAGTACACCGGAAATGGGGATGGAAGACAACTTCAAGCTGCCGTAAAGTCTCTAGGAGAAAAGATGGAATTTGAACTAGAAAATAGTCGTCTGCCTCTAAATTTTGTGATTTTTAACCTGCAAGAACCATACAGAAAGAATCTTGTCGGATGGTCTGCATACAGAGAGTATGTAAAAACATACACAGCACTTTAGTAGATGATGCTAATTTTTAAGTGACACTTGTTGATACTTTTTTGTCCTTACATACAGGGAGACAATCTATCAAAGGTTATTCGGGATTTGGATTTTTGAGTCAGGGACGTTTGAAAATGAAGGTCTCGGATCGTATGAAAATTGGCGTTTTGGAGGCTACAAAGGAGGGAATTGGACGAGGGGTGGGGAACCAGTTAAATTATTTCGAAAGTGGTGGTTCCCATTCGCAAGAAATTATGGGCAGGGACGATTGGTGACTTTTAAGAAGATTACATTGTAAAACGAATGCTAACACGTATTGGGAGTTATAATTTCTGAAACTATTTTCCACTTTGATATACCCTGTGGTTACTTAATTACTCAATGAAAACTAAGATTATTGTTGCAGATTTAACCTAGTATATATGTATGTCAAAGCTGTTAAGTTAAACTAAATCCAATTCGAGTTCCAAGAAGGCCTGCATGTCATTTACTATTCTTGTTCATTCTTTGAGCCCCAGTAAATTGTAGTTAATAAGCCCCGCTCTTAATACCAATAAGCAGATTTTATATAATAAAACTTAAGTAAATCATTTTCAAGAGCACTTTAGCCGAAGTATTTTACGGGCAAGGTTCTTATTGGAAAGTTATCATGAGAATGTTTAGGCAATAAAGTTAGAAGACCAGCCCGTAACAATTATCGTAATTTATTCGAGATTGATATTCAATTGTAAGAAATGACGCTATTATAATTTAATAAAAGTAATGAGGAAATATATTGTTCTTTGTGTCACAATTAGTACAATGGTTCAGGACAACCTTGCTCATCCTCCCCTTCGGGAAGGCAGTCTTCGTCCCCATCACATTTAAATGAAAGAGGAACGCAGTCCCCACTCCTGCATGAAAACTCTGAGCTTGTACAATTCTTATTACTCTCATATCGACATGTCTCATCCTCGTCAGATTGGTCGACGCAATCAATATCACGGTCACATCGAAACCTGTGGTAAATACAGTCGCCATTTGCACATTTCCACTGGTGCCAGGAACAAGGGGACTTTGTAGAGCATTCAGACTCGTCGGATCCGTCGTCACAATCACGATCCAAATCACAAATTAAGTCCTAAACACAAACAAACAAACAAAGTCCTAAAATTTGACAAAATTAATGAAATATTTACGAAAAGCTTGAGATTTTATATTACCTTTAAAACACAGTCTCCCGACTTGCACTTAAAATAGTCGCTGCTCGGACACTTCGGTTTAAATGGAGGAAATACGGTAATTTTTGTGGCATTGATTTGTGAACCACTTCCAAGAATGACGACGCTAGTGAGAGGTCTCCGAGTAGGTGGCTTGTTCACTGTGCAATTGGCTTCATCTACTCCTACAAGTGGAAAGTAGATGGTTCTTAAAATGCTAAAAAAAAGTAGATAAAAACTATTCGGATTATTTACCTGGTGGACAATCTTCGTCGCCATCGCATAAAAAGGATCGCGGAATGCAGAGTTTCAAACTGGGGCAGTAAAATTGGGTTGAAGTGCATTCGCCCGTATCTGCAGGTCTGGAGGATGTCGATAAGGAGGATATCGTTGAAGTTTGGGTCGTCCTTGTCGAAATATCGGTATCCAAACTGGTAGTGGTGGGACTAGAGTTAGAAGAACAATTGTCTTCATCCTCTCCCATCTTGCAATCCTTTTCTCCATCACACAGCCACCTTTCGGGAATGCAAATTCCTCTAATCCGATTTCCTGGGCATCGGAAAAATCCTTTATCACAAGAATCATCTTTATTCCCGTCAGTCGAGACTTGTCCTCCATCCAGTGAAGGAGAAGTTGGAATGAGTTCATTGTCATTACAGGACGCTTCGTCACTTGCATCTTCACAGTCAATCTACTTAAAAAGAGAAAGTTGTGGTGAAAGATAGATATTACGATGACTCGACAAATTCAGTTTTACTTACAAAATCGTCACAGAGCCACGATTTTTCGATACAACGACCATCTCCTGGACATTGGAACTGGGTAGAGGAGCAAGTACCTTTGGCACCTATGTACATAGTGTCGAGCACAATTTACAGCAATAAAAAACAATGTCAGTAAATAACTTAAGTAATAAAATTGCCCATATTACACTTTTCCTCGTCAGAATTGTCCCCACAATCATCCGTTGAATCACAAACCCAGCTCGATTTAATCGAAATGCCATTATTACAACGGAAATGAGTTGGAGGTGATCTAGTGAATGATTCACAATTCCGCTCATCGAACCCTTTCGAGCAATCTTTAATCTGATTACAAAGGTTTGAACGTGGAATGCATTTCTTATCTTCGGGACAATAGAACCGGTTCATTTTACACTTGGTTTTCAATCTAGATGGTTTGTTATTGGTCATAAAAACGGGAATTGATCTTAGTGAAATGGCACACATTTAATTTAATGACGAACCTCAATTGATCCATTGTGTTTGCCACCCAGTCCACATATTTCGAGACGTCCGTGTAAATTCCAGCGAAGCCTTTTCTTCCACAACCAATTCCGTGACTGACGATTCCACATTGCACAGTTTTCCCAGCCAGTTGACATGCTAGAGGTGAACCAGAGTCGCCTGAAATGATTTGAAACATAATCCACGTGTATATGTTCATAGCAGAATAAAATGACTAAAATAAATCAAAGATTCGAATTCGACCTCGACATGAATCTTGGTCCGTGTTTCCTGCACACAGCATCCCATCAGTCACGTTCATCTTGACCCTTCCGTAACTTTTTTGACACTCTGATTTACTAATGATGGGCACTTTAACTTTTTGCAGAATGTCCGAAGTGGAAGATAAGTATTCTTTCACCTTTCCCCAGCCTGCTACCGTTGCCATTCCTAAATAAATGATTAAAATGTGACACAATTGTTTCTCAAAATTATGTATTTAAATTCCATCCAGTCGAGCTTTTTAGAACCTGAAAATTCAGTATTTTTCTCCGGCAACGAAATATTCCCCACATATCTGTTGAGCTCCAAAGGTCGAGAAAGTGCGAGGATGGCGATGTCATTCTCGTCCGATTCCCAGTTGTAGTCCTCATGCATGAAAATTTGCGAGACGTTTCGAAGCTGCTCATTCCCCTCGCGAACGATGTGGTCATGGTCTCCAGCGACGATGGAGAGTTTTGAAGCCAACTTGTATTTGACACAATGTGCCGCGGTCAGAATGAAAATTGTTGATAAGATGGAACCACCACAAAGTAATTCATCGTGGTATCGGAGGTTTACTTGGTATGGAAATTCGTGTGGGGTGGAAGCAATGCCCCCGACTATTTTGGCCTGACGAACTTTGACAAGTTTGGAAAAATTAGTTCTTTAATATTTGTCTTAAACGGGAGTATTTATATTGACCTATTATTTACCTGTACGTGTAATGTGCATTATATTTTACTAAATAGTATGTCAAAATGGTAATGTATAATGCAGCCTTCTTCACAAATCATGACAAAATAACTTGACTGACTGACTGACTTATAACTGACAAAATTATATACATGATATTCGTAAGATGCGGCTTATCACGAATCTCGATCTCTTCTCGGAAGTGTAAACAGACGTAATCCAGGCTGCAAAATATGAGGTTTAAAGGGCAATGATGTCATTTTACTTGTAACTGATACATGCACTGTTACTGATTGCATGGGCCCCTGTGCTAAAATTTTCATGATAAGGTTACAACACAAACCATAACATAGTGGTAAAAAAGGTCATGCCGTTCTCAAATGATTTTTATCGCTGGAATACATTGGAGAAAGTTGGCGAAAGTATTTTCAAGAAAACTTTATCAACGTTCGCTATAAATATCTGTTGCATTCTTGATGTTTATGCAACAGGCAGGATGCAATTTTTTGTGGATATTCATATTACTAGTACACATATTTATGTGAGTGATTGATTAGTAGAGATATTTGATTATTATGGGAATATGCAATAGGAATACGTACGTATGTATATGCATATGTACATACATATATGCAATTAATTTATTTTTATATCCAACTCTATGCATGTGTCTACATATGTACATATTTATTATTAGTGTGTCCAGCTATGGTCCAGCTTAAATACTTGTTTCATGTTTGGAGTACTTATGTACGTACGAGTTCCTTTCACAGAGTTTGCATGCAGAGAATGCAGCTATTCATTATTAGCAATGTCATATTGGTCAATGTAGAATGACGAAACATTACAATTTCCAAATTTCCCCTATTGTATGTTTTTTCTCTCCAAACAATTTAATCCCAATATTTAATCCTACTCCATTTATATTTGTACAAACCCAGCCCATAAAATAATTTTATTTAACAAAACACAAATATAAACTAATACACACAAATATTCCATGGTCATTATCTACATATACATACATAAATGATAAAGGGACTAAAATGGACAACAAATCATGTGCATGAAAAAAAACTGCCTCATGCCATACTCACATGATGAGTTGGAATGTCGCATTTTATTTTTTATTTTTTTTACAGATGGGACAAGTGAGACGACTCATTTTTATCACCATGCATAAATATGTACGATAACCAACCTCTAACCTCACCATTAAGAAAAGCCTTCGTCAATGGAATTTATTATCAGAGACCAGCTAAAGTGAGAAACTACACGTATTGAGAATCTCAATTCATGCTTTACATACGTACGAGACTGCAGCTGATCGCACAACAACCTCTTCTTTTGTTGTATTTGTACATTCACTTGCTCGCTGTATATATAAAGCCACAACTTTCTGCGTATTTAACCATTTCAACCTTTATCACTGTTTTACAAGTGTGGTTGGTGGGGTGATTGATTGAGGAGGGTGGTTACTGGTTACAAGACTTAAAATACTTGCCTTGATAAGATTCAGGTTTCATTAAAGTATCCGGGTTTACAGAACGGACATTGAGATAAGTGTGCAAGTTAAAAGTGGTCGAGTTGGTGTGAAGGATTTCAGTTTTAATTTGGATGGTGTAGTTAATTAAATTTGATTTCCTGTGAAGAAATCAGTTCTGTAAGACTTTCTGAGTATCTGATAATTAAAATTTTTATCTAACAAATTATAATATTTGAGGTCGACGTCGAGATGTTTCATTTTGCAAATAATTTGATTGTGTTTTTTTCTTGTAGGATATTTTTAAATCATGACCCTGTCAAAGTTTGACACAAAAGTGGAATCCGAACTTATCGACCTGACCGCTTGGAAGCTTCCAATTCCTTGGGAAATTGACATTATCGAGCCAGAATTGCATTTTTACGCCTCAGGCAAAGCTGACCCTGTTAAAGCGCCGTATACTAAAGATCCCGACCAACTTCTGGAAGATCTGACCTCGGCCGGATATCTGGGGAAGAAAACGTCGAAAATAATCTTTATCACGCACGGGTTCGAAAATGACATCACGACGGAATGGCTGCCTCAGATGAAGGATGAGATTTTCAAGGTGGACCCTGAAGCCCTCGTCGTTTTATTGGGATGGGGTGGTGGGGCGAATATTAATGTACTCAAGTATGCACAGGTATTAAAGGATGCATCGTTTTGGTTATATTTTGAACCAGTGGATAAGCAATGTGAGTGTATACCGAAATTTTACTTTGTACAGGCTGCAGCGAATACTCAAACTGTGGCGAAATGGTTCCGAGAATATTTGAGTTCAATTCGGACAAGTTTTTCGGATGGTACATACATATTCTTATGTGTAGTTAAATATTTATTATTAGATTTAATTTTAATCTACATAAATTACTCCAAATCCGAAATTTGCAGATATTTTCCTTTGGGGAATCGGCCACAGCTTGGGGGCTCATCTACTTGGTTTGGCAGGTCGTCAATCGCAGGCTTTTAATCGCATAACAGGCCTTGACCCCGCTGGACCTTCCTTCGAAAAAGGTAAGCCAAATATGCGTGCATACATAGGTACATATACCTACATATATATGTTTTACATATTTGATATTTTATTTATGTATTTTTGTATTAAAGTAAACCAGGAGAATAGACTTTGCAACACGGATGCCAAAGTGGTAGATGTCATTCACACGGTACGGTACTTACATAATACATATTGCGTTTCCTTTTCAACTCTATTAATTATCCTTGATTTATTTCCTAGGACGGATATGACACCGTATTTGACCCTGGCGATTGGTTCGCCCCTGTGAACCATTACGGAACCCTCATTCCTCTAGGTATTTTATTTTATGTAATTACTTTCTATTGTTTAATCATTTTGTTATCGTAAAAACCTACAAACTTCCAAATACGCATTCACACTGGGCAAATGTCAAATGCTTATTTTTATTTAAGGAACAATTGACTTTTATCCTAATTTTGGATATCGACAACCGGGGATTTCTCATTTCAAGATTGCTGAAAGTCACCACAGATCGATCGACTTATTCATTTGGAGTATTGGAAATCCTGGAAGATTTATGACAAATGCAGTCCTGGATGGCATACCTGCATATGAGAGCCCCGTTGAAAAGGTCAAGTATGATACGGAAACGGTTGACATGGGATTCCATTTTGATACGAACCACAATGGATTATTTTACATGGAGACTAATGGCGCCGTTCCATGGACGAATGAATTGAAAGATGATGAATGTGTGGGCTGGGGATGGCCGTTTAAGAGTGGGTGCGTCATTTCGTGACATGGTCGTACTTATATGAAAGTGCTTTTTTGCTGGCATAATTGCATATATACTATTATGAAACTACATAAGAGTGCCTGCCCTGTAATGGCCGCAACCATATTATGAACTTTCACTTCGTAATTTTAAAACATAAAGCTTTGTACTTTTTATATAAACCAAAGTGGAACTGAATTTTAAATCGTTATAAAGTTATAGTCTGCCAAATCTAAATTACTATCATACTCGAAATTATAATGATGCCTACATCTAATGTGACAATGTCAGTACCGTGACAGCATGAAAACTCGGAATATTTTATTTATTTATGTGTATGTACATAGCTATAAAGATGAAATCATGTCTCCTCAAATAATTACTGTTTATCTCGTGCCAGTCTCACTGATTATAATGACATGCATAATATGCAAAACAAAATGTACATATATTATAAACAATTCATCGCGTTCAATGGATTCAAATAAATAAAACTCTTTAAATCTCAAAATATTCCTCGACTTTATTTACAAAACATACCATCATTTCTGAGAAACTGGAAATTTTTGAGATAAAAATATACGTATTATGTACACAAACATGAGAAAAATAAGTATCACATGATTCACATCATAATTTTTTTCTCATCCTTACTTTACTACAACTACACCTTTTTTCTTCTTGACGCGTTCTTAATACGCGTTCAGAACCTCCAATGCCCAGTGGTTATTTGTCATTTGGAGGACTTGTTTCAAAGTTTCCAAACATTGTGGTCCCTTTGACGCCACGAAAGCATAGAAAGCTTCCAACTGCTCTTCTTCAGATCGACATTGCTTTCCCTGCAAGGAATAAATATGGTTCAGTCAGCCAGAGCAAACATTATTTTGTCATCAACCCCTTGATCTTGGTTTGATTAAATGTTGATAAGATAACATGCAAACACACGTGACTACTGCCCACTCACTAGTTAAGATGATACTCAAATTGCAGATAAGACTGCATACAAAGCAAATAAACAAATACTGGGTGCAAATAAGACTGCATAGTGCATTTAAGTCGGAAATGTGTCTCACATTTTCCACGAATTAATTAGTGTTTGTTGACGTACATAGATTGACCATACGTGAAAATTTGCATGATAATTTGTTTTATGAACATTTTATGAATATTTTCCTCTCTAATAAACCAGCTTTTACAGATTTACTTAACGAGATAATAAAATAAAATAAAATAAAATCTTCCATTTCCTCACCAGCATTTCCCTCTCGTCTCCATTAATTAGTTCCAATCCTGAAAAAAAACAAGTTATTTTGATTACGAGGAAAGCCTGCAAAAATCGCTCTGATTCCAAAGTACCTGTAGCGAAGGAAAGTACCAGACTCGGATTTATCGTATGACTGACGATCTTGTCCAAGTTATCGAGTATTTGCTGACACTGGAAATCCACCACCGCTGGGGATTCTTCTTCATCTTCTGAGGAATTTTTTAAGGAAATATCTTCATTCTCTGTCAGCAAATGAGCTGCAGACTCATTTCCCGTGAGTTCCAGCAATTCTGGGAGTTTCGCCAAGTAGTCGACCCCCTTGCTGGCAGCCAGCAGGTAAAATGTTGTCAACTTGTCGTAGACGGATTTATATTTCGTGAGCTATTTCGTGGAAGAGCAATTATTAGTACCATGATGATTACTTTCTTCCTCTCATCACCACCACCAACCGAGAGAAAGTCGTGAGGTAATAAGATTAATGTGCAAAAAAGGACAGGAATTCCGACCAATCACTTACAATGACTTCCTTCTCGACCCTGTTGATAATGCACATTGCTTCCGCTTCATGGATCAAGGAGGGAAAGTTGCTACTCAGACTGGTCAATTTGTCAATTTTACTCACAATCTTTTCCTGCGTCAAGAGAGCCATTTTCTGATTTGATCACTTTTTTTCGCTTCAAGCCAACTATGTATCAAGAGGAGAGACAAAGCCAAACTAAAATATCGGCCTTGCAAGTCGACTCAATTTATTTATGGCGTGGAAAAATGTGGGGATGGATATGTTAACTTTGGCACGAGTTGCTAACACCTGACGGGAGGATATGCACAGGAGAATGAAAAGATGAACTTAAACTTTAGACGAGATTTATTACACAGCTTAGAAGAGTTTTTGCAGGGAAAAGTTTATATTTTATGGATGCTGGGTCCACAAAGTTCACGCTTTGATAAGCACAAAGGTTCACGCCGGGTATGTCATGTAGTAGTTTATACACAGGTCTCCTCCTCAATATGCAGTCTCTGGGCAAAATGTGTCCGTCCGACTGGATTATCTTTGAGCAAAAGTTGGCTTTATTGCGCAAAATAAACTACATGCATACTATGATTCAAGTGAATTTAGCATTATTATCATGAGAATCATACGAGCATAAACCTTTTCAGATGCAATTTAGTATCTACAGAGTATCGTATTTATCATATCAGAATGTGGTTATACCCACTTTTGGGTACCTTTTGATGCATCATAAACAATGCAAAACTCATCGTCACTCTAAATACGTATTTGTATTATTTAGACCCACCAAGGACTTGATGTAAAAAACTGTTAAATGGTCTGCACTGCATTATACATACAAAGATATTATGTGTCCAGTAGTTTCGACGCAGAACTGCTCAGTCTATTTCTGCACTTCACGTGGAGATGAGCTACTTAAGTGGTTTTTGCATGTTATACATATGTATGTATGGCCATATGCATATTATGATACATGTGTATTAAAATATGTATATTGACATTGAAAATCCTGTCCAGAAATATATGTATGAATACCTACATACGACAAGCACAGAGTGTGAACGATAAGTGAGGTGACGCTTGTCCAAAGTTCAACTACTTACGGTTATATTGGATGCCAAAAATCTTTAGAGTTTGCATTGCACGGTTATAAATATGATGATTGCCCTTATCGATCTATACTGCAGATATTCGTCCGAATATATGATCCCTGCCTGCATGCAATTCTCAACGGGATTTACTAAGTATCAGTTGATGCATGTATATGGCCTCGTACCATATTAAACATTTAGTTAAGAGCAGATTGGCCAAAAGTTATGTAGTTACCTAGATGATATAAGACATAAGCCTGGATACGTACTGTACGTACGTATTAATGCGGCGTGCAATTATGAAATGGATATTTTCTCCAGAGACTTGTGTGGAAGACATTGGGAGAGAAAGGGTTAATAAATCCTGGATCTTCTTCTTGGAGTTTTTTTTCCTTGATGGGGGAGTAAATTGCTAAAAGTGGAATGAATCAAGTGTGCATGAGATGCTGGCATGCTGAGCGGCTGGATTTTACTGGTCTTGCAAGTTGATAATTGCGGATTATAGAAGACTATTCAACAAGTTTGCATGTGCATATTTATTTTCGTATGTGTAAACTTTTTGCAAACTCCACAAATTCGCATCCTTCTGAACCGAACTCGTAAAATTAGTTTACTGATTTTCACATGACAGATTCCGCATCACGATCATGACATGAACCGTGTGTGACAGGTGCATGATTATGGCATCCTTCATTCCAAAATGTCATACGACTTGATACGTACTTGTAATGACTTAATTATTGGCCCATATTCACACAAGTTGTATTTATGCATATATAACCTTCCTAGTCCAATTTTCGTTTAATAGTTGTCACCTTTTTATTAATAAATGCTTTATAATTATTCCGGCCTGTTACGTGAAAATTATATAAATCGTTATGTAATGTGTCTATTAAGAAATGTCAAGAATTTTGTGGACATGTTGCAAAGTCAAGAAACAATGCAATAAATGAAGCCAGTCGCAAATAAATAAGTATTGTTGTTCTCTCAAGATGCACATAAAAGTGATGTAAACGTGGTGTCATTGTCGTTTCGAATGTCGTCGTCAGTTCTAAATTGAGTTCTTTTTGTTATAAAATGAGAACAAAAGAGCTGTCTTTCCAATTGGGAGGAGATTTTCGGCTTCTCCTGCACCAAAGAATGATTAGGATTTCCACCAAGAAAAGCTGTGGAAAAATCAAGGCCGTAAAAGTCTCATTTGGGAAAAATGAGACTTTATGTAAGATTTATGTGCGTACAAGCTGGAAATATGTATAATGATGGTAAAAAAATGCATAGGATGAAACACGACTGCTTTTTTTACTCCAACTTTTACAATCTACTGATCCGAAGAAAACGTAACGTAGCACGGATCGGAAACTGACACGTTTTACTATTTTTTAATTAATCACGTCTCCATTCTCCGATGAGTTTCGTGAAGGTTAAAACTTTACCAACGCCTCTGCTCTGCTCTTCACGATAAGGATTTTCCCCACCGAGTTTATAACCAAGTTTTAAAGTCGTATAAATATCCGTGAAAGAGTTTCTCAACGGGTTCGGGTCGTTATCGGGTTTCAGGTTTTTATCGGGTTCGGGTTCGGATTCGGATAGGGTTTTCTGTATCCGAACCTTATCGGGTTCGGATACGGATCACGCTTTCAGTATCCGATTGTTATCGGGTTCGGATTCGGATTTACCTTCGGATTATCCGAAAACCCGATTCAAAATTGAGCGATAAGATTTAAGTCCCAATAAGATTTTTAAACATTGCGAGTTGTTTAAAATAGGTTGTCATTCAATTAATGGAACGTTCATAAAATATGTAACCAAACTTTCACCATTTCTGCGTCCTCCCTCTCCATTCCATGTACACATGACGGGATAGAAATTTTAACCTGGGAAAGATTGGTAACCTTATCTAATTCTATCTGCCTTTCTATCTTGGGTTACATATTTTATGACAGTTCAACAAATATTATGACAATAGTATATAATACTACCCATGAGTGATGGATAATAGTAGGGAAGGAAACAAAAGTTTATGCAGTAGAAGGCTGGTTTCTTTTTTGACAAAAAATAGAAGTTCTAAAATTGAAGCTCAAAGTTGTGATTTGTTATTACTAGTTCGAGCCATAGTTGGAAAACAAATTCATTAATACACAAATGAGCTTATGAAATTATTTTATGCTTATGGGGTACTTATCGGGTTTCGGGTTAGGGTTCGGATAGAGCTTATCTGGTTCGGGTTCGGATTCGGATCGTTCCCCAAACAAATCGGATTATCGGGTTCGGGTACATATCGGATTCGGGTTGAAGGTATCGGGTTCGGGTTCGGGTTCGGATGAAGGATTTCGTACCCGTTGAGAAACACTACCGTGAAACTAACTACTTTCTCTCTCCTACTCGTATTTAATACCGAGAATTCTAGGGGAATTGAGTTACTTCAATTTAACCAAGAACACTCTCCTATACCAATTTAGTTTTAGCACGTGAAAATTCTAAAATACTGCTGGATTAGGAAAGACCCACGAAATAATTTGACCTTCCAAGAAAGTGAAGAAAACTTGAGATTTAGAATAGAATTGGACACATTTGATGTCTTTAAATCTATTTAAGTACGACTGCAACGTGGATGGATGGATTAGCTTGTTCTGCTCAAAATGAGGCTCTTGAAAATAAATAGGATTACAACAATTTTGACATGTACAAGAAAATACTTCAAGTACTGAATCTCTAATATTATACCAAACTGAAGAGTTTGTTTTGCCTCATACGTATGTGACGCGGCGTGGCGTGGCGTGGCGAGTTGGTTCCTTGAAAGGATTAAATCTAATCGTGGAGGAGGATTGACTGTAAAAAGTTTACTTTAAGGTTTTGAAATTCTATGTACGTATGTTTGTAGTTTTCTTGCAATCTTAAAATCCAACTAGTCTGCCCTTTGTCTCGGACAGTCAAGCAAGAACAATATCTTCTAAAGGTTGCCTGCCTCTTTCTTTCTCTGGGTCACCAGTGAAAGTACGTATATGTATTTAAGACAAGTTGCTTAAGTAAGTAAGTTGACATGACTGTTCCTGTTACTGCGATGTTTCTGGGACTGTGTGGACTGATGATGATGAAATCACCGGGCAGAGACAAAGTTTACTTGAGAAAGACAAAGAAAAGCAAAAGTAATGTTGCAGAGGGGAGAAAGTCAGGGAAAACACACACAAAGATGTCAATGATGTGCCAAGAGATACTTTGTTTCATGGTTGTTTAGTGAAAATGGAATTAGATCCTTGGGTCGGATGAGGTGGGTCATGGTTTGACTGCAGCTTAGAATTATGATGAAAATTTATTTTGTAATCTCCCTAATTGAGTTTATAAACAATTACTAAATTTTGCCGAGTTTTCGAGTCGCAGATTCCCAAAAGGCAGTAAGTTTTGTCTTAGAAATATGTATTCCCTGTAGCTTCGAATCTTTTGATGACAAAGTTTTTAAATAGTGTGTAGCTGCATCCGTGCATGGTCAAAGTTTCTGTGTGGAGAGGAATTGTTTCATCTAACAACAATCCAATTTTATTTTGTCTTTGGAATTTGTAATCCAATTAGTGCAATTAGCAATCTCATTGATGAAATTAATTTCAAACAAGGGACGAATGATGTCATGTTAGAGTGCACTTGTGTGTATGAACTTTACTAATTTGGGACATGTATTAGCAAAAGTTGGTCGTATATAAATAACATGGAATCGCCCTCGTAATGCCGTGTCAGACATCTGTCTGGATTTTCAGATTTCTGGAAATATAAAGTTCTAAAAATAGCTAGCCACCTTCGCAGACACTTTTTTCCCGTAATATATTGTGAAAGACAAAACGGCAAAGTTACAGAATCATGCTCATCTTACCAATTTGTATCAAATTTCTAATAATAGTAACACATTTTTGAGACAGCCAGGTAGCTATTTGCTGTTCCCTGAATAAATTTCTATCACTCGGAAACTTTAGACCCAATTGGGAGTAAATTTCTTCCGAGATGTCGTGTAGTTTCTTAGTCTTCCTTCTTGAAAGGAAAGTAAGTTACTTGTCCTCCCAGTTTCTCAGAATAGTTCAACAAGTTATCGATTTAGCATGTATGCATATCGGGTGGGATGAGTCACGGAGGCGAAATCTGAAAATAAGTCTATGGACAGGAAGAACCAGGGGGGAAGGAAAAGCACCATTTGTTTCTGGCTAGGACAGAATAAGTACATTTTCAGCTCCAGTTCTTCGCAAAATTGAAATTTCTCTGATTTGACGTTGCACGACAGACAAGAAATATCAGTCTGAAGTGGCGAGAGGAGGGAGAGGAGAGAATCCATGTCATCCGGTTTATTCATGCATGGCAAATAAATTCTGAGCGTTTATTAATACTCGGAAACCATGTAACACCAAATATTTCATCACATTTATTACAAAATATCGACAAACATGATCAATTTACAAGAACAGGTACGATAAAATATGTATAAATAATACGACCTTTCTCTCTCCTCTACATACTTACAATCATCACACATTTTTACTTATTTTGGCATATTATTCAGGTATTATCAGGTCATTAAATAAAGCTCAATTTAATTGATTGAAGCAAGTTTACAGGGATTATGTAGTAGTAGTTAAATACATATGTTAAAACCTTATCTTATCACAAGCTCTCTCTCCGATTGTGCTTTGATATTAATACGAACAAGACGGGGAAATTGAGACGGGTGGTTTGGTTACATAACAAATTACAACATTAAGCACATGAATTCACCGCAATTATATCCGGGGTAGAATTGTTCTGAATTTGGAACTGAGAAAGGGAATGACTCCGACGAAGCCCTCCGACAACCATTGTTCCATCGCTGTTACGATGCGGCTGCTTTCCTCCCCGAGTATGAAACAGGACGTCTGGTTTATGATGGGACGAGGATGATGATGACGATGTCGTTGTGTAACGGACCATAAGATGCTGTGGTTGCTGGAGGTCCTGGCTAAGTCTGCCTCGGCATTGTCCGCAAGATTTGATTGTGGGAGATTGACGGTCATTGTCACGACCGTAGTCCAATCTTTCCCCACCACCACGACCACGACCTTGGTGATCATCGTGAAGATGATTTCTCGGAGGTAGTTGTATCATTACTTGTTTCTTTCGACTCGGCCTTTTGTTCTTTCCTCCACCTCCTCCACCACGGTTGTGATTGTGAGCTTTGTTCTGACCACTACCACCACCACCACCTTGTTGCTTATTAACGGGAATAACGGGATAAGAGTCTGTCGAGTTGTCAGTGTTGTCTAACAATCGACAAAATAAAATGGACAATAGTTGATGAATCCAGCGTCAAATGACAGACGTAATTGCGAGGAGGGAGCTGGATCTTGGCTTCTTGGTCCGTTCCTCGCCATCCTCCACGGATAACCTTCTCCGATTTCGGGATGAGTGCTTTTTGCAACAGCACCAACAACAGCAACAGCAAAACTTGAAACTCCAAGCCCAATTACAGTTGAAAATTGACCCGGCCGTCTTTTTCGTGTAGTTTCCGTACACGATGGGATTCAGACAAGAGTTTGCGACCGCCATCATGAACAGGGCTGTTCAAAAAAATGATATATTTTAATTAAATTCTGGCAGAAATCCAAGCATTTATATTTTTACCATCTTGTACGACAGGGTCGACTCGTTTGGCTCCCTCCTTGTCGAATGAGTACCTAAAACAGAATAATAATAATATTTACATCTTTATTCTCTTTAACGAACGAAGCTCGCGACTTTTTTTCGCCCAATTGTTTTAGTTTGGCAAGTCTAAACATCAAAAGATATTGGATAAAGAAAAGTGCATCTGTCCACCGTCTCAAAGTTGACAGAAAATAATCTCGCTTCGCAGCTTGGAATAATGGTACTCGTCGTTGGAACAAAGGACCCCAGGCATATCAATCATTACATTTTCATACAATATATATGTATGTATACATAGGCATAGAAAATCACGTGAAATGGTCATGTCATATGTAAGTAAGGCTATTGAACTGCCTAACCTGTTGACCACGCCATTCGTTATACATACCAAAAAGGAGAATTATTTTATTTCCGATAGAACTGCATTAATAAATTTCACGTACGCTGAGTATATATTAATTCACTCAGAAATCGGATCACATGACGCAACCATTGGAGAAAGGAGACATAATTAAATACCTGCAAAAGTTATACCAACCTATCGACCAAAAGAAGGAAGGAAATCTAATCAATCTTTTCTATAACCTCAACCATCACTCCGGAATCATCATTCCCGTCAGTTTTATCCCGTCTCAATTATTGATCTCGGTTTTTTTTAGGGGCTCAACTGATCTGGGGGAAGAGAAGAAAACGTGATCAACCAAGAGAAATAATTCGGCCTGATTTTATCGAACTTTGATACCCTTTGACTTCACCTCCTCCCCACAAAAAAAGAACCTGGGTCTGATTGATTGACAGGATTTACAGACAAGGTATTTATGTAAGTAGACGTACATATCGTGGTAATGGTCGTGGTTTGCTTTTACGTCTCTCACTTTCACCTCTCTCCTCGCACGTCTCTCATTAGTGTATAGATGTTGATGAAAGGATGCCCATGCCTCCATCCTGGTCCAGTTAATTACTCCTACACCGCACGGATGGATGAAAGGAAAAGAAAACACAAGAAAGAATGTGATGTGAAGAGATGCTGCTGTAATTAATTAAGGTGAAATAGCTTGTCAGGATTCCCATGGGTTGGGCAGCGCTGATGATGATGAACGTCAAACACAACGATAACGGTTGGTTTCAAAAACATGGTCACCTCACCAGACTTTCTGGAACTACACTCCTTTTTAATAGAAAGTTTCTATAACTTCCACCTCCACCCCCACCATCTAGCCCACTACGTTCATAGATAGCACGCCATGCAGAAAATTATTTCTCAAAATCAGACCCATTAGGAGAGCAGCATATCGGCGAATCTGTCTGGGTTTCGGTTACAGCATTCTCCCATTCATGACTTTATGGCTTCTTGAATTCTATCTACGTACGTGGGCAGAACAGAACTTTGATTTTGTTGTGGTTTTGATCATATTATAGTTTGTAGTGGGCTTGTCTGATTTGATATTGAAACCGTTTTTAATGGTGAGAGGCTATTATTTGCAACACCATCGACTGCCCCGTGGTTCGAGTGAAGTTAGGAAATCGTCTAAAGTACAATATGAGGGAGAATATAATATTGCTATTTAAACCGAAATTTGAAACGGGTGCTTAATCTTTCCCATTCCCTATTGTTCTTCATGGGTGGATTAACTCGAATAAAACGAGTAATCGAGTCCATAATTTCCCAAGTCTACCATGATGGTGGTGAAATTCGACTCGGGCCCTCACAATTTAAACCTCAATTCCAGCATCTCCTCTCTATTGTAGTCAATTAAATGGAGAGAGAAAGTAAAGTAGGTGGTAGGAGGAAGACGTTGTTGAACACTCACTCACTCAAAAACAGCCACGATTCGGGGAAAAACAGAAAAAAACCTTGTGATGTTGTCATCAAATTTCAATATTTACAATTCTCCACATGAATGAACCGTCTATTTTCAACCTACATCTGTGCATTCATACTTTTGATGACGTACGCGTCCCTTTGACTAAATGGTATTTGGTCAATCAAAATAACTCTCCTTTCACCAACCAGAAATGGGAGAGAGAAGTCGCAAAACAAGGAATATTTTCGTAAATATTGTGTGTCCTATACTCTGCGGGTCCTGGTTTATTCGGCCAAAATTAATTTGTTTACAAAGTCTTCGAATGTACGAATGTACTTTTGCTGCACTCTTGTTATTTGCTTAGCAAGAATCTAGTGAAAAGCGGTGCCAAACTTCTTGTGGGCAGGTTAAATTAAATAGAGACATGATTGTTCCTACTGTAAAGAACTTTCAGCTAATAAAAAACGGTGTAGTCATTCCCAACAGGAAACAAATTTGTGGGAGCATTGTACAGAAAGTGCGACGGAGAGAAAACTTGGTCCTTTTTGCATTCTGCTCCCGTTTGTTAATATTACTTTCTTCTGTAAAAAGGAGAATTTATCTTGAAGATCTTTTTGTTTTTATTAAGATTCCCGAGAGGAATGGAGAGAAATTTCCTCATTTATTTACACTACGTACATATAGACCGTTGGTGGTGTACAATATCACAAAAAAGCACTCTGCGTGCTTCCATTTGCGGTTTCCATTTGTCAAGAGAGCTTATCGCTGTCAAACACATTTTAATCCTTAATAACTCTTGCCAAACTCAAATCTCTCTTCAACATGAGGCAGCCGAGTTGGGCAATGTTTTACAAAGATTTTGAAATTCTCATTTTTTAATAGTATTAAAAAACTCTAAAAGCATTAAGCACCATAAATGGCATCAGCTACATATATTCGTAATATGTATGTACATATATTTGCTCACCACAAAGTGATGACACAGTACGGCGACCAGCAGAAGATAAATACAATGACGATTACAAACCTGGAAGTAAAACGTATTCATAGATTAGTCCAAAAATTTCGAAATTCTCAGCATTTTTAATCAGATTAAATTCTGATTGCGCCACTCACGTCATCCGCAGCGTCCTTTTCTTCGCCCGTGCCAGTAAATTGGCCGAGTCTGAGGAATTATTACAAGAATTGCTCAACAGTTGCTGACTGCTCGGAGGGGGATGATTCGTCGTTGTTGTAGCATTATTATACGTGGAATACGTCATCCCACCGCGTGTACTGTAGTTGATGCTTTCATTATTGTGAGCATTTCTCTGCTGCTGGTCTTGCCCACCCCCTTTAAGAAGCAAAAACACATTAATTATTAATACATTTTAAAACTGGTCGGTATTATCGGTTTTCGTGTTTTTACAAGGTTTTCTCCGATTTTATATCAACCTTGTCTTGTCAACTTAGAAATTACCGAGGCAATGCATAATGAATGAATGGATGTCTACGTGAGTTTCGTCGTGTACATACCTACATATGTATTCATCGTCCGACAAGTAATAATTAATGACTGATCGTTTGACTTTGGATGTGAGGAGTCGTCGTGTCATGATGTCCGGGCATGTGACCGCATGTCACAAAATCACCATTTATAGTCAAGATTGGTTTGCTTACGTTTGCGAAGTTTGCTTACGTCTTTGAATGGAATGTGAAAATCAAGGGGCAACTTTTGTACCCGAAAAAATTAAGGCTTTACTTTCTGTAATATTGTGCTAAGTGGTTATATTGCGGCAAAATTCTTAGATTAGATATACATATAAGTACACTTATCTATGTAACATTTATTGGTGCGGTTTAGTTTAGCAATCAAAAAGGGCAATAACATTCTTGCTGATTCCATATAAAAACTTGATCCTCCACGTGCCTCACCTTTTTAATCAGGAAAATAGTTTAGTATGATAATGTACAAATTTAGATCAAGTTCTTTTTCTCATCAATCAGATTGAAACAAACTTGGTTCAATTTCTTCCTTGTAAAAAGATCAGTTGATTTGATGCTATTATTAAATGCACAAGTGGGACGACCTACGCATTCTCAGTCAGAGAGACAAGACAGGTGCTGCACATAATGCGAGCACTACAAAAAGTAATTATAAGTTCAAACAGGAAAAAGTTTTGCATTTGTGTTTGAACATTTAATAATTAACTTTGCGTGCTTGCTTTTGTCTGCCAATATGTCTGCCATAATTCAAGTGTGGCTCAACAGCATTTATATAAATACTTGATAAATACCTGAAACTACCATCATCCCACTTGTTTCCTGTTACTTTACTAAAGGCCCACTTGTCCGACTCTGAACAATCTATAAGTTCAATGCGACACAAATTTGGAACCTTGAAATAAGACTCTGTCTCTGCGGTAGTAATACCGGCAGAAATTACGCTTCTTCTCTCCCTCGAGTACGTACTTTGCCAAATAAAATAAAAGATGGTGAAAATAGACACTTCTTCCATCCACCAGGAGAACGTCCACCACTTTCTACGTCGTCGTTCCAATCCACCAAGGACGAAACACTAAACGGGCAAATAAATTAAAATAAATTCCAACGAGAACCGTTTGATCTCTTGAGTACTCGCTCAACGTGACCATGACCCTGCTCAACCGATCCGAAGCTACCTGATAATCGTGCTGTTGAAGGAAATTGAAGCGAAAGTAATGCCATCATTCCAGCCCAGCCAAGCAATTGCGATTAGCAGTGGTAACAAGTTAGTTCTTCGAAGCCAGCGATTTGCGAGAGTTTTAAGGTGGGTGTTAGTTTAAGTAAAGAGCAGGAAAAAAAATCAGTGATGAGGAAAAGCTGGGAAGATAACAAAGTATATAAAAGGTAGGATTCTTCCAGAATGGGAGGAAAATGAGGAGGAGGAGGGAAGAGGGAAGGAAGGAAGGAAAAAGTCGACAGGATGACGTGGAGGATCTGATAAAATAATTTGAGAAATTCAGCAGACATGTTAAAACTTTATACACTTTGACTGATCAAACTGTTTGATCAAGTTGAGATATTAGAAAACTGGCATTTCCGGTGAGATGAGTCCCTCGGGAATGTTTTGCACATACATTCAACACCATTTTTTCTGCCGTGGGGTGGGATACGACTTTTTATCAAATTTCTCAAGATTACCAACAGCCACGAGGGGATCGGATACATTATGTTCTAGTTCATTCTTATCCAGCATATTTTGCCTAAAATTTGGAATGTTTGAATTAAATTCTGAAGGACAAAACTCGTCTTAAAATCGATTATACATATATATTGATCGTCGAGGACTATAAATGAAGGGAAAAATTGAAATTGAGTGGATCGAGTATGCCGTAAATTGCGATATTATCATTCTTCCAGAGTTTAATGTTCTGATCAATATTATGATATTATGTCACTCACGCATCTCTTACATGACTTTATTATTACTTCTTCAAGTCGCGACGAATTATATAGTGCTCGCTGTTTTCATTAATTATAATTACATAACAATCTGATTCATAAAATGTGCTTGAATTGGCGATCGTCTCTCAAGTGGGTTGGATTTCATGTGTCAAATTACAGTGGGCATGGGTGCATAACCGTCTTATGTACAAAGCCGACATACATAGCTCAACTTTCAAAATCTTATTATTCGAAGTGAAAACTTCCAGCCAAGCCAAACATGGCCAAACCGCCGTCATAATGAAATTGGAGCAATCATCGTGCACTTCCTGTGTAGAGAAAGTCTGGCGTGTAGACGATCCTACTTATTTACCACGATCGTTTGCCTATCCTCGCGTTCTTTGCATCAACTTTCTCTTTCCGTCAAGAGGGAATTGGAGATCCCATGCAATTCCATCTCTCTTCGCTGGTTTATTGAATTTAAAGTTTGATTTTGAACTGGAATTGGGAAATGAAACCAGAAACTTGACCAGAATTGGGACTGATTTCCTTTCAAAGTAGATATGAAGGAAGGGCTGGTCTGGTCTGGTGCCGCGGCTCGATTTACATTACATTTCACGCTTTGATTTCCATGCACTATCCCAACAGCACGAGAGACTTTCAATACTTTCTGTGCCAGTCGTAATACTTGATAAGTGAATGTAAAGTGATGGGCATGCCATATATTTCTGAGAATCCCACACCCAACCTGTCGAGAGAAGATTGATGCGCAGATGGTGATCTGCCTAATCCCATCACATATTTAGTACGTTCCACTAAAATTCTAGGGCTGTCTGTCTTCCACATAAATAATGAAATCAATCATGTCAACCAAGAGAAAAATCAGGGAATCCTTCGTATCTAATAAAAATCGTCCACACAACACCCATAATTACACTTAGGATGTAAGCCGTAATCCTTCCCTGTCTCTGGCAGAATGACAGACAGACAAAGTGAAAGTAAAATTGACACGATACAGTCTGCATGCAAAACTGGATTGATTTTGCATTTAGGATCTCCTCCCTCAAGAGAGTGAAGAAAACTAGAATACAATCAATTTCATTTTCAAGTGTCTTCCGGAGAGGACGGGTAGTTTCTTGCTCAGAATAAAATTGAAAGTCAAATTGCGTTAAAGTAAAAGTTGTCCGAGCCAGGAAATCTCGACCAAGGCGAATGTGTCTGCATTTGTCCTGCATGGGTTCCTCGGGAGAAAGAGGAAACGAAATAAAAGTAAAACCCCTTCCCCCCATACAGTTAGTTGTCATCTTAGCGGCAGTCTTGTCAAGTTAGTTGGACGGAATGAAGGGAAAACGTGCTCTGGATATGTAAGCACACTTTTTTCAGTCAAACCCTGCACAGCGTGCAATCCTTCTGCAGACTGAACTGAATGAAACATCATTTGATGGACAATGGAAAAATCTTTTTATTCCAATCGCACCAGGATGACACGAAAAACTTGAGTACTTTTAAGAAGTCTCTTGATCTATTTTGTCACGGGTTTAACAAACAAATGTCTCAAGATCAAAGATGAAATAAATAATGCTTACGAGGCTTTTTCTCTCCTGGGGAAATAAAAAATTCTGTGTCTGACAACTGTCTAATCCAGGCCTGCAGTGTTACCTACCTATTCGCATATAAGGATGGATGTAACGAGGTGAATTTGAGTGTCACTTACGTGTCTGCTTGATGAGGATGTGCGACTTTGACGAAATCTTCCATAAGATACTCGAGTAGGTGAAGACCGTCACAATCAGGGGGAGAAAGTACATGGCGGACACGGAGAAAACATTGTATGCCATTTCCTGTGATGGGCTTAAAAAGCCAAAGCTCACGCATTGTCGGAACGAAGGATATTTCGGATGGACTTGTAAGCTGAAAACGACGCACTGAAATAAACAAAGAGGAAATTAAATAGGAGTGGGATGGAAATGTTGATTTTGTGAATTACTTACTCAAAATACACGATAGATATATATACCCAAGTTCGTTAACAATACTTCTAATTATATAATTCCGTAAGATAATGGCTTCTCTTATCAAGAATTTATACGCCATTGCCATTCTCGTCGTGGTCCGTATCTAACCCAACCCACCCACTCTCACGATCGGGCAATACATCTGCGTAGGTATCAAGTACAACCGCACGACCAGATTCTCCATTCATTCGTCCATCTATATTTTACCCATTCTGCCAGGTTTACATTCAGCAAAATCACCAAATGCCATTATGTCAGGGATGGGATAGCATCCAACCAGAAGAAGAAATAGGCGAGGACGTGCCTCTCGCCAAACGTTGCATTGCACCAACATCATCAACAACAACTGACGACGAGGAAATTCAATAATAGGACGAATAATAAATGTAAAAATGACATTCAAATATAAAGTATATTGTACGATTTCTGCACAATTTGGGGAACGAATATGGCTAATCCGAACCCATACATATACTAAATATTTTCTCGTATGCCATATACATCCTGCTTGACGACGATGCTGCTGACTCGATAAGAATTTAGATTGGTTTCGTTTGGAATTGAAAATTCTTTTAGCCGCAGACATCTCTTCCTCGAACAGAAATTCGTGCAATCCAATATGACAGAAAACAAACAAGTGGTGAGAGTGATGTAGATTTGGTGTCATAGGTATCTATGCGGTAACAGGGGTAACAAACAGGGGCAGTGATTCTCATTCCCATATTATGTAAATTGCACATCACGTTGGATTATGCTGCTGTTATGGGAGGTTGGCATGTTGCATGTACATACGTATTCCCAAGAGGGGAAATGACGACGAGGACGCTAAAAGCTAAAGCTTTTATTTGTTACGTATCGTTCACATTCAGAAGAAGTGGCTTGGGTTCATCATTCTGATCTCATTTTAAAACTATTGCGTAATATATAAATATTTCTAATCAATAGTCGTCTCGTAACTTGTTAAAATGAATTGACAGAGCAAAAAGGTCCATGAATTTTTAAAGGTCACATACATATATCTCTTTTCTACCATGTGTCTACATCATGCTTTTTTGGTCTTATGCAAAGTGCTGAAACAAAATGGGATACATACAATGAGAAATAACTACCCATCAAAGTGGTAAATAACAATTGGTGAAATTCTTCACAGCAAACACGCAAGTCAGTGTGATTTGACCAGACAGCAGATGCAAGTAAATATGGTCTCGATGTAATCTAAAAGTCAACTTGTAAAACACGCACCTCGTCCATGAAACTCTTCATTTTAAGGATGGGAATAGAGTGAAACTTAGCAATTTGATGTAATGGCTGTTGTCATTATTTACAGGGCTGCTGTTATGTAAGGAAGTATTTAGAATTACCATCTCTGCCTGCCTACAATGGACCGAAATCCCTGTGGGACTTTAGTCAAATCTTGAATTCTTAAAGCAATTTCAACCAGTTAGATACACATGTATGTAGGAATGAAAGTTTAAGGTTGGATTGTTTCCCCGAATTGTATAAATGCTTTACTTTACTTCAATTCAAAAGCTTGCATGCATGCATACGAAATAATATCATTGAATAAACCCCAACTAAATATTTGATTAAAAAGCCAATGAAACTGGAACTAATTATATTGATGTATTGATCCATGACGAGAACGAAGCTTATTCTCCGACGACCACGACGACAAACTGACCTCAGACAAATATTGTGCCCGCTATACCACCACCACCATCAGCCTTTTGAGTATCAATCAAGTGCAAATATATAAATGCCGACGTTCTTGAAGGTTAAAAACCGCAGGCGTCCGGGAAATAAGACATTAAATTCCAATATTTTAGTAGATATAGCTTTCCCCAACCGACACAACCTAGGGCAATCCTGCTTGCTACCCTTCCTTCGTTCCGTTCTTCCTATGTAGTTATTTACCTTCTCGGACCTAATAATTTCTGACAAGATTGTGAAACTTCAAAATAAATAACCCTGCATTTACGGATGATTGGTTGCCCACTCCCATCCGATTATTTCTGCAGCAAGAATAATGAATTTATTGCCATCCTACAAACAAATACATGCAATTCCATATCTTCGCCTCATCCACCAATGTTCCATGCAATGTAGGAAATTTAATAATAGGATGGGAAGAAAGGAAGAGAAAGTACAAGTGTACTTGCGGTGGTTCAATTGCCGAATGTGCCGAATTGTCCAAACAAAACAATAAATAAATATGTATCCCTTCTTCTTTGTTGTATTATTCGTTCCGAAATATTATTAAGCCTAAACTTGTGGGCGTATGTATGTACTGCAAACATACATATGCATACGGAACAAATATTTTTAAGGACGGAGGAAACATGCAAGCAGCCTTCCCCGTGGGACCACTTACCGATAGAAACAAAGTGTTCTACATCTCTCCCCCGAGATATTTGTTCCACTTGCTTTCTTTCCCTTTAAGATGGAGTAGATAGGCGATTAGGCCACAGCAGCAGCAGTGTCGTTTGTGCAGTGTCGTTTGTTATCATGTAGAAAAACCGGCTATTTATTTCGTCACGACTTTTACGTGACATTTGCCTTCTTTCTCTTGTAATTTTCTGCTAGGTTTCCCTCTACCGTGGTTTATTTTATTTTATCGTTGGAGATAAACCGTCCAATACATCCTGCGACCTACGTACTATTGTTTTATGTATATGAAACTACTTTACCTGCGGTGCAGATGATACTGCAGCTGCCAACCAGGCAAGGGCAATCATTGTTTTGACTCGTCTAGTAGCTCCCACCATCCTCAAAGGAAACAGTATGGCTGTAATGTAAAATAGTGGAATTCAAAATTTCACATAAATTTTTCAAAATAACATACATTTATGCATCAGGTTGAGAAGAATATATTACATTACCTATGAAACGATCCAGACTGATGCATATCAAAATATTTGATGAAAGATAGAGTCCAAAAGCTCTAAGGAATTGACACACTTTGCACAAAAGCTCTCCCCCCATCCACTGAATCGTCAGCCTCCAACAGATCTCGAGTGGCATGAGAAAGAAGGTCACGATCAGATCAGCAATGGAAAGGTGCAGCATGAGAACGGTGATTCGCCACTTGAGCTTCGCCAGTTGGTGGCACACGGAAAAAAACACGGTCAGATTTCCGGTAGCCGCGACAACAAAGAGGATTGAGTACGCGACGACCTCGTTTCTAGAGCGGGCCGTCATCTCGGTGAATTCAAGGGGCAGAGGGGGTGACGAGGACATGTTGTTTACGGTATTGTGGTACGCCATGGACGCGCTGATATTCATGGCAGGGTCAAACATGGCGGAAAAGTTGAGCTCGGTCTCAGACTCTGGAAAGATGAAGGGTTGTGCGGTGAGGAGTGGATTATCAGTGGTGGTCGTGGTAAAAGTTGGAGGCATGGTTGAGGGTGCGGTTATCGTCGCGGGGAGGATGCTGTCATCTTCTTTGTGCGGGGTGGTATCTCATGTTGACGACATATACATAGATGATGACTCGGCAGAGTGTAAATTCGCGTGTTTTTGAGGTCGGTATGTGTGTGGTGTTTGAGGTGAAGAGTGCACTTCACTTTCACTCACATAGTTTTATAGGGTGATGGATGGGTGGTCAATGTCTGTGTGGCTGGTGAGAGACTATTCATGTATGACAAGGTGGTGTCATCGTATGTATCACTTCCAGCACTTCTATTCCCATTTGCCAGGAAAGGATGTGGATTGAATTATTGACTTGACTCTTACTTTACTCTGCCATGATAATGATATCCAGTAATACTACTATTCTCTTGCTTTCACCCTTTTTTCCGGCTAAAACAGTAGTCTGAGAGAAATAAACGTCGTCTGCATGGATCCGATACCAGCGTCAATGTCAAATCAGTCAGAGGACGGGGTAGTAAAAAGAAGCCAAGGTTTTTTTCCGTCCGTCAAGCTGACCAATTTAAAGGTAGTAATTTTGTTAGAATATTTTTAGAAAATATTTTTCAGTAGGAAAGAGAACAATACCTCGAAAATAAATTGATATATTTTTTTATGTAGTGTTTAAGTGTTGGAAAAAATTTACGGTCTGCGTGATAAACGATTTTTCTTGTAACTACTACTTGAACAACTGCTATGTGGATGTGGTTCTAGAGTGGCTGCTGGAGGCAAACTGATACCCGAGTGGTCGAGACGAATGCTCTAAATCCGCACTGGATTTTCACCAGGGTTTCATGTATGCTCTGAAACTTTGCTTTCTCCACCACCAACCAGCAGTCTCAAATGCATACCTTTTCGCTGGTAAGTACTACTTTCCCCTGCACAACTTTCCACCTCCACCTCCACCTCCACTTCGCCGAATAAGTATGAGCTCTCATTCAGATATACATAATAATCTACCGCTTTGGACGAGTCTTTCGAGCACAATAATGCCTTAAAGGATCACACAAAAGGAAACTGATGTGGATTAGTTGGTGAGTCTACAAGGTTCCCCATTAGGCATCGGTTTTTCGTGTGGTTTCTCCATTTGCATGAGTGGGTTTCAAATCTGGGTGGGGGCAGATTCTTATAAAATCGACGTGATAATGGATTAAAATAAGTACGAGATAAACTTGAATTCGTGGAAAATCTTGAATCCAACAAACCAAAGTCCTCGGGGTATCTGTGAATATGTAAGTCGTGAATTTAACATTTTGCCATTTTCATTCATTCAGACCGGGTGCAGGGGTTTGGTTTTATTAGTCGTCTCAGGTTAGCAATTTATCGAGCCACCATGTGCTCGATATCCGTTTCAACAAGCTCAGAAAAGAAGAGACTTGATTGATTCTCATTTAATATTTATGGAAGAAAAGACCAAGACGGGATATTTGAAAGAAATTGTAATAATAATGCAATTAAAGGTTGGGGCCATGTAAAACTGAAATTGCCCTTTTATAATTCTTCTCTTGGTCATCAATACATAGTTTTGGCTTTTAGTATTGTTTTCCCAATCCAAACTTTTAACGTCTCGACGATATGCCTCTTTTTGCTGACGTGAATCGAGTTTGCTTAACTGGAATTTGATACCTTTATAATCAATTGGACAATGCTGACTTAAATTACTGAATGACGTATGTACAAATGTACGTACAAACAACCAACAATCGTGCTAAATTAGGGAAATGTGAAATATCAATACAGGACAAGAACTACTTAGCTTGCTGAAAAACATTCTTGAACTTATTTATTCGTTCTTTGTTCTCTTTTTTTCTTGTGAAATCGTGTCTAAACTAAAAAATAAACATACGTATGTTCCATTCCATTCATTCAATACATGCCAAAAATATCTATTCCAGCAGCAAAATAAGGAGGATAAAAACTTGCCCGATAGCAATGTTCCTTGTCAACCAATAACAATTCCACGAAAGAAACTTTATGATACAAGAAACCCTCCAGGTTAAGGAAAAATACATATCTCAAAAACCTTGTCCATCAATAGGTACACAAACTTGTAAAAATACTGTATCGAATCCTCACCTATAACTATCTATTCTCATGCATGGCCTGTCAACAACTAATTTTCCCCTCTCCAAATGTGCTACATGTACAAAACTTCAACATTCCCAGGTGAAACTCTGGTGGATAACAATCTTTGGGGAAAATTCCGCTTTGTTTCAACCGAAAAGTATGCAATGAGACTATTCCTATTCGCAAAGTTATGACAAGAATGTTGAGAATGTGTATGATTTGAATCTATACGAGTAACATCCCGTACTTCAAACACTGCACGCAACACACGTCCTGTACGCCCAGATATGTCACATGAATAATCAACACGTCCAAAAAAGAAGTTGACATCTGCCCCCTTTTACCACATTTGTCCACAAAATGCACACTGACTGCAATGAAATCTCTCCATTTGCTACCCACACAACGGAAGTTGAACAAGTCCAACCAAAATGATGAGTGTTTCCCTCGTGGCATTTTTCACATTACGACTAGTCCTCCTTCTGCTGCACTTTCGCGAAATAAGTTGCGACGACGATGAAGAAACTCCAAGTAATAACGACTCGTACAAGTATAATCCAAAATTGCCAACGGCATCGGCTGAGCGGTTCGACCCAACCTTGGCTCAACCGAGGGTGACCTTATCGCAGGGGACGTATCTCGGCCGGACTTACTCGTCCCGGTCGGGCAGACGGTATCACGCTTTTGTCGGGATAAGATACACAAAACGGGTCGAGAGATTTCAGCAGGTCTATTAAGATATGTAAAAAAAACGATTAACTTTACGTGCAAATTATCTCATTTGCATGCATAACGATGTCCTCCTCCCAAGATGGCTGAACTACCCGACGCTTCCAACGCGACGATCAACGCCACATCGTACGGACCCTTCTGCCTACAACAGGAATGGTTCAAAAGTAAAGTTATCGGGGAGGAAGATTGTCTCTTCATTAATGTGTACATTCCGGAAATGAAGGTATGTATGTACCTACTAATTAAACCATGTTTTATCAAACTTTTCCTACCCAACTCGGCCTGATAAATAGGGGGCAATTAAGATAGTAAATAAATATATACACTCCTTCTTTCCGGGGCAAGCATGTCTACCCCTCCATTTTTCCGTACATCCTCTCCATCCAATTCAGATTGAGGCCTGGATAGAGAGAAAGTGCAAATATTTGCATTTCAAAATTACTCAAATACCAGGAAAGCGTGTGTACTGTTGACGAGGGAATGTGTATGTGAGGCAGCTTTACATAATGAGATTATGCAGTGAGTGATGGTCGTGGTGGTTGCTTTTGCAACTTTCTCCTCGCACAGAGAGAACGAAACGACGGACGAAATCATGTTTCATTCCTATCACAAATTCTCCAAGGGCGATATTTCGTCGACCTTGTTGCACTAATGCGAATTGAAGTAGCAGAGCAACTGATTTATTAAATAAGCTGCAAGGATGCTTCTGGCATTTCCTGCTTGAATTGTGGTCCTGGATTTTGAATTGATTGGACGTCATTGTGTCGTCGATGTTGCTTTGCTTGAACAGAAAATGGGACCGACAGCAGCAGAAGATGAAGCAGGAGGAGGACCACAACGGGATAAGAAGAACCACAATAACACTTCTGGAGGAGAAAGCACGCCTCCAATTTCAACAATGTTTTACATTCACGGAGGAGCCTTCTTGTTCGGGTCGGGAAACGTCTACTTGCCCGATTACCTGCTGGATGAGGAGGATGTTATTCTTATCACGATGAATTACAGGTCAGGCTTTTCTCATTGTTTATCTATTATCCTTCTTGTCATGTTACATGTTACTCATCCGTGACCTTAATACGCGTCGGCATGCATAAATATTAAGGCGCAATATAAGTTGTTGCCAAAAAAATTGCCATTTTTTACTACCCGGTGGACACAAATCGGATAAATTATAAATAAATACATAACGTTATTCACAGTCAGAGAAAATACTTTTTATATGAGGAAAGAGGGATTTCACATAAATAAAATCCCTGCATTATTGGAATAGGCTTAAATCTCCTACACGGGGCCCAACCTTTGCCGGTTTTACGAGCTGTAAGTATTTAGCTAGGTATGAAATCCTTCACATCAAAGGATTTCTCTAAAGCCCTTCAAATGCACCTCTTCCGTAATCCAGACTGTGGATCTCAATTTATAAATTGACCCAGAAATGTTGCCCGGAATCTTTTGGTCGTCTTATTCCCAGAAATAGCCGTGTAGGAGGTGTAAAGGAAAATCTCTGAGTCAGGAACTCTGCTTCATTCCCACGCCAGGAGGTGGTTGGCATTATTTATTTCTATTCGTATAAAAATATGTACATACATATACACGTGAGTTTTTAAAGACAAGTCGTAACACAAGTGGACCAGACAGACGTCTAAAAGATGCTTAGACGCCTACAGTAAATTCGTGACGATTCCGGGTTAAGACGGAACTAATGGAGGTATTAAAAATTTCCCGTTTCATAACTTTATATCAAAGAAAAACGTATTAAAAATCGGGAATGAAAGAGCAAAACCAATCCGTTACGTATATGGCTCATAAAATAATATAAAAACTCTTATTTTTTCCCTTCTCGAAGTATATGAATCCTTAGAGTTTAATATTTCTCGACAGACTTTTTCTTGAAATGAAATGAAATTCGAAAATTATATAAGTTTAAAAACAATATGTTCAGTTCAGGTAAATAGTAAAGTATAAAACTAAGAATAGTCGTGCATAATCCAGTCGCAAAATAATAATACAATCCATCAAAAGTTTCCTATTCTAATAAATACGTTACATAGACTTTGGTGTTCATTGAACTGAGCCTAACACCCACAAGAGAACAGAACAGGACAGAATGGAGGACAGAATTCTTTGATACAAAAGTACAAAGGAATAAATAATATATATTTCATACAATGTATGTAAACTGTCATACAGAATTTCGTTATGTCAAACCTTTTTAGTTTTATTCACCATCACGAAGCAGACGAATATCCATTGTATAACTAACTCCTTTGTACATACAGAATTTGTTGAACCAATATTCACCCCACGTTTCGAACAAGCCTAACCTAATTTCGAGGGGTAACATGAACATGGAAAAACATGATCTCCTCACTCGAAACTATTTTTACAATGGTGGCTTCTTCGACATGAATTGCGACCGTATCGCCCGGATTTACTAACTCAATTTCACTTTCACCCACGGTAAAACAGCCATGAATGGATGTCAAGTAAGAAAAACCAGGCCCGACAAGATCAACGTGATGGACATGTTCATGGCTTAACAATCCCTGGTCACCAGTTGGTTTGACCTTGAAGGAACGCACGCTCATCGTTGCAGTGACAAGGTCACGACGAAATATAATCCCAAAATCTACCACGTCAGTGTCACCAATTATGTCACAATTGATGGGTTCCTCCCCAGAGAAGGTGTAGGGTTTTAGTCGTTCCAATTTTACGGTATTGTTCAGCAGTAGTCCGGCACCCGTCCAAACGACCAGGATCCGGTCGCAGTTGGGGAAAAGGGAGAACGCACTGGACCGAGAAACGGTGGCGGAGCTTAATCGCCAAGAAAACGCGTCTCCGATGGGAAATGAGGATCCGGGTGGCTGAATGTCAATTTGATGCGTGAAACCCAGTCCATTCTTCCAAGGCATGTTTTTATAGTTGGATTGTTTGATGACGGAAATGCTGTGGGGGGATGATGTCAAATTAAAACTAAACGTCGAGATTGTGCCGACAGCTTGTAAATAAGTAGAATTGTCACCTGATATTCTTCATGTTGAAGGAATAATTGTGAGTTGGTTTTTAAAAGCTAAATATTTTCAACAAAATTATACAAGCGACCAAAAAATCAATCCAAACTTGTGAAAATCAAGTCTCAAAAGGGTAGAGATTAAAATATTTTGTAACATTCACATGTGTTCAGGATTATGTTTGGATTAAAACTACATATGACATAAGTTATGGCAAACCACAGTCCATGCAATGCCGATAAACTTGAGTAGATTATTGACGAATACATAAATCTCACAGTGTGTGTATTATTACACTATCTGAGAAACAGATAAGTACATGAAATTTTTATGGTCAATGAAACAGAAGATATGAAAGGGGAAGGGTTTATTTTTTCTTGCGACATCGTAAACCAAACCACGCTTTGATATTCCGCACTCCCAGCTTTTACGACTAATATTGAGAAAACGGTATTTAATGGTCATGGTCATATCGGAAATTAAAGCTACCATCAAGATTGTAAATATGAATCGAAAACTAGGTTATGAATCAAAGTTATTACTTGTTACGTATTATCAAACAAATCTAACCGTGAACCAGTAAGAATTGAATGAAACCCCATTGTCAATACCATTTAATTACCTAATTATACCAATAATCATACCTCATTGTTTAATCAAAGTTAAATTTAAAGCTCGATGTCATGCAGAGGTGGTTGATGAAAATCGTGATAATGTCAAATATTATCAGTGTCCATACAGTTCAAACAACCTGCGCCTGATTTTGATGGGAATGCCAAATGGCATCGCACTCAAAATTCAAAACCATGTAAATCCTGAATATATTTATTGTCCCCAAAAATATAAGTGGTCTGGCATTTAATGCATCGGACTGGTTTAAATTGTCAATTTGAATTTGATACTCATGGAAATCGCTTATGTACTTACATACCTATTTATGGATGTTGGATGACTTTTTCGCACACCATGTCATGTCACAAAGTGCCAAATAAATACATACATAATTAAATTTAAAGCACAAAGTCCACAATCTGCCCCCAACATACACACACATGTCAAAGACACATGTCAAATTTGAGATGACAGAGATTTCAGCCATCACACATATAAAACAAAACTTGGGACATACTTTGCTTACAAGTATTTGCTTACTTATCTTTACTTACCGGGTCGTCCTTTGATTCGGATGTGACGTATGTACTCCAATCCTCTTTCCAGACTCGGAGTCTTGGGTATGTATGAACTAAAATTTAATGAATTTCCCCTTCAAACACGACAGCTAATTAAGTAAGTGGACTTGACAAAAACTTTTCAAACACCAAACCACGCAGGATTCTTATCAACGCAAGATGACGTAATTTCGGGCAACATGGGCCTTAAGGACCAAGTCGTAGCGTTGCAATGGGTAAAAAAGAATATCCATTCTTTTGGTGGAGACCCCTCACGCGTCACGATATTCGGAGGTGAATCAACTTTTTGATTAATTAATTCTATGATGAATAGTTTACCTTTAATAATTCAGAGAAATTCAATATTGTTGAATAATTCTTGAATTGAAAATATTGCACTATTGTTGTGTCCCATTTGTTGTTGCAGAGAGTGCTGGAGGGGCTTCGGTATCATATCACCTCCTATCGCCATTGTCTAAAAGTTGGTATTATATTTCATTACATTTTGCAATTTATTATTAAATTATTACTACTCGTTAAAATTATTCCCCCACATTCATTCATTCATTCATTCATACTTCATACGTACGTATCACACTCGAATTCGGAGATTCAATCATTAAAAATAAAAGTGCAGTCGTAAATATAAAGAAGAATAAATTGGGGCATTATTTATTATTATTATTTGTTCCTTATTCAAAGAGTGAGTTACGTAGGAAGGAATCGTCATTACGAAATGAACGATTCATTATAAATGTGCATCGCAATTTCTGAGAAGAAAATTATTGTATGGAGTAATAAAATACGGCATTTTTATTATTTTGTTCACTATTTTTATGTCTCAATGCCACCTCGTTTACTTGCTTACTTTGTTGCAATGTACGTACTGCGTGGGGGTAGGTGGACGCAGAAGTCCTGTTCTTGTTCTTCTTTGAAATGAACTAATTAGAAATGTGACACGGACGATCAAAAAAAAGTTTTTCTGTGTAGGTAACGACGTAAAAGGAAGTACATACATGCAAAAAAAAGAAAGCTTAATGGTTTCATCTTTCAATGCAGCCAACCGGACAAATTATGATGAAACGTCTATCGTAGACATCATTACGACATAGACGGAAGAAAGAAAGCAACCTTGTTACCGTCAACCGTTAGTTCATTCATGTGTTTCGAGAATAAAATGGGCTTGATGGCATGGCGTAACTCGAACACGGAAATTTTCTCTAAACTTTGTCCCAAATTTCAAAATTGAATAGCAGTCATCATCTTATACAATAGAGCTCTGTTCCATAACTGGCTCATGGCATGACATGACGTGAACATGACGTGAAGAGCATACATAAAGAGCATACATAAAGAGTAGTATTCTGTAAGTACCCAGTTGCACTTTCTCCCGTCCTGATTTACAATGCTTTAACTTTCACCACTCAAATTGCATTGTCTTTATACAACTTTGAGATACAAAATGCCTAGTAAAATGTAAGTGAATTTCTGTCTCCACCTTTCAAAAAAGGCTTGTTCATCGGAGCGATATCTCACAGTGGGACGGCCCTCTGCCCCTGGGCTTTTGTTCGAAATGCGAAAAGTGTAGCTTTAAAATTAGGACGTTTACTCAATTGTGGAACCAACAGCTCCCAAGAACTGGCAACTTGTCTCAAGAAAATTGATGCCAGGCAGCTGGTCACGTCTCAAGAGCAGTTGACCGTAAGTAAAATAAATGCATTTTGCTTTCTGTGTCCGTATTTATACTCATGGTGCGACCAACCAATTACGATTAGATGATACTCCGTAGTGCTGTTCAAGTTCAGTTCATGCTTTTCTATGGCTTGCTATCTCTTATTCTCTGGTCGGAGTGACTTTCACCTCGAACGAAGCCCACTTTCACCAACCAGCCAGCCAATACCACTTTGTTCACCACGTATAGAATTTTTTTCATCTCTTTTTTATCTCGTGAAGTGCAATGCATTCTAAAAGTACCGACCGAACACAAAAGTTTGGTTGTGGTCGTCCTTCTGGCTTTCTTCTTCTTCTCATTCTTCTCTTTTCAATTGTACACAGGTTTGGAACCGTGATCCATTTGCCATGTTTGCTCCATCGATGGAAGAAATAGGTGATGGTGGCGGCGACAACGGTGGTGAGATTTTTCTGGGGGAGACGCCATTCGATATATTGTGCCGAGGGGGACAGAACCCTGTGCCCTGGATTTTAGGCGTCTGCCGAGATGAAGGTCTCACTTTCCACGCGGCACGTAAGTTCCTCCTGAGGATAAAATTATTTCGACTTCCTTCCTCATTTCCTCATTCTCAAGCATGTCGGGTTTTCTCCAGGCTTTTCTAATTTATTATGGGAAATAAGGAAGATGATTAGAACTGCGCGTCTCTACGGCTTTGTTATTATATCCGAGTCTGTAATACAGTCTCTCTGCTATGGTTCATATGCATACTAAGGACAGAAAAGGTGTGCAATTAAGGACTCAATTTCATTCCATAATAGTGCTGACGTGACGTAAAATTTGCTTCGAGTAGAGATCAAAGTGAGAGAGGTATGAATGAGAATTGGACCATTTTACCATTCAACTTTTAATGTAACAACTGACTTAATGTCAAGGTTGATACGGAGCCAGAGTGCAAAAATAATTTATAACGTTCAACTTTTTAGTTTTGAACAGGGACGGTTAGGCATCAGTCTGAAAGTGATATTATATAATTGATGAGCAGCCTGGATTTCCAGAGTTTGGGAGAAAGTTACATATACGAATGTACATAGATACATACCTACAGAGGCAGGGAATAAATGCATATCTGTGATATATTTATGCCCCCTTTTACAGGGCGAAGTAGGTAAAATGGCGACAAACGAGGCGAATCATTGTCGGAAGAGAGAGAAAGCTTTCATTTTCATATTTTATATTCACTACCACTTCCAACAGTTGCGTACCTATGCATAATTCGGCATTTTCTGCTAAAAGTTCTACAATTGGAGGAGAGAGAGATCCAATTGTGCAATAAAATAATAAAGAGTTGATCCGTCGAAAAAATGTGGAAAAGTAGAATTACCCATCTTATTAGGGTGACTCGCAGTCTTCGTCTACCTACATATTTACCTAGTGCAATTGTAAATAAAACTTTTACCAGTAAATTGAAAAACTATCTCCTTACTTGTTTACTATGCATCAGGCATGTCACGTCATTCCGCTGAAGGCACATGGAGAGAAAATTGAGTCGTCGTCGTCGTCGTTCAGGCTAAAATGCAATAATGCTCTTCTTCTACAACCGTAGGCAGTTGCTGTCGGTAAGCGGTTTATGCTGACTTTCACTTTACAACTTTCTCCCTCCTCCTGAACGGAATATCTAATGCAGCCATTATTCTCATGACACAACAGCATCACACCCTTAAACTAGACCTTGGCTGAGGGAATAAAACTGTTTTTGGAGAAAATTATTGTCACTTTAAAATCCTTCAAAATAAAGCGTCGACACGTGGAGGGGACTGGAAAGCTGGTGGTGCAATTCGGTCCAATTTTCCAAATTAGTGAACCAACTCTCTCTCTCTCTCTGCATGGATTTCTCTTAATAAGAAGACAAAAGGGGAGGCATGGTCGTGGCTGGTGAATATAAAGTAAAGCGTAATTTTATTAGTGTGGAGAGAGAGAAAACATACAAATCAAACAAGGCGTGAACGGAACTTATTGGACTTTGCTATCCTTGAGAGAAAGTAGAAAATGGGACGAGATTCGGAGTTCTGTAGCTAATTTCATTTTAAGTAAGATGACAATCCCATATCGCACCCACCTCTGCGAACCTGAACGAACTTTAGTTTTGCACTAGAATAAGCCTCCAACTTTACTGCATTTAATTTACGGATGTGAATGTGAGGTGTGAAGCACTTGGTCGTGATAATAGCGAGTCACAAATGATGATCAAATCTGAGAGCAGATTGTGCATCGCAAAGTTTTGCACAATGTTACTTCCATTCACATGCAGAATTATTCAATTAGTTAATTAAACTCGTTTGGTTTGCGTCTAAATAGATGCAAATTCCACGAAATTATGCGAAAACAGAGTGCAGATAACTAGATTGAGTGCATTATGTAAATTCTCCCATTTCGTAAACAAGCAACATGCCGATAAGCATCACAACATAAAATGTTGTCCCTTTCTCTCTCTCTCTCTCGAGATAATCCTTGATTTGTTTGCCTTTACGAAAAAGAAGAAAGAAAGCTTACAACAACAGGTGTGCGTCAGTGAAAGCACGTCACAAAAATAACAAAACTCTTCAGAAACATGACCCGTTCAATTGATCCCGACATATTTACCCAGTGACATGACACGTGTACTTCTGTTTTTCTAAACCTTTGTCACAATAACATTCTGCTTGCTTACTTTATCTTACAAAGCGATCCTCTTTAACCGGAAGTTGGCCTATGAGTTGGACTCACATTGGTCCCGGATCGCACCTATTACCCTCCTTTACGAAGACACGGCCCGAAACCTGGCCTATGTCTCTAACAAAGTGAGAAAGTTTTACTTTGGATCATCCTCTCCGGAAATCCTATCCTCCTCTTCAAACTATAATGATAACACCACTACCGACCACCACGACGACGGCAGTACGGAATCAAACAATGGTAATACCAACAGCAAAGTCGAGTGGAGCCCAAGCCTGAGAAAGCTTACGGATTTGTATTCCGATCGATATTTTTTCCACTGTACGAGAAATGCAGGATTCCTTCACTCCAGAAAAGCGCCGACATTTCTTTATCGGTTTTCTTACCAGGGGAAAAACTCGATCATTGAAGCATTTGGAATTCCAAAGTTTGGCGTGGCACATGGGGACGATCTCCAATACATTTTTCCTCTATCACCACGATTTCCATTTCTACCTCGGGACACGGAACAGGGACAGTTTTCCCAGAGAGTCGTAAAGTTATGGGTCTCCTTTGTCAAGACGGGGTGAGTAATGATCATAAATGAAATGAGGTTGGATGAGGATGCTGGACTTGCAGTTCCATTTATTGTTATGATGTCATATTGATTTGTAGCCGACCTTCCACAAAGTTTTGGTCCACATCAGCACCAAGTAAGGGCGAAAAATGGAACCCGATTCAGAGCACAGGTTGTGGAACGACGAGTCGAGATCATCTAGGAGATAGTGAAAACTATGGAAAATGCTTCATGAATACGACCATGCCATGGTTAGACATTGACGAGAACGTGACCGTGGTGAATAATTTATACCATGAAAGGCTACAATTTTGGGATGCGCTACCACTACATGAATATGATGCAGAGCGAAGAAATAATAAATGATATGACATACAACGGATTTATGTAGATTGGTTTAAATAACAAATAACGTGATACCATTTTATTAATGGATTCATTTGTGTGTGTATGTATACAAGTATTATTATTATATAATAAGTAAATGAAAATTGTGAAAACCTTAGATTTTTTTTACGACAAAGTATAAGATAGATAGAGTTCATTTCTCGTTATTACAGAAGCCTAGCATTCTGTGGTCAAGACTGACTGACACATTGTAAACAGTATAATAATAATGTTAATAACGGTAACAATAGCTTTTGAAATAGCGTATTGATACTAAAAACAATTCGACTCTTTTTTACGCAAATTTTTCCAATTTACTAACAAATAAGAAGAGTAGATCATTTAATTTAGACATTTATCCCGATTTTGCCGTAATGTATGCATCCAGCTCAGCATCGAGTTCAGCTGCTGTTGGGGCTTTGGTTTTTCCACCACGTCCACCCCCTCTCGTCCCACCGCCGGCGCCTCGACCTCCTCGCCGACCTGCAATAGCTCCTCCACGTTTGACAGGGCTGTTCATTCGTCGAGGTTGACCGACTCTTCCTCCTTGAACTTGTCTCAAGTTTCGGGGACTTGTGGCGACCACTGTGACTTGGGCTGCATTCGCGTATGTGATGCTCATGGCGCGACCTGCGAGCCATTAGTAGTAGGTTATTTCAAATGTACTTAATTGACAACTTAATGAACTAAACGTGATGAAAGAAATCATACTGAATATGACGAAAGTAAAGTTAAGCTACGCACCATCCAAGGGAACCCCATTATATTGATTAATGGCATTTTGGGCATCGTTTCTGCGTTCGAATACAACGTCTGCTTTGCCCATGGACCTCCCACTTCTGTCGTAGTGTACTGATGCATATCGGATAGGTCCAATTTCTCCAAACAGTTCCTACACACAACATATAAGGAATTATTTTACGGACAAGTCACAGCACAAACTACAATTAGTTTTAGGTTAAATTTCGAACTTACAATGATATCTGCATCTGAAACTCCATAATGAAGATTACTGACAGTGATTTTTGATCCTCCCCCAGATATTCCTCCCGCTGTCGTTAATGCCACACGTGCACCTCCTGCTCCCTGAAATTTGTCGTGTACCCACATCCCCTCAGCGGCACCCTGAAACATAATTAATATTAATTAGATACAACTCTTAATTTTGTCATTATCTACACAAGTATCGCGAGTGCAATTAATTGAATTATTATTTTACTTCACATCAAATGTGAATACTGAATTATTCTTCGCGTTCAAACACTTCAAGACTTAACGTACAAAAGAACAAATTACACAATTTCTTGAATTGAGATCACAAATTCTAAATGACTATACACTCAAACGGTTAAACCCCTAATAACTGACAATTTAATTACAAAGAAAACCTATTTCCTGTTGCATTATTCATCATTTACAAAAACGTTTCTTTCCAACTTCTATTCACTTATCATTTACTCTATTTTTCACTCACCCTTCCAACTCTTCCACCACCGCCTCGACCTCCACCACGCCCACCTCCGAGCGACCTTCTAAGTCCTCCTCTGACCCCTCCAGCCCCGCCGGTAACTCTACCCCCACGACCTCCACTCATTCGGCCTCTTCCTGCCCCGCGAGCTCCGCCACGTTTCCTCATGGCAGGGGTGGTTTTGATAATGTCGTCCAAACTGAGTTCCATCTTGGTGGCCATATTATTAACAATTAAATCTGTAATTAGCCCTTCACCTTTGACCGAAAAGGATAAAAACAGAGGAGCGAGCGAGGCGATACAAGTTCACTGAGCGAGTGAGTAAGAGCGAAGGTAGAGGAGGGCAAATACGACGCTCACTCAAACACAACCGCCACCGGCTCGGCTCAGCACCGCCAGCACCACCTGCACGCTTTCTACGCACAACACCAACGTTAAATTGAGACGGGGGCAAGTTGAGATTTTGAGACGAAAATCTGTATCAATTTACCTCACAAGTTATTAATTTAGCTGTAAAATCTGGAGGAAAATTTCTTCAGGAAATTAGTTTATAATTATGTTTACGAACTCTGTTGGGTGTGCGTGGATGCTGAAAACTACTACTCGTGTGATTGTTCTAGCTAATTATTTTCTGCAGTTAGAAGGGTTTGTTTCACTGTGTTAGTTTAGTTAGGTTGAATTAAATAAGGAGAGAAAGTTAGCAGTTATTGAGTTTGGTGGAGTCAAGTGAAAGTAGGTTAAGAATTAAGAACAAGGGACACGGAAGTGAAACGGAGTAATGTAAGTAACGTGAGGTGTTTGTGTGTTGAGTGCTGCGTAATGGTGATTTCTCAGATTGCCTCGTTATGTTCGTTCGGTTCAGTTTATCGTTACCAGTCTTGAGATGCCCACATAGCTCTGTTTTGTAAGGTATAAGCTTGTGTTTCGTAACTTGTTTTGGGGAAATTGATGCGTTTTGACTTACATCAACATGTGGTTTTGACTAAAAATATTACTATATAATGAAATTTTGTTATTGCGACGTCAATTTGGTGGCTCTAATCTCTTTGGTACATACCTAAACTACGTCGTACATATTTAGTACATATCAAGTAATCTTATAATCATTTATATAGATGAATATAATCAAATGAGAAATTTTGATGCTTCGAAATCATCCGCAATTATTAAATGATATTATAATTTCACTTGGCTAATCCTACGTACAATAAGGCGGCTTCGATCATGGGAGTTGTTCCAAATACACGAGGATTAGAATAATTTTATGCCAATTTACAAAAATATTGTAAGGGATGGAATGAAGATCTCGGTAGAAGTTTTCCCGACCCACCAACATCGGCCTTTTCCTAGGCCAACTAACATTGCGAGGGGGTGAAGTACAGATTTGGTTGAAATTTTAAAATTATGTGGTCCAAGTCGATACAACCAACTTTTCTTGAGACAGTTTGTGCGAGAGTTAGGATTAGTCAAAATATTTGAGGTCAATGTCGAAAAATGGGCGATTTATCCCTGTGAAGGGAATGGGAGTGGGGTTTGCTTCCTCCGCTTGATAAGAATCGCCACATCTCAACTTTGACCTAAAATATTTTGACTAATTCCAATCATCGCTGCCTCAAGGAACATGTTGGTTGCATTGACTTGGACATCATAATTCCAAAATTTCAACCAAATCAGTGGGTTGCACTTCACACCATCGCATTGTAAATGTAGGTAATTAATATTTTACGAATGTATTAAAAATACATTATAGTATTTGTGTTTAATAAACCCACAATTATTTATTCGAAGAAAACTGAATCTCAATATCGCAAATTGGGATATTGAGAAAATTGAGATTCCCAATCGTTGCGTTGCAGGTTGCAATATGTCGTCGCTCTTCGCCCCAAACTTTGTATCTTTGTGTGGGAGAGGGGTTGTCAACAGTCAACTTCAGCAGTTCCTTTTCCACTCGTTTTTTTCATTTTAATTTTAAGAAATTAAATAAAACAATTTTACAAAGATGGAATAATAGTTCTTGTCTGACACCCACCGTTTTTTTAATTTAATTAAGGTTTCAGTTAAGTTTGTACTTTAATCTGAATAATAAAATGGAGTTTGTCGTGCAAGAGGCAGCCCAGAAAGTTTTGGATTGCGAATTGCAAAAAGCACGTCAACTTCGACAAAAGCAGGTAAATAAAAATATATAATACAACTCTTGGATTTAAAAATGTATACGAAAGAATTTGTTTTATAATTTGTAATTGTGTAGGTTCGTCAACAAGCCAGCCAATGGTCGGAGGACAGGAGGAGACTATTCCAAGAGGAAAAAATTAGGCAAAAGCAGGACATGGCGAAACAAATAACTGAACAGGTACAGGAATATGCCAAAAGTCGGATTGAGCACCTGCTAACGGCGCACGACCTAGCCGTGGCCGAAGTGGGAGCGGCACATCGAGCGGCTGCTCATCTGCGCCAGGTTGAGGCGGATCGGAGAGAACGATGTCAAGAGCTTGAGGCTGCTGCCGACGAAAGAGGAAATGCTGCCATAAGGGAAGCGCTTAAAGCTCAAAAGAAAAAAGTATGTTTGGACTCAAACTTTGAAATTATATATACTGATCATTGGTTATTACTTCAACTTGATATTCTGCTTTAATATTAATACTTAATACGCTTTTTATGATAGGAGGAAATGCGGAGCGAATCGTTACATAGAAGGGAACAAGTAAGGAAAGAGGAAGACAGGAAGGCCAAAGAAATGTTGGAGAAATCAAGGTCTAAATTGAATACTCGTGGTGCTACCACCGTATCAGGGGATCGACTACCATTGTCCAATGTGGCCAATACTGTGTAAAGTTTATTTTCAATTACTCATACTCATTGTATATTGTATCAAAATTTACACATATTTGCACAGGAATTAGTGACTAATTATTTAGTCATTATTTAATAGTCATTATTTAATAGTCATTATTTATTTAATTATTTAATAATTTGAACTACATTTATTTTCCCAAATCCGTAGAACGACTCGTTCATCATCAATGAAGGATCAAAGTGCCGCGAATCGCCTTAAGTATCCTGGAAAAGTTCAGCAGACTCCGTCCAAGCCAAAATTCCTTACGAAACCAAAAAAACATGGCTATGGTCCAACGACGCCATCAAGAACCAAAAGTGTTCCCTCGAAGCATGCAAATATTACCCCGGCTGGGAGTGCGTTTGATCGAACTGCAAAAAATAGGGTTTGTAGATTTTTCATAATTTATTTGTTTTGGTTTTCATTTTGAACTCCTTATTCATGGATATAATTTTACAGAGCAAAGCATCAAATCGTACAAAGGGGATGCTACGTTATACCAGCACCGGTACGGTTGTCCCCACTTCGTCCACTTCTCTAACTAAGCAATCAACGACTCCATCATCAACAAAGCCATCAACCTCCGGTCCTGGGAAACAGAAGGTTCCTGCCTCCCCGAGTGTGGCAACTCGTAATGGAACAAGTACGGTCCGGTACTTTGATACAAGGATGCCAAGACCTGAGACGAATTACACAGCTCCAACAGGACTTGCAGTTAGAGAACATGATCACCACGGAAGACATTCCCCAGATGCTTGGAATAAGGCAGAAGCCATAACTAAGCTTTCCATGAAGGAAGTTGAGGAGAGGGCAAAACATCAAGAGGATTTATTGCGCAGAACTGAGGAAAGGGGCAAAGTTGCTCGAAAAAAGGCACATTTGGAGAAAAAATTAATCAATTTGAAGAGCGAGCTATTGAGTGGAGAAGGAGCAGATGCAGAAACTGCTTTAGGGACGGGACGACAAATTTCATTATTAGACTTGGAAGATGGTGAGGGGAGAACAACATTATGCAACAAGCATTATTTTATTTTAGAATATATATTGTTTATTTATTATATTTCAGACGCACCTCATCCACGCTTCGGCGACCACGAAATGATGAGTGGAAGTGATGCTGGATCTAAACACGAATCTTTAGATAGATCTCATGGTACTCTCAAAAAGTTCAAGGTGAACGACAAGGCCTCGGGATTTGGTGTTGATCTAACAAGATCTAAAGCTCGTAGTAAAGGAACTACTAAGACCAAGCCCAAACCAAAAGAAGAACTCGAAAATGACGAGTTGCGATCCGAGAAGATTGCATCAGAGATTGTAGACAGACTAGAATCTGATATTGAAAAGCTGAAAAAGCAAATGAAAATATTGGTTCATGATCACGGCGGTGTCATTTCAGAATCAAGTCGTAAGTATCATGGTATTTTTATTTTATTATTATCTGTATATTTTTGCATAAAGCTTATGTACGAGCTTCTTCCTCTCAGGAATTGACGCTATTGATTCATCGAGCCACAAGCAAGCCAGTAAACCCAAGTCTCCTCGTCATGCATCCCCTCATGGTCGGTCTCCTAGCCCAAAGATGCCAGGCACTGGCAGTGGTAAGAAGAGTGATCAGTCCAAACCTAATCAGGTTTTCAAAATGGATACCGGCTCTGACACATCATCATTAACACCCGAGCCAAAGTTCAACACGGCTCAGCAAGCACGTAAGAAAGAGGACGATATCATTGGTCTCAAAACGCCAGTAGCTTCTGGTCAAAGAAGGATAATTGTGCCAAAAAAATCACGAAGCAAGGATAAGACATTCAAGAAGAGAGAAGAACGACTTGTTTTCAGTCCATCGCACGAGTCTATTATTGTAGCAAGTGACGAAGAGAAGGGGGTTTCAGGTATGTATGTTGCTCCTACTGCTTTAATTGTTCCTACTAATAAATAGCATACAATATTTTGACACAGATTAATTGGTAGTTATTATTAATTTTTCATGTGTTGTAAAAATAGAGTCAACTCCAATTTCATCTGCAGACAAGTTGATCACTATTCGAAGCGCAAAGCATATGAGTAACAAATCTGACGTTTTGGAAATGAGTAGTATCAACACGACAACATCGGCTTCCATTACTCCTGATGGTTCTCCTGAGCTTCCAATAAATAAAAAGCATGTGAAAATTGCGCCTTCAGGTAAATCAACAAAAAAAATTAGTAAAACTTAGTAAATTTTTTGTTTTCCAACATGCCAGTTATATCGAATTTTACGTAATAGGTGACAAGTCTGTTGGTCATGGGCCAGATGGACCTTACACGTCTACGCCGGAGGGAAATCTAGTCCTAAAAAAACCAAGCTCTCGAAGTGTCGCTGTGGCCGTCAGTAAAAAGGATTTGATGCTACATCACATTGTTTCCGGATTTTTGACCAGACGAATGGAATCAATTGAACTTATGCCTGTGTCCTCATCCTCGTCTTCCGATCTCCATGTCGATTCAAGTCTGATTACTCGTTCTCCTTCCTCTACGGGAGCTTCAACTTCGTTCCACTCCCCATTTGGTACTAGTGCAAGTGAGTTTTGGCTTACCTAGCATCTATATAAATGTTATTTTATCGTACCATAATGGTGTTTATTTTTCTTAATGTGCAGGCTCGGCTCACACCTCGACTGAAAATAAATCTACGACCTCGCATTCATCTGTCTATAGAACTCGCACATATGAAAATCTTCTCAGGTCTCGGACACTTGTCACAGCAACATCAACGACAACAGACACAGATGCGGAACATGATGTTAGCTTAACAAAGGCAGTCAAAAGAATTCCTGTTCATAAGAATGATAAAGCAGTGGCAACTTCCACAACAGAAAATAGGGGGAAGGGTTCTATAACGTCTGGGTCCACCTTAGCGGAAGCCACAGTGCGAACAATTATTGAATCCACTTCCGGATCATCCTATTCTACCAATCAAGGTACAACTACTGACACCACCACCAATACCAGCAATGGAGCAGTAGAAAATACTCCGAAAAGTCATCATGACCTCGCTTTAACAACCACGTCGAGTAATTCTGAAAACTCGACCCTTCATAATATCAATCTCGTACATGAATCCACCGGACCTACAAATACCGACAACACTACTGGTGGTTCTACGTCAGAACCTACACTCTCGTCTCAAAAAACCACTTCTTTAGAAAGTAGGGAAATAAAACGAGCAGCTTTTCGCAACTTGGTAGGGGATATGATCGACTACGAGGACTTTCTCTCCCCAATATGTCCCCACAAAACACAAGAACAACCAGATATCCTTGCTACTATTTTTGAGAAATTACAGGAAGATTTTATTGGATTAATGCCAATTGAGCGACCACCGTGGTGAGTTTAATACTTGTTTAATATTTGTTTAATTCAAATTAAGTATTTTTTTTACAATACTATATCCTCCGACAATTAGTTTACAAAATAACTTACAAGTCGAGGAATATGATAATTAGTAGTCTTTGTCGTTTGATCACAGGTTTGTCTAAATAGAATCAGGTCAATTAAGGCAAGGGAAAAATTATCATTAACAAGGTCGTATCACGTATTAATTAATCCATATTTTTCTTTATTATTTTCTGCGGAGGTGAAAATGTGAAATCTTTTATATTTTTTATATTATGTCAACCTATATAATATATGATATTCAATGAGTGGTAAAAAGGTCGCGAGCGCATGATTCTAAAAAAATCCGATGAAATGTTAATTTATCAAAAAATGATTTATACAGTGCAATAATATCTAATAATGTTTACAAAATTTTATGTGAGACTGCAGTAACTGTATATATGCAAAAAACGCTATGCTATGCATATGCTAAAATAATGATAATAAAAGAGATTTATTGAAATTGAAAATAAATGCATGTTACATTTCGGTTTGGACGAAAGAAAAAGTTCATATAAGAGTAAGTTAGAAGTTCAGTCACGTATCCATTTCTCCTGTTCTTAATGGATTGTAAATCCACACATTACCTTTTTATGCTCAAATAAAAAATATAAGTAAAAGGCATCACATCAAGTTGTTGGTTTGGAAGGAAAACGTAAATGGGCTGAGAAAACCTCTGTTCCGACACTATCATTCAGTCTTACATGATTTTTGAACATAATTTGACATCATTTAAAACATAAAATAATAGTACATTTATTCCATGAGACTTGTTTATTGTGTTCAAATTTCAAATACAAATACTCTATCCATCCATTTCTCCTTTACTTCATGCTACTAAAGTGGATCATTTCTGAGTATATAAACGTATGCATATGCATTACTACTCATTCACTGGTCGAGAGAGGAGACAAGAGATGATTTGTGTCCGTCATGTTTCACGAGGAGGATTTTACTTTACGCCTGTCATGAATTTATGAACAGAATATCTGTTTCTGGCAGAAAATTCAGAAATCATCACTGAAATGTAAAATGTAAACAATTTACCCACGCTTTATAAACAATCAAACCACATCCTTCACACCATGGACCACCCAACCAAATCTCACCCCAGAAAGTTATCTCGTCATCATCTTCTTCCTGGAAAATCTCAAACTGTCCAATTAAACCAATTAGAATTCGCCCGATTTCGGTTTTTCTCTGGATGAGCGGACATGAATGGGCGAGAGGGTCGAAGAGTTCTTCTTCTGGTCGGTCGGAGATGATTTTCTCCAACTAAGCTAAAACTCACTTTCTCACCCAAGACTCTGGCCAACCAAGCAACCACGATTTGTATTATACACGGTGGCTGAGCTACCAGAAGGGAAAGTCGGTTCACTTTCTCTTTCGCAAAATCCAAGCAAAACCCGAGAAAGCAAACGCAAAGACCGATCCGATTTCACCCGAGTAATACCATGCACAGTTTTTAGTGGTTTGTACATACATGCAGTATAGTCAGTGACAGGTATTTTGACACCAAAAGCAGGTCACGTCTATTACTTACATATACGTAGTAGTAAACATAGCAGCTAATAATTATTCCAAATCAAGTTCGTACTGTAATTTCATATTCCGTATTTAGACCATGGCACTCCTTCCGACGAAAAATAAGTGGTGGTGCGTCAGCAGGCTTTCACCCCGTAACAGTCGTACTATATAATTTTATTTCGTACTAATTTAAAAATACACAGCATCGTAGTAGTCACCTCACCACAAATGAACTGACTGCCATACTGCCGATCATTTAACCTCGGCATTATTAATTAAAATTCACCTTGATTAATTATAATTTTGATTTATTTTTTATTTACGTAATTTTCTGCCAGAAACAGATATTCTCAGAAATAAAAGTCTGAAGTGAAAGTAAGAGAAATGTTGAGAATGGAGCTGTTGAACAATATCGCGTCCTCTCCGGATCCCCTGCATCAAGTGGATATCGTTTATAAGCGTCCATTGGCCTATTCCAAGGTGAGACGGGGTCTAATATTTCTGAAAATATTTTCTGGAAATATTGTATGAATATGATGTGCTCTTTTAGATGGAGTCGCTTATCAAAGAGATGCAAGACGAGGAGACGGGCGTACCTGTGAGGAGTCAGAAAGTGTTCCTGTCCTCCATTCCGGCCGCGTTTGCGGGTTATGACATTATCGAATGGCTCATGGAAAGATTAAGCATTGAAGACTCTGGTAATTGGGATTTTTTTAAGCCAAATAAAAAAATTGGGATGGATATTTTGGGTTAAAATTCGAATGCATGCTAAAATATTTGTATCTCTACCAGTGGAAGCAATCCATTTAGCCAACCTGATGTGTCAGCACGGCTATGTAAGTAAATTCCAATGTTTTACTGACATAATATTTTCATATTTTCACTTGAATTATTCCTGTTTTCATTCTCAGTTCTTCCCCGTGGGGACAAACAACAATCCAAACATGAACTTTTCAGTGAAGGTATGTTGATAATTTGGTGCAAAATATGTAATCCTTACCAAGTAACTTAACAACGGTAGTTATCTAATTAGATATTTTATGTTGAGCATTTATTACGATGTTTGACATACACAACAGTTCATTTAGTATCACAACAGTAACACCGGGTACAACATATGTGTACAGTAAAAAAGATAAAACAATTGAAATTCATAAAACAAAAAAGGTAACTCAACAATCAACAAATTTAACAATTGCGACTTCTCCTTTTTCGACTTGGCGTGCTACGTCGATGGGATACGCAAATTCCCCTTCCTGATACAAAGGTGCATCAGGATGATCTGCAAACGAATAGAGACTAGTGCCAATTTCTCCACATTCTTGAGCCAATTTTCTAACGGGATCGGATAATCTTAACCAAGCGGTCCACTCCATCTTAATATTGATAGGGACGATGCGAATCCCGTGGGATTTCTTCCTGCTTGATACTCCTGTGGTGTACTAAAAAATAAACAAACTGGAATGTAATTGGCACGACTTAACAATCACATTCTCGTCAATAATGTGCAACTTACTTGTAAAAATGCCTCTTTTTCTTCCGCATCTCGCTGGGAAAAGCATCTCATTCTTGTGATCTTAATTGCGATTTTGTCCCCCTTTCCCAACTCGTTTATGATGGTGCTTTCACCATACTGATGGTGGGCGTGTATGTTACCATCCGCTGCTTCCAACCCTTTTCCGTTGTAGCAACACATGACGAGTCCTTTTCGCGTCGTTAATGCGACCAAAATATCACGAGGATCTGACATGCCTGGGAAATCTGCCTTATTCACAATTAGCACCGAGTACACATTGAACTTGGTCTCTAAATTTAGCCTGATTTCTTCCTTAAGGGTTAGGAACAGTCGGTCCACTTCTCGTTTGATGTTTTCCTCAGTTGTTGGACGTGTTTTCTGTGGTGGTAGTCGAGGAGGAGACTCCTTTTTCACACGGTTCTTGTCAATGCGGAAATCAACTTTCTTCATCTTGTCCAGCTCAAAGTGAAAGTAGGCTGGGCATTCACATTCTGTTATATGACATAAACTGGGCTCCCCTCTTACTGCCATGTTCAACATTTTCATAATGGCTGCATCCGAATTGTACGACAAGGAGGTCAGCTCTCGTTCTGCATTGATGTGGTACATTTTCTCCCCTTTATACTTATTGGCGTAGAATCCATAGTTCTATAGTTCATAACATGCATATTTTGTATTAGCGCTAACAACAAGTAAATTGTGTTAAACAAAAACACTCACAATCTCGAGAGCTTCTTGTTTCCTCGCTTCTGTCGCGCTGTCTGGTCCTTTGAAACAGGTCTGTCCAAAGAATACAACCTGCTGACCCCGTAAAGCACCTTGACCTAGTTTCGAATTTTCTGAAAACTGTTTGTGCCACTCATTTATGTCGAGTCCTTTGAATTTTCCTTTCACTCCTGAGTACGCTCCAACTTCTTCAGGATGGTCAAGCACGAAATCATAATACGTTGTTGATGATGAGGAGAATGAGTGCGACAAACATGCTGCTCTGTAGACAAAGTTGGTGTCCGCTTTGTTATGAGCAAATGTGTCTGCCCATTCTAGTTTCTTTTTAACAATGAAATCAAAATTTTCCTTGTCGAGTGGGTCGAGTGGGTCTTCCTCTCCGATTACGCTTTTATTGTGCGTTAAAGGATGAACGACTTTCATTTCTTGCAGTGTGCTAAAATTAACGAAATACAACTGTAAATATGTGCCCCATAAAACAAAATATTACAAAGTTACATTTGTCTTGAAATACTCACATCGTTCTAACATCAATGTGTGTGTGATACCCAAGTTTGTGCCGTTCTTGATGATATACACGACAAAAGAACAAATGACCACACTGTTCGCACCAATGATTCGGATCATCTTTATACCTACAAGTGTAATGATAAATTTTGAATCAGTTATGAAAAAAATTACTCAGATTTTAATTCGTACTCACTTTATCATTAACTCCTCCTTTGTTTTTTTGCATGCGTCTTTATGTCTACTCATATTGCTTACATCAACAGAAAAGTAGTCGCATTTGGAGCACCAATGAGTCGGATCATCTTTATACCTACAAGTTTAATGATAAATTTTGAATCAGTTATGAAAAAATTACTCTCATATTCTTATTCGCACTCACTCTATCATTAACTCCTCCTTTGTTTTGTTACATATGGCTTCATGTTTCATCACATCGCTAATATTAACGGAAAAGTAGTCGCATTTCGAACACCAGTGTCGTCTATTGCCCTTGAATCTACGAGAATACATTTCATACATATTTTAACTTAATGGCTTAACCATATGCGTACAAACCCCTCCGTCAATTCCTCCTTTGTCACGCCACAACTTCTTTCATGCTGCTTTCTGTTTGACGTACGAATAAAGAACTGGGCGCAATTAGAACAGAAATGCCCAGGGTCATCTTTATACCTATTAGCAAAGGAAAGACATGTACATAATCCTTACACATTCATAATTTTTCACTTTCTCTCTTTTTCCAAACTTACTTTTCCTTCACATCATCCTCCGTGAGAGCACACCTGTCTTCATGTGCCGTTTTTTCATTTGTTTGCTCAAACACCTCTCCACAATTGCAACATACATGTGTGGGATCATTTCCAAATCTGTCATTATTAGAGTATAAATGAGTGCATAACTTAATCGATGTAACATAAAACACTAACTAACCTGAGTTTAATAGCCTTCTTTTTTTCTTCTTCGGTCAATCCACAAAGTTTTCCGTGTCGTGTCGCGCCTGCTTTTGTCGAAAATGTCTTTCCGCACTGTTTTGGACAATTGACTCTAGTCCTGTAGTACAAATGTATGTATCGTAAGTATTCATTAATACATCAACAAATTGGTAATGTGCATACTTAGACGAATTTGATGTGGGAGTAGAAAACACAACTCGAGAACCATCCGACTTCCTTTTTCGCCCAGTTGTTCTAAAAGAAAGTACACTTTATCACTACAATGCATGCAGGATCACTCATATGAATAAAAAATCCTCATCATTTACATACATATTTTCTGAAGATGACCCTGTACTGTCAGGTGTGGGTGGAGGAGTCAATGCGGCAAATGTACAGCTGGTGGGTGTGGTGAGACATTCCGACGCAGGAATCGTCACTGATGGGGACAAATGGGTCGGGTGTAGGAGAGTATTATGTGGACACAATTTCTCATGCTTTTCCAACAAAAACTTCAAAGTAAACTTTCTCTTGCAAGGGGTCCATTTGCAGTTCAAAATGGGTGGCTCACTATTTAAAAAATAAAACTAAAAAATAAATATTTCCACCTGTATTACTAGTTGAATAATATTTAGTAGCATACACAGGTTCCTTTCCTCCTTTTGACAAACACCCCGACATTATTAATTCTGATTAATGATAACAAACTTTAAAAATAGTTCAAATTAGGACAAAGAACTAAAAACAACTTGTCAAAACAGCGGGTGGAGGTACTAGATGAGCGGTACAGTAGCGAACAGGTAGGAGTATACACAAGTGACAAGTGCGGGGATGAATGTATGTAAAATCCGGAGTGACAAATGCATAATTATTGTGTAGTTCAGAGTAATGAACTTTGAAGTTCTACAGCGGTTGTAGATAGTAATAATTTTTTTAATGTTAATAATTTATTTAATTAGGATGACTCCAGTTTGTACAGATTTCAGGTAGGATTTATTACAAATGTTCGGAACATTTTAGTCAACATATGGTAATTTTTTATCAGACTCCATACTATTGGCCAAATCGGACTTCTTTATCCAATGCCACAGACACTTCCGTAGACTATGCAATTTATTTATCTAAACGAACCCTTCGAAACAAGCAGAAACATGCCCTTGATGATTATGAACTAGACGCGTACAATGATTTGAGAAGATGCTTGGGTCACAAGTGGGACTTTGTTTCGATGCAGGCGGATGAACAGGTGCATAAATTTTTGTTACAAATTTTAATAATTATGGAAATTACATAACTTTTAAACTTTCTCGGTAAAGGTTCGACTCAGTAAAGATCGCAAGAAGCAGGACAAAGTAGTCCTCGACAGTCAAGAGCGAGCCTACTGGCGCGTCGTGCGACCACCGCCCGGCGTCCACTGTAGTATCGAAACTCCGCCTACTTTCAATACACAAAACACGGCCAAAACCATCCGAAAAACAAACAACATTCTGTTAGAAGACTTGCGAAATGAGGTTGATTTACTGCGAAATTCCTGCATTAGGACAAGAATCAAGGTCTCCTGTGCGCTTGAGTCGCTATCCTCTCACTGCGAGTCTTACCATGAACACGACCCCATCCTAGTGCAAAGACAACCCTCAAATCCTTGGCATTCGGACGATCCTACATTTTGGATTTTGAATGCAGACGTGTAAGATTTCATGGAATTTTTATCGCCATTTTTTTCAGAGTGAAAGTGTGCCAAATAAATACGAGTGTAAATTTTCTGCAGAATTGACGTCCCCACCGAACGAAGACTCAAGAAGTGGGCGATTTCAATGGAAGATTTAATCTTCGACCCGTCCGGGGTCCGAGAATTCACGACATACCTGAAGAAAGAGTATTGTCATGAAAATATTCGATTTTGGCTTGCCGTTCGTGACATGAAATTCGGCCCCGTGTCCCTCTTTCGAGTCAAAGCCCAACAAATTTTCAAGTAAAAAGATTATTTAGTTAATCGATAATTAAGAATCTCATAATAATTTTAGTCATATCATTAACCATTTAACTTGACACATGTAGCGAGTTCCTATCGCCGGGTTCCCCTTGTGAGATAAATATCGACATGAGGACTCGGTAATTCAGCAATATGCCTCTAAAAGAGTTTTATCACACATGATTTAAACAAATCTTGGCCATTATTTACTGCAGTGTAACAATGGAAGCAGTCCAGAAGGAATTGAACTATCTTGTCCCTTCACGATTCACCTTTGATCCGGCTGCTGAGCACGTTTATATGCTTCTCCTAAAAAAAGACTGCTATCCGAGATACATAAGGTCAAATAAAATTAAATGACGTAAATTTGATGAGGAAAATGAGAATTTATGATTATTGTCGTCTTCAATAGGTCGGAGCAGTATAAGAATCTGTTGCACCAGTCGCAGCAAGTTAGTCTCAAGAACAATTCGAAGCGATTAGACAAGTGAGTGAACAAACAATAAACAATAATGCCATTGTATAAACATTATGCGCATTTACCCAGAAAAGAGAAAATCTAAATTAGACACTTCCTTCTTTGCTGCTGCATTACATATTTGCATATGCGTCTTAATTTGACCATTTTGTAATGTATTTTTCCAGATTTTTTAGTTTTGTGGTAGAAAGGAAGAAAAAGACAAGTACGACTGATGACCAAAAGGTTAAAGTTGCAGATTTGAGTAGTCTGCACCAACAAGAAAACTTGTCCAGCTTAGCAGATAACATTCCCTATAGGGGAGACCTCGACAATAATCAGCAGAACTTGTAAGGTTTTTTGGAACTAAAATTATTTATGCCAAATTGTTCTAAATAATTCCTGAAATTATTCATCGTAATTGACATAGGTCCGGACAAAACAGTCTGGATGACGTCTGTTGCCCGTGGGAGACGTCAAGTAGCGTAAAGTCTGACAGAACGACTTCAACGGATAGAATTCATAGGGTAGAACCTGTGAAGCAGATTTCTTTAAAGTCAGATAAATCTGACGTAGTAGTCGTACCAAAGCAGAAATCACTAGATGACCATTCATCCACAAAAGTTGAGGTGGTAACTGTAGAAGAAAGGCCGAAGAAGAAAATTGCTGAGGATGCCGAAATGCCGTCGTCATCATCTTCATCCGTTATACTAGCTACTACTCCTGCCACTCCAGTACCCGTGGCGGTGGTGCCATTACAAGCCGAGTTGAAGAAACAATTGTCCAAACAGAGTTCCAATGCTTCCAGAAAATCACAAGAACTAACCACGACCACCCTGACGCCAATTTCCACATCTCCGCCTTCTGCTGCTATACTTCCATCATCCCCTCCTCCTCCTCTCCCTTCAACTTCACTTCACTCTGTGACTGAAGCAATCCCTTCAACTTCAACAAGCTTGCCCCCACTGTATCGACAAGCATCAGTCGAGCGTCCTGTTGTGCCGGAGGCAGTAGAAGTGGCGGAAAAGACAGAAACAATAAGTCATAGTACTGCCCAACAACAAGTCCCGACAGTAGAACCATCAACATCATTATCCACATCGCAAGAAAAAACGGAACTGAAGAAGCAACTCAGCCGCAAGAAATCGACAGCATCATCCACATCTTCGGCCGAGATTTGTCCTTGGGAGGTCGAGTAAGTGATTCTTGAATCTTTTTCTTCTTCTATGCCATTCTGATTTTGAGCAGGTTTGGTAATCTTGAAAAACTAATTTATTTAACCATTTATTGTGGTATGTGGTAGAGGAGAATTTAACAAGTTTTAAAAAGTTATTTATACCGTAAATTCACTATACTCATTATTATTAGACAATTACTTATTTATGTATACATTAACTAATTTCAAACACAAATATTTGTAATTGTTACAGGAACGGAAGCGCCCCCGAACCTACATTCACAAAAACATATTCAACGCTTGGGTTTATCTGAGCTCTCCTCAGAGTAAAATTTAGTAGTATATCAAGATTGGGATATTCATCACTTGGCTACTTATAAAAACTTGATAATGTGATAATAAATTATATTAATTATACTATCTGCGTTGATGTTGATTTGATCCTCCTCCGGAAGTCATTTCCAATTCCACTAGCAGTGGAAAATGATCTAATAATTTAAAAAAATAACAAATTAGTAACTTGATGGCTTTACATAATGTGATGTACACACATATATTGGCATTTTTAAAAAGATATAAATTTAATTTCTTTCTCTCACCACTTGGAATAACTGCATGAGGAGCGCCTACAATCTTATTTTGATTCAACCAATTATTGTCTAACGGCCCCAAAAGCCCCAACGGAGTCATATTAGGTTTGGAGAAAAAAATGTAGTCGATAATTCCTTTGAAATCAAATGTGTAATTAGTGTAGGGCATGACTTCCGAGTTGTATGCAGAGTTCAACTTGAAAGCATGTGTGTACGCTTCGCTGCTTCTTTCGGGAGTTGAATTATTATAACTAATTCTGTTCAGGCATTGCTTATATCCTAAATCTTTAAAGTCAGGGTGTTTTACAGCTATTCGAGAGGTGGCCAAAAATTCAATTACACCTGAAACGAAAGTAAATAAAAGTGAAAACTTATTTGCACTTATTTGCTTGATATTCTGTTAGTTAACTTACCACTCTCTGGCAAAGAGTTAAAATCGCCACACATAAGTAAATGTACTTTATCATTAGGTTGAATATTTTTAGAAGAGATGCCCGGAGGATTAAATTCGTCCGCAATTAGTCTCAACTCATGCATCAACATCATGGTCTGAACCAGCTTTACATCGCAAAATTCAGGGTCCCAATGGATATGAGCAGTACAAACGAGAAGCGGTGGTGTGTATTCTTGCGGGACTCCATTATCCCAAGCTTCTAACCTAGTTTCTAAGAGGGCAGCCAGACCAATATTATCTGAAAAATTTATTCAAAACATTGATTAAAATCTGGATGGCCTTGTCAAGTAGAAAACCTAAAATGCTACGGCTTTTGTATGCAGTTAGTGGTTACCTTTAGTCATGACTCTGTTCAACATGTCGTCTGACCCCTCTGCATTAGCCATAGCCAATTGGTTGAATTCTGGAATAAATTTAAACACAAATATAAGAAAACGAAGTAAAGCAAAATAAAAAATAAAATATGCATCACTTACCCACTAAATGTTCCTACAAATAAAAATATAATTGTTATTGAAATCGAAATCACAATTAACTCATCAAACACAAGAACATCATATCAACCTAGGCTTACCTTAATCAATTTAAATTTGTTTGTCCTATAGAAAATTGCACAGCCATCGACAAATTTCCGATCACTTTCATTCATAGTTTTAGCCCTAGATTTCGCCGCAAATATCCCCGCATATCCGTCGAGCTGAAGCTCGGGGAGGAAATAATTATAAAACTGATCTGTTTCAACTTCTTGGAGAGAAATAATGTCGGCCGAGTAGTGCTTTAGTTCTTGTAAAATTAACTTCCTCCGGTACGCCCAATCTAGAGCTGAAACATAATTTACACAAATTATGAATAAGTTTTTACCATTTCATGCATCATAAATTTTATAACATACCCCACGTGGGACAATAGCCGTACATTTGTCGAGTTGCGTATTTATCGCACAAGACATTGTAACAAAGTACTGTAAATATTAAGGAGGGGCGCGACCTCGTCGGAGTGGAGAGAGGAAGCCAAGACCTCGGCGGTGGGGCTAAATTACTGGGAGACCCCATGTTGGGCGGGGGTCCGGGATGTGGTAACCCGTGATGGAGGAGTGTCGTCAAGTCCCTCGTCTGGCCATGTGGATGCTGCTGAGCGTGGGCTTGTTGCTGTTGTAAATGCTGGATTATGACCTGTTGCTGTTGTTGTTGGTGGTGGTTTAATTGCTGTTGAGAAATCAGCGATTCTGCAGACGTCGCGGTCGAGGTGGAATTAAGGGAGGTTAGCTGATTATTTTGCGTGGGTGCGGTCGCCGTTGATGGAACTAAAATCCACAAGAGACAAAAAAGAATGAATTAAAATTGGTGATATGCACAGCAAGAAAATGCAAAACCTTACAAGAAAAAGAGGTACTTGCGTTAAATTGAAAGAAAGTTGGAATTTGATGTTCAAGATAGAAACCCATGTTCAAGAAGACCAACTATAAACTACTACTTTTTTACTGCTAGGAGTAAAAATGAACCATTTCGGTGAATTTTCACTGACCGAGTATGTGTGGGAAGAAGTCAAGTCCACTGGAATCAGATTTTCGGTATTTGTATCAAAACAAAACAAACCCAACCAGACTTGATTTTTTTTCATGCAATATTTTGAAAAAAAGCCGCAATATGAGAATGATCTATGAATCGATGAGGACGTGGCGACATGATGACTCGACATGTCTTAGCAACATAAGGAACACTTTATCAATTAGCAACTGACAGTTCTGATACTATCAATTTTTAGCCCGAGCCAGGGCTTATGAAACCGTCGTGTCGGCCCGTCCGACGAAATATGCGAAATTTTTACCATATGCATATTGGACAAACTTAGGAAACAAGTTCGAAGATAGGCGTGGGGTATTATGCACCAAAAACTTAAAACTTAAAATTTACACACCGATTGTAATAGCTTGTAATGCAAGTTTCTGAGGTAAAATTGGAAAAATTTGCATTAGAGGGACCCTAAGGGGTTACCCATACCGATTTTCAGAAATTATCCTAAAAAGATGAAATTCGGCACGGTGATACATGACTTCTCATTAAAGAATGTAGCTAAAAGTGAGCGAAGTTTAACCAAAGTGACCTTAAAAGCTGACCCATACCGTTGTTTAAAGTTCCAATTTTCATCGGAAATTTGGCATGGGGAATGCACTATCTTAGCATTTGTTCCAAAAGGGCACAAGCTGGAGGAGATATGTTAGAATTGTTAACAAATTCATTCAAGTTAATAAATATACAATGTTTTAAGTAGAATAATGTCTAAAGTTCCAGGAATGACCCCATCCAAATTCATTGTGCGCATCGTTGCGATAATAAATTCACTTCAAAAATCCTTGAACCCTACACGCGCCTCTGATAACGTCAATCACTGACGACAATTCATATTAATCAATTCAAATTTATTCCAACCAAAAAACATATCTAAACTTTGCACCCAAAGAAGCGTCATATTTTTTTCCCACATTACAAAATCAAATTGGCAAAAAATACATACACATACAGCAAAGCACATTTATTACTTGATAACAAGTTTCATTCTTAATCCATGACTTTAAACCATAAAAATCAGGCCTACAAAATAATGAATGTGCGGAAGTGGAGCAATCCGGAAGTGCATGCGGATAAACTTATAAGATTCAGCTTCACACAAATTGCAACGCGTTGCACTGCACTTAATTGCATCGATCTACTTACATTCTCCCCGTTCGCGTGAGCAAGTAATCACGTGCCTAGCTCAGGAAAACATATCAAAAATTGGGGAAAATATTACGGGGGGCATCTTTGGGAGTGCCACGTCTTTCGCAGATATCCCCATTTCTTTGCTAAAATAAAGTAGATAAAACCAGATAAAAACTGGTTGTTGTCGAAGATAACCGCTGATATATCATCGTATAGAAATATGTACATATTTACAAGTAGAAAACCAGCGTCTAAAATTGAACCATATTTTAATCCAATACGTACAACCAACAACCACAGCGACGACAAACTCTGCACCTTGAAGATTTTTACAATTCTTTCAAAAGCAGCAGCAACATGTTGATTTCCTATTCAAAACATTGCATTGTGCCTATAACATCATATAAACATAATCATCTTCTTTAGAGCGAGCAAAGAAAAAAGTGACACACTTTTAACAACTCGAGATAGTTAAAGACTTGTAAAGTATGTAAGTAAGTAAGTAAAGTAAGTTAGTAGTAAAAATCTTACCCACACAACAAACCAACTTATACTCTCTTCATCATCGCCCAATCCACCAAACCAAACCAACGCCACTACCACTACCACTGCAAACAATAATATAAGTAAAAAAGAAGAAAGAAACTTCTAAAAGCTATCATCGCCAAGTTGTGTACATAGATATGCAACGTTACCACGTTTATACGAGATACAGCTTATGCTTGTCTGGCATCTCGTCTACCAAACCAAATAGTAAACCAAAAACCACCTTTACTACAGAGATTCGGGATCATGCAAAATGTATGTTCAAGATTTTCCTCGTCTTTTTAGCATGAATAAATCCGATCTTAAAAAAATGTGAGATCCTATCACTTTCCTTTCCAGGTGTCAATCATCATCATCATCTTCTTCTTCTTCTCCTTACATACATACCAAATACCTAAATATGCTACCGAGCATCGACACTCTTCTTACCCAACAACCCACTAACAAAGCTAAAAAAACACATGAACAGAATAGTACAAAAGCTCTCTACACGGGTTTTATCCACCTATCTGGATCTCAAATCCAGTTGCTTCTCTTTCCAGCATGTTCAACAACATTTCGACACTACTTACACGAATGATTAAAATTCAGACAAGCGAGCAGTTATAAAAGCCATCCTCCATTTTCTTTCACAAAGTGCATGAAGGGTTTCAATAATGGGACAGGTAAGAAGACAAGTAGTAACAATATCATCCACGACGGAACCAAGAAACAACCACTTTTAACTTTGATGGTAAGAATCTCTTGTTATATCCTTCACACTATGTACATACTGCATGCCTATCCATCTCTGTCTTATCTTCTCGCATCCCTTATAGGCTTACTAACTTACTTCTCTTATTCTGTTCTAAATAGAGCAAAAAAACTGCAGTGTAAAGTAAGTAAGCATACAAAGCCAAGCAACAGGTCAGTTTAACTACCGCATTGCTATTGCATTTTACTCTTCCACTTACTGTCAAACCTTCTTCTTCATCCACCGGGTGTGCGTTTGCTTAAAAATACTTTATTTTTAAGCTAGCCTAGATCCATCCTCTCTTCCTTCCCTTTGGACTACTACTGAAAACTAACTATGACTGATCTTCTCTAATATTCTCATCATAATCCTTGCAATTATCGGAGGTAAGTGAATTCTAACGTTCGTAATAAAAAAATCTCATATTCTTTTTTTTTTTACTCTGGTGTAAAAATGTACTCTTAACAAAATTTCGAACTCGTTATTTACAGCAGCACCACCCACCCACCGCATACTGTCGTAATTTATTATAAAGTAAAGCCATCACCACGGAGTTCACTCGGGCAGTCCACCTTATTTGTACATATCGCCAATATAATAATCATACACCACGACGCCACAAAACACGGAACCGATTAAAGATATTCTCCAATGGACGCATACTACTATAAGCAGACGCTCCGATCCTACTACACTGGGTAATAATTCAATTTGCATATATATTTCTAGAAATATGTACAGAATCTCTAAATTCAGCACATGACACCAAATTCACGTTGCATGAATTTCAATCAATCTCAATAATTCTAGGCCGGGATTGATTCGCACAAATTCTAACAATGGATACAGTTCTTCCATGCTGTACGCTGGACAACCTCTAATCAAACAGTCGTCCTCGTCACCAACAAAGCCCACGAGCAAATCATCCTACTCCCCGTGGAACAGTTCGTCCTCGTCCTATTCGAATAATGGGAACAACAATTCGTCCTCGACTTGGGGAAATGCGTCAAATCAAAGCTACTCGTTCGGATCAAAGAAGGAGGAAGTGAAGCAGGAAAACAAAAAGAACAATGAATCTGGAGGGGGCTCAAAATCCATCAACTTTGAGTCAAACATTGGAGTTTTTAATAGGCAACGCGATCTCGAAATCAGAATTTCCTTCGGTTAATAATACCAACAATTCATCATACATATAACCAAAATGCTTAACAAACTTGGAAGATACAAACAAAATGAAATATCTGTCACATTTCATCGTGTAATAACATGACTTTCATTCATTCATGTGTATTTACATACATGGTAGGAAGATGAAAGAAAGGTTTTCGTACCTATATATTTTTTTGTTACTTTCATCTTTTAGTAACTTCTTACTTTTGATTTGAATGTCTTAATTATCGCATAAATAATGTAATGTTTTATCGCATATGTAAGAAACTTAAAACTTAATTCTTAGGTTGCTTTACAATGTTGTTTTATAAAAAGAGAGGGACAACGATTTGTTGCCATCTTTTTTCGGTAGGGTGAAATGTTTTCTGTTTTTATTATTATATTATTATTTGGTGGAGTTTGGTCAATGGGTGACATTTAAATATTGCTGTCGGTTCGGTGGTGAAACTAATTAAAATAAAATATCGTCGTCCATATTTTATTGCAGGTTAATAAAAAATAAATAGGAGCAGTAAAAAAATGAAATGGAGCAATTTATTATCAGCTCTTTTGTAAAAAAAAAGGTGACGCTATGTAAATTAAAAGTATATCAGAAAGTGAATTAAATTAATCTAAACAATAAACAATCTTTTATTTTTTGCAAAAAATAAATAAAAATTGGTAAGATTTTTAAGTTGCAAAAAATTTGCAATATTAAAACATTTTTGTGAATTCATTACAGTGGAATACAATTCATGCATTCATAAGCTCCATGATACTTAAAACCATACTTTACATGGTTAATTGTGATGTATAATTGGCAAAAAGTGAAATATGCGAAATTTGCACGTAAATGGAAGAGGCAAAATTTAATTTGGCAGCGGAGGGATTCGAACCCTCGCCTCCGAAGAGATTAGAGCCTAAATCTAACGCCTTAGACCACTCGGCCACGCTACCATGTGTAAAGTTGAGCCGCTTTGTTAAATGCAGTTGTCTCTACACCGTACTTACGAAGGTTTCAACCCGTGTTTGACTCTCGTCTCATCTCAACTCAACGTGTGTGTCTCTCCTTTTGAACAAAATTGAGATTTACAAAATTGAGAAACTTGAGAAAATTGAGAAACCCAAATCTGTTAAATTTCAACGCCAACACATTTGTTTCAAAATAAAAGATATATTTTTTATGTGATGGAAATAAAATCAATAGCAACGCGCCAAAAAATGCATTCATAAAAAAAATATTTCCAAAACACGATTGGACATTTTTTATAGCCTTCATATTTAAATAATTAAAATTAACTGAGGTTATCGGATAACGGTTATCCAACAACGTTGAATTCTCCTGGTAGGGTCTGGCTTAGGACCAGTAATTATAAAACAAATTCATTGTTTACATACATTGTTTTGCAATGTTGCCTAACTAACGGTTAATTTAATTAATTTGCCGGGATATTGAACCTATTACATAATTTAATCCGAGTTAGAATGTGGTTACACCCATTCCTATATACTATTCCTCTTGAATATCAGTGAAAAATAGTGTTCCAAAATAATCAGGCGTTTTTGACATTATTTGAGAAACCGGCAATGAAATAATTATTCCAATGTGATAAAATTATTTAAAACTAACTTTCCAAGTGTTTCGTGTTCATGCTTATCGAGTCCTTTAGTCAATTTTCTGCACATACTCAGTTCCTTCCACCTCATCGAAATTAAGAAAGTTCAAAAGTTTCACTTACATGGTAAAGCGTCCAAAAGTAAAGTTAACAGTTTCTGGGTGCCGTTAACCTCCGACTGCAGCTGGAGTAACTCTTGTGGTAAGGGATTCCCTTTTAAGTTTAAAATCTGCACGTTAAACAGCCTCCCCATCTCGAGAGGTAAATGTCTAATGTAATTATTGGCCAGATAAAGTTCCTTTAACCGCACCAAGTCGCCCAGTTCAGGTGGCAAACATCGCAACTTATTATTCGACGCGTCCAGCAGCACTAAATTATATAGACGACCAATCTCCATTGGCAGCTTGGTCACTGTATTATCGTTGATGTAGAGATGAGTCAGGTGCGTCATGTCGAACAGGGCGAGAGAAATGTTCCTTACGTTGCCTGTGAAACAAATGACACTCATTAGCTCTATTTTTTTCATATTGTATGCAAATGAGCATAAAAAATGCATGATTTTTGAAACTTTACCTGCAATTTCTAACTCACTCCAGTGACTCTTTTTCCCACTAGCTGCTTCTTCCGGACTCATAATGACATGGGATCGGCCGCTTTTGTTATTAATGATCATAGGACCTTGCTGACTCATATGACCTCCTCCAGAATTTTCGCGATTATTCTGATTAGAAAGTGTCTGCTGTAAGGTGGTTATCGGGCTGGGTGTGGCAGACGAACTTTTGCTCCCACCCCCACTACTCGTCGCCGTGCTACTTCCTTCCTTCATTTTTAATCCGTTTTTTTGTCACAAAATTTTTCCCTTGATTTTCTTTAGTCACCCACAATCGACAAAATTAATACAAAAAATTTGTCTCTTATGTAATCTTATATCTATTGCTAAAAACAATAATATTTATATAACGGGTCTTTATATTGAGTACAAAAGAGTCAAAAGACAACTTAATATATTTTTGTGACGTTTGAGCCCTAAAATGTAGAATTTAAACTCTTCTAATCTATGGAAATTGTGGCAAGATATTAAAATTTTGACATTTTATTATTCTTAACCATTATATAATACTACAGTACTCTTAATAACAGCTACTTAATAAGAACTTTAATAGTACAAGTATTAAAGGACATGATAATATTAAGAAAAAAGTATTTATTTACTATCTTATCGCATAACCTAAAACTCCTCTACGACATATCACAATAATATTTACAAGAAACTTAACTTAATAATTTACGTTACAATTAAGAAGTTTTATTTTTTTTTTGATTTTATTTCTATTTTTTCTCTTCATAAACAAAGAGCCGAATGCAGCTACATATTTTAAACTCGGGACTAAAAGCTTACTTTACCCATCACGTGATTCTTTGTCAGGGGTCTCTATAAATTATGTAACGCATAATGCCAAGAGTACAGTTTACAGATATATCCTATCGTGATAAGTCTCATGATTAAGGGGGCAAAGGGGTCTAGAAAGTTGGGAATTTGCATTACATAAGTTATGAACGGTCCTTCATCATTAAGAAAAAGAAGGCATATTACTTGTGAATTAACGTTTAACAATGCATCAACAATGAATGAGTCATGTCCAGGGGAAAGTTGTTGAAAAAATCTGTTAAAAATTGTCCAAAATTCATCATATTTATTAAGAGAAAGTTGGGTCGTCATTTCACATTTCGGTTTATGGCGTTGCATCATCGCAGATTGAGCAGAGCACTTTCACTTCACACACACACAAGGAAAGTCAAACCGTCTCAATTTCCCCACTCCATTACGTAAAGGATCACCCACATAAAACAAGCAATCTCACTTTTCTCTGTTTGCTTTTTATCGATTACAATTACACAAAAACCAAACCACGAGGCTTTAATGCAAATAAAGTTATCCCTAAAATTGTACAGACTTTGAACAAGCATGCCCTGATTGATAATGCCATTATTTTTCTGCGAATTGTTCCTCCTCGCTCCCTTGTGCATCACGGGATTTCAATTGTGTATTATGCATTCCATTCCAGTTCAGGGTGATGATATATAAGCACGTTGAGGTTATTAGTCGTCAAGTCAATGTCGTCATCATGGATGGAATGGGAATGATGGGCTGATGTCAGATGGTACAATGGAATATTCATGTAAATTTAGCAGGTATATGGTATGGATTTTTAGCACATGACGACTGAATGCGACTCACTCACGCAACTACTTATATAGCTTTAAGGTTGTAATAAATGGTAAAAAGTGTAAACATGGATATATCATCAGCTAGCAGAGCAGCATATGGATGTATATTTATATGGAGAACTCTGCTGAACAACGGCTCTCATTTCTTTAAGTACGCTTACATACGCTGACGAGTCTCGTGACTGATTCATTGATAAATACACTCGTGATTTGGTAGCTTCATGTGACTGTTCTGTTCCTGACTCTCTTTCGCCTTCTGGTCTCGACTTGGCATCATCCTAATATTCCTGTTGAACAAAGTACTGTACCGATTTTTAACAATTATCATTATTATTATGACTTATCATCCTCACTGTGAGAATAGACAGGGTGACGTGGTGGTGAAAGTGGAATTTTGTACAGGGAGAACTATTATTTCTTAATTTAATGGACGACGAGACAAAATGAAGGAACAGTAGTGCGAGGAAAATGTTATGAGACGGGACAAGTACAAAAAAGTTTCTGTTTTTACTTGAATTCTGTGTGACGTTATTTTTTAAGTTGAGAAATTTGTAAGGGGAAAGCGTAGCATTATTGTATATTATGGAGCCGTCTACTCCCAAAAATTTGAGCAAGTTCCTAGGACAGATCGTTAAAGCGCTATCTTTCAGTAATGAAACGGATAAGACTGATTCTGAAACTATGTAAGTAAATTAACTGGAAAAAATCAGGAAATATTCCAAACACCTGTAACATTTGGAATTTTGTTCTTGCAGTCAACCTGATATTGTACAACAAGCAGAAGAAGCTTTAGAGCACCAATTTCCAGGTACAGCCTCGGCGCAAACAGGGTCGACGACTCCCACGCGTCTACTCGTCTTTCGCAGTGAGGATGCGGAAGTACGGAAAATCCTCTTTGATTCCATGTATGTAACGGATGAAGGGCAGTATATGACGAGTCGGCAAAAAGATGCAAAATTCCTGAAAGACATTGTCGTAAAATTTGCGTTTGGCGAGGTTCCATTAAAAAACCCGGAAACGATTCGTTTCGCAAGACTGGATGAGAATCAATACGTTTTTGCTATAGTCTTCAATTTGGGTGAGTCTCAAAATTTCCCAACAAAATTTGTACAAATTTTGCTAATGACTTTTACATAATAAAAATGTCTTTCTTAAAACTAGCTACGGCCTCAGCTTCCACAAATCCCTCCCCTCGGAAACCACCCCCCTTCCAGCACGATTCCTCTACCGAGTCATCCTCCTCATCCTCGGGGTACAGTTCCCTCCCCATTTTGGACGACCAATCGTCAGGTGATTATAGTGGACCTTCTTCGTCTTTAAATCCGTCCCACTCCCTCCCAGCAACGCCATGCCATTTCCAAGCTCATCGTCAAACAACTCACAAGGCAGGGAGTGGATACCGGTGTCGAAATTCTGGCAAAATGACACGGTACGTAAGTAAATCTAAATCTAGTGTATGGTCAAAACTCAGAGTTAAACTTATTTTATTAAAGTTATTTTAACACAAAGTAAATTTATAGTGGATGGTTAAAAATCAAATTTTGATGAAGCTGCTGCTGAGGGGGGTCCCAAATACAAATTTTTTAAGGGTTCCCAATTAATGGATGAAACATCAACACCTTCCGGGATAGTAAACTCTAATTTTTGACTGGTCCAAAATCCCACCAGCTTCTTCAGTCTATCCACATGACGATCCTCCCATTCGGAGAAATTCTCGTATTTCTCAAAATCAATTTTGATGGGGGATCCGTCGATAGCCCCTCCCAACATCTCAGAAAAGATCACTCCCAACTGTCCAACACTTTCCATCTTCTTTGTCTCATTCTCTATGAAGTCAGCGTCACCTTCTATATTATTTACAGTTAATATAAATTCAAGTTAATAACAATTATTATAATAAGTAATCTTCACCTTCACACTGGAAGAGAGGGATTCCCTTATCCGTAGAAGGATGACTTGGGTGAATGAATGATTGAGGCATGGGTCCACCCCCTCTAATACCCATATTGCGTTGGGTAACCGTTCCAACGTAGATTCTCCCTATAGTGCCAAATTTCATGTAGATCCATCTGTCGCTATCCCTGCACTTAAGGTCATCTTTTTTCAATAATGGGGATTCATTGATCTCTCCATACTCTGAGGTCTCTCCTAGTTCCAGTTTGAAGCCACAGTCCTCCAAAATAGTCTTCACGACTGACCAATCGACTTGGTCAATGTAAATTTGGTCCTTGACCAAATTCATAGGATTAGCTGCATTCTTTTCATGTGAATTGAGGGTGGATATAATGGCGAGAGTAGCGTTGATGGTTCGATGGAATATTTTGGACAAGTCCAAATCTTTCGCAATCCAAGGACGTGGCGTCACCAGCTTCCATTTAGGAGGAAGTTTTGCTTCCTTCTGCTTTTCCTCATAGTTGCGAAAAGCGACAAAACTCTTGGTAGAATTCCTCGATGTCTGTACAACTCCATCTAATGTGTGGACGAATTTTGTAGTGTGGGGTTTGGTTGTCAGAAGGGTGTAAGTGGGCAAAGGGTTGCTTTCATCCTTCAGAAGGAAATGTGTCACATAACAGTCGGCGTGTTCATGACAGGCTCCATCGTTTGTTTGTGTTTTCCAGCAATCCCCGTCTTTACATATTCCACTTCTCCCTCCAGTTCTCCACGTTATTCTTCCTCCAGCAAACGTCACATCCACACTAGTGGTCACTTCCGCCTTGGATGTGGTTTTATTAGGTGCTAAATTTCTCCTGTGTGTAGTTTGGGCTGTCACATTCCTTCCCTCTTTTGTAATGGTCAACGTTTTCCCCGATTTCAGCAGTGCTTTCATGCCATCTGAGGTTTTCATGAACCTGTCTTCTCCATCATATTTCAGGTAGTTCTTCACATGTCGGAATATGAAGTCAGCCATTGTGAGCGGAGTGGGTGGAGTCCATGGTTGAGCTTCTGGAGGGGAGGGGGAAGTAGCGGTTTTCCACGGAAAGCGTGTAGCCTGAGTCTCTTGGGAGTTGAAGGGCGAACACTCTAGAAACATTTTCATTAAAATTGACAACTAAACTATATGAGAGTTAAGGAAGTAATTTAAACCTTACCATCAATCTTTTGGAGCTCCCCATCTTCATTTTCCACGCAGATTTGAATAGAAGAGCCAGGAGGGGGTTGATACACTGTGAAGTTTAATCGAACTTTCTTTTTCTGTATGGGATTACCTTCCACTTCCGAACACGCATGTTTTGACAACATTTTCGATTATTAATTAAAAAAGAACAACAATGCGAGAGAAAGGGAGCGACCGTGGAGTTGTGTGTAGAAGGAATGAGATAGAGTTCGTTGACCTGCAGCCAAACTAACGAGAATTTTTATTTGTCATTTTGCCAGAATTTCGACACTGGGTGCCGTACTAATGTTTTCGACACAAATTTCACCTTCACTCCTGGAACCCCTACTACTCCCAATGCAAGCCTACATCATACAAATGTACCATCTAAGGACAAAGTTTCCAACAATGCTCAAATCGTATTACAATTGTTTAAGTGTAGATATACAGAACCATTCTAGCCTAGTGAAACAAGAGCTACCAAATGTTCTTGATATTCTTCCATTATTTAATTTAAAGATTTTTGCAGAATTTATTTCTCTTTTGGTCACAAATCCGTGGTCAAAGATTAATGTTATTTGTCCTACAAAAGTTGTGAATTCTGCCCTAGCCATTTTTAAGATTTGTTATATGATTAAGAATTTTAAACGGAGATTTCCACCTCCTCCTACTTCTTCACCACAACGAAGAACATCGTCGCAGCAATATAATAGTACTTCTGCGTCCTCCTGTAATAACCCCGAAAACAGCAGTTCGGACTCGGGCTATTTTAGTTGTAGTACTTTACATTCTACGACTGTAAAGTCGACAAGTGTCTGTGATGAAGAAGAAGAAGACGAAGAGTTGATCTGTGATAGTAGAAGTAATAAAAGTAGTACTAATAGTTTTGTCGAACAAGAAGAACCAAACCGCAACAAATTTTATCTCGGAGACGAAGAAGACGATGAACAAACAGAATCTAAATTTGCTCTTTCAGGTAATTCAACAAAAATATGATTACAATTCACTCAAGCTAAACCAGTCTCATTAAAGCTATCTCCATGTTTATTTTTAGAACCTATGAAGGAGAAACTATTTCCTAATGCGCCCCTTCCAAAACCTGTAATCAAAGTACAACAAGTTCCTCTCCAACTATCATCTCCTACAGAAGTTATGGGGAGGACGGACCAATATTCAAAGGACATTTACTATCTCAATAACTCTACAAGATTTAGCCCTTTCCAAACATACCAACTATTTCATGCCGCACCAAACTATGACTACATTCACACTGTCACGAACGAAATACTGGAAATCAACTTGAACAAGTTGATGCTTCGTTCGATAAATCTCAAAGCTACGCCACCAGAACCATCAAAGAAGGCGATTCGTGAATTAGTATCTAAAACCCGTTCATTGTGCAAACTGATAACGGATAGCGAAAAATCTTTGTTCTTTTTTCTTGTAAATCTCGTTGAAATTATCAAATAAATTCAAAAAACTTTTTATTATTGAATGTACTGATGATTAAGTATATATTATTAGTTATAAATCTTGATAGCCTTTTCCAGAGTAGAGTACCTTGACCGTTTTGGTGCTTTATTTACATGTTCGATTCCAATCCAAGGCCTACCGTTGTATGCGTGCGTTGCGCCATAACCTGAAGAAAACAAGGATAAATTGATTAAATCGTGAATTTTATTATTAAATGCTTGTTAGTTAACTGAACCAATTCTCAGATATTTACTTACCTACTCCCGAAGCAAAGTTTTCAGGTTTCACTACTGATTCTGCATCCTCTTCCTTGTCCAAGAATGTCGGGGATCCTTGTTGCACCAAGGCTACTCTCATTTTACTCCAATCCTTGTCATTTATGCACATTTTGGACTGCAGGCGAGATTTCACATTATTCCACAAGTCACCATAGCGTATCTGTATGGAAATAATTCATACACACCAAAGTGTTCTTAGGGTTAGTTTTCGTAGCATAATTAAACAATACATATCACGTAAATTCTTTGTACCTTCATGAGAAATGGGACACCAAAAGTGGATCTGGCTTCCTTGTGAAAGTGAGCAACAGGGACGATCAATTCGCCTTGAACAAGGTCCACCTCCTCTTCAGGAATTTCCTCTGCTCGATAATAGCCTATCGAATAGCAAATACAAATGTATGTTTAATGTTCAGCTCACTAAATATTATAAATAAATATGTACATGCGTAGGACTTACGATTAACGGTATTATTATTAACTATAATGTCTGATGACGTCTCATCGTCGACGATTTGTTGAATTCGGTGCGAAGCCACTTCTACTAGCCGGAGATTCCTGCCATTCAATATTCCTGGCGGCTTCTTTTCAGCATTTAGAACTTTTGCAATTTCGCTCAGAATGTCGCGAATGGTTATGCGAGGGGCTTTATTTACATAAAATACTAATTCTCGCTCTGTGAAAAATAATAAATTATATTTTTAAACCAAATAATACAACAGTAATGCCACTGCCACACATATATAAAGAAGATTCAAGAGGCATCATCTTACCCTGTTGATCATTGGATTGAATTTCCGTCCCACTATTGTTATAATACAATAGCTTAAACTGTTTCTTATGCTCCAGTTCTGTGATAGGGATTCCTAGGACTTGGTAGAATAATTTATACGGACTTCTAATCGGTTTTTGTGTCGCCGATAATATCGACAATAGATCAGTATCTGGTTCAAATTTGACAGCATAAGCGGGAGAGTCCCTGAAAAGGGAACAATAATAAGTGCCGGAACAAGGAACACTAGAAAAAATATCCACTCAAATTATGATATGAAATAACAACTCACTTGTACGGCTGGCATTTGTAAAATTGCATAAACAAGGGTAAAACTCCGAGCCGTTGCCCCACTTTGGTTGCCAATTCAAAATAGCTGGATTTTAAACTGATTTCAAGACTGAAGGATTCATTTTGGTTACTCTTATCCAAAAACGTTATTTCGTACCTACAAAACAATAAATTTTTGAAAATTTTGCAAATTTGATAAAAATATGTAAAAGACAACAACACTCACTTGTATTGCATATACACGTAAAATTCGTGAAGACTTTTTAATTTACGACCACCAGTAACGTTGTTGGGGTCAAAATTTCTCTGAAAATTACATAGAGGCATGAGTATTAGGCTCATATGAATAAATAAATACATACTACACTCGCAAAAATAATAAAAGAAAAGTTACCTGAAAAACAATAATGTCACCATCCATCAATTCATCTAGTCCCTGGTCAAGAGTAGAACCGAAATCGACAACTTTCTCCACCGTTCCTGGCTGAACTTCTTCGTACATCGTTATTAGTGTATCTTCAGGCCAACGAGCACGCTTCTTGCACTCGGATGCGATTTTGTCTAATCAAAATAAGTCAAACGATTAAATTATTAGCTTAAGTGAAAGCTGATTATTGAAACAAAAAATATGAAGGACTTACGAAAGTTGGACGTGATTGGAATTGTAATGTGACCCTGATAATGAATCGATTCATTTAAAGGATCATACATTTTCAGAAACAAAAGCACGTCGTTTTCTTTGTCAAAATTAGGCAGACTGACATTTGGGTCGTCTACAGGTAAAATCTCGAGAAACATTGGCCTATTATAAATCAGTAAAATATTGCGTTATTGAAGTATAATAAATAATCTGATGAATTACATCTTAAAAAAATATTGTTAAATTCATGACTTACATGTTACTGTGGCCAAATAGGGTCTCTTCTAAACTTTTGCTTTCATAGCCCATGTCCAGCCATCCAGGTCGCACAACTTTATTTGTTCGAACTGCGAATGGCCAGAGACGCATACGTGCAGGAGGAATATTCTGTAAGCAACGACAGATTGATGATTTAATGAAACAGTTTATATAAACTATATAAAATCAATTCCAAGTAGTTAAAATAAATACTCACAAAAGATTCAGAGAGGATTGTGAGAAACCCCTGAGGCTTTGTCTTCTTTGTCACCCTGAAAGATCTTGTGTTGGCGACAGCAGCAGGACTTAATTTGTCTGGGTCGTACAGATCACAACCTTGATGTCCAACGAAAGCATCTTCTAACATGACGTTAACTTGCATGTACAGATGAGCTTCGGACCGTTCCTTTCTCTTCAAAATTTCCAAGTTCTTTTCCTCCTTCAGGCGTTCCAACAATTCGCGAGGAATGTCATCCTCGGTGACTTCTTGTAATACACTGGAGGCCAAATCTGGGGAGTCACGGATATACACCAACATGTACGCGTTAGTTGATTGCTTCACTCCTATATCAGACGAGAGATTTGTTTAGTTTTCATTTAATTTCTCAAAACTATTCGCATTCATAAAAAAATGCATTATAATTACTATAATTGTCTTACCAGGGTGCAAATCATCCACCTAAACACACAAAATAAATAATTTGGATTAATAATTTGAAGTAATTAATTTTATTAATTGAAATAATTTCATTTTTTACCTCTTGACCACCAAAGTTGTGATTAATTGCTTCAGTCTTTGTGCACTTTGAAACCACATCGTCGTCAAACTTGCACCATTTCCCGTCCCCTTTGGGATTAATAAAGACAACGTAGTGCCCTATAATAAAAAATAGAGTCGGGGTCAAATTCAAACTCCCGTCCCGTCATTCTCCTATTTTCCACCAACCAACACAACTCACGCAACTACTCAGTTTACCACTAATTATTATTCGAATATAAATTACCTCCGTGGTTATCTCCGGAATGAACAAGGACCTGTGCATGAAATTATATAACACTGTGATTATAGAGATTTCTATTGGATTAATAAAATCAGTTACTAATTAGTTTCTTACAGCATGTAGAGTATATTTGCAAGTGACTTGTTCTCCGTCAGCGTCCTTTCCTTTCTTCAAAAACTCATTCAAGTCGACTTTGTCATAAAACTCAAAACGATCATTGGATTTCACCGAACAATCTGTGATGGGGTCATATGAATGAATAATTATTAGTATTTTTTCATTGATGTTTCTTTGGGGGGCTAAGGTTGACGTTTAAGTAGCTGTCGTTGAAAATGTTAAATAAATAAATGCGAATTCTAGAATCACTTACCGACTATGGGGTCATATTGAAAGCGCATCAAGTGCAAATGTAACACGGGGGGAAATGATGTGAAAATCACTCCTTTCTCGGCTTCCTGATAGTTTGTAATACGAAAAATTAATTAACTAATATTCTCTAATAATGGAATATTATTTATTAACAATTAATGTGAACATTACCTGAAGTCCATGATTTCCTGCATCGTACTTGTTATCTCCGTCCAAAACTTCTGTATCGACATAGTCTCTGAAGCTCTCGTAAATATCCTTTTTTCCTTTGATATTTAGCTGAATGTCGTAAAAAGTTTCGGACCTGCTCGACTCGTACTGAACGTGTTTACACTTTGGTATAGAAAAAAAAATATTTGCATTTAAATGTGTTACACTCCAACCTAAATGTTTGTGTACTATTACAATCTTGAACTACCTTGATAAATGAGATCATTTTCCCTTCGAAAAGACGTGGCACCGTTCCTTCAACACATGTCCCTTTCATCTAATCATTCAGTCAATCAACATTAACATTTAGTCTAAGTAATGCATTAAAGTTATATTATTTTGTTTTTGTAAATTTATACCTTGCTTTCTAATTTATCGAGTAGAACTCTTAAAAACTCCTGAACATCGTGCTGCATGAACGAGTCCAAAGTCTCCCAACCGAAACTACGTGTCAGCTTCTTAGTCCCAACGGGTTTGTCTGAAGTTTGTAACTCGTAGAAAACTCGTTGCAAAGCGAGTGCAACGGATCTGTTGGGAAAATGAATAATTATTATTGCATAACTTAGTTGATCGCACTTGTACTAATCCAAGGATTATGCTATATACTTGGTTGAATCATCCGACTCGGTGGGCATCTTGTAAACTGCTTTCCTCAATTGGTTAGTGAAGAAGAGAGTTTGAAGTAAACTATTCATGTAGCAAGTCGCACCCTACAGATCATAGGTGCCAGTTAATCAGTAATTGTTTTACAGTTTAGCTGAAAGTGTCACCCACGAGTAGTGTTTTGAAGTTAGCTAACTAATTACCTGGTTCTTTAAGCCGACATATCCAGTATGCTTCTTAGAGTCCCAAGCTACACCATGAGGGGCATCTGCCTTGACTTCGACCTCCAACGTGATGGCATCGTTCTTTAAAAAACCTTTGCTAGGATCCACTAATGCGGGCCAGTCAACGAAATTAGAGTATCCCCAATCATTTTCTTTGCTGTGAAAAATGTGGCTGATTTCTAGAAGAAAAGAGGAATCGGAGTATTAAATACAAATAAAAAAATCCATAATAATATAACACTTACTTCGGCTGAATGATTCACAACCGGATTTGTGTGAAATTATCTTTAGATTAGCAACTGCACTGCAGTTCCAGCTTGCAGAATCACTGTCACCGTTACCTAAAATATTAGTTTAATTAGTAATTACATCAATTCTGTCAATCGCAGCTGGCCCAATACATCATCTTTACCACATAGTAATATTACTACAACTCACATTGCAGGAAAAAACCCAAACTCATATTCCTAGTTTGGTTGGGGTCGGCCCTGGGCATGACCATAATTCGCCATGGAAGGTTCCGGACATAAGTTGGAGGAGATAAAACCTGTTCCCGTAAATGAGTAATGCCCTCCACTGTGAAGCAGAAAGTTGCCTCAGACCTGAAAAACCATATTCGACATTTTAAAAACCGGCACTATCTATATGCAATACAATACTATTGTATTCAAAAGCTATGATTTGCCTCTCCTTGATCTCTACGGATAATTACAATTTTAAACCACTACAGCTCTAACCTGGCATTGCTTTCCTCTTCGGATTCTTCCTCCTCTACCTCGGGTTTGGATTCAACGTCTTCCTCCATTTTATCTGATACTATAAACATTACTTTGTTAATATTAATCCGAATTCATGATTCCATCCATCAACGCCACAAAATCTGTAAATATATACTCCGATTTACCTTTATTATTAGATTCTTCGTCGTCAACAACTACTTCCATATGCTCTACTGCACTCTATAAAAGAATCAAATTGTATAAAAATTAGCAATGACTCACAACAATCGCCCACACACACAACTGACCCTACCAGCATGTAATTACTTAATTATGAATATCGCACTTACTTCATTATTCTTCTTTTGCTGATGATGATCATTGTTAACAGAATCCTGGCTCAATGGCATAATTAGTTTTAATCAACACACTTAACGAACAATAAATTATTCTATGAAAAGTAAATAAATAATAGCCGACGACAATTTATTTTATAATGTTGCGAGCACGAGCAAAAAACGCTTCTTCACATTTAAATATTTACAACAACTAGATTGTTCACTTTAAAAAAAACTTTCTCTCTCTTTACAAAAATCACTGGACAATTTAATACAGTACTTTTCAGTTAAGTTTGGTCTTATGTAAAGCCGTAAATTCAGTTTCTCAATTTGACAGTTGATTTTAATCGTTTTACTTCCGTCCGATCCAAATATCATCCAAATATAAATTCAGTAGGTTCTCTTCTCTTCTCTTCTTGTCTCGTTTGTTGCGTGTGACGCGTTTATTTTGATGGATGGCTTAAAAAAATCAATCAATCAATCTCTCGTTCGGTACGATGCTAGTGGAGAATCTTAGATGTAAATAATAACCATCTATAACAACTTAACTCTAATAGTCCACCAGTTTTAATTAGAGAATCAAGTTAAATTATTATTATTATAGTGGTGGTGGTGGGCATCATATTATTTTCACTACTCACTCGCTGAGCAAGGAGCCAATAATGCAATTTTAACATTTTCAATTCAAGTGCCTGGCTCTCTCTCGCTGATTCGCCACTCCGTTCGAAAGGTGTCCTTCTCTGCCCGAAATCCAGCCGTGCGGTCAAATTTTCCAGCCGAGGGGCGTCCATTACATGTGGATTTTAGAGAAATGCAATGACATAATTTGATAATGATTTTAATTAGAAAAAAATTTTAGAAAATTTAGAGGAAATTATAGCATGCAAAATTATTTTAAAAGGAGGGGTTTCATAAGTTTGGCATAAATTTGTTTTGTGATTAATTAGATTGGATTAATTGGATATTAGTAAAATTTATTTGGATGGATGCAAGTTGAAACTTTTGAATTACTATTTCAGTCGTATAACTATTTAATTGGGCAATGTTGACGAACTTTATACGAGGATGAGACAGATCAGATGATGCAGTAACTTCTGTACGGAGATGATAATAACATGATGCAAACTTGAACAAAAAGCCGGTTAAATTTCTTCTTCTGCTGGGAAAGAAGTTTTCTAAAGTTTTATCGGAACAGAAGCCATCGTATTAAAGTAAGTTTTATCATTTTATTTCTTCATAGAATTTTGAGCATTTTGTTAATTTAGAGAATACATCTTTATCTAAATTCAGGCCACGAATTTATTCACCGTTATGAATAAAGCCGACCATGCATTTGTACTAAATCCTACTAAATCCCTTTCAGTGGAAAGTTACCGGAATTTTCTCAAGAAATTCCTCTCCTATTCTTCTAACTAACTATTAGTACCTTTTAGGCAAAGGTAATCCTCCTCCTCCTAAATAAAACTCACCTTTTTCTTTCCTTGAACTCAACCGGCATTATTTCACAGGCATGCATTCATTCCTTCTTCCACTAATTCTATAATTCTCTACCCCAAAAGCATTAAGCAATACATTTCCCAGTATATCCTCTTATTGTCTGTCTGTAATTGATAATAACGTCTCTATTAAAACATTTCGCACAAAAGTATTATAAGCGAATGCAATATAGTTTCCGTCGCTTCTTCTTTCTTCATCATCCTCCGAGTTGAGCCGATCACTGCACGCAACTGCAGGACTCCGCCCTCCCAAGAAGACAAAGCGTGTACTGTATTTTTATCCAGGAAAATTTTCCACAACTTTCTTTCCTAAAGTAGTCTCCATGAAATTCCAGTCAAGACAAAGAATGACACCAATTCCCTCCCCACTAGGGGAGAAAGCCCATAAAAAATCTAGGGAAATCGTAGAACTAACAAATTAATGGGAGTAGATCTTATAAAATTTTGAAAAACTGGTGAAATTTTATGAACCATGAGGTACGACGTGAAATGTGAAGCATGTCTGATTTCTGTGTCTCATGGAGGTAGATATGAGCGTAGCTGCGCTTCGTCGTGCTGTTTGGAGCGGAGTTAACGTCAGTCGGGGTGGCTACGGGCCTTCCTTTGTCCTTCAACCGCACGCCGCCACCACCACCACCGGCAAGCACACTTGGGCCGCCCAACAAGCCACCACTTCAATCTCGTCAAGTCAGTCATCTCTTCAACTCTTTCGGAACAACTGCTGCAATTACTCGACAAAAAAAAGTGATAAGAAACCTGCCGCCATGCCAGTCCGAGTATTTTTCGACATGACCGCCGATGGGGCGCCGGTGGGAAGGATTACGATGGAGGTAAGAAAAAACGGTTAAAAAAACTTGGTCAATTTGAAGGAGAGAGGACAACTGTCAATTTGCCGGTAGTACTGCTTCTTTGTGGATGGAAATTTCTAGTTAGGTAGCCATCAATCACGAGATGGTTGGGTGAGGAGGCATGTTATGTTAATGGGGTAGCATGATGGGATAAATATATGCGAATTATTTGGCAAATTGATGGATTAGAATAGATTCAAAGTTGGCTAATGTCAAATAGGATTAGCGTCACGACGTGACTTTTCCATTTGAATGTTCGCTCGGTTGGTTGTTTATGAATAAGATCGTTTCCGGTATCTGGGAAAATGTGGCATGTTTATAGTTGGCTTGGTTTATCCTACTTCTAGTTTTTTTCTTGACAGCTCCGTGATGACATCACCCCCAAGACGGCGGAGAACTTCCGAGCTCTTTGCACCGGAGAGAAGGGATTTGGCTACAAGGGGTCTACGTTCCACCGAGTCATCCCCAACTTTATGTGTCAAGGTGGTGACTTTACCCACGGAAATGGGACTGGAGGAAAATCCATCTACGGGGAGAAGTTTGCTGATGAAAACTTCCAACTTGTCCACACTGGACCAGGTATAACGATTAGACTAGAACAATTAAATCCTATTGCATTATATGCATACTAATTATAATTGTTGTTTTTACTAGGAATCATGTCAATGGGTAAGGAAAGGAACTGGAATTACAATATGCAACTGGTTTATGGTTTCTCCATACAGAGATAAGGGTAATTATAAACTTGTTCCTTTTTAGCTAATGCTGGACCGAACACCAACGGCTCTCAATTCTTCATCACCACGGCCAAGACTTCATGGTTGGACGGGAAACACGTTGTCTTTGGCTCCGTCGTGGATGGTATGGATGTCGTGAAAAAGCTCGAAGGTTACGGCTCCCAGAGCGGAAAGACCAATAAGAAGATCGTCATCGCCGACTCTGGACAACTTTAAGAAGTCTGCACTGTAGTAAATTCATCATTTATTACACACCTACCATATAATTCCTTCATCATTCATCTTTTGTGTGTTATTCATTTTGTTGAGATCAAATAAACAGTTCTCGAATTGAGTTAAACCCAGCCACCGTTATTGCTAAAATGTATGAATTGATTCCCATTGTATTCCAATTTCACGCGCTAATATGCCACAAAAGTCGTGAAACTCCCACCAATTTAACCTCAAAGTAAGTAATAAACAATAATGGTTATTTATGTTTATCTATCTCGTGATTCATTCATATGCACTTTACACGAGTTTATGCGTGCCTAATTACTCTTCCCATTCTGACTAATGTAACAGGTTAATGCTTTTCATATTGACCACCACCATCCATCCATATCAACGCCACACGATTACATTAATAAAACAAAGGCTTACTTTTTTAATGGGAGGAAAAAGCAACCCGAGCAGTTCTTTTTCCATAAGTCCTTCTACACGAATAATATAGAGAAAGATCCAGAGGGACCCACCATCTCGTCGTCACGTAATATGTACTACTATTATGCAACTTATACAACTTTTCTCTGTGCTCCTCTTGTTCTATTCTATTCAATAGGACCACATTTTTTGCTCCTCAATTCTCTATCTCTGCCTTATACGAACATAAATAAACATTAAAGAATTTTCTCATCTCATCCAATCCAGTCCACTTCTACTGCACCACACACCACGACTACGCTATCGTTTATTATACGAGGTGTAATATATGGGCTGGTTTGGTTTTTAGTTTGTTGGGCATAAAGGATTCATTCTTTCTGTAGCAGTGTACGGCTGACGATTGATAAGAACGAGCACCACAATCTTGAAGAGCATTTAACTTAGTTACTTACTGTACAGCAGAAGAATATATACAAGGAGAAAAATTTACTCAGAAAATGTAAATAGTTTAGCTAGGTATTAACAGATTTTGTATTTATACTTCTTCACAAGAGAAGAAGAACAAACACTAACCATTGCATTTCGATTGATTGAGAAGCGAAGCGACGAAAAAAAGTTGCAGCCATAATAAACCTTAAAAGAAACAAAAAAATAACCATATTACAATGATATTATTATTATGTATCGCACCGCTGCTGGGGTCATAATAACAGCGATACGTAATATCGACAAGTTAATTTAAAGAAAATCAGACAACAAAGAGAAAAGGAAATAATAAATTACCATGAGTAAATAAAACTTTTGGGTGACTGACATGAATACCAAGACATTATGCATTGCTACCGCAGAAATGTATAACAACTGTATGAAAATTTGTGTCAATTCTCATAATTGGGATTGCACAGTGACAGAAATGTTGCTACCGCAGAAATGTATAACAACTGTATGAAAATTTGTGTCAATTCTCATAATTGGGATTGCACAGTGACAGAAATGTCAAGACTTGTTAATCCGAAGAAAAGTTCAAATACTGGAAGGATTATTGTTGTGATGATGTGATATACTTAAGGAAGAATCGAGGCTTATATTCTTAGTGATATTAAGGTAATTACATAAAAATATGCAAACTGCCATCAGTTATTTGCATTTGCATATAAAACTTAAATTTGTATGATTTTACATGTAGGACAAAGTACCTAGAAGAAATACTTTCAGCTATTTACTACTGCATATACGACTCTCTGTATCGGACTCTCTAATACAGAAAACAAAGATTTATACTTATTTAGCAAGTATTTAGGATACATTTTTTATCAAGAATAACCTGACACCCAAAGACAGCCAACCAAATTTAAACCAAACGCACGATATAATGATTGAAATCTGAAGAGAGGCTATAAAATAACACAAACTGACTGAAAGGATGAATCGCCACGGTCACCTCAACTCGATATCTTCCTCATCATCGTCCCAACAAACGGCCGACGATTCTGGATATGTGGGGTCACCGACACCCCCAAATCACACCCACCAACAACAGCAACCACAGAATACTGACTATGGGAATAATACAGAAAACATGATTATCATGCAAAAGTCGCATCAATTTAATGAAAATGACGATGATGACGAGTTTGCCTACTTTTTGACACCAATTATTTGCCAATTTTGTAAGAACCAGTTGCATACCTTTGCATATGTATAAATCTTTGAAGCATGGATATTAAAATTGATTCACTGTATTGTTTCAATCATAGGCTGGGACTTTATAACTGTGACATCAACCGTGAAATCTAACAAGAAAATTGGTGTAAAGTGCGAAGGTACTTTATTAGCTTTATTACACAATGCATTCCGCAATTTGACTACATTTTCATGTAAATAATCCCTCTTTTGTACTCCCAGATTGCCAAAAATGTTTCCATACATCCTGTCTCCGAGCCTATCGAAACATACCTGCATATACGAAATCTTCCACAAAATCCAAATTTATGAAGACGCATCGCCTCTCTGGGGGAAACAACGAGCAAGAGCTAATCGTGCGCACACCGGACATAAATTCTATTGAAAATTGCTCATTCTATTCAACCGAGAATAATTACGTCTGTCTCAATAAGTTTTCTGTGAGCATAATAATATAAATTCTATCTAATCACCAATCAACTTTTATGAGAAGGGGAAACTATTTCTTCATGTATTATGAAATAAATCCATTCATTACTAAATTATCATTTATTCACAGCCCCCGGAAGAGTGGTCCCCACGCGTCGTGTCGGAATGGCTTGTTGCCAACAACTTTTATGATATTGTCCACTACTTGGAGAATGTGGATGGTGCACAGCTACTTAACCTTGATGAACCGACGATTAAGGTATTATTTTACACTATTTGACTAATACTTTAAACTTATAAATTAGTTACATTGCATTCCCATCCCCATCATAAGAAGAAGTTACCAATAATCATGCAAATCACTGTATTCACCTCTCATCTCAATAAATCTCATCTAATCTTTGATAATATTACAAATGGAATGAGCTCCATCGAATTGAATAGAACAAATTTCTTTAAGAATACCCAAATCAACTACGCATAACACCATCCAAATTTCATACTTTAGTGTTTAGGAGGAACGTTTTTAAACTTGTGCCTTTCATAAAATAGAAGGAGGTCACTTACCTCAGAGACTCAGACTGGACAGAAGGGAGCCAGTCAGCCAGGGATTAAAAGTTACAAAATAATAATGAATCGCATTATTGAATATTGATGAAATTAATAATGGAGATAAAAGTTGGTTGGAGAGCCAGGAAAGCTGGAACCAATGATAAAAAAATATTATGAGCTTTCCTCAATAGAATAAGAAATTCTCCAAATCTCGAAACGTTCGTCGTCCACATGGGTTCTCATCTCAGGTATTTCATTCTATGGCACATTCAACTTGCATCACTTTACTCGTGGTCTGTCTGCACGCTGCCACATATTCATTCGTCTTCGTCTCTTCGGTGAGGTGACAGTGACGAGATTTTTGGTCGCGGATTTTTTCCTTCCTAAATAAAATCCTCTAAACTGTTTTAAAAAATTTCAAACTTTTAAAAAGAAATATATTAGATGGAAATAAGTCTCTCTCTCAACGAGGGACGAAAGTAACGTTTTTATTCCAAAAACGGAGTTAATATTTTGTTTAGAGACAAATTTCATTTCAAGCACTGAAAGTTTGGAGTTAGTTAAAGTTTAGAGGATTTTTTAAATGCAGCTTAAAATTGTAGTGAGGTTGACCTGCCTCTGATTTTTCGTGAAAAAGTCTTGCTAAATCTTGGTGGAGAAAAGAACTTGAGACAGTTTATTAAACTTGAAGATTGACTACGTGAGCTAATGCCCAGCTTAGAGAAAAGTTAGAAATAATAATGATTGAAGAAAAACGACTCTTGGTTATCAACAACAAACAACCTCCCTGACAGGACGCCAAGTATTAGCTAGTTAACAATTTTTTTCAAAGCATATCTTGACCCGTCCAAAATTTAACCTTTAGTTTATGTAGTAAAAATATCGGCAATCGTGAAGTAGTTTTCCGTAGAATAGTTATTTTTAAGAAAAAAACATGCTAAGGTTAGGTCAATGAGGATATAATTATTTAGCAGAGAGGGTGGGCCAAGGCGTACTTAAAGGGTTAAAGTAGGGCTAGTTCACCGTGAAGTAAGGGCACCGTTAGTTAGAAGAGATACTGAAATCATGGGGAACGTGGCGACGAAGTACATACCGAAGAAGTGTCCAAGGGCGATACCGAATGACTACGCGAAATTACCAGTGGCGAAATCAAGGGTGAGTCAAATCTCAGAGCAACAGAATCACGCTCACACAAATCAAAAGGTTTGAGATAGTTCATAATTAAATGATTATTCTGTTAATAATCGTTCAAATCGTAAAATTTCATATGCCATATGCACTCACTTATTGCCATTTTTAGTATCAATTTAGCAAGTCGGATTGGATAACACATAAATTGCCTAATAAAGCATTTATTTGCCATTAGCCATTACTTATCAACTTTGTTTTTTATATGTCTAGGCGTTTGGACTTGTCGACGCCTTTGCTGTAGCATCACTTCAAGCTGCTGTGGCTGAACTGAAACGTCCCTCTGCATCTGACGACTACTATGACCACCTTTCCTACGGTTCCACTACCCATGACCACTCCTTCATTCAGATGACCTTTTCCACAATTACCAATTGTGACCAGTGTAAGAAAGTGTTGAACGGATTGTACCACCAAGGATTGATCTGCAGAGGTATTAAAAAATATATACCCCATGACTTAACATCTTTGAATAAGTATTAAATGATGCTAATCTCGAGTATATTTTAAAATTTAGGTTGCGGAATGATTTCTCATAAACACTGTGTTGTGCTGGGGTTGCCTCAATGCACACATACTGCGCAAACTGGAAGTCGACTTCATTACATGCATTCCAAAGGTAAAGCGACCGATCAATTAAAATTTATAATAACAAATAATTAAAACTAAATGACAACATAATTTAATCTTTTTCTTGCTGCTCCTCTCATCTTGATGGGTTGACTAATAATTGGTTGATTTAATGCTATTTTGAGTAGTCGACATGAAAGTGGTTGATCGTTTAATCAATGAATCTATGATTTCTCCTTCCCCAGCTACTGGAACGTTGCTGACCTTGTCGTATGAACCAACTTCGACGGATCACGCTCCTCCCATCTTTACTGCGTTGATTTTTAACTTGGAGGCTCGGATTGCTGGTGAGATGGGAAACTTTGCGCAGTTGTTCAACCCCATGTATCAGTCCCAGACGAATTTGCTACCCGTACTGACTGAAATGTACAACATGAACCCTGGGCAGTCACTTACCAATCAACTCCAAACTCAACCCCTGGCTCTTATTACACAGTCGATCCGCACTTATCTCCGTGAACTGCCAGAGCCTCTTATTCCGACAGACTTGTATCAAGACTTTATTCAAGTGGGGAAGGGTCAAATCGACTCCGACGCGCGACTCATGATGAGCAAGCTGATCAATAATCATCTTAACATACATCACTCGAGAACGGTGCAGTTTTTTGGGATGCATTTGGCTCGCATTGTACGGATCGTTCAAGAATTTTCTCACAATAATCCTGGTATTCAAATTGACCCAGAAGCCATCCTGTCAACATTTTATGCCGGAGTTTTCCTCCGTCCAAGCTATAACAATATATTGTAAGTATAATATTGTATCAAAATATGTATGCATATAGAAGTATAATTATTGGGACAAGTAAATGTTCATTCATAATTTTGATTGCCGTTTTTTAGACAAATTTTGGACAATGGAAAAATTCATGTACGCCTAGTCTCACTGTTGATTGAGCTGTATTACAAATATCCGCAAACCCGCACCCCACATCAGCAAAAGCAGCCACACAATAAGACTGATATTAACAAGGATCTTGTAGAATATGAATGGTACTGGGAAGGTTGTAACAGGTAACTACTAGTGCATTTACATAGTTATGAATATTTCATTTAAATCAAGTATACAAATTACTTGGATAATAATGATGACAAAACTTTTCACTTTTCCAGGGAAGAGGTGCTGGAGAAATTGTTTGACTCACAGGATGGTTCCTTCCTTGTTCGGGACGCTTCCACTAAAGCTTTTGGAGAATATACACTGACCGTTCGCCACGCTCAAACTACGCGATTGCTTCGCATTTCATACAAAAATGGAAAATACGGACTCTATGAACCATTTACGTTCAACTCTGTAACTGAGCTTATTTCCTACTACTCCCAACACTCTCTTGCAGAATATAACAATTCCGTGGATGTCAAGCTACTCTATCCTGTATCAAAATATGACAAGAGTGAAGAGGATGAAGATAAGGACAAGTTGCTATTGTTGCTGGGCGAAGTTTCACGAGATTTTCTTTTAAAGTCACGCTACCTTGAACTTCAGTCCCAAATGTACTCTCAGACTTCGGATGAAATTAAATTCAAGGTATGCAGTAATGCAATATTTGTTTGTGATTATCTAATTTTTGGTTAATTGACTTTTTTGTGAACTTAAAAATAGAAACAAGCCTCGGATGCTTTTGACAGGTAAGCAAAGATTAAATTGGCCGAAATTATTTAATTAAATCAATTTACTTGACCTCAGTACATTTTATTTGTTTCAGCGCGATTCAATTTTTCCAAGAACAAATTCAAGTTCACAAATCAGTCCAATCTCAAACCACTGATCAAATCGAGTTAAAGGAGTTAGAAGATAATTTTGGCTATTTGAAACGGAAAATGACCACGATGGAAGAGTCACGAGAACAATTACAGCAGTCGCTTCAATTGCAATCCGCATATGCACGACTAGTAGAACAAGAGATCATAACTCTGAAGCCACAGCTTGCACATCTTAGGAAGCAACGTTCTCGAATTGTCAAGTAAGATTTACAAGATAACGCAATTCACCTTCGAGGAGTAAAATTTGATTGAGTATCACTAATTCTAATTGCTACTTTAGACGGCTGGAGCATTTGCGTGCTGATAACATCGAGTCTGCATTGTCCCCCTCAGCCATGGTTGACATCTGGGATGAGAAGCTGTGGTATAGTCAAGATGCGTCACGACAGGAAGCTCAATCTCTTCTCAAGGGCAAGCCAGAGGGGACTTTCCTCGTGAGGTTAGTTTTACAAAATAATATATATATGCAACTCTTGAGACTTGTAAAATACAATTCTAAACTACATTCGATGATTAATGTTTTGTATTTTTTTATGTCCTACAGGAAATCATCCAAAGGAGAGTTGGCCCTGTCACTGATTGTTAATGGAGGTGTGGTTGGTCATTGCATAATTTATGAATCCACAGTTGGATTTGGGTTCACCAGTCAAACTACTTACTTCCCATCGCCAAAGTCTCTTATACTGTACTACTCGGCCCACTCCCTAGCTGAGTTTAATCCTCATTTGGTGACCTGTCTCAAGTATCCTGCTTTCATGTAATTTATATAAAGCCATTGCCAATGTAGTTTAATGAACAACTATATTATTCTTATTAATATTATTAATTTAAAGAATTTGATAATTTAAAGAATTTGCTATAGTCAAATTTTTCGCAACGTTTATTTCAGTATCTTGGATAATTAATTACAAAAAAATGTTTTCCTTACTTTAATCGATACATCGACTAAATAAAACTTAATATTCATTGCATCACCACCACACAATTATGCTTTTTCTCTTCTCTCTGCATTACTACATGAGTAACATGATCTCTCCTGTATTCGTTCCGTACACAAGTCCCATGCCAGGAGTGCGCAAAAAATGCATACAATTTATAGCCATCACACTCCCCGTATTTTCTGCATAAAGGTCTCGAACTGGGGTCAGGGTACCGTTCTTTCCTCGCATGCTCAGTATCTTTACAGAAATTAAACAAAATTGTCATAATTTAGGAAACTAGAATCATAATGAATAAATTTTTGAGTAAAGCTGACAAGCTAATTTTAGTTCATTACCTGTCCAATGTTTCGTCCAGTACTATTTTTAAAGGAAGAAAATAATTAAAAAAATTCTCAATATTCCCCAGCCAAATGAAAAAGTGAATAAATGAATTAAGTAATATTCCACACCTGTTTCCTTGCTGAACAAACCGATACATTGGCCCACGACCCGCATAACCAACACAGATGTACTCGGAACTTGGACTGATACTCACACTGGAAGAAAAATTCAGACGATGCAATTACTGACTCGAAATTGAATTACTATCGTTAAAGTTGTGTAATAGCTCACCTGACTGTGTTCTGATCAAAATGATACACGAATAACAAATCGCCAAGATTTTCAGAGCGTAAGCTGTAAACTCCTGTAATATTTTAATAATTAATTAATAATTAAATATCATTAAATTAGCAGGGTTGGTTGCTTTGAGCAAATACCGAGGGATGAGTATGCGCCAGAATCTGATGGTTGGAGGACAGCGAGGAAATCGGAATTCTTACTGACATCCAAACATGCGTCAGAGTGTAGTGAACATTCGCGAACGACAATATTGGAGTGGCCTGTGGGAACAATTTTATTCATTTGATTATGACCACACAATATTACTGCACAACAAAAAGAAATTGTGCAATACGTATATTTGGTAACAATTAGTTGCTTACGCTTGCTGATGTCAGGAACCAAAAATTGGCTAAAGTCCCAACGTTGAACTCGACTGGATAAAAAGGATGTCGTAGTAGCGTCCAAATGGTAATACGAAGCGGAATGAGGTGGAAGTGGGGGAGGCACGTTTGATCCAGAAACTGAGGATGATGACCCAGATCCATTTAAAGTTGCCCTCGCTATAATCAATGTGTAAAAATAATTAAGCTATTTACTTTGCTGTCATGCAATAAAATTGAATCATAACTACATATCTAGGATTAAAATTCCTTACGTGTTATGAGGATTTCTGGATTGTAAGGTTGAAAAAATCTGGAAGCATCTTCATCGTCTCTTTCGCCTATCCTTGGTCCAATTTGATTGCTGGTTATATCCCGAGTTCTAGCACTAGTCCCAGAATCGACATTTCGTTGAATGGGCTGATTTGTGAAACGTCTTTGGCGTCTAATAACCCAGTGATGATGTGGCATGGCTCCACCATGGCTCCGATTTATAATCAATCTAGAACGTTATGAACAACCTTGTCAATTCAAATTCAAATTAAGCAAAAATTAAAAAAATTAAAAGATATGTTAGCTTACCCTTCATCAGGTCCCGGTCGACCATTATTACCACTAGGTCCTCCACTTGGTGTTTGAGTCGAACTGGAACTTGCACGTCCAGCAGTCCGTGACCAATTTGAATTGGCCATGAAGCTAATTCTTCGCTGGATGTCTTCCATTCTTTCTTGGCTGGTGGGTGTGTTGCTCCCACTGCTCGATGAACTGCTTCCGGATGACCCAGAACTAGTAGATGGATGATGATGATGGTAATGCAGGGATGAAGAAGGTCCCGGTATTGAACTACTGGCAGCCAAGTTATTTAAAGCAGTGCTGCTATTGAGGACTCGCTCAATCCTAGACTCCACAGGGCGTCGATTTATCAACAATTCGCTCGCCGTTGATGCCACAGTTTCAACTGCCAAACTTAATACTCTTCGATTATCATCGTCTGGTCCGTCGTGAAATTGGGAAACTCTTGGGACACCCATTCCTCTGAGATAATCATAACCACCTCCTGCTCCACTTGGACCTTGATCTCTTGCAAATGTGATGATTCTGCGGGGTTGTCGACTACGTCTACCACGCGGAGTCCCAAGTAATTGTTGACTAAAATATCGTTCCATTCCCTCCAAAAGCGGCGCAAGATACTCGACATAAATTACACCTCGGGTTCCACCCCCTCTCAGGTTTGTCACAGCCTCGAGAACCTGAATTCCTGGCTGCACGGTTCCTAATCGTACTCCAGAAACTTCAATATCTAACGAATTTGCGTCATAGCTTACGCGGACGCGTCGTCCACCTGGTTAAAAACATGAATTATTAAAGCACTATTAAATACAAATATAATATATTACAATTCGTTGGTCTTACGTGCGTTCTGGTTCGGAAATACAGTGATGGGTTGTTCATATCTCCGGACGTCACTGAGTGCCTCTTCCTCTCCTTGACTCATGCATGGCCAATAAATTCCAACCTAGTAAAAAATTATATTAACAATTCATCGATGGGGATATGTATGTAACTGGATGAAGCATGATTATCATGAATGTGTGTTACCTGAAAAATCTGCTGATTCGAGTCAAAATCATTGAAAAAGACGCTGATGGGGAATACAAACACATTAGACCCCAAACTGTCTCGTATTTCTTGACCGCTGGAAGTTTCATGACTGCTATAAACTGGCACCAATTCTGTATCCACGCGGATATAGAAACTTCTCACGAACGAGTTGTTGAGTCGATTCGGGACTTGATTCCGTTGATAATTTCTTCGAATACGAATATTTCTTCCACGACGCCCCTCTCGAACGGCACTGGGAACGAGGGCAAGACCAGAAAGGAAATTTCTTTGCCAATTTTCAGACATTTCGACATCTTCCGTCCCCCGAACTGAGAGAAAGACTCGCAGATTCAAGTCAGAATTGTTAGTGTTGCTCGAAATACTGGTTTCTGCCTGACGCTCGATTTCAACTCCTGGAAAACTTCGGGTACTCGTCGCCATCCCAGTGTCAAATGTTGGCCATTGTTCTAGCTCAATTTGACCCTCATCCTCAATCAGACATCGAGTTCTATTCCCAATCGGAAGGGGTTGCTGGTTGAGATTGAAGGGGCAATTGCGTGAGTGATGGTCAATAACAAATTCCCGAGTGACGACACGTCTGTTATCATTGTATCGCACAACGGGGGGAACTCGCATCCGGTCGGGATTTGAGTTAATGGAAATTCGAAAGAAGGAAGTGCTGTTTGAGGTGGAAGGTGAAATGCTTCGACGGGGTCGTAATTGTTCTTCTCTTTCTGGCGGGGCGGGAAGGTTATTTATATTACTAATAACGGTATTACTACTATTGTTTGTAGTATTAGTTTGTAGAGAGAGCAAGTTTGAAAGTGGGAGAGGAGGCGAATTTATTATTGGAGACGAGATTGGGGAAGAATTATTATTCGATGGAGTTGGATTTGTTGAGCTATTATAATTTAGAGGGTTACTGGCACTTGTGCTGGCGGTATTTGTAGTATTAGTGGTATTGGCATTATTGGTGCTGCTACTTGTTGTTTCTTGTGATCGCATCGCCGCCAAACTTCCTGTAGCCAAAGAAGTTAAAGTTGCACGAATTGAGTGTTGCAGTCTTCTAGTTTGATCTTGAAGCTGTGAAAATTATTTATGAACAAAGTAAGTCACTCATTTCTATAAGTTACTGCAATAAGTTGAAAATTGATGCCCTTTGATATGAATTAAAACTTACAACTTCTAGATGTTGTCGAATTTGTTGCAATTCCATGACATGTTGGGTCTCCATTGTAGGTGGGCTGTAATAAGTGTTCATATTAATAGAAAAACGTCTTTACCAATAGGTTTAGTTAGTAATTACGGATTTGATAGAATACCAACCTCGTTGATGGACCAAGACGAACTCGTTGTCTTGCTTGACTGCACAAGTTTTGCATTTCCAAAATGTTTTGTGCTAAGGCGTCAATACTTCCAAATTCCCTAGCAGTAGTAGAACTTGAAGCTAATCCTTGCGTTGTTGAACCGACAGAAGTGGAAGCAGAAGTCGTAGAAGAGGAAGATGACGATGATGAAGACGAAGAGGATGAAGCCAATGATTGATTTGGAGGTGCTGATTGACTAGGCGCTGTGGTCGATACACCAGGAGGACCAAAGCCTGGTTGGGAAGTTGTCGATGCTTGTGGCTGCAGTTGGGGTCGCATTAAGGATGGGGGCATAGGATAACATGTCCATAGTCTAGAGCTTGTGCTTGGACCTGGTCGTGGGGGGTCATCTCTATTACTGATGGGATGTCCAACACCTTCCCCATGTGCTGCATTATTTGTAAAGGCACCACCCCCTACAACAGATCCACCCTCTAGTTGCTGACCTCCGCTATTATTTGAGCCCAAAATTCGTGGAATTCGACTTCTTAGGAACGTGTGATAATGTTGAACCAAGTCTTCATAGTGAGTAACTAACTGACGATAGCTATAAAAATGAGTGAATAATTTTAGATTCATTTTGCATTTATGTAAGACAACCCAACGGCGAGTAGTAGAGTCATAAGTCAAATTTCTTTACCTTTCTTGGAAACGATCTTGCCTCTCTTCTAGTTCTTCTTGAATGTCGGGATCCAAATCTAGATCGCCAAGACCTCGAAGAATATTTATCGTTGGTCGATTAATAGTTGGATTTAGCACTCCACCTGGGACATGAATAGAATTTGCGGAAGGGGCAGTGGGAAAATTGGTAATTCCAGTGATTAAGGACTGGCCAGTTGAATCAAACCGCACCAATCTGCACAAATAAAATAGATGCATGTAGTAATTAACCTAACACTTGTGCATTATTATTAAAAGTTAATGAATAAATATGTAGTTGTGCATACCTGACTTTCTCTTTATTATTTTCAGTACAACATCTTGCCAAAGGCACATCTCCGCGTGACCAGTCCCAAAAGAGAACTTCGTTGAATGTCCCGATAGCTAGAAGGCGAACGGTTGGATGAAATGCCTAGAAAATTTTTAACAAAATTGATTATTTTTCAATATTAAACCATATTTTAAATTTCATTAAATTATAAGCAGCTAAAGTGACTATGTAAACTCACCAAACTTGCAATTACAGTACCACTATCAGTTATCAACAATTCACTTCCTCCTTTTAAATCCCAAACTCTAACATGGCCAGCCAAACAACCAGAAGCCAAAATATCACTTTGTGTAGGGTGGAAAACTACACACCAAGGTGTCCTTGGATGACCTAAACGGATAGTTAAGTCTTATGTAATAATATGTATTTTTATACAACTTAAACGTCACTCACCACTTAAAGTCTTGACGACCTTTCCACTCTTGATTTCACACACGTAGACATTATGATCCCCGTGGCAAGAAGCGACCTTGGTTTAAACGATTAAATAAATTATAATTAAATTACAAACATTCTATCAGTTCTTAAAAAACGACACAAAATCCGAAATTAACATTACCAACTTTCCGTCGACACTAAATGCCATGTGGAACGTTGTCCTTGCTGCAAAAAGATTTAATTTGAAATTTTGCTCTACCAATTACACTTTCCAATAATTTTTTATATAGATGTCATTATATACGTACCACCGGGAGGCAACTTGAATTTCTAGATAGGAACAAAAATGCAAATGAACGTCACTGGTTAAACAATTGAGGATAAGTAATATTGAATATCTACTTACACTTTTTGTTTGCAACTTTTTATTGCACGTGACTAAATTGTAGTCTGCCGTCGACGCAAAATTGTCAGAAACTAGCTTTTTGCCTACCACACATAGCTTCCTTCTTTTGTGGAAGGCATTGAATCCCATACTTCGATAACCCAACTCTATTGGAATCGGACAACCTCCACCGACATGTTCCAAAACCTTCTTAAGTTCCGGATCCTCCTCCTCCTTAAGTTCATTTTCTGTATCCATGTCCATCTTTGTTCAAAGCAGCAAGTCTTGTACTTGTAATAGCTAAATTTTCAAACTGCTGAGAATGAATAGTTGTAGTAGAAGTAGGACACGACACGATACAATCTATTGATTGAAAGAGTTAATAATAACAAACTTTAAAGGGACAATCAAATTTAAAATGCTCAAGGACAAACTTTGATGAACTTACCCGCTTTTAATAGATTAAAACCGTCAAATCTTCAACTCGTCAGTCATTATTAATCAGTACATTAATCAGTCAAGCCAAACTAAATAAAAAATTGCTCATGATGATATCCTACAAATTGTCAAGTAATCAATTTAGATATAAAATTTCTCAAAATCTTACCTATTTTACAAAACAACTCAAACCCCTCCTTTCATCACAGGATAACCCACGTAACTCGTATTATATCAACAATAAAGTATAAAATTAGTCTAATCCTACTCGTCAACCTTACTAATCACTATCCCTTTCAACCATCAATAAATAAAATAACTAATAGAGTTAACCTAAACTTCCTAAAACTTTAACCAACTTAAAAACTACGCCGAAGATATAAATATTTACTAATTTCACACCTACTATTCCCCCCTTTCATACCATATTCTACCAGTAAACTATACCTAACTAACTACCAATTAAACTCTTTCCTCTCAAGTTAACAAGACGTACGTGGGTAAGCCTACTAAATAAATACGTGATGATGATGTTCTGTTATTTTTAAATGGAGATCATCTGACTTAATATTTCATTCTCCATCACACTTTTTGCCTGGCCTTTCTCCAACACTGCGATATAATATACACACTGCTGCACTTGTTTGCGGACCGATTCGGCTGCTCGGTCCACAGAGAAGAAGATGAAGAAGTAGAGATGCGATGTTTTAAATAAATATTATTAGCGATGCATCTTCTCCAATTTTAAATTATTTTTTCAAAATAGTTTAAATTTTCAAAATTTTAATACAAGTAGGTAAATAAAAAAAGATTGTTATTTTACGGATTTCTAGGCTTTTACAGGTATGCTGTTGATCATTTCGGGGCAACTGTCTCCAGCCAGGTAGACAAAAATCTCATCATCATCTCAAGAGGCAATTTAACACTGCGGTGGTGGTGGTTTGTTGGCTAAAAAAGATGAGACGATGAGTTTCCTTATTTTTTGTGTGTGTAGTGAAGGGAGATGGATGGGTCCTTAGGTAAATTGTTATCATTGGGAAGTAAGTACATAAGTACCTCTATTTTTTGGGGCGCCGGTTTATTCTTGTTTCTTCTCCTTATCAAAATTTAATGGGTTTGAGACTTTGTTTAAATGTTTTTAGTAGCTTGTTGTAGGTAGAAAGAAATAAAGGGTGTGAGTTGACAGTGTATGTATACATACCTAATAAAATTTGTTTGTTTTTAGATTCTTGGAAATGTTTTCTTCAAAGTAGTTCATGTTTTTGTTCGGAGTTTAGTTTGTTGCGAAAAAAATCTTAAAAAATAAATTTTATTTATTTATATATACTTATGCTAAATTATTATTTTTTGCCAACGGCTTCATTGCATTACAATTTCATTTCATGAGGTATATTGGGATTGAAAATGAAAATGAGATTTCTTAAGTGTCCGTGTGACAATTACTTTTATTGTTTTACAAAATATACATAGTCGTAAACAAAGTAAAATAAGTAATATCGGCATATGTATGAAAGAAGAATTTGGATGACGCATATATTTAATTATATATTATTATTGGGTTGTTGACTGTTGAGAGTCTCAACTTGAGAATTTATATCTGGAAATCATTTCACCTTTTTTTGCAGTTGCACTTGGAATTATCTAGTAATAATTTATACAAGACGAAGTTTGATTGTATATTTAATTGAGTGATTTCAATTTATAATCTCAATTGATTGAAATTTAACAAAAACCGCAATTATTTATTTTTATCGCAAATTACATGCATAATATTAACCTTTTTCACCCACCGAAAAAATATTACTCTCGATTTTCGTATGTATACAAATTTATGTCAAAATTAATGGTTCATTTCATTACATGTGACAACGTTCACTTTTATAAAAATACTTAATCAAAACAGTCAACTGAATAAGAATTAAGTACTCAAACAATCTCATACAACAACAAAGTATCTATAAAAATTCTCACGATATGACATACATGACAAGCTCAAGTATAAGTGTCCTCATAAATATTAATCGTCTAGCTTGCGTCTGGCACAATGCAAATAGAGCAATATCTAATCGAACTCATTCTAGATAATCACCAACTAAGCAAATATTTACATGAATGCATTTTTACCCTTTGTTTTTCATTCGAATTATTAATTTAACATTGTTGTATGCCAGCAAATATGTACCTTTGTATTTACTACGTTCAACCCATTAATACCTATCTGAAGCCGAAGCCCTACCTCAAATAATTTAAGGTGACATATTTGCACAGTAAATCGAAATCATTAGTTTTTAGACAAATTAGTTCAATCAACACACATGTAATGTAACATTGAATTGATTGAGTTAGTTACGTAAGTAATAAAAAAGTGAGTATATCATCTATTATAATTATTGATTAAGAATCTCTCCCTTAGGATAATGTCAAAAAAAAACTTTGGCAATCTGATCAAAAAAGTGCCCTTTAATATCATTCTAATCACACGTTTCCATCCCCCCATTCGATTTGGGTTGTTATTCATAGATAACCTCAACACAAGTAAAGTAAGTAAGCACACACATCTTAAAAGCAAATGAATTGACCACGCCTCGATTACCATAATAATTTTTAACCGTATACCTGCTCGATGCATTGCATGCAAGTGCATGTGACCGAACAGTCAACCAACTTCCTAACAATTATTTAACGTTGCTTAACTCATTCATTAGGCATTTGCATTCTGATCCTGCGTACCGTGCCAGTAAAGTAAGTGGATCACTTTTCTTGAGACTATGCACTGCTAAAAGTGTGTGTGATAACTTGCAGGGATTGATTGATTTGATGGCGACTCCAGATTACCTCACCTTCCTCCCCAGCGATAAAAAGTTACAGAATGTTATACGCAGTGGACTTACATAAAAAATTGGGTGCAAGAATGGGATGAATTGATCCACTTAGTTAATTTATTTTGTCAGGAATGAATTGGTAAAAATTATTTGGATTTTTGCATACATAAATCTTACCAAGTACCAAGTAGCCAAAAAGGGTGACAAATATGGTGGGGACGTACATAACTATGTACATACCACAGAATTATACTAGTCAATCATACATACGTACGACTACCTTCATTCAGGTGATTTGAAACATGTAATTAGTCACGTATTCATAATATTTTTTAAATAAAGATGTCGCATTGCTTATCATTTTGCAACAATGTATCGTTACGTTCAATGTGTCTCGATGTTGTCAATTTTTAAGTTGAGGGTGATTTTTTAGTCTAGTTATGATTTAGTGGATTAGAAGAAAAGGGATTTATGTGTCATGTTAGACGTACTTATTGATACATCTTGTTTGCTTTCACTTCATCCCATGTAAGGTTTTTGTGTAATTATTAAACTTCTAGTTTTTTAAGGGAATTGTGTAAACTGTACGAATTACATGTAATAATCAACCAAGAAATAAATAATTATTAGTAGACATCTCTGCGGTTTTCGAGGATAATACTTGATTTATTGAAAAATTGCTAGCTTTCAGTGACCCACAGTCATCTTCATCAGAAATAAATAAGTTTTCTTATCTAATCTCCACACCCCCAGTAGAAGTCTTATGATGACGTTAGTATCGTGTACTTATGTATGTAAACTAAAATACACGCCCTAACTAACTAACTAACTATCTCTTGCTAGTCAAGTTTTATAACCCTGAACAACTGTAAAATTTTCCAGCAATTACTGCATAAAATTCATTTCGCAATAAGTGCTATATTGTGCCGACTTACATATTTGCGTGTTTGAACATACTTCTCCTCCAAAGCGTCATCATAACCACATTATCTTTTCTTGTGTCTTATTTCTTACTCCGGCCGGGACCTCGACCTTAAAATGTGCATGCAATCCATTATTCAAGTCTCAATTATTGAGTGAGAAAAACCAGCTGAAACTATTCAATTCAATAAATTCATGAACAAGGCAGCATGCGAAAGTACAAGTGAGGAAAGACATGCACACACACATCTAGAAAATCAACTATTATATTATGCTACATATTTCATACGAACATGATACTTGAAATGGGATTAATTAGTATCATTACACTGAGAATTGTTCACACACATACGCCAATAAATATTTTTCTTCGTCATTAAACTTGGAATGCGATTTAGCTAAAAGTTCACTCGTCCACTACCAGCATGTAAATTGGCAGTGGTCATTACGTTCATGTTCTTTCACAAATTTTGGGGATTTTTACATTTAACACGAAACATTACACAATACAAATCTGGTATAGAAATGTAGAAGTAAGTAATAATAAAAATAAAAACTAATAGTTTGTATGTACGACATAACACGGTTGAAGAAGCTTGCAAACTTTTTTTTCAACACGTTCATTTATAAATTAGCAGAAATATCTTATTTTTATATTAGAAGAAATAAGATTGCGTTGAAGAATATTTAGATGATAATTGCATACATATCAACGAACTATGTAGGATTGGAATTATGCCTCATTTCTAAGATAACGTAAAAATATCTGCTAAAAGTCAACAATCAAATCATGAGCCTCACATTTTCATTCACTCACTTTGATCAACAATGAAACAGCATGAGACGATACAGTTGAGTTTGTCAGTAGTCTTCTGAAAGTGAAAGGAGTTCTACATCGTAGGAATCAAGTCGTTTCATGCATTTGACAAAATCAATCGGCAAATGCATCATCGCATATTTGTTAAGTATTTCTGCATGTGTGTTGTGTGACATAACGAGGAACAAATATGCGAGTGGTTAATATTTAGTGCAGAATCATTTAGGTAATTAATTAATTGGGTGGCTTAATTAAAGTGATTGAAGTTTGAAAATCATGGTCTCAAAATTTGATAAGTGAGTGGTGGTGATATTGATATGTGATGTTTTGTGATTTAATAAATAATTCTAGTTCGAAATTGAAGATTTGTTTTACATATGTGATCTGAATTTTATTAGTCTAATACTTCCGGATAAATTGAAAGTTAAACATGTATAATGATTTTGCATGCATGATTAATATTTCTTATTAAGCAGTGATTAATATATTAAGATGACAGTTTGGTTTCGCCAGTTCGTGACGTGATAATCGTCCGTGGTCTGGTCAGCTAAATATATTTTGACGGGAACGTGATTCTACATGAAAGAGTCAAAATGTGACTACTAAAAGTTTTTGTGTTACATACGTGATAAAAAAACAATGAGAAAATCTAAATATAAGATTCGCCGACTTTTGTGTCGGTATATTTCCCGATAAATCAATAAGAAGGAAAAAAAAGTTGCATAACATTAAATTATGGTGTTTCTTATCAAGAAGGCAGCTATTATAGCTGTCCTTCTAACAATTCTCGGATTTTACTTTATGGGTAAGTTTGACGCCGGGGAATAATTATTTAAAAGGTTAACAATTTCATAAAAAGTTTACTAGATTGAGGTCCTGTCATATTTGAAATCAGTAAAACAATTAATTTTTTTCACATTTTTTTTGCCTAGTCATGATGAACTCTGATCAAAATCCAATTTTAAAACTCATCCCATAATAACGATCTGTAATTATTTTTCATTTATTGATCATACTCATTTTCATATCAGATCAAACAATGACATAATGCACACACTGTTACGTTGAAAAAGGCATCAAAAACTTGTTCGGCTTGCTCCACTTTTGGAAATGAATTTTTACCAAGGGTTGGTCTGCGTATGTTTAAGTGCATTAAGTAGTGCTGTTTTGTGCAGGCTTGTTTTGATCCCTTCTTATTAACACATTGTCCTATCTTTTCCTAAGTGAGACAACAAGTTATAAAGGGCGACCTTGCCTTCTCGTAAGAAAAATGAGGAATGAAATGAAAGAGAACAGAGAATGATGCCATATGCAATGTCATGCAACGCGTCAATTCCACTAGTTTTGCTGCTTCATATCATCGCACTCACAGGTGCACACAGTGTTATCATGAAAAGTTTATGCCTCCCTCATGGTAAAAAAACTAGTTTGTTTAACCAACTCTTCCATTATTTATGTACTTAAATCTAATAATAAGAACAGAGTTGGGATGTAAAATGTGCGACCTTCCTTCCGTGTTTTGGGGGTCTTGGTACTATTATCTTTATGACATTTGTCCACCCTTAAAACAAAGGGAAATGATGTTTTGATAAAATAAGTATCGTAGTAAAAAAGTAGGGACGATCTTCAATTCAAGGAGTGTCGAAATAATTAGATCAAAAGAAACTCCAGAAGGGAGGAATGTGTCATGTTGGTTTTTCTGATTGCGGTTAGATGAGCAATTTTGGGGAAAAAAACTAATACAATTTATAAAATGAGATTGTGCATCCCTGAATTGTATATTAGCCTTAATTTGATTTTTATAAGTGGGTTTACCCAATTTATTTGTATATTTAATGGTAAAAAAAATTAAATTATTTTCTAGATGAGATGAAGGCGCGAAAACCCATGTTTACAAATCCTCGCACCCCTTCATCCCATTCCACGATAACTTGTGACTGTCAACTTATCACGAATTGCATATCCTCCCTGAAACCGGGTGAAACTCCGAGATTCTGCGGATATGAGGGAATCCAAAGGAAAATCTGTTGTGATCATGCTTCTGAAAGTGATGGCGACAGTAGTTCCGGTGCATCTGGAGGAGTCAATTCGTTCCTGACGACGGCCCAGGAACAAGCTCAAGCTGCAAAATTTTATAGAAATCAGTTCCTTTATGACAATGAGAGAATTAGGATGAATGGTGCGAATGGAAATAATGAGGGCAGGGTTTCGAGCACGACGACAACAACGACAATTAGGCCTTCAACGAGGAGGCCCACTCCAAAGATGACCACGCCCAGATTATCGGCGAAAACGACGACGACAACGACGACCTTATCGACACCCACTTCAACCATTCCCACCACCCCACCCACAACAACTACTAGTTCCGTCACTACATCCGATACGGAAAAACCTAAAGAAAGCCGCCTGCTTTCTCCAGATCGGGAGGAATCGCTCAAAAACCTTCAACAACAAGCAGGGTCCTTCTTGGCCGAGTACTTTCCAGAGTATTACAACGACCTCGTCAAAAATCTGACTCAATTTGATAACGTTACATTCATCGAGAATATTCCCGTTCCTAATAAAGAAAAGACTTACAATAGTTCCAGCAGTACGAATAGTTTTAATATTAGCAATTTTAGCGAAGAAAGATTAAATGAGACTGAAAACGCGTTAAAAAGACTTTTTGATTTTGACGTGAATCTTGAAGACCTATTCACGACGACCCCATCACCCGATGTGGGAGGAGGAGGAGGTGGAGGATACAACCCCGGTGATGGCGATGTATTTGGGGAAATTGACTTTGATAATGTTGATTTAGACGAGCTTTTAAAAATTACGGGTCTAACTACGTCAACGTCCGCGTCGAATGTTAATGACGATAATGTAGGTACGAGTGGATATGAACCTGAAAATATTAACATTGGGAGTGATGTCGTCCTGCCGGAAACGACGACAAAGTCGCAGAATGGACCAGGTTATACTTATTCTGTGGTCAGCTCTAGTAGTAGTAGCAGTAGTAGTAGTAGTAAAAGTAGTGCTTTTAGTGGTGTATTAAACAGTATGGTGTCAAGTAGTAGTAGTTCTAGTTCAATTAGTAGCAGTAGTTCCCGCAGTAGTAGTAGTTCTAGTTCTAGTAGCAGTAGTTCATCCAGCAAAAAGAAAGTTGCAGCTAAAATGAAACCGAACAATTTTGTGTCTTCTTCTCCAGTGCCATTGCCAAACGAAGCAGATGGTAGTACGACTAGTGAGAACGTATTCTTAACTAATTCATCAACAACAACGATAGCAAGTGATTCTGTCAGCAATTTAGAGTCCACTACGATAGCCGGTGAAAATATTAGTCATGATGCTGTCACATCTACGAGCACAGCAACACCCATTAGTACTACGACATCAAAGAGTGGGGATGACGGAAAATCGTCCATTTTTGACGATACCCCTACCACCACCACGTCAAAAATCAGTGAGGAACAAGATCTTTCATCATTAAACCAAGGAGAAATTGCACCTCTAACTTCTACTATATTTCCCAACATTCAAAAAAATAATGAAATGGCGTCAAGCACAATCAGTTCCTCAACTAGTGACATTTTGTCAGAAACAACTACACTTGGAGCACCGGAAAATATTAGTCTTAACAATACTGATTCCTTCATCAATTTTGGAAATGTTTCCGATGTACAAAATTCTTTTGAAGAAATCACGACTACTAACACTCCTCTCTCAAATCATTCCACCGATTTAGACGATTCTCAAAAGTTTACTCACCAAGAAACAATTCCTGAGCTTGAAAGTACCACAATTCCAGTGACATCGTTGCTTTCATCAATTGATAATGTAACATCAACCAAGGAACCAATAGAAGAATTTAGCGTAACTAGTACAGAAAAGTATGTCGACTCTGAAATAACAACTCGAAGAAACTTTGATGATGCGAGCTTATTGGAAAATCCTGTCACTACTACTTCCATTTATATGAGTAGCAATATTGGGTCAAAGGAAAACCCAGTGACTACAGAAATGAGTGCGTCACCAAAAGATCTTGTCGAAGTGACCACAGTGCCTTCAACCAAAGCGAGTGAAAATTTACCTTCATTTGAGGATGTGACAAATCCAACTCAAGTCTCGTCCTCCGTTCCAACAGGACACTCATTACTTCATGAAGACATACAAAACGATGATATTCATGAACTTGGAAATGACCTTGGGGTGAAAGTTGGTAATGAAGATCACGATACAAAACCCACAGAAAAATCGTCCACCACAGAATTTTCGACGACGATACCATCAACTACTTTTAAGAGCGCAAGTAAAACAACTGAGACAACGACCACGTCTGAGCAAATTATTTCGAAAACTGAGGCAAACTTAGACGAAACTAGCACATCCAAAATGATAATTAGCAACACTCCATTCAATGATTACAACGAGTCTGACTTGTCTTTCAGCACAATTCCAACCGTACTTAAGGAAACCCGTCCTACCCTCCTTATCAGCAAGGATGATCTAATGACGGAGCAAAATCAGGCAACAACGACACCTGCACAAGGTCACGATTCTGAGGATATGATTTCAACAACACAACTTTCACCGCAAGTTGGCAAGACTGAGGATCAGCTAAAAAATGAGTATGACTCCTCCCTAAATGAAACTGATGCTCTTAATGACGAAGTTGTAAAGAAACTAGAAGATGGAGAAATCACTACTACCATGGGACACGAAAGTAGTAGCTCTACTACTATGCCGTCAAGTCAGGAGAAGACTACCACCGTGACACATTCAATACTTTCCACTAGTGCAAATCCTGCTGAAGAAATTACGACAGAAATTCCTTCCACCAAAATTAATCCAACAATGACCACTCCAAAGACACAAATCGTAGATAAATCAGTGTCGCCAATAATGGATTCCACCACCACACAAGCTTCCCAGTTTCCGTCAAGTGCCCCTGAACTTATTCAAGAGTCTGGTGACCTTGATCAGATAAGCACCACGATAAGGTCATCCAACAACGAAGAGCTGACCACTACCACTCCGCCCACGGTAATTACTGTGTCTCAACCAACTAGTGCCGCAACAACTATGAAGTTGAACGATATACCACAGACGACAGTTCCAAGTTTTGATGATGCAGCTATGACAGATGATAATACAAGTCCCAGCCCTATAAATTTGTCCAGCTCGATTAATGAAATTGGCTCATCGACATCAAGCCCTACCACTACAACGGAAAGGGATGAAATCCCAACTCGTAAAACTGAAATGGAAACCACCACAGTTTCAGAAAACTATTCACTAAACACAGTCCCTAGTTCTACAGGTTCTAGTAGCACAGAGGGTAAAATCATTGATGGAATTGAACCAATCCAAGATGAGGTGACCACAGAGGGTTTTGTAAAATCTAATACTACGACCAGTACAACAACACCTACCAGCACATCAATTACTAATGATATTGATGCAATAGTTACAACTGAAAGCGGAGAAACGACCATGAGAAGTTTAAAATCTGAAACTAGTTGTCTTACAACAAGTTCGACACCTAATCAAATCCACGACACAAGCCAAACTACTACTAAAACCAGCGTTGATTCTCAATCTGAAATAAATGAGATGATACCTACAACAACCGGAAGTAGTGTGTCAGAGGAACCGAACAGCAGTGCTGGTATCACTGAAGGTAAAATCACGCTTCTTGATGGAATTGAACCAATCCAAGATGAGGTGACGACAGAAGCGTTTGTAAAATCTGACACGACGACCAGTGGTAGCACACGTACTAGCACATCAATTTATGATGAGATTGATGCAGCCATAAACGAAGCAACCACACAAAGTTTAAAACCTGAAAATAATAATGGCGTCACCACTAGTTCGACACCTATGCAAGTCCACGACAGAACACAAGCTACTACTGCAAAACCTCACGATTCTGAATTTGATAAAGATGATGATGAGATGAAATATACAACAACCCGAAGTAGCGTTTCAGACGAATCAAGCAGTAGTTCCACAGTTGCTGGTATCACTGAGGGCAAAACCCCGCTTGTTGATGGACCTGAACCAATTCAAGATGAGATGACAACAGAGACGTCTGTAAAACCCGACACGACGACCAGTGGTAGAACAATCAGTACCACACCCACCAGCACGTCAACCAGTGATGATATCGATGTAACTCCTCCTGACGACGTTAAGGAAACCACCGCTAGCATGCCCCACGACAAGCCATCGGAAGCCACAAGTACAACAACTCCTGTAACAATCCAAGATGAGATAACGACAGAGACATTAGTAAAATCTGACACAATCAGTTCAACAACCACACCCACTAGCACATCGATTCGTGGCATTGACTCAACGTTTTCTGACGAAGCGAATGAAGCAACCACTTTCGGGAGCATGTCCCACCACAGACCATCGGAAGCCAATCCTACCACAATTTCCACAATATCTGATACCGCGACGCAAGGAGTTAGTCAAAATGATCATGCTGACCTTGAACCTGTTGTTGGAACCTCGCCACAATCTATAAATTTACCCAGCAGCACTGCAAACTCGTTGGATTTTGAAAATCCAGAATTAACAACTACAATGCGTATCTTGATGAAGGAAAGTGCCGATGATTCCAGTCCTCAAATTAATGACGATGAAAGCACGACGAAAAAACCTCATCTCGTTGTCACCACACAATTTACTCCATCTGAAATTAACGATGAGATAAGTAGCACCACAACAATGAAAAATTATTCAGGAAAAAGTACACCTATTAAAGATGAAAGTGGTGAAATTAAAGACTTGATGACGACAACTTTCAAGCCGTCAATTTCTACATCTGAGCTTTCTCCAACTTCCGAAACTAATGATTTTACAACCACTCAAAAATCCAAACATATAAATATTGACGATCTTTTGGGAGAAAGTTTGGAGAAAGCTAATGAAATTTGGGATAATGATGATGATACTAAATTAAAGTCGGAGCAAGTTGGAGACGATGATAATAATTCCAGCTCTGTGAAACCCGATACAAGCAAGATATCTGGTGACACTGAATTAACCAAACTGGATGACAAAAACGATGTGGAAAATGTCACTACTGAAATGGAACAGGCCACAACAGAGTCAAGTTCTCAACACGATGTCACAGAACATGTCACCACGACAAAAAATATCACATCTTCCAATCAAGTCACGAAAGCTCCTGAATCAATTTTAAGTGATAATGTTGAAAGCACTACACCGGAGAAAGTCGCGGAAAACGAAGAACAATTCTCAAAAGAAAATGACACCGTTACAACTCCAAGATTACCTGGATTGTCTTCCGATGGAGATGAAACGACCACAATACACAGTGATAGCAGAGATATGAAATCAGATCTTGGTATTTCTACCACTATCGCTTTCACTAAAGAAGCTGATAATATGAAGGATCAGGCAATTCTGTCCACTGAATCTTCTGATGGAGATGACTTTACTACAAGTAACAGTGCCATTAAATCGGATGCTGACATTTCCACCACCACTGCTTTCACTATGCTCAAAATTCCTCTAGAAATTATTACGACTACTAATCCAACTGTTTTACAGGATGATGCTGCATTACCCACCACCACCGCCAGTCAAACATTGTCCGATAAAAATATTGACTTCTTATCAACAACGCCTAAAATGCATCAAGTCTTGCGTAATGATAATGTTGAAGCCACGACTGAGGCTAGTACACTAACTAAAGAAGCTGATAATATGAAGGATCAGTCTATTTTGCCTACTGAATCTTCAGATGGAGATGACGTAACCACAATTAACAGTGCAATTAAATCGGATCCTGACATTTCCACCGACACCCCAGCTGCTACCACATCAAAAAGACCTAAAGCAACGACCATAAGTCCAGAAGAAATCAATCAAACTGATTTTGAACCAACTACAATGAGCCAGATCTCACCTGATAAAAGTACAGATTTCTCAACAACAATTTCACCAATTTCTCAAGACATGCACGATGATAATGGAGAAGTTAGTACTGAAAATGGCACGAAAGACGTTCCCACAATGGTGCCCAGCACAGAATCTTCTGTAATAAATGACGCAACAACAATTGGTAGTGCCAGAGAAATGAAATCAGATTCTGTAATTTCTACTACACCCACCACTTTCACCACGTCTAAGAAACCTTCTGCAGAGATGACTACAACAAACAGTCCGCACGAAGGGGAAGATCACGTTGATTTCACAACTATAACCCCCAGCGAAAAACAGATCACCCCGGAGAATTTACAGGATTCTGTACAATTATCTACCACCATTGCAAGTGTACCGTCCAGTGAAAGTTCAGATTTCTCCACAAGTTCTAAAATAGCTCAAATTTCACAGGATGATGAAGTCACGACTGAAAATGGTCTACTTACACAACAACCAATCAAGTTCATCACTATAACTACTGAACTTCCTGATGAAAATGGTGACACAACCACAATGGTAAATGTGAAGAAAGAATCGTCCTCCACTACAGCCACCAATTTTGTACAGCCATCTCTGGAAGTTGATGAAATTATGACCACCACTGAATCGTCATCCGGTAAGAAATTTTCAAACGAATCAAGTATCGCCTCTTCAACTGAAACACCAGAAACAACGACAAAAGACGAGATGGAACATACAACTGCGTTGAATCCTAAACTGCAAAGCCATTCTGAACAAATTGAAACAGTTCCAACTGAAAGCGGAGAAACGACCATGAGAAGTTTAACATCTGAAAATAGTGGTGTTGCGACACCTAGTCAAATTCACGACACAAGCCAAACCACTGTTAAATCCAGCGTTGATTCTCAATCTGAAAAAGATGACGATATGATGACCACAACAACCGGAAGTAGTGTGTCAGAGGAACCAAGCAGTACAAGTGCTGGTGTCACTGAGGGTAAAATAATGCTTGCTGATGGAATTGAACCAATTCAAGATGAGATGACAACAGAGACGTTTGTAAAACCCGACACAATGATAAGTGGTACCACACCCACCGGCACGTCAACTAGTGAGGGAATTGATACAACTCCTGCTGATGACGCTAAGGAGACCACCTCAATCAGTAGCGGGCCCCACGACAAGCTATTGGAAGCGACACCCACCACAAGTACAAAATTTCCTGCGACAATCCAAGATGAGATGACAACAGAGACATTTATAAAATCTGACACAATCAGTTCAACAACCACACCCACCAGCACATCACTTCGTGGTATTGACTCAATGTTTTCTGACGACGCGAATGAAGCAACCACTTTCACTATCATGTCCCATTACAAGCCATCGGAAGCCACACCCACCACAAGAACAACTCCTGCGACAATCCTTTCTGATGAAATAGAAATTACGACAGAAAATAAGGCTCTTCTACCGGAAACGATTCAGAGAGAAAACGAGACAATGACGACAGAAACAACAATAATTTCTACCTCCAGGAATGAGCCCACTACGATAATTAGTCACCATTCTACCACAAATTATTCCAATACTTCAACAATGACACATACAAATGGTTCTGACACAGAAATAAATAGAGACGAGAACTTTGATTTCACCACAACGGAATCTCAATCGAATGGTCAAAATGTGCCCATTCAATCCTCTTTTGCGGGCAAGGATGAAGAGTCTACCACATTAGAAATACCAGCAGAAAGAGAAAACAGCAAAACAGTGAAAGTAGAAGGAGAAAACCAAACCGCTACTTCTGAGAAAAATGATTTACTAACCACAACAACTTCGGGATCTGCTGAAATTTATATTAATACAAATCCCGCAGAAAATGATTTTGGACCACAAACTACTACAATAAAATCAGATTCTGACTCAAATGGACAGGAAATTGATTCCACAACTACCAAATCACAGTTGAATCAAAATATAAACATTTCAGATGCTACAAGTCAATCCTCTATCGAAATCAAGAGTGACAATAGTTCGACATCTCAGCCCGAAGAATCATCTACGGGCGAAAGCTTGAAAAGCCAGATGGATATCTCCACAGAGAAAATTACAACCACAAAAAAATCTATTGAAGGTGAAAGTACTACAGAATTTGATCTGGGTTCGGAAACTACAAGGTCTACCCCTACAAAAGTACCGAAATTAAACACAAATGAAATTGAACTCACAACTATGGAACCAAGTCAAAACGTAAACTTGACAGAGTTTACAACAATTAATCCACCCATAAATGAAGGGCTTGATGAAGTTGATGTAAATAGTAAATTTGGCCATCCTTCAGATCAAAGTATTACAACAACCCTCGTTCCCCTGTACCCACCCGAAATAATTTCCACCTCTTCAGAGAGACATGTAACCGATGAATCATTCATGACTACAGAACATCCTTCTGTCACTTCTACGGCGCCACAGTATTCCAGCACTCCGGATTATAAATCTGATACTATTAGTAATGCGACAACCACCGAAGGATCAATTCATGACGAAAGTACAACCGTCGAGGAAGATGACCTCACATTTACGGAGAAAAGCACAGTTAGCAAAACGGATAGGATTTCAATCTCTCAAATTCGTCCGTCCCAGCAAAACAAGACTGCGTCGACTAATGATGATCAGATGAGACATGAAACCGATGAATCATTCATGACGACAGAACATCCTTCTGTCACTTCTACTATGTCACAGGATTCCAGCAGTCCAGATTATAAATCCGATGGTAGTATTACCAACATGACAACCACAGAAGGATCAGTTCATGGGGAAAGTACAACCACAACTGTTGGGGAAGATGACCTCACATTTACGGAGAAAAGCACAGTTAGCAAAACGGGTAGGATTTCAATCTCGCAAATTCGTCCCTCCCAGGAAAACAATACTAATGATGATCAGATTAATAAGAAACTGAGTGATGAAATTATGGATAAACTTGACCATATTGATGTAGGATTGAACATGAGTACAACCACGGAGTCGAGTTATACGGACAAATACTTGGATAACCCAACGTCAACTACTTCGTCCTCTATTTTAGAAAGTACTACAGGCATCCTTGCTAATGTAGAGCCTGATAAATCAACTTTTACGACTTATCCATACGATAAAATGACCACAGAACAGACTGATAATATGGAAATGAGCACTGCTACTTCCACCATGTCCAATATATCTAACGAGATGATGGAGAATATCACTAACCAGCCAAGTGTAAAACCAACACTGCCCCCACCTTTCAATTTTATACTTAATATTACTGAAATATTGCCAGAACCGGGACCAGTTTCAGAACCGACATCTTCTGTTAACACGAGTGAAATATCCACATCGACGATATCGTCAATTTCTTTGATTGGTCCTTCCACGGAGAGAATTGACGATTTAACGAGTACGGTATCATCACTGATTACGATGGACGATTCTGACCTACGAGCTGATAAAATGTCTGAATATTCCGAAAATAAAACAGACACTGAATCCCCACCTACCACAATTCTGCCCGGATTGAACGACCTGGAATTTGTTCCTGATTACCCAGAACAATTTGTAGAACATGATTGGGACCCTGAAGCTGAGAATTTGACTGATCAAGTCACCACGGCAAGACCATTTGTAAACACGACGGATAAAAGCAAGTCGAATGTAACTGAAAAGGCAAGGAAATTAGCTGTGGATGCAATTATCATGGATAGTACTCCAGCAGGAACGGGTCAAGATTCTGGAGAAAGTGCTGTTACACAACATTCAAAGGTGTCGTCAACTGAAAGTTCACACTCAACTACGACAGAAATTTCACAAACGACACCTCAAACTGAAATTTATCAATCGACCCCACCAGAAAGTCCACAAACAACACTGGCTGAAATTTCAACACCAACAGAAAGTATGACGACGACGAATTCACCGACCACAACCAATCCTGCATTCGTCGCAAACTCAACCGATGATCCCCAGACAATAGTTTCTTTCATAATTTCTGTCAGTGCAAGTCGAACAAAATCTTCTAAGTCAAGCTCATTTAGAGAAACGACCACTCAAAATATTACTTATGCACTTTCTCTCAATCATACCGAGCATGAACCTATTTCCATCCACTCGTCATCGTCCCTCAACAGTACAACCACCACATCCAAAACACTGGATACCTCCACTGATAATAATTATGAAGTAATTTTCGATGAAAATACCTCAACTAGCAATCCTCCAATGCTTCTTGAAGTTACGACAACGGTGGACAAGGAACCCGCCATGACAGAAACAACTATGCCAGAAATTAACTTGCAAACAACAAATGCACCGACTCCTTCAACAACAACAGAGCACATAGAAACTACGTTATCTCCGTTGCAAGATTATACGGACGCAAGCACAACTAATAAAACAGAAGAGAAAGCAGATGAACCGGAAGAATTGAAATTTGATGACAAAATCGCGCCCATCACAGAACCAACGCTAGATTTTGACAAAAATTACACCGAAAATGCCACCACACATAAATTAGAAACTTCAACAATAACGACAACGGATGAGCCCTTATCAACTATTTCTTCCACGAAGACGGAGAAAGTCCTGCCCAGCACAGAACCAACGCTAGAGGTTAACCTAGATAATACTGAAAATACAACTGACATCGATCACACCACATACAAATCAGAAACTTTAATAACAAGAGTAACCGATGAGCCCTCATCAACTATTTCTTCCTCGACGACAGCTAATGAGCCTTCAACAACGACGGAGAAAATCGCCTCGAAAAACTTGACAACTTCAGACGACGCGACCGATTTTGCCGATTTGTTCACCTCTCATTCAAAATCGAACCCCAATTCTAGTCTAATTCTGGACATTATTATGCAACCCTCATTACCAACTATCCTTATAAACTCCACTACTTCCGGTTCAACCAGTACTCCACAAAATAATAAAACTGAGGAAGAAATTTCTCTTCTCATCTCAACCGGTCGAGGAAACAGGTCCTTGACAAATTCAGAAGCGATCGACTTGGCAAAAGAATTGGGATCACAAATTTCCAACGTTGTGGACCAATTATTGCTCACAACACATAAAAACTTTCATCTCCTCCCACTCTTTACCGAGTGTGCGAATGCGAAGAGGCCCAGGAAAAAGTCTCGCGTCCTTAATTTGGAATACGAACATTTGTCTCACGTAGTCCGACTGGGGGCGATGGGTAATTACATACATAATTTGCATTATCTTGACCTGATTTGAAAAGACATCTACACAAATTAAATTATTCTCTTTTTGTAATGCACAGAACCCGGTGGGCTAGTATATTCTTGTGCTGGGACACTAATTTCGAAGCGATACGTTCTCACCTCGGCGCAATGTTTGCAGAACAAATTCCCAATGTAAGCAAAATGAGGATGTCTCACTATGAAGCATTTAAAAAACTAATGTTTTTATGAATTTACAGCACCACAACCCTCATTGAAGACGAACTAAACAATAAACACTACGTTGATGTCGAGTCCATCATTTTACATCCTAAATTCTCTAATCAAACAAACCATAATGACATCGCCTTGGTCCGCTTAAAGGAGGAGCAGGTCGAAATAAAGCCAATTTGCTTACCCTTCGAAGGTACACCGAAACTCTAATATTATTAATTAAGAAATATGTATATATTATCATTTGCTGTTTTCTTACTTTTCAAGACGCTTACGGAATATGGGAGTCCATCCATCAAACTCCTGGTGATACTGCGACGCTCTCAGGCTGGACCAAGAAGCACAATAAGAAGGTCGACATGGACGGTATGACATGGATATAAATTATTTATTACTATGCTGAAGTTCATGTAAAAAATCTAAAAATTTTTTTTTCAGAAACCACTGTCGACATTATCCCAGAGAAAAATTGTACAGCTTTGCTACACAGAATCTCCAAAAGTTCTTCCAATAGTCAGGTAATTTATTAGCTCAAGTTTGGTCATAAAAGTGAAAGTGACTATTTATACAGATATCCACATTTTCTCTTAATTATTCCCCAGATCTGTACTTCATCCCCCATCTCCTTCCCCAACTACTTTACTCGAGGCTCCCCCCTCACCACGGTCATGACTCGGCACAAGCTCTACTTCCAAATCGGAGTTTTGTCCAATTATAATGACCACGTGCAAGTCCACGAACGTACATCGACCCATCTCCCGTGGATCTTGGACAGTATAGAAGAATAATAAATAGCGGAATTTTTGTAGTCTCCATTTTCTAGTTATTCATCGTTCATCAGATGTATATGAAATATTGTTGTTAGTGTATACGAGCTTAATTATTTAAAATATATTGACAGTTGTATATGTCCTTTTATTACGATACTTGTACTTTTTAAAAACGTGTATAAAAATGAGTTTAAAACTGATTGTATATTTGCATATATAGATTCTTGGTTTCATTCATGATTCATTCATGGTACTGGTTGAGATATTTTTTAAATAGGTATAAATTTATATAGTAGATAAATATCGGTTTGATTCATTATATAGTTTCAATTTGGCTATTTGTCCAGCACAGATGGTCCGGATGAGGAATTTGTTGTGTTAAAACGTACCAGCCCCTTTCCGTAGCACGTATCACAAACTCGGACAGCTTTCGAACTCTGCAAAGCCAACCTTATTAAATTTCTGATTCTTTTAAAATATGAGTTACTGTAAAAATGATTACGTACTGAGGCCAGCTCCATCACGTTGTCGGAACACTGTCCACAAAATATTTCACCACAGCTTCTGCAATGATGCTTTCTCCGCGTTAAACTAAATTCTTTTGCACAACTTTTACAATGGCTGAATTCTTTGTCACTTTTCCATTTGAGCAATCCCCCAGCTTCACGCATTTCATCGGCGAGTAGTTTCGATTCGGCGACTTTGATTCCCATCTCCTCCAAAGTTTGCTCTTGATCTCGAACCTGTCTTCTTAGCGAGTCCATCTCTTTTCCTGCCATTTCCAGACTTGCAGCTGAATCCTAGGATCGATATTAATCACAGAATTTGATTATCATGTATTTATGCAAATTTTAATTTGGAATTGTACCCTATTTCTAGACTTTTCCTCCAACAACTTTTGCATCAGATCCGAAATCTTTGACTTGTCCTTGAGCGTTGTTTCTTGGAGGGTTATCCGCCACTCCCTCTCTACTCTGAGGTCCCCCTCCGTCGTTGACAACTGCAACTCCTTCTCCGCCAATTTCATGCACACGCTACGACTGTCCTTTTGGGCCAGGCGAAGCTCCGTGTTGGCGTTGCTCATTCTACATTGCGAAAAATAAAAATAAACTGGTAAATAATAATCAAAAATAAAAACTTGAATCATAAAGTAAAAGGTACTGGCAAAAAATAATGTGCAAGAATTTTAACATATTTATAAAAGAAATTAATTAATTGATTTATGCAAGTTCGTAATTTTATTTGAAATTTTATTTATTTTTCAGTAATCATTTTGCCAGCAACTCATATTTTATAACAATGGGATATTCAATAATATTGGTCAACATACTTTTCCTCAATAAGTCTCACAGTTTGATCGCTACGATTAACTTTTTCTTCTAATTTGTCACACAATTCGGTCTTAAACTTGACCGTTGCCTCACATTCCTTTAAAGCAGAAAAAATAATACTTTTTTATAATCATGGCTTTTTGCATTCTTTTTTTTCTTATCCACTACTACTCTTCCTCTCTTCGTTTCTTTGCATTTTTATCTTTCTGTAATTCATCAAAACTTGGAATGCGATTTTTATGCTCGCTGCTGGGCGTGGTAGCGGATGAACTTTCTCCAAATGGTTTTGTCCCATCGAGGTTTTGTCGCGTTTGGCCGGTTGCCTGTTGACCAGTCAAAACGGTCAACAATGACGCAATGTGTTGTGATTTAACTTGAAGTCTTTCGACAACGCGGCCCTTGTCGTGGAGTTCTTCTTCGCATTCCTTCCATTAATTAAGCAATTGGGAGAACGATTAGAGAATTGGACACATTTTGGTATGTAGTAATAAGCAACGATTAATATCAAAATCATACAGTTAGTTATACACAAATTATGGTAAGATGTATAAGAAATTAAAAATATATGTAAATATTTATGGATTGGTGAACCCACCTGTAATTTTTTATACATTTCCAAGTTAATAGATTTGATATCATCCAACTGTTTGCGGAGGGATATGACCGTGTCCTGCTTTTCGTGAACGTCCTTCTCCATTAATTTCATGGCTTCTTCCATCTCTTTGTTTTTACATTTCTTTGTTAAATAATCAAATTGCAATTAGTTTATGGTGTTGTGATGAATATTTATTTACATTGTAGATTTTTCCTACCAAACTTTCATTCTCCTTCTCCAAAGCTGTAATTACTGATGGATCTTTGTCAGCAGAAAAGTTTTTCTCGCTGGATGCGGTAGAATTGCTACCACCAAGATTCTCCTGACTTTCACTTTTGATCTTTTTATTTTCTGCCTGCAGAGATGCAATGACATTCTTGGCTCGAGTTAAATCCTCTGAGAGCAAAGCGTTTGTAGTTGTTAAAGTTTCAGTCCTGGACTGAAGATTGGCCACGGTTGCACTGGAAAATATGTGAAAATATGCGTACATTGACTGATCTGACTTTAATATTATGTAATTAATGTAATCATCTCACTTTAAATGCCGATTAAGTTCTTCAATATAATTTTTCTGGTCGAGCATATTGTCAATATCTTTGTCGGGTTCGCCCACCTCACCACCTGATTCCGAGGATCTGGACGACCGTAAGTAGAGAGAAAAGTCTATGACGCCCTGTGCGGAATCGAGGTCTTCCTCCTGGATATATACATTTTTTTGATAACATGTTAACCAAGATTTCGTCACTTTCATTTACGAACCTTGAGACAAAAGTTGCAATCGATAACGTTTAACCCGACGAGCAGCCCGGATAGGATGACGGCTTCTTCCGACATCATTAGTGCAAAGGGTTCGTAGAATTCGAGTAAAACTTCTTCCCTCACGTCGACTAATACTTTGAAATAATCTGCTAGCTTCTTTTGCATCAGAGCCAACCTCATGAATGCTCTACCACGGCCGAGATGCGTGCTGAATTCATAATTAGATTTTATTTTTCTGCAAAAAACTTTCCAATATTTTACTAGGCAAACCTGACAGTGGGCAAATCTCGGATACTATTTGTGATATCTTCCGCTCCATTTGTGTACTTTTCGACGAGCTGGAGTACATCCCATAATTCTTTTTTGGGGCCCAATAAACCCTGATGAATTCATGAGTTAACGATTTAATAATTTCTTCGATATTTTTAACTAATTTCTGCGAAAAACTACCTTCTTTGGTTTTAACCCGTGACGCATGGCGTGTTCCAGGACGATAAAGAAGTGTAAAAGTGGGGGATGTTCCGGCTCCAAATTTCGCCCGTGTCGTAAACTCCATTCAATCAACTATATGGTATATATGCACATATAATATATGAATGTGAGGTATGCGCATATTTTTAAGTTATTTTATACCTCTTTAATGACAAGTTTTGTGATATTGAGTAAATTTTGGCGTTCAACGTGCGTCGGGTCGCGAAGACATGATTCTAAATATTTATTAAATATATGTCTTATTAAGATATCTTATCACAAATCAAAAATAAGTTTACCACAGAATACTACTAATTGCATATCTGTACCGTAAAGTGCAGTATTGATATATTCCGGACTATGCAGACTATGCCTATTGTTTAAAGGAACCTCGACATCGTCCAACTGTCTTAAACAGAGCCAATCGCCGTCAACAGAAACACGAAAATTACACAGGTAAATTGTGTCTTGATTTGACTGTTTGCCCTCAACGTTACTATCTTCCTTCATTTTGAGAGATATATTTGTTGCAAAAAACTATACCTTCTTTCTTACCCGATCTGTTATTAATATTACTTACTTTTTTACAAATATTTCTTGTACTACTTCTCAACCCTGCTGGGAGAATAGAAATGTCAGAATAAATCCGGAAAATCGATCCAAAATTGCATATACACTGAGGAGTGAGCACCACCCGAGAAAAATAGGAGTAAATTTGGAGAAAGCTGCCCGGAGAAAGTTATCGATTCCTTATTATGTGTCACATTCTGCCCCATATGTAACTTTTCATGACGCTGATGACTATATCCTAAACTAAATTGGTTCCGTTAATACCGGTTGATAACAATAAAAAAGTATGCAATTACATGAATATATCTTGTTTACACAGTTTGACGTGACATGTCACTAATATAATCTCACTAAAATTGTGCAAAAAAATGACCCACAATGAAGAACACTGGCTTACCTTTATTTCTGGAAATTCCCTTATCAAAGCTGCCACCCCCACTGCCACTACTGCTCCCAATTCGTGACATGATCCAGGACGACGAATCGCTCCAAAACCGCTTGGCCCCACCACCACCACCGGTTCCACTTCCGATGGAAAATGAGGGACTTAGAAGGTCACTAATATTGTCGCCATCGTCGGATTCGCCACTCCCACCACCAAAAACCATGTTCATCGTCCTTGAGCTCATATTTGTCGTTGGGGGTGCCTTGTGGGGGTTGCCAGCAGATCCACACTTTTCTCGAGGGGAGGAGGTTGACGATGAACCGTTTTCTTTGTCGTTGTCCATCGTACTTAATTAATTAGTTATTTTGTGCAGCACAGTTAATAAGTTGATCAAACCATAACTATAAAATTATTTTGCATAATAAAACTTTCACCGGATCTAAGATCATTTTTGGTATACATTTTTTGGTACTTGTACTTTTTTGTTGAACACATTTTATTTTTATGTAATTCTGATTTTGAACACGTTATAATTTTACTATTTTTGTAATATAATTTCAGTTTTTGTGAGTAACATGTTCTATTTCTTATTGTGTGACACGATTATCATATAAAATTCTTAAAATTAAATACATAAAATGTAAAATCTTAACGCCCACAAAGAGAATTGAGCTACAGAAAAATTAAATATGACCCTTGTTCGCTCCTTTATTATACCAAGTTTGTGTGGATGAGAAGATTTCGCAGTTAATAATTTAAAGGCTATTCACACTATTTTACGATGGACTGTTGTAACCTGTACTGTAATGTAACATGTAACTCGTGTAATATGGTTGCTCTTACTTATGTAATGACAAAAACAACAGAAGAACTGTTCTTCGGGTGAGTTCAATTCCTCCGCTTGTAAAATCACTCGTCCAATAGAGAAGTGGTTTTGATTAATAAGTTGACTTTGTAAAAAATTAACTGATTTGCATGATCAACGGTCGGGTTTAAAAAAAAATGTAAAAGCACACAAGTTTCTTAAAATTTTCTGCTGTAAAAATATTTGTGTAACAAGAAGATCACAAACTATCACTGTATTCGTCCTCCCCACTTTCCATGATGGAATCGACTTGAACAATTTTATAATTTTCTAAATCCTTCAAAACATTTTCGGATTCAAATCCCCTGTCGAACGGGAATCCAAAAGATTTTGTGGATGTGGAAAGGTCTTGTGGAAAGATCTTGCTAAGATTGGCACCTTTGCAGAGGGTGAAAATATTTTCATGGCCGGATGATGGTGTGATTATTGCAAAGAGTAAAAATTTGAGAGGTTGTTGCTCCCCACCACCCTTCGGAATCATGAGATTTGATGGAAATCCGCAATTTATAAGCTTTTTGTTGGCGACGGATAAGTGGGTGTAACCTGTCTCTGCGTCTATAACGTCTTGAAGCTGTTTCATGAAGGAATGGTCTCCTCGGGTGAAGAGGGGGGAGCTTGTGGAGGAACGGACGATTTGGTTCTGTGGGGGATTAATTAATTAAATGTTTTATGATACGAAATTATTAAATGGTTTGATAGAAAAATTATGATGATAACCTCTCCGTTTTTTATTTCTATTTCAAAGTGGTCCATTTGAAACATGTACTTGTAGTAGTCACTGGGATGGATTGCCTTTCCATCAAAATCAAACTTTGGAGATAGGAATATGTCAACCGTTGCATTAGTTTTGGGGTCTAGGAGTGATTCAATTTTTAGTTGGTAGTCGAAATTTGCGTGATTAAGCATTCGTTTTCCGACCTGGAGAAAGTAAGTAGCGTTATGTACATGAAAGTTATTACTTTTTCATATCAATTGTACCGTCGCTGTTTGGTTGCATTTCTTAATGTAGAACCTTTTATGATTCCAATTTGTGTAAAACGTGTCTTCCTTTCGCCCAGTTATGTCTTGATCTGGATAATCGACTTTCAGAGATTCGAGAACAATACCGTCAAACTTTAGATCGCCCTGAACATTAAATAAATATGAGGCATTTTAAATATATAATAATTTTGTATGGAAGTATACTAAATTTTATATTTAATACCAACCGAAGTGTATGCTTTCATAAGCCTTTCTTTCGCCGAAAGGGCAAAGGAATTCAAGTGTTTCAAAATGTAATAAAAGCTTTCGAGGTCGTTCCAAGATTTCTGAAGATATTGCATAAATTGAAAATATTATGGTGGAATTACAATTTGATATGTTTCGTTTAAAGGTACCGATTCATGAGTCGCAACCATGAGTAGTTCAAGAAAATAATTTTTCCCATTTCCAAACTTTTTAAGAATTATATTGCCAATTTGGTCAAGTACATTTGTCCTGTTGGGTCCGATAGGCCCCTAAAATTTTTGTCATTTTGATTATAAATTATTTCATTAATTGGTCAAATTACTTACATCGTGGTACTGATGAACCTTTTCCGTTAGTACTTCATCAATTTCTCGAATTAAAACATTTTGAGCTCCAATTTCCCAATCTTCCAATTCCTTCAAGTTGCCTTCCGCAATTCGAGCTCCATTGTACCGAGCGTATAGTTGGCTGATCACATACCTTCGGGTGAAAGTTGGGGTGAAAGTAGCAACAGAAAATTATATAATTTTAGATTTGCTTATTTACTCATACATGAAAAGTTCCCCATTTCTATTTTTCGAAATTTTATCCTCCTTATCCTTCCACCAAATTGGATTGTAGAGAAACCAGCTAACATAGAAGGATAAAAGTCCTGGATCTTCCAAATAATATTCAATGCCTTTGTTCTGGGGATAAAATTTCAATAAAATTCTCCCAAAATTTTTTAAAATTATTTATTAAAGTCTACCTTATTTAAAGTTTTTGCTATGTCATCAATACTCATTTCATCGTCCAACTGACCAAGGAGCAAATCTGAAAAGATGTCATGTGGTGGTGGAATCTTGTGATAATCTGGCTTGTTCACCACAACGGAAGCAAACGCGTGAAAAAATTCGACCGGGTTGGCATTTTTCTGCAAGAGATACACTCCAGTTTTGTAAATCAGCTCTGACTTGTTCCAATTGTCCCAGAATATTTCAAAAAGATGTTCCACGTCGTTGAAGCCGTGCGTCACATAGTTCTTAACCGTTGTCTCATTCGCATATTCCTTGATGTGGTCAATCATGTCAAATTTTAACTCGGTCATTTCTTTACTGAGCTGTTTGCAGTTGTGGAGGCTATTTAACAGGGTTAGAATTTCTTTTTGGCGTGACAGCCATGCTTTGTCGACATGGATCAAAGAGGGTCCTGAAAAGTTAATAATGGAATTTTATATCACAATAACTTTTGACTTTTCCCCGTTAAAAAAAACTACATCTTCTTGTTCTAACCTTTATCAACTTTTTGTACCGGAAGTGGATTTTTACTTATCTTCGGGGGTGGAACTGTAGTGGAGTTTTTAATTTTGTTATTTATTACGGTAGCCTCATTTTTACCTTGATGAGCTTTTTCCTCCCCATTACAAAATCGTGCCCATAAAAGTAGCGAAAGCACCCACAATATTAGAGACCACCCCATTTACAAGAATTAAGAAAATTTAATAACATGGGTGGTATTAAGAATGACACATCCTTATTAGAAATTAGAAACTTATTAATTAGCATGCCCGCTATAAATGTGCATTCTCGTAAACTATAAACATTACCAAGAATTGTATGTATATGTAGCATATTTATAATTCGTTATGATTATTATGGCTGTGAATGGACTTTATTATTTAATTGCTGCATGCACTATTTACGCACCGTCCAACCATTCATAATTAGTTTGTATAGAAAGTTTCATGTTTATAACGCCATCACATTTACAGTGAGAAACAAAGGTGACGAGGTTTGCAAAATGCACGTGTATTTTTGTGCACATAGTGAAAGGTCGATGCGGGAACTTGCTACTTCTGTCTGGCATGGAATGAATGAAATATTTTGTGCTATTTCGTAATTTTAAACAAACTTTACAAATCGCTAATAATATTCAAATTATTTTAAATTTTAATAATGAGTGGTGACGGAGGAGGCCGACTTCCTTCATTCAAGGTAAATAATTTCTCAAGAAAATTCTAATATTTTTGAGAAACTTAAAAATCTTAAGTTATTACTAATTTCTAATTATTTAAGGGACCACGTGACTTGAGCCTGTTAACCTCAGCGGCGTTAACTTTATCTCTGACGACTCCTGGACAGCCTTCTTCGTCAACTTCTTCAAGGATGCAGCCCTCCTCCTCAAATCAACCCCCCATCGTCGTCCGACCTAAACGCATCTTTAAGCCAAATATTCCACCTAAACGAGATACTTCAATAGCTTCTGCATCCTCATCCTCTACAGATCCACCCACTTCCTCATCGCCAGCAGATAAGTCCTCCAAACCTGGTCGTGGGCATGATCGTGGCGGAAGAGGGGGGCGTGGTGGGCGCGGCCGTGGATCAAATTATATTCAATCCAGCTCTGTTTTTGAGCAGGGTGTCGGTGATCCTACCAGTTCGGGTCGATCGACGAGATCACGTCGTAGTGGGGGCGGAGGGGGTGACGGTGGATCACGTGGTGGGGGTAGATCTCGAGGCAGAGGTCGCGGACCGAGCAGAGTGGCATCGGCAATGACGCGAGAAAAGTTGGAGGACATAATCAAGACGGAAAATACCAAGGTGGAGCCCCTCGATAATATGGAAGATTTTATGTCGGGAGGTGCCATTGAGGAGGACGACGATTTGGAGACTTTTGAAGATGAAGATGAAGCTGTCGTTTTGCCATTAACTAGTTGTAAGACCGATATATGTTCAATTAACAATACATTCGTTTTGTGGGATGGATCGTTTTTGATATAATTCTATTTATGATTTATAGATCTCCCAAAATTACTTATTAGTAAGAAGACACCGAAATTTCAGCCAGGCGGTCAAAAGGGAAAGCAACATATTTTTTATAAAAGTGACAACCGTGGCCTAGACTTTTTAAGTGTGACTGGAAAGAGTAGGAAGAAACCTGTCCTCTGCTTATTCCAACTTCCGTCCCACTTACCTGTACTGTTGGAACAAGAACAACGACAATTGGCCACTTCACTCGAAACACTTCCGGAAGGTTCGTATTTGTGAAGCTTCGATTTATCGATTTATTTCAAAGGTTGGGTACGCTACATATTTAGTTTAAAATTAAATTAAAAACGAAACAAATCATACTGTGTTTGAGACAACACCTCTTCTGGTGCAATCTCAACCAACTCCTCTATAATTCTCCAATTAATTTCTTCGACATTAAGGATTTCAGGGAAAGTAACGTTCAACTTCCTAGATGAGAAGAACTCAACCAACGTTTTCATATTATTCAAGTGTCTCTTCTCCCAGTTAGAATTATTTTCGAGTTTATCGAAGTCAATTTTGATAGGGATATCATCAATGATCCCTCCCAACATTTCACAAAGAATCACGGCCATCTGCCCCACTCCCTCCATCATGTTGTTCTCTTTATTATTGAATTCTTCATTCTCTGACTGACATTGAAAAATGGGGATGCCTTTGTCATCTGAATGGTGTCGCGTGGTGTTGATGAAGGAAGTTGGCATAGGTTTTTGGGTCATTTGGGTCACTATTCCCACGTAGATTTTTCCAATAGTCCCGTACTTGAAGTAGTTCCAAGAGTCCCCATCCCTCCACTTTAAGTCTGCAATCTTGAGTAATGGAGACTCCTTCATCTTACCATAATCCGACGACTCTCCAAATTCCATTGTTACTCCCATGCTTGTCAACATCTTCTTCACGACACTCCAGTCAACCTAGTTAATCGTACAAATTTATTGATTGTTACCAAATTAGGTTAATTGTACATACTTTGTGAATGAAAAGTTGCTCTTTGATGAGAACGAGCTTCTTTGTTGGGTCGGATTCCTCTGCATTCCTCATAGCCAGGATGGCAAGGACAACTCGGATCGTTTGTTCAAAAGTGGTAGATTTGTTATATTCCACGACCCATGGTTTTTTTGTGACGAGTTTCCACTTTGGGGTCCAATTTTCTTTACTACTTTTCCTACTTTCCCCATACTTGAACTCGGCTCTGCAGTGTGATGGCGAGCTAGTCATAAAATTAAGAATTGTGGCCTCGGTGTGGATCTTTTTTGGAGAATGGGGCCTTGACGAAACCAAAATGTATGTTGGGGTCGAATTAGCAGTATCCCTCATTAAAAAATGCGTGAGCTAGATAATAAATAATTATAAGTTAAGAGAATGGAATATGCACATATAATCTATTTTAATAATTTTAATAAATCCCCCCAATATATATATTTACCAGACTATCAGCATGACTAGAACATTTTCCATTATTTGCTGACATTTTCCAGCAATTCCCCTCTTTGCAAATGTGGTGACCACTAGTCCCTATTGTCCAGCCAATCCGCCCATTTGCAAATTTCACATCCAAATTTTTTGTATTTTCGGTGTTCTTCGTTGTTATTTGCTTCTTTTTCCTCTGCTTTTTCCCAACGTAAGACATTTTTCTCCCCTCTTTCATGACCTGTAGTATGGTGCCAGAGTCGAGCAGTTCCATCATTGCAGGTGATGACTTCATAAGATGGTCAGGTCCATCATATTGGAGGTGTTCTTTCACCGCTTTAAAGATAAAGTAAGGCATGGTCGAGATCTTAGGTGGGGTCCACTTATCCTCTACATTAACAGGAGGTGGTGGTGGGGATGCCTTTTTCCATGGAAATCGCGTCATTGGATGATCTTCTTGCGAGCAGATTGGGGAGCATTCTTCGCTTTCTAATTATTTGATACATTGTTATTTAAATCATAATTAAACTAATAAATTTACCTTCTAATTGGTCTATCCAATTTTCTGGCTGGATGATGGTCTTTGTGACCTTGTTGTTGGCTGAATTGACGTAGGTCACTGAAATCTTATTTCGTTTAGGTGGAGGGATGGTGGTAGGGTCATTGGGTGTAACCACTAATTCACTGCAGAAATGCATTTTAAATGAGTTTATTGTAATAAACTGGCTCTAATTTTAAATAATAATTAATAATTGATGAAAAATGATTGAGAATAAGAGTAGAGTTGAGTGAGTTGGTGAGAAAAGGAGAAGAAATGAAAATCTCAATTTGACCTCAACTAAAAACAACTCATCTAGTTTTCTCTGTTGCCATCATCTTTTCCAAATAATAATAGTAACAGTTTTCTAAATAAATATTATATTATATTTCTTGGATGAGTGAGTTAATTACTAAATATTTTTTTAAATTAAATATTTTAGGTCTCATAGGAAAAATGCAATTTCTTGCCGATGGGAGGTGTAGATTTGTCTTAGAAAATAGTCAGGGTGGTGAAAAGAACGTATTTGATGTCGAAGCCGGAAAAGCGACAGGATTTAGACAAGATCTAACATCGATTAATATAGAAAATGGTAAATTAGTCGAGCTGGGACCTGTTGAACATAAATTTGTGATTACTCCAGATATTGAAACTTTACTGTTAAACATGAGATGACTGAAGAAGAAGAGGAGGAGTTATTTATTAAGTTATAATTTTGACTGTTTTCTATTCTTAAACTTTCATGACAAAAATAATAAAAAAAGATCCGTTATTTCTATTCTGGGTACTTGAAACGGTACTAATTGCAGGTGTTGTACCTGTATGTTGTACGTTACTTGATGTCTGTGTGTGTAGAGCAAAAATCATGTATTTTGCCCAATTATTTATTTTGTTGTATCTAATTTTTCAAATTACTTGTTCATCCGAACCAAACGGTAACTATTTAAAAGTAATTTCCTACCACATTTCATTTTTCATATATTTCACAGCATTATTTCTACAGTTCTTGAAATCATTCACGTAACAAGTTCCGGGATTAAAGTGGGATGTATCACGTTAAATGGAGCCGTAAAAGACTTGTTTATTGAGGTGCATAACGAACGGATTATCTTAGACCGTGCAAATTTGGGAATGAGAATCCAAGCATTCCTTCCCCAGGAATGTCTTCAAACAAATAATAACAATGAGCCAAATAATACAAAGAGACAATTTCCATCATTGTCCACGTTCGGTCTTCGACGGTGTCCAATAGGTTCGTCATAACAATTTTTGGGTAATGCCTAGAGTTAGTACAATAATAATAATTTTTGGCTCATAGGTCCTTCCGGAGAAGTCGGCGAAAGAGGCGAACAGGGAATTAGAGGATCTCCTGGAAAACCGGGGATTGATGGTAGGAAAACTTAATATTACGAGGAACTACACTTTCTCACGCTATAGAATAATCAAAGGTCAATTATTTATTTATTCCTGCAGGACCAAACGGCCTGAACGGACGCGATGGTCGTGACGGAGAACAAGGTAAGGCTGAGACTAAAGACGACTAACATAATATACTAACTTATTGCTGTGAATTTATGTAGGAATAAATGTGACGTTCACATTACATAATTTGAAATAATAATTTCTAACTTAAAGGTCCACGAGGACCTACCGGTGCAAAGGGCTGCCCTGGCGCAAAGGGTTTGAAAGGCGTGCAAGGGCCAAGTGGGTTGCCGGGAAGTGAGTTTATAGGGACTTTTTTTCTTGAAATCGTAATAAATACAAAATGATTATTGGGTTTCGTAGTGCCTGGTAGACCAGGACGCGATGGGCGTGATGAAATACCACGAATTTATGACATGTAAGTTTTAAAATTACTGCACATCTAAAATTATAAAGCATTATTTATTCCCTTATTTTTTTTAGGAATACTGCACAAAGGCCAGTCTCTGATTTCAGTACGTCAGAAGAGTCGACCGGAACCAAGCCAAACTCAATCCCGTTTTTGGGACAATGTGACCGCTTTGATCTTCAGCCTGTCAAGAAAACTCCGACCACTCTCATCACCAGCTCTGTCAACATCTTTATCTGCAACTCGGCCAATGTAGATGTCAATGTAGCAATGAATAGTAGCAGTAGTAGCAATATTCAAGATGATAATAATTACAAACTTGTTCCACACAAGCAAAAGTATTAAAATCACGTACATTATATTATATTGCATACTTAAGATTACTGGTGTGGGCTCGATACTCGGGTATATTCCGATCCCCTCTGTATTTCTAAGATACATATGCATGCCGAGTGGGGGAGTATGTTTATCACTCGTAATAAAATTTGACCCAAAATTGATCTATTTTTAGTTATTGCCATTCATTTTCGCGATTCTACAGAAAGCAACATCCGCTCTGAGAAAGAGTCTGTTTGCAATATTAGTGCCTCGAAGCAGAACGGATTTCTGTTCATTAGTTCTTTACTTGTGACATTACTGAGCTGTTCAGTTAATTGGAACATTTTCTGAAAAATCATTTCATATTTTTCTTATCATGGGCACATTGGAAGAACAAACGAGGGCGTATGAGGCTGCGTTGGTGTTCTTTGAGAACTTGAGGGCCGAAAAAGACGGTACGTTTCACGTTCAACAGATTGCTTTCCCCTGAAAATTTCTGGACGAATAAATACAGATATATTCCATATTTGTGGATATATGTAGGTCCCTACAAATTGGGGGCGGGTGACCTTCGCAATATTCAAGCCCTCATCAATCACGCCACCCACGGTGCATTTCGACAAGCTCCTCCAGATTCTACAAAATCACTTGGACAGAGAGAAAAGCAGGCGTGGGAAGCTTTAGGAAATATTCCCAAAACCGAAGCAATGCGAAGACTCGTTGATAAAATAGATCACCTTAAACGTGACGTAGATCTTGCAATTAATGCAGCGAAACATGCAAATCAGTAAAAATAAAGCAGGAATTATATACTTATGTGTACGAATCTGTTAACGAATTTATTTATTATCATCACTATTTCTTTGATTGAGCAACATTGTATATCAATCGTAACTTTAGTGTATTTAGCATTTGTTTAAAATTGTTTGCTTTAAACAAGAAACTAAAGGACGGTTTCGATTTCAGCGATTTCAGTTAAGGAAGGACGATACAATTGATCTCTATACTTTCCCATTACGTTCCAGTCGTGCTTGCTGCGCATAAAAATAAAATGAACAAATCGTTTTCAGAATTAGGATCCGGATCGTGCCCATGAATAATTTTACGACATCATGACGACCTTCTTACCTGCTCTGCTGGATAACCCCACCTTCCACCGCTGCACCACCCACGCCCCCCGCAGGCCAACAACTATTAGTCTTTCTCCCCAAACTCCCCACCGCACTGCCACTCGCACTCCCTGCACTGCTCCCACTATACGCACCCGTAAACAATTGTAGTCTATTTTCCAAGTAGTAAATCCTGTTCATACTAATTTTCAACTGATGCTGCAGTCGGAGCAGGTTCGTTGTACAGATTGGGTCACGACAGTCAGAGTTGTAGATCGTGACAGTTTTGAAATTTTGAGTCTGATTTTGTGAAGACGTTATAGAAGCTCGCCAAGGGTGAGTAAAAGGACGTCCCATGTTTTGAGAGACGAGGGCAACACATCCTGGTGGTCTGTAACGATTTAAATTAGTGTAAATTTCAGAATTTTATGAAAATTTTGGAATAATAACTCACTGGTCCTGGAAATGTTCATGGATGCATTTCGCGTAATATTTTTCAATCATGAGAAACATGCAAGAGATAAAAATTCCAATAGCGAGTAGTCCAAATGCCGAAAGAAACTGCTCCAACGCCAGTGGACCGGTTCCAGTCAGCATCCCGTATTCAGTCGACCTTTGACCTCCCTGCATGTAGGAAAACAAACAAAGCTTATGTACATTGATTCAAAAATGTCATTATTAACGACTACCCGTCGAATAATTATTCAACTTCACCATTACCTCGACAAGACATGGTCCAGTAAAGTAGAATCTTTTAAGTCTTTCCAAGTCTCCTATGAAAGAAATAAAAAGTGTCGCAAACAAATAGTTTTAGATAATTTATGGTTCTCCACAAAAAAATAATATGCATGTAACCCACCATTTTCTTTATACTCCATTAAAAACTTGTTGAAGCTAGCCAAGAACTTTGAATTCCGGCCGAATGCAAGGCCATATCCTGTAATTTAGCATAATTTATACAATTAGTTATGTAATTATTTACGTAAGTACACGAATTCTTTGCTTATTATGTAAAACATTATGAAATAAATACCTGTGTGAGCATACCACGTTCCCTCAACCAGCAGGGCGCTGCGAAATGAAATACATACAAATTTAATAAAAATTTCCAACATTCCTCCAAATTTTATCTGCATTATTATACACACCAAGTGTCGCTCGTATCTTGATACACTTCGTACTGCAATACCGGACCGTCATACAGGAACGCGTCGAGTGTCCTGAAAAACATGCCAGAGAAAGAAAGAAAGTGAGACAAGGAGAAAGTCAGTCGTGTCGTGGTGACACGACAAGGATTTCGCGTGTCATGTACAAAATAGTGACAAATCTAAGACGGAAGGAGAAAGTTGCGACAAATTCCTGCTTACTCTTGTCTCACAGCTCTGACCCCTTGACTGACATTCATCACGTTATAGTTCATCATGTGAAGATACATTTCTGGGTGGTGTTTCCTCAACAGCGAGTCCGTATGAGTATGTTGGACGGTTCCAAACTTCATGGGGGGCTTCTGGCTACCAGGGTTGCTCAACTGGAAGGAAAACCCATTGCATTTCAACTTTACTTTCAACACCCACCCACCAACTACATTTCAAACTTGACTACAATTCCACACGGTTCATTTCTTCAACTTGAAGAAGAAAATTTCTACATCGTGGAATTGGAATTTTGGGTTCACCTCGTATCGTTCGTAGTTGAGAAGGGTTGACAGGCGGAAAATTAAGGGAATCTCATTACAAAATTTGGAGAGTGAAGAATGAATGTTTTCCCTTTTCGGGTGAAACTAATAGTAATAATATTACTCAACAGGTCTACAAATATATACGTTTTCGTGTAATGTGTAGGAGGAGGAGGAGGGTGATCAATCTTGAAATTATAGTCGATTTAATATGTACATACCCTTGGATCATGAAGGCCTGTAAACTTGTGAGATTCCTCCCTCGTGATCATGAAGACGGCCAAGTTGGCAGTGTACGTGGCCAAGAAAACGACAGCAAACATGGACCACACGTGAACCACGAATCTACATAATGATAATTCGATATTATAATAAATGAGAGAAAATCCTTTCACCAATTTGTTAAAAAAGTTATGTATTCCAAGAAAAAAAAATAGTTTACTTTGCCGTGAAGCCTCGGGGAGAGTCGATATGCACCGATGCTGGGGAAGAATTTAAACATAATTTTATTCCTTGTAAAGATAAGGATTTCTTCGAAAAGGAAAAAAATTCACCTTGAAAAAGTCGTGCCCAAACCAACCAACAAGATCGAAATAATGAAAATCTTGCCCCAGGTTTAGCCTTTGTCTGTTAAAAAAGAGGCAGTAAAATGTAATGCAATGCAAGTTAAACCACCCATGTGTATTAGTATTAAAGCTGGTTGTCGCTTGACGAGGAAGGAGAAAGCAAATCCTCATTACCAACAACAACCCGAGACAAAATCCAGTTTCCCATATTTAAGCCACAAAAAACCTAGGAACAAATTGCACGGCTTATTACAAAACAAGGAGGAGGAGCACTAAAGTAAAATAGGAGAGAGAAAACAGGTTGAAAATGGGATTAAGCTAAATCCAGTGAAAGTACATGGACAAAAGGAGAAAGTAAAACTGCGCTCACTTATTTCTACACGTTCTACAAGTTCCCAATTCTCAAAAAACGAGTAAAGAGAGCGTATAAGTAGTTAGTCTGTGGTGGTGAAAATGGTAGGCAAGAAAACACGAGGATAAGCAAGACTGAAGTGAAGAAGAAGACGACGACAACATAAAAGCAGGAAGACAACCAGGTCACAAACAAAGTAAGGAAAAATAAAACGAGAAAGTGTTCAAAAAGTCATGCGACACCAGCTTCAAAGTCGAAATCGTTGCACGAGCACAAAGAAGAAAAGCTGCAGTAAAGAGAAAGTCCTCAGCTAAACGAGTGTGTGCCAAAGACGGGACAAATTTGGGAGAAAAATCAAATGCATGAATTTTTTATACCTTCATATCAAATCCGAGTGGGCTTAACCACTCTGTAAAAAATTGGATTAAAAAAAGTATTACATAAGGTCGTATGGGTAACATATGTCTGCGTAGGTGAAAGCATTACCGAAGAAAAATATGGCGAGAGAGTATACTTGAATTCTGAAATTAAAATGTGAAATATTTATTATTATTTCGAGCATATAGCCTGATTTAATTAAAGTGACGACGACTGCGTATGGGTTTATGTATTGCATAAGAAGTTTTACGTAATTAAATCTTACCCAACAAGGCCCACCAGCATCCAAAGAGCGGCATCAAATGGTTCTGTAAGAGAATGAGGAGAAAGTTGGATATATTTCTTTATTAAAATCAAGGGTTACGAATTATGTGGTCAGGTCGTGTAGTACGAAATTGAGTAGAATGCGCAAAAAAGCCTTACCTAAGAATGCAGTTGGTCGAATAATTCCAGTACTGGAGACAACATATCGGTAAATTAAATTAAGTTTAACCGTAAGAAATTAATCTTCTTGAACATTCATATTTTATGTACTTACCGTTTTGCGGTAAGTATGGCCACCTAAATGTACAAACACATCTCTGTATTAAGTATGGCAGCGTACATATGTAGGTCTTATGTACATATGTCTTATTTATTAAACAAATTACCCCCGAGTCCATAAAAGGTACTGCAAAAAATTATGAAAAAAATTAGAGAATTTTGTTTTTTAATGATGAGACGTTAAAAATTATTTAATTACAATGATAATGTATGCTTACCTGAAAAGTCCACCACAGATTCTCTCTCGCTATTAATCTTCAAAAGAGAAATATCATGAGTTGAGTTAACAATGAAAGAAAATTTACCAAATGCTTACCATGAGGGATGAAAAGACGACGTCAACCTTACGATTTAATAATTCTGCTATAAGGCCATTCCACTTCCCATGCTGTCAAATTACAAAGTATTCAATCACTTTAAATCATCATTGCTTATCTAAATAGTTCCATGCTTTATAAAATAAAGTAAAACCTCTAAACTGCCCCAGTGACCATCTGGCACCTGTAAAAGTTTGCAACAAACAATGCCTCATTAGCCCCAACCATCCATTCATTATAAATTTCCACAAAATTTCCTAATTGCCACATTACACGGCTTAGTTCGTAGGTGAATCCGATTTGAACCTCAAACTTGAGCAGGAGGTCGATACAGAATCCACTACAGCACTGGAAATAAAATACAATCCTGATATAATGTATGTACATAGTTTATTTATACCACTAATTATTATTCATACTACTCTGGTTCCGATCCGTACCTGGTAGTAGGACGAATTTCGGACAACTTCGGTATGGTTCAGGCTGCGTATTCAAACATATGCAAGTAATTAACGAGTAAATTATCTTGGGACAAAAATCTTGATAGTTTTAATACGTTTTCGCCGAAAAAATGCCGAGATAGATTGGTGAAAGCTAATTTCACTCTTTTTCCAGCGAAACTTTGTCAATGGGGAGATTCTTATTTTTTATCTATTAAATTAGATGCTGGAACATTCATTCGCCGTCACTTAGTCTTCTGGCAAAACACATATTTCCTTCTTTCATGACATACTTTCACTCTTCTGCGGCTGTTAAATGGCAGACTCGTTTTATGGCGGATTTTATGCACTCTGAGAATCCATCCAGCGTAGAAATTAAGGGCGAATTAAACCCACAAAGAACATTGTCAAGAGATTTATGAATGTCCCTTTCCTTCTTTCTTTGTGGGGAGATAAGGCTAAAAAATAAATCAAGTCTGTGGGTGGTGGTTGTGGTGGCAGTAAAATTTCTAATCTGCGGCACTTTATCTCCCCCTTGTTATAAGAGAAGAACGTCCTGCTGACTTGGCGTCGTTTTTGCATGATGGTCTATTGTTTGAAGGTGATGGTATCGCCCATCATTTGGACGACGAAAGCGTGGTTCTTGGAGCGTGACTTGGCGTCACGCTTTAAGAACAATGTCATACTTCCGATTTTACATTTTTCACCAACCAGCCAGCATCACACCAAACTTTTATCAATCATTCATCCACGAATTGAATCTTGATGAAAAGGAGGTTCCTTTTCTTTCTGGCACTTTTTAGCCAATCTACATTCCAAGTTTTCCACAGATTCAAACGAGGGATGTGCCACACATTCAATAAACTTGGTCTTGCGGACAAGGACAAAAAATCTCATGAAAAACTCAAAAGGTTCTCGACAACACGGATTTCGAAAGTTTTGTGCGACCGAGATCACAGTTTGACGATGAACTCGCATTTAGTATTCGTTACTTCGTGCAGAGAGATTTCTATTATTTCTTTTTTGCAAGAAGAACTGATCTATCGCTTCCCTCCCGCTTTCTCCCATCTTGTTCCGTACTCGTAAAAAACTTGGGAGATCAAAGAAGAAAGTAGAAATGTGGCAAAAACTGTACGAGTGGTTCAGATATAAAGATCTGTTTGCCGTCCTGGTGGTTGATGATACGCACTTCTGGCACGACGGACGTAATCAACGGGACGAGCAGAACAAAAAATATTGGGGATGCGGGCAGGTCAATTTAGGTAGGAAAGTGTCGACTGTGATTTCCCATATATTCCTCCGACATCCGCATTTTATTCAAGTAGATGCAAAAAATAGACAAAGAAACCCTTAATAATGGAGGATTGTCAATACCATCTGAGGTATGTACATCCTAAAATATTTGACATATGTCCACCAAAAACAGACAGGAAAAGTAAGTACGTGGAGCCAGCCGTCGTCGTCATCGTCATCACTTTCTCTTCAACCCAAATCACCAAAAGTAAGAGGCAACTTTCTCCAACCTGTCCAGTGCATGGTAAAGTTTCCGAAATGAACCAAACCAACCACGCAAAACTTCTCAAAAGGGGAAAGTGAGTGAGTGAGTGATTGACAATGCTAAAGAATTATTGTATTGTGTTCTTTCTTTGACGAGAAAAAATAGGCGCATGGATGATGGTACGTATGGTTGGTTGGATGAGTGAGTGACGAGAGTTAGCTGCCAAAAACATGCCAAGGAGACCAAGGAGAGCGGGGAATTAACTAATTTCGCTTCCAATTCATCTCATCTTATCTGTTTAGCGAGTGGAGAAAGTAAGTAAAGTTGGCAAACCCGATAATATCATGCTCGTTGGCGATCCGACACAGAACGCCTCGATCCGGAGAGCACTTCCCTGTAATCGGGTCAGGGTCGGCCATTTTGATGTATGGGGCTAAAAGTAAAACAGTTTTATATGCATAAATTCATACTCATAAAGGTTCCTAATATCATTAGGAAACTATTGAGGAAAAATTGAGTTTCCAGTAAAAACGACAATTTTGAAAAGAGGAAAATATTTTTCGAAAATTTGAGCTATTTTTAAAAATTTCCCGTTACCCATTGTCCCATTTTCGTTTTAATTCAACCCGGACATTGATTTCTTACCTTCTTCCAGAAAACCAATCTTGAGATGGAATTTTTCCGGCACGCCTAAATGAAAGTGAAAGGATAAGTGTCAACATGTCAGGACCGATTTGGGGGCGAATTCTGTATAATTTTTCAATATCTCGCATCACGTCGGTGACTTGACTACTATGTCAATATTTCACTAAATCCATATCCCCCAGCGGACTAAACAAGCCCGACAAGCCGCCGACGTGAACAACAAGTAACAGTACCCTCTCTCAATAAGTAATTAGATTGACATCAAAGAGGTTGACGAGAAAAGCGCCGTGTGGTGATTTTACACGTTAATAGAATCAAATTAAAATTCATTATTGCCCGTCAGCGGGGGCGGCGTGACGCGTAAATTATGTCACGAGGAAGCCATTTACACTTTCGAAATGTATCTCATCACTGACTGATGGGAATCAGAATGGAGAAAGTTTTTGACCTATGGATGGATCAAACCGGGAACAAGTGTCACAAATCGAGAATCGGATAAATAAATGGGACTCGTCCACCACGAGTGAACTTTCACCAGGGTGAGTTTCACCATTTGTGTAGTAATGGCATCGAGGATAAAAAAGGGCAATGGACACAATATACGGAAGTGCCGTATACCATCAAATTCAGTAACTTTCACTTTATGGCATCCATATTTTTGCCCTGAACAAAAAGAGTTTCTTCCGGAAATCTTCACATTTCTGAATTGAATCACCCACTTTCGTTGAAGAAATGCAATTTACGAGGATATAAATACTACACGGAAATGCGGCCATCTTGCCTAAAATATTTCAGGTGATACATAAAAAATTTTTGGCTTCAACTTTCACTCATTTTCACACGTATACACATTTTTTTGAGAGTAAATATCACTCATAATAATAATTAGTAGTCTATGGATTAAGGTCAAGTAAGGATTAATATAGCATATTTATTTACCATCCGGAGGTTTGTGACTGTATCCGGGCCACACGATATCCTTGATGTCCAACTGATAAGTAAAATTCTTCCAGGACTGCCATACTCCGATCTATTCAATAAGAAATGAAGAAGCCGGGATGAAAAGAGAGGATTAGTTGGGAGATCACGATCACTCCTCGTGTGTGATATTTTATCTCCTCAGAAGTACGTAACTCACTCCTGCTTCTTTGTCTCACTCTGATGTGCACCAGTTACAATGAGCGAGTGATTACATCAAAATCACAACATTGCCAAAAAATGTGGTTGAACCAAGTACCCTAAAAATCTCAAAATTGCAAAATTATACTGAAAGAAAGCCAAGAAATGAGCGTATCTCGAGCCAGAAAAAAACTTTACAACTTTCTCTCTCCCCCAAAACTACGTATGGACAACATGATTTATGGATGAGCCCCTTCATATCTCGGCTGCTCAATTGGAATCAATTCAATTTAATTATCTACTACCAGAATTTCTAGAGAAAGTCGTGTCATGCTCATCCTTTCATCTCCACCATATTTTTGACTTATCTGTAGAATCCTCTTTTTCACTGTGACTTTCACCCATCCGATAAACCAAATCCTTATATAACAGATAAGTAGTTTACACACACCTGTTCCCACTGCAGCAACTTTTCAGCAACCCCCGGTCTCAAATTCATTATCTGCAATTCCGCATTCTTCAAAATCCCATCAGGACTGAATTGAATGGGCGGTCGGGGATGTTCCAGTTCGATGGAAACGTTCCTCAAACTTTTGTAAAACATGTCGCCAACGCTCCATTTTGCTGTTTCGCTCTCATTCTGATGACCCTCCTCGCAGGACAGGTTGGGGGTCAAGTTAACGTCGGGATGTTCCAAGGTGAAGGCCTCCACACCCGATACGAAGACACGGATACCGGCACTTATTTCGGATTTTAAAGAGTCATGCGACGTGTTAAAGTGCACCCCTGCAAGATAATAAAAGTGTAATAATTACGAGCTTACAAAGTTTTTAAAAAAAGTGAAAGTTTTTATGGCAAGATTTTCACCACGTGTTAGAAGAACCCACTAAACCACCTTTCCCCACACGAAAAATATAATGTCATATGTCGTCATCTCTAACCACGTCCTCACGGGAGAAAGTCTGTCAACAGAAGAACCATGTCGTCTCGCCCTCCATCAATTTATTTATCGCACTCGAGGCCAAGAGAGATGGTGAAGAAGTTAAATAAGTGAAAGCAGCAGAGACTACTTGACTCTTCAGAGAGGCGTTTTCTCCCCTTCAACTTTTTGCCGACTACTTTGGTTGGACATTTACCTTATCAAATAAGTCCAGATGTCTGCTTAAATCCTCTTAACACTTATCTCCAAACAAATTTAGCTCCAAACACAATCACATAATTCCATCACTTTCACTCTTTTGGGTACAGGACGACGGCGGAGAATGAGGAGAGACAACCACTTGTCGTGAAATAGAAATAATTTCCCAAGAGACCCTGTCACGCCCTTTTATTTCCTTGTTGGACACATCCTCCAGCCTTCTACCACGTATGTAGTGAAACCTTATAAATGAAAGCAGCAGTCGCTTCTTTGTAAGGGATTCTGAGGTGTGAAAATGCTCGGGTATATTAAAGGAGGGAGAGAAATATTTCTTCGCCAACAAAAACAATTCAAGTGAAAGCTAGCAAATTGGGAGTAAATCACGTTCTTCTCAAACTGACACGTTATGTGACGCGTGGTCCAACTTGTCAAACTGTCGGACTGGTCGGGGTCGTGTTGTTCTTTCTAATCCAGTCCAGGCTTCCACTCAATTCATATTTCGTGATTTCACTTTAGGTGGTGAGAAATAATAAAAGGGTCGCCCACTCAAAATGCCTATTTTACTAGTGGTGGTGGTGGTGAAAGTGAAAAAAATTATTGCGTCACCATTATTACCACGACTTACCTAACATTCCCACCGGAAATTCGATAGGTCCATCTAACGAGTCGCCGATTACACTTTGGGTCACGACCCACACGAAATTGGCACCTGGAAATATAAAGAAATTGGTAGTTATCTGTTAGAGGAGAAAGTCTAATCATAAATTTAGAACATACGTACCCGTGAGTCCCAACTTATTCGCAATTTGCAGAATCGTCTTGGCCTCTTCTCTCGAACAGTAGAGGAGCACGATGCGAATCTCACTTCCGACCAGGCTCGCTAAGTCGTTCTCATTTAGCACCATGACCGTGGCTAAAATTATAAATTTGAAATTCGTCTCCTTCTCCAAAACGCGATCCCGAACGGCTTGAACAAAGTCGTCGTGCCCAGCAATCTAAATGACGATTGTGCAAAAAATGGGGGACAGATTAGACCACATTTAGTACACCAATTAATTCCTGTTGAACCAACCTGACTCGTGACAATGGCAAATTGATGCCAATTGTACCGCATCAATATCGACAGCATAGCCATCGCCTGATGTTTTACGGAAGGCGCTAGTTGAACAATCATTTCCGCTTGGGATGCTCGCTACAAGTAAATGAGATCATGTTAAAAAAACTTTCTTTTTTGTTTTCCAAATAAATTGCAACAATTGATCAACACGACGTTTCGGATAGTGTAAAAGATTGCCGAGAAGGCTTTCTTCCTCCACATGCAAAATAAATGCTTCTTGTGAAATGGGTTTACTTTCTTTGTGTCAGAAAAGCAAACGTTGCCTGCTGCTCAGCATACAGTTAAAATCCAAAGAAAACAAGAAATTCCATCCAGTTTCTGAACAAACACTTGTAATGGTTGTTTGGTTGGTGGAATGCCGGAGGATATAAAAGAGCAAAGAGCACACCCAACCAAATGCCATCCATCCGTATAGCAGCAGAATCATCATCATCATACAAAATTGGGTTCGGTGAAAGCATGCGGACTTTCTTCCGCCCGCCACCATTTACAACAAGCTCCCACGCCCACTAGCAAAAGAGAAGTCAAAGTCTCTGTAATTTTTCTAGCATCACTTCTTTTTTCCAAGACATGGACCCAAATCAGGGTTGGCATTGAGCGATAGGATTAATGAATGTACCCCGAGGTCCAACCATTGCGAATGAATAGACAAATCCTCCTCCTTCTCGGTGGATTTTAAATTGGCGAAAACATCCCATTCTTTCCTTGTTGGTTGTCGTAAAAGAAGACAAAACTTTTTTCCCACATACATACACGCTCATCTCCATTGTAGGCGTAGGAATGAATGGATGGAGAAAGTAGGGATGGAATAAGTGGCCAAATGTAAGGGGGCAATTTGCTTAGAAAAAGGGACACAAAAGTCACGCTAACTTCTGATAAGGAGGATTCCCCAGTAAAAGTAGCAGTACTACTACGACCATAACTACATATGTACGTAGATATTGCCTCATTGAAAAAAGGGGCAAAATTATAGTCGAGCCTGCACTCATGAGAGGGAAACGAGAGAGAGAACAAAAGGAGGAGAAAGTGGAGAAAGTTTGCCTTTGGACAAAATCATGTTATTTTGTCAACCTGTCCTACCTAAGTGACGTGCTTAACAATCTCGTAATTTTTGCACGATTCTTGTTCTATTTTCTCTCTCGTTCAAGACAGACTTCTTATTAGGTTGGGATTGACGGGGGTGGAAATCTGACTAAATTTGAGGAACCGGCGAAAGAAGGATGAAGCAAATAGTCCGTCCTAACGCCGCATTACAAGAAATATGTACATACCATTGTAGCAAAATTCACGACATTTTCCACCATTCCTCTAATTCCCCCATTCCAAAAGAGAGACTACTATACAACGAAGAAAGTTTCGCTTTCTCCCGTAATGGCACAACCTTTTAACTCTTCAGCTGGGTCTGAAATCCCTCCAGGGACGTCGTCGTCGTCCACTATGCTCTCTTTCTGCCTCCATTAGACGACCACCACCACCGTTCCCTTTTTCGACTCTTAACCAAAAGTACAAATTATGCCACTCTTCTTCTTCTTCTTCTTTACCTCCACCCTGGCAACTATGTCATGTCCTCCTTTCTCTCTCCTGTCCAATACAAATAAAATCACAAGCCAGCCAGACAAACTTCTCAACTGCCGACACTCACTCTTGTTTAAAAAGTCTTTGGAGGAAAATCAAACCTTCACCAAAGACCAATTCCACCCAGGCCGAAAGACCAGACCAAGAGACCATCGTATGAGCTCTGTTTACTTTGCTGACACAAGTTGGTTGTTCCTCTCCACCCAAAAATCATGCTGCTGCATTTCCTTCCATCTACTTCTCCTCAAACTTGGGACAGGACAGGACAGGGCAAGTAAAAGTAAGTAAGTAAGTGGAAATACTGTCATAGACTAGAATACTAGGCTAGAATCACTCTACTTCTTCTTCTCTTTGGAGGAGAGCGAGACAGAGAAAGTTTGACACTGAAAAAGGGATTTATTATAGACAGATAGAAAGGTCTCGCTCGCCAAGAAATTCTCCCTGACCGAATTGAAACTTATATGTGTGCGGTATTACGTACGTACGTGTAGTTGGCATGGCATGGTACATATGTGAAAGTGGCTGCTTGTGAAAAGTCAGAAAGACACGGGAAGAAAGTGAAGATGAAAGAATAAAGGGTTGTGTACGTAGTACATAGAAGTAGACGACACACTAAGGCCATTGCGCTTCACTTCATAAGACAGAGACGAGAAGAGAAAATCCATCGCCTGGTTACAGAAGGCATCCATTCGACAATACGTATGTATACTTACAACTAACCAATTCAACCATGATGGGAAGGAAACAAGGCCTGAGAGAGGAGCAACATTGGTCATAAACGTGGCCTTAAGAAGACAGACAGAGCCGTCATTTCACAAAGAAACTCCCATTCATCAATCGCATGGGAAAGATTGGACATCAAACTCCCAACAGTTGCCAATATTTCGCCGGTGTATTACGTACGTATGTAGCTCGCGAGGGGGTATGTACTCGCTGTTTTGTGATGGAGATAAATTGAGCGACTAAATTAATGTCCTTCAGCTCGGTGAAAAGTTGTTACTTTTAAAACTTGAGTAAATTCTGGAAGACGTACGTGCCAGATTAAATCCCATCTCGATTTTATTATTTCGAAATGCAGCCTCTCGGAAATTTCTAACGGGAAAATATCAACATTTCATCAACGTCGGAACGAATTCTTGGAACGACTTGCGTAAAATATCGAAAGAGAATTACATACCCCTAAAAAATAAGAAAAATCCAACTTGTCCCATTTCTTTTCGTGACACAGTCCCAGTTTCCTTTACCAACCCACCAACATGTCACTCTTCTAAAAGCAAGAAATGTATGTATGCATGTAACTCCGCCAAGGAAGGACTTTTCGCATAAAAAAATGTAACATTTCTTCCCCAGAACTATTTTAGATTCAAGGATATTCCTTCCTACATGCAGTGAAAGTTGTAATGCTTCTTACACAAAAATAAATCCGGTCGGCTTTTATGCCGCTAGACCAATTTATATGACACTCAATTCGGGACTAGTTTTTCCATAAATTATGATTGAGCTTGTGATTATTTAGAGAAGTGACTATACACGCTGCCAAATCTCTCGTTGGTTGCGAGTAAGTGAAAGTGAAATAAACTGGAAGAAAAGTTGAATGAAGAAATTATTTCAGATTTTTTCTCTCTGCTCAAATCAAAATAAATTTTCAGGCGGTGCCCGTGGACGAAAAAAAAATTTAAAACTTTCACCACCACCGACTTTTTTGAATGACGTTCCTCCCTCGAGTCGGGATTTGGGGAAAACTAAACTGTTATTTTCCTCCGTCGTCCTTATTCACATCTCGTCCAACTTTTGTGGTGTTGGAGCTTTTAGTACAAAGGTCACTTTCTCCCATAGTAAATAAGCGGTGGAGTGAGTGCGAGGAGTTAATTCATAAATCTTGCGGACGGATGGCGGCTGAAGGGTATGGAAGAGCAGAGGAGATTAAAGATACTTTATGAAAGAGATCCATAAGAGAAAAGGGAAGTTCTTGGGAAGTGTTCAGCATCCGCCGCCTCCTTGTTTGGAGAATCTTCCTTGTCAGAATGAAGACCAGCCAGATCAGCAATGATGAGGGAACATTGTGCAGTTTTTAGTTAGTAGTGCATTAAAGGGAGGATGAGTTACTCAAAAAGTGGAGACTGCTTTCTCCGCTAGAAAATATGTAAGGTTGGCCACGACATGACAATAAAGTTAGAAAGTTATCTATAGCATAAATAGACCAAAATAGATAACTCTTTGACGTTTTTTGAGTCACTTAAATTCGCATTAGTTGTGCTCTAAAAATAAAATTCAAAATAAAATGAAGTACAAATAAACCTTTCTTAAAATGTTTTTCAAAAGGATGAAACAATTCCAAGGTTCAAGATCTATTCGGTTAAAAGAACAATTTCTTTTCCTCAAATAAACTTCTGGATTGCTTTCTCTTTACCAAACCCAACTCTCCGTTGGAGTTTTTCAGTCATCTCAGAAGACAAAAAATATGGTTTCCTCTCCCAGAAAAAGAAATACATTTCAAATGTAAACCAATTTCTGTCTCTCACACCAAATATCTCTCACTCTCCCAGTTTGAGACAGTTGTCAGAAAATACTCGCTCTCTTTCCAGGAAAAAAAATGATGATGGTGATTCAACAGCAAAACCAAATGTTGTTTTTTCTCTGTCACACCACCAAATATATAACTTTTGAATTTTGTGTGCTTCGACATTCACTCCACACACAAGTCTTGAATGACGATGCGACACATCGATTTGTCTCTTCAAATCTCATAACAATGCAAATTTCTCCGTTACACAAGGCAACTTAACAAGGCTTCCAGGGTGGGATCATAAGTTTGAAAAGTAATCATGATGCCCATCTCCTCTCTCACCCCATAACTTAGCACAACACACGAGCCTATTTACATTTCCGGACCATGAATGCATGCATGGCTGAGAAAATAATATAATAGGATAAAAACTGCAGCTGAACAACTTTCCCTACTTTCTTTTCTTCCCAGCCAGATAACAAACAAGCACAAGAGGGTGAAGAATATTGAAGAACAGACTCAACGAACCGTTCATGCGGACCAGTGTATAAACATTTATTGCTTCACATCAATCATCCACTCACTTTCTTCCGAGATGGGGACGGCCCCCAAAAAAATCAAACAATAACACATAAAAAATGGCTTGCAGAGTAAAATTCTCGTAAAAAGTATTAATAATAAAATAACCAGACCAGGGGATGATAAAATAAGGTCAGTTTTTGCAAAAAAGAGGCAAGGAATATGGCATGAGAAGCACGTATTGGCGGCAGAGGAGGAAGAGATTTGATCCATAAATTAGGATACAGAAAGAAAGACGGAAAAATTTATCAACAAGTTTTTCAAATAAAAAAGTTTGTACGTTTACAAATATATTTCGAGGCAACGGATGGGACGTATGTGCGCATTGATTGAAAAAGTTTGGTGGCGGCTAAGAAAATTGTCGTGATAAATTAAGCAGGATGTTGTTTACTGATCGTCAATTTTACTTTTTTAATGGTCGCGCCGATAAATGAACAACAAAATAAAATCTGGATTTTTCCTTGGTTGGTGGCAACTTTCGAGTTGAATTTATGTATCTACGAGTTCGTCATTTCCTGAGGATGTTAGCGTCTTACCCGTAAAAGTCCAGAATTGTCAGCGTTCCACGCGATAACCGGGATTCCGAGGTAGCCAGCTAACTGCAGGAAATATTGGCTCGCCGCCGTACTTCTCCCGTACAGTTCGGAATTCGTCAAGTAGAGGATGGCGGACACATTCTTATGCAAAAATTCGTCGCACAACGTTCCCAAAATATCTGCAATATTGAGAAAAAAGTAATTTTTAATTTTTTGCGTAAAAACATAATTCGCGAATAATCATCGAATTTTTACTGGCAATAAATGTGCACGTTTCCAGATCAGAATTGATAAGTGCTGCATACATCGTTATTACAAGGCACAACTTTTCCCAATACAATTTGCGAATAAAATCAGCGATTTTTAACGGCCAAAAATTTACACTTTCCAAGACCAGAATTGATAAGCGATAAGTTCTGCATCGTTTTTAAGTACGAGGCACAACTTTTCCCCACCATTTTACACCATCCAAGTGTTTGCGACAATGTTAAACACTCCTTGAGTAAGGACACGTTGGAATGTACGCATGTCGAAAAAGAGGAAAAGAAATGACTCTGAATTTAGAATTACAAATTTTTCTCCTTCTCAAACTCAAAGGAATAATAAAATGTGGGGAAAGTTCTTTTACATGGGATTCGAGAGGGTCGTTTTATAACAATTGTTATGTTTTACTACTGGCTCGTGCTCGTGAATCGTGGATTGGATGGACCACCGGTTTGGACATTCTCGACGGAGAAAGTTGGCTTTCCTTCCTTCCGTCCTTCCTTCCTTCTCTCAGTTTAAATATCCATCCACAATTCCATTCTCGAACATTAACATAATTACCAATTTGCAAGGGAAATGAACATTTACGCTAATACGGCCCGCTTGGTAGATGCATGGAATGTATGAACGAGTGGCTCTGTATTATTTCGAGAAAAGTTGTCAGATTCATAAAACCAATACAAAACTTTTTCCAAGTTTTTCTTTCCAGTTATTACGGGGAGAGAAATCAGAGTGGGTGGAGATGAGTAATTATGATGATTGCTAAATATTATGCCGGAAAGATGAAGGATGAACTATATCTCGTTGTAGGGTAAAGATTTTATTTTCAATAATTTGCACCCATTAATCAGCCGAGATTGAATTGTCGGGTTGGAATCGTCCATTTCTTAAAATCCATTTCCCTAAAATTCGTACCAAAAGCGGGAAAAGAATAGGCAATTCTTTAAAAGAAAGTGAAATCATTACAGATTTTAGCTCCTTGGCACGTTCACATTACGATGAGATACGAGGCATGACTGTGAATAGGGGCACTATTAGTGTATCTGCAGTATTTCAAGTAAGGGGTCCATTTTCCACCGTCATTAAGCAAAAGTGACACCCTTTCCCCACTAATTTATTTTCCCTGTACAAGAAATTTCCTCGAAAATTAATGCAAATGGGAGCCGTTTGTGGAGTTTTTCTTTTTTTAGACGAGATCTTTCTCCAGTATGGCATAGTTCGTAGACCGATTAGCTTTAGCAGGAGGATTCAATCCCAGATTTGGCATCGAGATAAGAGATTTCTTCATCATTCTTCGTTTCTACTTTGCTTTCTCCTCTTTTTTCCCAGGATGAAAGGCGAGTAAGATAAATAATCGACAAAAAATCTGCGAGGACGCCTCCTTTTTATGTTCCAGACCGGACTTAATTACCAAGTCGGAGACCATCATGGATGAATTCGAGAAAGATTCCATCTTCTGAAATCTGACGATTTTTGCACGCTCCATCCACCACCACGACTTTATCATGCCGTCCGTCCAAGCTTATTATTATTATTATTGTCATTACTTTCCACTACGGAATCTCGGCATGGGCCACCCCATCTTATATTTAACCGCTTGCTTACTTGCATACATTTCACTCTGTAGACAAAAATAAATATGAAAAAATCCCCGAAATGATTTAGCTCATCAATCACACTTTCTCCCCGCATTTCCCTCACGCTTTTTATTAAGAGGAAAAGTGAAAGAGACAGCAGTTCCCGGCCAGCCAGCTATTTGGGTCAACGACGACGAGAGGAATGAGCAGGCAGACTCTGAAAAACAGGCTCTCTTAATGAATCTCTCTTATTATTATTAAAATTCTTTTTCTCTACGATCAGACATCACATCCTTGACACCACCACCACGAATATATGAAACACTAGAGCTTTTGCTTTCACTGCTATATTTCTCAAATGGATTAAATGGATTTGCTCTTTAGAATTCTGGATTTTTTGAGCCATGTTTTTAGGAGAAAGCAGCTTCGTAATTAGATTTGCGTGGGATGAATAGAAAGTAAAAATGTGAAAGCTTGTTGCTCTCCACGTCTTGTAATTTATTTTCTTTCCCTCTGTTTTGTATGCATAAACTTTCCGACACTATATAAATTTAGTGTGCAAACACAATCTGTCAATTTCTGTAGAGTTTTTAAAAGCAGGATCTTTATTCTCACTGGTACGTAAATTGAGTAAGTTTTGCTATACGGAGAGAAAATCACAGCAAAGTTGATCGGCAAAGTAAAAGTACGTCATCATTTTTTATACCCCTTTTTCATTGTTTACTGTTCAATTTGTTGAAAGTGAGCAGTTTTATGAACTATATTCTCCATTCCTAAACTTATTGACTCATTCAGAGCAAGCGAGGATGGATGGATATGGATTGATGAGGCGTGGATATAATTGGACAAGGACGGAAAACGTCTCCATCCTGAAAGAAATATGAGTTGCATCAATATTTAAATGATACTAATAAGGCAAAGTGACACGTATATTGCATGACTACAGCACACAGATTAAATTACTGGTCCACATTGCCATTCGAATCTCATCCTGAGTCGAGTCATCAATCACAATCGCTTGATTTTCAAAGTGGTGACTTAACCACCACCACCACCCAATCCGTCACTAGTCTCCCTCCATACGTTTAACTCTGAAGGGAAAGTCTCAATCTCATCCTCTCTGCTAAATAAAATCTCAACACTGCACTCACTCCCAGCTCGAGGACTCGCTGAATCTGACCGACTTTCGGGTCATACATGTAATGAAAAGCGGGCAGAGAGAGCGAATTTGTAAGGATGTAGTGCTTTCACTTTCATTTCACCATATGCGAGAGTAGGAAACGTGCTGCTGTCATCGTGTATCGAGGGTGGTGGGGCTGGAAGAGTGATTTATTTCCATTTCCTCGTCAAAAGCAAATAACTAACCCGTGGCCGTGGCCGAATGCGAAGGCCCGACCGACCAACCAACGTGTTAGTTGCTGATTTTACTTTCACTTTAACCAAAAGAACATCAAACCGGAGTGAGCATGCATACGAATAAATTCCCGTATGAAAAGGATCATCCACCACAAAACAAAATAATACATAATCCTGACACGATTAGGGGAGGCTTATCTTTGCAGATTAGACTTATCATTACTCTCCCCGTCCAGGAAATGCATGGTTAAGCTTGAACATAATTTCTATTATAAGATTATTGTAGCTTGCCTACATAACTAGAGAAATTCTTTATCGATCCTGTCAAAATTTGAAATATATGATTAATTAAGTTCAAACTTTTGTATGTGTGGTTCACGGTTCATCCATCATTTTGTAAAATCACAAGAAAATCCGACGTACATACTTCATCAATACTGGAGAGAGAAGAATCCGCAAACTATTTTGTGTGGCGTTGTGGACAATGGGGTTCGTTTTAGTTGTAAGATTCCAAAATTCGACAGACACGATATACAACTTTCCTTGCGGGAGAAAGTCTCCTATTCACAATTATTTATTATATATGAGGAAAGGGAAGTTGAGAAATTTGATTCTGATTCGTGATCCCGGAACTGTACATAATTCTTATATGGTGAAAATAAGTAATAGAATTTCACCATGTGACCCTGTAACATGTCACCGCATATAAAAAATACTGAACCCATGAAGCCCTTGAATGACAAAATCCGCCACATACAACATCCTCCAGAGCTATTCAAACATTCAACAAAACTTTGAAAACCTCGACAACTGACAATAACTCGACCAGACGACCGACCGGGAAAAAGGAAAGCCGACGTCGGACAAGGTTGGAGTCAGATTTCCAGTTAGTTTTTGTGTATGTATGTACATACTATTTTGGTTTGCCATGAGGAGGACCAGGACATGGGAATAAAATGCTGAAATCGATTTTCCAACTTTGTCGTCCTCGACGTCGTCCATCCAAACCAACTTTCTCTCAAACTCTTCTTCTGATGACACTAAAATACCACGACAGCAGATGAGCACCACGCCAAGAAGACTAAACCAACAGGCTCACAAATAGAACAGAACTTGTCGGGATAATTCTATAAACGTATCCAATTAGTTTCATCCTGTTTTGGGTCATTTCATATCCCCGGCGAGTGCTCGAGTGATGGACCCCCAGTTTATGCAGTTTAGTTTGTCCAAGTTCTCTCTCTCACTGGTCCCTCGTTTCGTGAAAATGTGTCAGGATGATGGGGACGATGATGATGATGATGACACAGGGTGGTCGCCATTCCATCATAATGTACCCTAGATAAGGAGAGAGAGAGAGATAACGCGTAGGATTATCTGTATTCTGTGAGGAAGACACACTTTCACTATGGTTCACTATATGGACCTATCTACTTTACGTGCACTTTATGAGGACCGATTTACTTACTTGGACAATCCGGAGCCACATCATTTTCACTTTCGTACTTTAATTTTATTACACACGCAGACCTTCGGATTACGCGGTATGAAATAAGTTTGTGAAAAATTCGATAATTAATAAACTGTAGAAATGCCCGAAATTTTGAATTGTACGTATGTAATACAGTTACATAATTCAGCCATTGCATAAATTCTACTCTCCCCAAAAACTAGCATACCGCCGAGGGAAGTGAGTGAGTGAAGTGAACATCTCATACTGCATAAGAGGCTAAAGCTATCGATAACAGATTATTCCACTTTTACAACTCTCTCCCATCGCCTCAAGTATCAAACTTGGAAATAAAAAAAACTTAGGCAAACCAAAACACTCGAGAGCGGCAGATATTTCGCTGAAAGGATGCCGAACGAGGAAAGAAGGACACACAGCAAACATCTCTCTCCCTTTTCGTAAATGGAATCCTACTAAAAAACGATGAAACGCACTATTACCAGTAACAGAAACAACAAGCCGGCCGTATAATAAT